CGAGGCATTCCAGATCGCCAGGAAAACATTTTAAGGGTGTGTGTTTTAAGTGGAACGGAACTCTTTATTCCTACGAGGTCGCGAATGAAGTAAAAAAGCACAAACTCGCCCCTCTTTCGTTAGAGAGGCCACGTCCATGGGATGGAGGTTCGGTGCACAGATTTATTTACAGCGGACGGCACCCCGTGCAGATAGAAGTTCCTCTTTGAGCTGAATCCCCAACAGTGTGAGCAGAGAACTCTCGTATTACCAAGAGGCCCCAAGTGATAACCGAGTCCAAGATGAGCGAGAGATTCTAGCTGATAAATCCAGCTGCGGAACGGAGAGTGCCCACAGAGTCTTTATCTTTTTTGGATTACCCGCGAAGAACGTCTGCACTGAGCGTGCAGTGTCGAGTATCAAACCAGAGAACCTCGACCGCCCTCTCCAAACACCAGTCTGTTCACAGAAGCAAGACCTTGACTCTCCCAGCTGATCATGGGGGGAAAGGGGGGAGAGCGGGGGGGGTGTAGTAGACAAAGCCTGTTGAGCTCCAGAGGTTAAGTCAACCCCCCCGGCCCGTCCCTTTACCCCCACCTCCACCAGGCCACAGGAATGCGTGCATGAGAGAGAGACCCGGAGGCGGGATTGTTGTCTGTGGTGCATCCTGCTCTGCGAGCGCTGCAGACCTCTCGTGCGCTTGGGCCGGGGGGGCCGGGGTCTGTAATGTGGGAGGTCCGGAGGCCAAACGAGGAGTCTTGTGATGTGGCTGCTGTGGGTAGAAGTTGTGTCTTTGTAGATTCACTTTTCCCCCTCATACGACGCAGTGCTTTGATGCCGTCTGAGCAGGGTGAACACGACAGACCTCCAGTACCAACGCACAGTTAAATAAAAGACGGGGCCATTGGCCATCTTTAGCCTTTCATTATCTTCACTCCCATCTTTATCGGGTTGGATAAGTACTAAGATTGTTGTCTACTCCACTTGTCTAGTTTGTAGGTGTTTTTTGCCTCTAACTGCTGCTTGTAGGGACGACAACCAGAAGAATTATGCTGCCAGGCTGCGTTGGTGAGTCATAAAGCAAAGCAACGGCTTGTGTCACCGGAGCCATAGCTTTGACCAACGTCTGCATTTTATTACTGAAATCACAGATCGTAATCACTGTCACCATTAACAGAGTTCCATGGACTTCCTTTCAGATAGTCCACTGATATTCATCTATATGTTTCAAAGGCTCCCAAACTACTTCCCCTTTCTTTTCTTTTTAAAAATCTTTCAGTATACGATCCAATCAATGAATTCTCAACTATAGAGTTGTGTGATTTGTTGGGCTTTAGGCGTGTTGTACGTTTTTACAACAGTTTACGGTATCGGGTGTCTCTCAACATCCAGATCTCAGAGAGACTACCTGAGTAAGTGCACCCGCCTCATGACTCTCGCCTTGAAAACTAGACAAACTAAACTAAACTAGACGTATATTGATCATCATCGTGACCCGTTCTCCCTCCGCTCTGCTTGGTGGTGTTAAAGTCAGGGCTATTTGTTCGTCTCAATGGCCCAGTCAGAGGCCCCCGCTTGAGACGCGCATTCACTTAAAGCGACTGTTAACCACGGCGGCACAATTGATTTGTCAAACGAAGTACTTCTCCACATTTCCCTCCTCTGTCCCGCCGACGCTTGTGTCTGGTGTACAAGAGTACTCCACGGCCCTCTTGGGCACTTCTGGGGCTGGAGTGAAGGAGGCGTTGCTTTCATTGAGGTTCCAGACGGGAGGGGGCCCCCGGCTGGACTCTTCAGCTCAGCGCCGGCAAGCTGCACTTCACCTTCCAGCTGCTCTCCGTCCCTCTTGGATTCAAGGCAGCGGCGGGAGGGATTGTTGGGAGGAGGGGGTGGGGGGTGGGGGGGGTTTGGATGGTGGCGGGGGTCACTGAATGGGGGGGGGGGGGGCGCTCTTTGGCGCACAGGCCCTGGAAAATTTCCGTTGTGCGTTTCAGCGCTTTTCAGGAAGGGAGGGGTTAGGAGCTGGAGTTTGGGGCAGAGGGGTGTTTGGGGACTTGGCGGCCAGCCAGCCTCAGCAGGAAGCTCGCGAGTTTCACACGGACAAAAAAAAAAAAAAAAAGCAGCCGTGGACCCCGCCCGGCTATCCGAGCGCAGAACTCACCCATCATCACCCAAAGGAACACTTGTCACTCCTGTGTCCAGTTCCTATTTCCTTATTTTGTTGACAAAGTAAGGCATCGGCTAGAGAGAGAATATAGAATAAATGTGTACACAAAGTTGCCAGGGGTTTACTGTGGGCTGACATTGAATATGTTCGTTTACTTGGAAAATGTCCCCTCAGATGGACAGAATATGTACAGACTTTATTTACGGAACTGAAACTGGGAAATCGCTCAGATTCTAACTACACTTCACAGCAGGGTACCTGCAAAAAGGATGCAAACTATCCGAAAATACGGTAGCGACGGCTCCAACAACTGAACAGGCGTGGTAATCGAAGCGTGAATTGACCGGAAGGGATGCTGTAATTTTATTTGGGTTGGCAAAGGTCCAGCTTTCAAACTGGAGGCAGGAAGAAGTGGAGCAGAGCAAGATCCAGCAGGCCCAACAGCAGGCCCGGAGAGCAGGAGGAGCTGCTGTGCATCAGGTGGAATGTGTGTGTGTGTGTTGGGGGGTGGAGGGTTGCAGGGGGCAGGTGGACACCGGTACCGAGGGCTCACATAGCAGGTGGATGCTCGGAGAATATAAATTACAAGAGGAAGGATTAAGTGGATGCAAGTAAGATAACGATTACTTGTCTCCTTTTTTTTCCACCAAAGATGGAATACAAGCTATGGGTCTTAATACCAAAACATCCATCTGTGGTTGTGGCCTGAATATTTTTCCCATGGCCAAATTATCAGATTATCAGAATTTGTACTAATTTGCCAGATCAGTGTCATGAAACTATAGGAATTATATTATTTTTGATTTATAGCAGCAGTGGTGAGGAATAAGGCGTACTATTCTTATGCTTAGCATTCCCGTTTTAGGCATTCTAAATATGTATGGCTTTAAATGGCTTTAGGGATTTTTCTTTTACTATTACTGGGCTCGTCGCTTCAGCTTTGTGTTTACGTGAATATACTGATGCAGCATACATTACTTTTATATTGTGCACAATTAAGTGCGTTGTAAAAGTTATCCCTTGGACATTTATAAAATATTATGAAAGATGACTTAACTGTGATCACAATGTGTGTAAATTAAGATGACATAAATGTTCCCTCCTTTATATCCCCGGCCCTCGTTCCTCTTATTACTATACAAGTTCACACCACTCATTTTGAATAAGTACAGGTCTTCAAATCGTGCCTCTGCCCCGATTTGTCTGACAGAAAATCAATACAATCTGATCCCAATTACAAATAAATGACTCCCCACTCCTCCGCCCTCATGCGCCCCACCCGGTTAGTTTGTTTCTGTTGTTGTGCGTTGAAGAACACGGCCTCTGCCGTGGAACATGGCACACATCATTATTTATTCATGGCCGGTAACGACGGATGCGGCGCGAGCTCCTCCTGAGCATTGTCCATCTGTTCGCCGCCCTACTGTACACACTAATGTAATATGCGGGTCCTCGGGAGGCGCACTAATAGCCGCTCATGTGTTATTGCTTCACACTATTTATCTGTGTAATAACACTGCCCTTGATTATAATTAGTACCCCGTCGTTGGAATGTGATTTATATGTCCCCTTAGAAGTGCAAGACAAACAGCGAGTAAAGTGTGACGTTACCGGTTTTATTTCATCACCACTGCGCTGACAGGACGTCACCCTCTCACAAGACACCTCTAACATGGGAAAACCTCCGTTCTAATTGCTCCCTATAAGACACTCTATAATCTGTCTCCCAGGACTGCTGTACACATCGTTTGACACAAAGCTGCGGATAATTTCATTTCCACCCTGGGAGCTTCCAATGTTTGCCTGTAATGGAAAAGGAAGATTGCTGCCAGATTTCCAACACAAGTTCCTGTGTATCATAGGATGGTGAAATTGAAGATGCACAACCGGTGTCCCTCTGATTGTTGCACTTGTGAAAAAGGCAACTGTGGTTAAGTTGTTCAAATTTCCCCCGAGGCACATTCATAAGTGATGGGAGGATACTTTATCAATTCTCGTGCAGAACTCTGAATTAATATTCTCAGCATTCACAGAGTGGTTTTTAATCGTCCACATATACTCAGACTAAAAGTATCTAGAACTTATATTAGGCAGAGTTTAAGTGCAAATTACTTTTAGAATGAGCAAATTGCAGATTCACAGAGATACATTTGCATTATGTTGCTCCCATCTGTTACCAGATGCTGTGTTTTATGTTCCATTGAGAGCTGTAAAAAACAAACAAAAAAAAGAAGACATTTCTCCTAACATAAATTAGGAGGAAAATGTGTTAGGCTCAGCTGTCATGGGATAAAATGTAACAAGGTGGATCGACTGCAGACAGTTTACATAATAATCTTCTTTGGCGGAAAGATAACACTCTGTCTGACGAGCATTAGCAGACTACTTTGCATTGATAGACAATAACATGCTTTATCAGGTGCTGTAATACTCCAGAAAGCTGCACTGTAACATCCGATCATCTCTCAGGGACTGGATCGGTGTGGCTCTGTTCCCTTCTTTAGCTTAAAGAAAACACACCCGGCAGCTATAACAGACTGCAGTGAGGAGGGGTGTCTCACTTTGATCTTTAAATACCCTCTAACGGGCGCGCTCATTGGCTTTGATTTTCTCCCTTTTCTCTAAAACTGCTGGGAAAAAATGCAGACGCTCCCTTGAATCTCCCCTTCTGTGGGCCTGGTTTGTACTCCAGCAGAGAACACGAGAACACCTATCCTGTCTTTTTTTTCCCTCCCTCCCAACACCACCACCATCTGTCCCTTTCTTCCATTTCATGCGCTCAGGCAATATCCACACCCCTCTCATAGCAACAGCACAACGCCGCCGCCCCCCGCGCCTTGCAGTGGGTTTTTTCTTCCCCTGGATCTTCGCCTCGCACCATGCAGACGGTCCCTTGGCCCTGCCTGACGGTTCAGCGTTCCCCCCTCCCCCACCAGCCGTGCTCCTGTTTCACTCAAAGATGGCGTCGGCTCTAGAACCCCTGGTCTGTGGCTGCATTTTTGGGCTTGTTGTTGTCTCCGTTTCGCACGGTTTCGGCACCTTCTCCGCGGCGGCTCGACTGGAAATTCCGGTGAGTAGCAGCGGAAGCCGGATGGGGCGAACGTCCGATTTCTGTTTTGCGCGGTCTGCCTTTCGCGAGCTTCCCTCGGAAACCAGAACCGGACCAGCTCGGGCTTCCCGGGGAACCGCGAGAGGTAGAGGGGAGAGGGGGGTACGGAGGGATGATGGTCGCGGAGGTGGGTGGTGGGAGGGCGGGGGGGGTGGTTTGGCTTAGGAAGGGGGGAGCCGAGGCCTAGCTTCTCCGCTCCAGCGGCCTTGTGTTCTCCGCACCGCGGGCTGTAGTGTTACGTGGGAGGGCGGCTGGCGGAGGGAGGAAGTCATCGAGGCGGAGACCGCTCGTACGGGACGCGTCTCAGCGGGCAGCGGCGCCGCGCGCTCACACCAACGGCCGAGACGGAGGCCGGAGCGCCAGCAACGTTAGTGCTGCAGAATCCGCGGCTATGATTTTTTTTTTTTTTTTTTGCACTTGCCCGTTAGCCGAGATGGCGGTCTGCAAGTTGCATTGTGCCTTTTCAACAAGGCCGCGGTCTCACGTTATAATCTGAATGTCATTGGAAATGAGCTGTTTCGCTGTGTTTGCTGCGGCGTGGTGGTCAGTGTTGCCTGAAATATCGGTCGAATGGGGGGGAAAACGTCCCCCCCCCCCATTCTTTCTCTTTAGCCGGAGCGCTGGCTAACTCCTCGTTTCGTGCTTGTTGTCGGACGCTTAGCTGTCTCACATCACGTCGGAGAGAGTAAACAGCACCGTAGGAAACCGTTTGTCAATGCAGAAATGGATTAAGCTTGGGGGTTGAGCTAGCTCCTCGGCTAATGTTTGCTAACGGTCTGTGTTTTGACTGCATCGTGTTTACCATAGCAACACTTCTAAATTAGCCAATGGTCCGCCTGCTAGTGCACGTTTTTAGAACGCTGTTTTGACCCTTTTCGTACCTCCATTTCCATCATCGGGACACGTTTGTGCGGTGTTTCTAGAAGTTCAGGTCATAATAGAAGTTCAGGTCATAACGTTCCCTGTTAGTAGTTGTTGATGTTTGTGTTCTTCTGGCTGGGACGAGATTGTTCACAAAAGTGATTAGCAACCTGTCGTGTGGTGGAAGGGGACACACCCCCCCCTCTCCCTCTTCCTCCAGTTTCCAGGTTGATAGTAGTGCATGGTGAATCCTCATGGCACTCTCTATGGGCACACATGGCTTTGTTTATTTATCTCTGTGAGGGAAAAGTGTGGCGTGTCAGTGCTGCTTCTAAAGCTGTGTCCTCCCTGATGTCATCTGTATCATATTCAAACTGCCAACCATAACAAAGACATAACTTCTTTCTCACTTTTTTTTTTTATTGAAACCGTTTTGCTCACCTCTCACCTAATATGTGTGCGTGTGTTCTTTTTCTGTGCAGGCTTTGTCCGCTTCCGAAGAGCAATAGGCACGAAGGTGATCGGTTGTGACTTCTCCCCTGGGGTGAGATACCTGTCCCCGTCCCGGAGCTCAGTCCGCTGGAAGAGCAGAGCGACATCGAGCGTGTAAAGACGACGTGGAAGCTCGGTGGATCTTGTGGAATTTTTTATTTATTTTTTAAATCTACGGAAAACGCAATTACTGCATTGCCCGTCTCTTTTTATCGTCGAACACACACGCTTGGTGTTTTCGGAGACCATTATCATCTCCAACAGCCGGCATTGAGAATCGGTTAGTTTGCCAGTAGCAGGAACCTGACTGAACAGGTTTTGTATTTTTGGTGAATAGGTTTTTTTTGGGACAGGCAAAGGTGGGGAACACCTTTTCTCTTTTTTTTTTGAAAGCCCTTCTTTTCACAAAGATCTACTCTACCCTACATTGTGTGCTGTGGGATTCGCGAACTGACCGGCTGCTCCCTCCCCTCCCCTTTGCTTCTCGTCGGGGACGTTCACCTGACCGGGAGTGGGAGGTGGGTGGACTGTATTTTCCGGGGCAGAGAGTTGTCTCAGGCGGTTTGTGCTATGGTCAGCTGCTCATTACCGTGCTGCTCATACTCAGCTTCTGAGGGACTTTCTGTACGAGCCCAGGACAAGGGGTAGTACGCAGAGAGAGCAAAGAGAAAGAGGAGGCGGCGCTACGGCGCAGGGCCAGGTGTTTCCTTGGCTCGCAGTCCACCCCCCCCCCCCCCTCCTTTTCTTTCTTTTTCTCGTCCGTGGTCATTGCGGTAAGGCCTCAAAGGCCCCGCACCCGCCCGGACGGAAGCCATGGTGAAACCTGCCCACCCAATGTACACCCAGTGGATCCTAGAGGCCATCAAGAAGGTGAAGAAGCAGAAGCAGCGACCGTCGGAGGAGCGCATTTTGCAATGCGGTCTCCATGTCCCACAGCCTGGATCGCAAAACGATTTTGGAGCAGCTGGAGCTCAGCGTCAAGGATGGTACCATCCTAAAGGTCACAAACAAAGGTCTAAACTCCTACAAGGACCCTGAAAACCCAGGGCGCTTCGCTCTGCCTAAGTCCAAAGGTAGTAGCAGCTCTGAAAGAAGCGGTGGTGGAGGAGGAGGAGGCGGCGGTGGCAGCGGGTGTGGTGTTGGTGGTAGCAGCAGCAGCAACAGCAGTGGCAGCAGCAGCAGCAGCAGTGGCGTCGGCGGCGGCGGTGGCGGCGGCGGTGGCAGCGGTGGTTCTCACTCCCATTCTGGGAAGAGGCCGGGACTCGACTGGAACAAGCTGCTGAAACGGGCCCTGGAGGGGCTCCACGAGCCCGGTGGCTCCAGCTTAAAGAACATTGAGCGCTTTCTCAAATGCCAGGCGGATGTGGCGGGCTACTTGTCTAGCAGCGGCTCTCTGGGCTCCGGCCTCTTCCACCAGCACCTTAGGGTGGCCCTGAAAAGGGCCGTGGCCCATGGACGCGTGGCCAAGCAGGGGCCGCTGTTCCAACTCATCAGCCGCAGTAGCTGCCTGGATGACGGGACCGGGACGGTGTCTCTGGGATCGCTGCCCCCCGTCCGGTTGTTGCCCCACGAGAAAGACCGGGTAAGGCCTCTGCATGTACATCTGTTACAAACAAAGTTATGTTTTGGATACAACCGTTATCATTTGGATGTTGCTGATGGCTGAAGTCACCCGTAAGAAGAGTAAGAAGTGCTTTTGGCATCACGAAAAAGTACGAACATCCCGTCAAAACGACCACAGCTCCCCGGTTTAAACTTTATGGAGCAACAGAATGAATGCGTGTGATCTGGGGTGGTAAAGGCACATTAAAAAAAAACTTTTTGCAATCCACACAACATTTATTTGACTTGCATAATAGCCGATGCACACTGCAATTAGTTCAGAACTATCAGCTGGCAATATGGGAAACCTTCGCAGTGCTTGTTCAAATCGGGGCCTACGGGGCCTCATTGAACTACAGCAAGTATTCTTTTACTTTGTGAACAGCTTGAGGATTTTTCTATCCTGCCCCAGTGTGTTGAATGTTTTCTGCGTGTTTTAGAGAGAGCGGGGGGCAGTGGGTAAATATGTGACGGATTCCCAGGTGTCTGCGACGCGGCCCAGGCGAGCCGCACCCGAGAGATGCTGGGTGGGCGTCTGGTCGGCCAGTTTTTCGCAGAGGAGGAGGTCAGGGGAGAGAGTCACCCCACCCTGGAGGGAGAACAAACCAGCTGCAGGGCTGCTCCTTGGCAGGAGATGGGTGGTGGTGGGGGGGGGGAAGAAAGGAAAAGAGGGGAGGAACACGGACATGGAAGAGCTGGACGGTCTGTAGTGGCGCTAGAGGAAGGAGCCTGGATGACGCAAGCTGCAGGCTTTCTTAACCAGAGAGGGAGACGTGGAGAGACGGAAGAAGTTGGAGAAAGAGAGGGAGAGGCAGACATGCAGGCGACAGCGGAGAGCGGGAACACACCCACTTTTGTAACCTGATCACAGAGAGCAGGCGGCTGCTAACCTCTGCTTCTAAGGGCCAGAGCTATGTGTACACACACACACTCACAGATAAAACTATACAACTGCATGCAAAGAAGCACAGACTGCCATCATTCTGACAGACACACAGCGGTTTGCTTTTCATGAATCCTCCTCTTTAGATGCCCACAGATTTGCAACCATCTCAGAACCAGCATGTAAATAAACCCGTTGGAAATGCACGCGGGCAGGTTGCGGCCTAGTGGCCCGTCTTTGTCACTCAGGTTGCTAGACAGCCAGCCGATCTGCCCTAAACACTGTTTTGGCTGGCTCCCGGCTTTATCGGGCCTCTATGTGGGGTGTGTTCAAGTCTGGGCGGCTACAGAAGCTGCCGGTATGGGCGCCTACACACACACACACACAGAGTCGGATTAGCCTAGAGAGCAAGCCGTAGTCACATGGGTCCTGCCTAACACAGTGACCTGCTTGGCTACAGATGGCCCCGTCCTAAGACGAACCCACATCAACCTCCTCCTTTTCCTCTGACTCAGCTACCGATCGGCCTCACGGGGGCCAAATGAAGAACACAAAGAAATGCCCTGCTCAATGTGACAACGATGTCGGTACATCAGCAAGTTTGTTGTTACATGGGACTTCAGACGGAGCCAAGGCACGGCAGGGGAGGGAATTGTTGCACGGGCAATCAAGCGCATCTTGTTGCAGAACGTATTCACCGGTCAGCGATTTTGGATTAAACGCGGGGACCCGAATGGGGAGGTTTGCTTGTTTTTGTTTGTGAGTTTCATCCGCATGCTCTATGGGGCACGGGTAAGCTGGTGCAGCAAGTGGGAAAATTGACAACAGTGTCTGGCGTTCAAACCGAGCCTTTCATATATTTCCTCTCCAGAGGATGTAACCTTATTTCTGCTCAATCATGTGTGTGTGTGTTTGTCTGTGTGTGTTGTTTTGTTTTCTCCGTGCGGGACCGGTGTGCTCGCAACGCAATGCATCAAAGAGCGGGAAAACCTGCCCTGCCTGATTGCCAACAATTAGGGTTTAAGCGAAGGAAAGGCGGGAGCGGGGGAGTGAGTAAAGGCGAGTGGGGGCGGTGGGGATCAAAACAAATGGCTAAGCACTGGCTTTGACCCCATTTGCGGGGAGATTTGTGTACCCAACGCGCCGGTGTTTGCGTCGGAGCACTCTATTCAAACTGGATCTCAGACCCTATTTCTGCCCCCCACCCCCCACCCGCTCCTGATAGGGTGCCATTGCCAGGTCACGAAGGGGGAGCTGAATGGGGGAGTGAAGTCAACCAGGGGTCATAGATATATGGATGGCAAACCTCGTAGCCTCCCTCGGCGCCAGTTAGCAGTATGAGGCTACGGCCATTAGATGGGATGGGCTTGATGCTGAGCTTTTGTGTGTGTGTGGGTATATAGTTGTGTGTGTGATGTTCATCCTGTCATAATAAGCGAGAACGATCGCCCTGCCCCGCGGTTGCCCCCCTCCTCAACAGCTGGAGCGGGGTTAACCAGAGTTCTCGAGCTCGACGTGCAGTGTCACGGTGAGGACGTGTGAAAAAAGAGAAAGTGGCTTGTGGAGAGCGCACGCACACCGCTCTCTGCTCGTAGACGAGGTTGCGGCCGTGGTGATTTCCCTCCGAAACGTCCCGCTGACCCCCGGGACGGGCCAGACTGCAGCTGTCGGCGGCTGCGTTAAACGTAATCGCTTATTATGCACCATAACGGATAGTCATCTGCTGTAATTGATCCCACTTTCGCGGTACCACCTGTCTCTCTGACATCACTCACATTCCCCCTGCTCGCGGTGAGGTGAAGACGTCATGTGGGGTCACTCGACGAATAGAGAAGGGCCCCGGACATCGACTGTGTGCTTTGGGGCAACCCGCGCAGTTATTTTTAACCGGGTGCACGGAGAGTCTTTGAGGGCTACACTGACAGTCTTCCGGATGGCGGCGGAAAAAACACTACGTGACAGAACATACACGTGGGTCTGGTGTATGCGTTTTCAGCTTTCAAAATAATGATTTCTCTTCCCCCCCCAAGAAACCAAGTTGTGCAGGGCGCCTCGCCGCAGCTTGTTTTCGCTGAACGTGCTCCAATGTGACCCCATCGGCCACTGTGGGAACGGGCGAGAACTGGCGCGGTTGCGAGCTGCCGTAGCGCCGCGTCCATGTGACGTCTCGCGTACGGTCAACATCGCCCCAGCTGGCCCCGCTTCGTTGTGATGCAGCAATCTGGCGCCGTGCCCCGCCGGCTAACCTCGACGTTAACGGTTGTGGAGGGATGATGATGATGATGATGCTGCTTGGCTAAAGGCATGCCGCCTCGGGGCTGTTGTGTTTGTCAACGTGAGGAAACGTGGGGCAGTGGCTTCTCAAGTGACATCCAGGCGGGTTGCTCTGGGGATTTTGGAACGTCGACTCCCCTGATGTCACCTGAAAAGGCGCGCTTGAATGCAAATGTGGCAGTGGCGTGCTGAGGTGCCGACACGTATGTGTTGTGTCTGCTCTGCACGGTGCGCTCTAAACAGTGATCAATGGTCTGTGTTGGAGGTGGGGGCGGCCAGAAGGGAAGCGTGGTGGGGGTTGCTGAGGTTGGGCTCCCATGTTAATGAGATCCTTGACTTGAGACAAGGACAACAGCAACGCTTTTTCCGTCTTTTCTCCCGTTGCCTTTTATCCCTCCTCCTCCTGCATTTCTCCCTATCCTTTCGTCCTTGCTCTATTGTTCTCCCCTTCCCGTCTCACTCTCCTTTCCCCTGTATTTGGACAACAGAAGCCAATTTAAAGGGGAAACCAGGCCAGCACTTTATTTATTTATGTATTTATTTATTTTTTTAAACCAATTACCTCTCTGCACAAGGTCTCCGACAATGCCGCATGTTTCCTCCAGTGTTAACTTTGAAAAGCAAAGCCAAAACTAGGCCACCCCTGGAGCACGCTGGGGAAGGCGTGTGTTTGCCGATGATGTCGTGCTCGAGTGCTTCCACATAGCAGGAGTGGGCGTGTCGCTCGGTCAGACTCGGGTTGCATCACCTGTCTGTGTATTTCTGGAGGAACCTGGAACTTGTAAGACATGTTTGAATGGCATTTCAAGTCCGCCCACTGGATGCAGCTAGCCGCTAAGAGGCGTGTGCCTTTTTGGCTGCGAACAGCGGTTTGTTGCTGAACGGTGTTGGAGAGGGGGGGGGGGGGGGTGAATGCCAAAGCAGCAACACGCATGCTTAAAATAGACGCCCACGCACACATACACAAGTACACACATTTTAAGTGCAGAGTGCTCCATGTCACTCAACAGTAAGTAGATGGAGATTTCTTAAAAGATCTGTGTGTGTGTGAGAGCGCAGTGCTGGCAGCTGACGCTGGCTGAGGTAGAAAAGGCTGAAACTGCTCTCTTGAGGAATCTGACGATTGTGTTTGGCTCTTCCAATATCCCTGTCGTGGAGGCAGGATTAGCTTTTCAATTTTGAGTATCTGTCAGGGATTAATTTACAGTGGCAGCTAGCAACTGAAGCGCGTGTGTGTGTGTGTGTGTGCGCGCTCTCTCTGCTCGTGTTTACTTGAGCGGTCACAAGGCGAGCGGGAGCAGTTGACCTCCTCCAGCGGAGAAGGGTCTTAAGCGACAATGATTGAGGTGTTGGTCGCATGCAGACTGCTCAAAGGACGGCTGCTGCAGAATATATATATATATATATATTTTTTTTTTTTCTCTTTCTTCACACTTGCCATTTCCTTCACTCCCCTGCCCTCCGGATTCTTATTTTTCCGACACCCACTCGTTCTTCCTTCTTGCTGCCGACTTCCATTTCTCTTCAGTATTCACGTTGGTTGGTTCCCGCAGCCCAGTGAGGGGCTTTTTTTTTTTCATTGTGCATCCGGCTCGTGTGTTTTTCTGAATGTTGACGATGCAACCCGGTACACGATCACCTCTTTGTACACCTCTTTTAACCTGTGAGAATGCGAAATGGAGCGAGCACGTCCGTCCGTCCTGGCGTAAGACTCCATCTTCATCTCTGCACCCGTCTGCGCTCATTCGCCTCCCTCCCTCCTCACCGCTCCTTCTTTACAGCCCTCCTCTTTCTTCCTCTGCTCCCTCGCCCGTACCTTGTGTTGCTCCTTGCTCGCTCTGTGCTGTGCTGGGAGGAGGAGGAGGAGGGGGGTGGGGGGAGCAGACGTGTTGGAAGTAGCCAGAGTCGGAAGGAAATGAACCCAATAAATCAAGCTGCTGGCCCTGTCTCCTCCCTGCCAGGACCTGCAGGCGCCGTGGGCATTTGCACGGTTGTACCGTAGTGGCACCGTCTTGCATTCAACGTTCTGTTGTTGCCTTCCATGTTGGAATGAATCATTGCGTGAGCTGAATTGCGCGGTCTGACCTCAGGTGTGTGACCTCGGCTGGGTTCCTCCTGCAGGATGTTTTTTTTTTTTTTTGTGGTGGTGAATTTCTCGTAGATATGAAACGCACGGATTAGTATGTTCCCTTATTGTATTTGTCACCAGAATAGACTTCCTTTTTAAATGTTTCAATACATTTATTATATACTTGCCTTTTTAGAAGATGTCATATATTATCACAGATAGTATACAGAAAGCTCGCTCCCTAAGATACGACTCCCTCGTGTCTGTAAAAGCCACGGTGAATTCCCTCCCCGCTGCTCGAACATACAGCTAAACCCGCAGAGGCAGTTGGACAACAGGTGTCGACCACGGAGCCCTGCAGCCCCTCCAGTGGCCGCCGCCTGTGCTCTGCTGGCACACAAAGGCGGCTCGCCACGCCGCGCGTTACCCTTTTCTCTGAGCAACATGGCGTACTTGAGAAGTGACCTTGACCTCTTCCCTTGAATGGTACTTTTAACTGTCTTCATGAAATGACAGTTTTTGCACCCTGCATGCGATAAACCCTCCAGATACGGGTGCATTTAAAGAAGCGATATTGGATATTATGAAGTCATAAAAAGTATAATCATAAGTGAACATGTTGATCTGAAATACTGGCTTCTCATTGCCTCTCCGGTGTGGAACGTCTGTTTTCACTTTAGTGGGTGTGACCCCGCCTACTTCCCATTTTGATACCCAGAGCAGCAGCCGTGACACACATTGGCATGCAAACTGGATTCAAGAATTTTTTTTAAAAACACGTTTATATTCAAATGTCAGTAACGTTGGATCAACATTTCAGTGAAACGACGGCTAGCCGTTGCTGTTTGTCAGTGAGCACAGAGTCTGCGTCATTACTGGGTTCACCTCAAGCTCTCCTTTCTTATCGTTCTTGGACAATGCAAAGCATAACTTGTGCTTGTGTAGGTTCTGTGTCCTCAACCTGGCAACACGCCCGGTTCAGAGTTTGGGGCGGGGGGAAAGGAGGGGGAGATAACTCTCTCCAATATTTAGACATTTGGAATGCAGGACTGTGTGCTGCACATTCATTTAACCCAGCAAGTACAGTCTTAATATATGTGGTTGAACGGGAGCAAACTTAAGATTCTTTTGTGTTTGTATCAATTTGTTCTTTTAAATCACATCTCGGTACTATTTGTCAGTACATGGCATTCATGTGAGTTTTAAATACCACAGAGTATAATGATTTATGCTTCCATTTTGACACTAATTTCATCTTCAGCACTAAACCAAATGTGTTTCTAAAACATGCCTTGAGGGAGCAGTAAGCCAGCGCTCTCCTCCTCGGGGCTTCAAGACACACGAGGCCGCTTTGTTGCTTTCATTTGTACAACTAAGCTGTTAAGTTGACTGACGGTCTCCCCCCCCCATTCCGCTCATCAGCCGGTGGCGGAGCCCATCCCCATCTGCAGCTTCTGCTTGGGCACCAAGGAGCAGAATCGCGACAAGAGGCCGGAGGAGCTCATCTCCTGCGCCGACTGTGGCAACAGTGGTGAGTGCTGCTTTCATTCTTTTTGAAATTTTGGTTAAAATGTGGTACGAGCAACTACAAGAGAAGAGGATCCATCCGCTTTCTGCAAAGTATAGATATGACATGATCATAATAAACAAGATCTATAAAGTAAAACATTATCAGTTAAAAAAAACGAAAATAAGCAAAGTGGTGTTTGATTTCATTTTACAGACACGCTTTCATCTTTCATCTCATTTTTGAGCTCAGGGTGCCATGCTTAAAAATTTGAGCGAGACAAACAATAGTTGACAGATACAGACACCATTGTTTGTTTCCAGAGAAATTGGTTCTCCTGTAGTTTAGTGATGGCGGAGAGCTTGTGTACAACCCTTTCCCTCCAGTGGGTTTGTGTCCCAGACACGAACATCTCGCTTGCTGCTCTTCAAACACCAAAGGCACATCTGACAGATTGTCATTTATGTTTGAACACTCTCTTTGCACCCAGGTTTGATTCAGGGAGGCCTTTTTCAATTCCACATGAATTTTATTTATTCATTTTTTCCCCCATCTCCAGCAACGATGCAAGTGGGTCACGGCTGTCAGTCAGCGGCGGCGGAAAGAAGTGTGTGACATTGAAGCGCTTGTTCTTGTGCGTGTCTTGTCTACCTGCAGGCCACCCGTCCTGTCTCAAGTTCTCCCCGGAGCTCACGGCGCGAGTTAAGGCTCTGTGGTGGCAGTGCATCGAATGCAAGACCTGCAGCAGCTGTCAGGATCAAGGGAAGAACGCGGTGAGTGCGTGAGCGAGGACGGCAGCACTCTCTTCTCTGCTTAGGAGCCCAGTAGAGTTGTTGATGGACGGTCCTGGGTTGGAGTTATTCTACTCATTCTTATTATAATGTTTGTAGAGAAGGTTTGACATTGAGGAACATTCACATTAGCAAGAGGCATCAGATGCCTCCTTTTGAGGATGGGGCATAAACGAGAAAGAGGGGGAGCTGCTTAAACCAGTCCTGGTTGTTGGCTGTAAATATGTTCATCTAATCAAAATGGACCTCTAGGATGAGCATTGGAGCCTCTTAAAAATGTACCACCAAACAAAGTGTGTCCTATACCTCTTATTAGATAAGTGACACCTACTTGAAAAATATGCTGTCGCTTTAATTTGTACCAATGTGTGCCAATGAGACTCATTCAGTCTGGAACGCATCTAATAATCGTTTAAATAATGCTACTTTGTGTGTGTGTGTGTTAACTGTACAGGACAACATGTTGTTCTGTGACTCCTGTGACCGAGGCTTCCACATGGAGTGCTGCGATCCCCCCCTCACGCGTATGCCGAAAGGTAAGCACAGGACGGCTGCCTTAAAGCCCCCGTCGTAGTCGCGCCAGGTGACGTCTCGTGAATCACCCGATGCGCCACCGTTCAGCGGCAATGTACTCTGTACATCCCGGATCCACCTCGGGGTGTGTGAACTTGTGCTTTTGACTCCTTCTTCTCTCCAGGCATGTGGATTTGTCAAATCTGCCAACCCAGGAAAAAGGGAAAGAGGCTTTTACACGAAAAGGCAGCACAAATCAAACGGCGCTACAACGCGCCGCTGGGGCGGCCCAAGAACAGGTAGAAGAGAACGCCTCACTGGGTCACGTGTCAACATCTCGTCCCATAGGATTTGTCCCACACAAGTGTCCGCGTTAGTGCTAAACGGGCTGCTGTCTTTCTCCTCAGGCCGGGCCGTCCCTTCAAGAAGCTGGGCCGGCGTGGCAGGAGAAAGCGCTCGGCCTCGGCCAACTCCTCCTCCAGCTCCTCCTGCGAGGGTTACCCCGGCGACGACCGGCTGCTTTTTTCGATGCGGGACGACGGCGACCTGTCGCAGGACAGCCTGCGCTTCAACAACAAGACCAAGGGCCTCATCGACGCCCTCACGAAGTTCTTCACGCCGTCACCCGAGGGACGCAAGGCGCGGCAGGAAGTGGTGGACTACTCGCAGCAGTGCCGCATCCGAAAGAAGGCCAGTCGCAAAGGAGAAGGAGATGATAGAGGTGAGCTTTAGCTTCACCACCTCAGCGCCTTGGGCTTCATCGTATTGCATTTTCACCCAGTTGACTAATGAAAACAATCAATGAAAGTAGAAAGAAAATATTATTGTTAACTGGCCAATATATATAATATAAAAAACAAATTGCACACACCTTGGCACTCCGTCCTGCACGCTTCTCATAAAGGTTTAATTGATGTCGACTCTGCTTTTCTGTCCCCAGACAATCAAGAAGGCAGCGACTGGCGCGACGAAGACGAGAAGCTGCCCGGCCACGAGAACCTGACGGAAAAAGACATTGAGCTGTTCAGGCACATCCAGGAGCTGGCACTGCAGGTACGCGGACAGAGAGACCGCGAAGGCCAAATACGGGACGACCCCGAAGAGGGGCCACATTGTAGAGTGAGGCGGCGACATCAACGGGGGGGGGGGCGGGCTGTTAAATGCGTCTGTCAGGCTGGAGTTATGGGGCGTGGTTTTATGAGTCATGAACACCCAGGTCGTAAAACTTGTAGCCTGTGGCTCAGGCGAGGTCTCCAGGATGTCTCTGCACTTTTGCGGGTGCAAAAGTCAATGAGCTGTATTGATTGCTAATTATAACAATAAAAGATTTCTTTCTTTCTTTAAAACCGCCAGTTACCGCCGATGCAGGATGATGAGTGTCAGATTCAGTGTGGTCCAAAGGTCGTGTTAAATAACTAATAGATGGAAATAATAGAGGGTAATTTAGAGACAATAACTTCCCTACAAGGTTAATAAAGTATAGTATTGGCAGTGTGAGCGGTGGAGCGCGTCAGACCTCTGCCGTACGGAGAATCAGGTGGCCTTCGGTCGCCATCTTCCATTGTATAAAACGCGTGTTACCGACGACACTACCCTGACGCCTTTCACGCCTTATTGCAAGATCCCAATCCGCCAGGCCCTGGTGTATAATCAGTCTACTTAACCTTTGACCTGACCTTCCATGCCTCGCCCTCCCCCTCTCCTCTGGTCTTTCAGAAAGTCGGGGTGACGGGTCCACCGGATCCTCAGATGCGCTGCCCGTCGGTCATCGAATTTGGCAAGTTTGAAATCCAGACGTGGTATTCGTCTCCGTACCCCCAGGAGTACAGCAGGTGAGCTAATTCCCTGGATGAAGCACAACAGCGTGATGTACTTGGCTCCCAGTCCGGTGTGTCGGCATAGCAATGAACACCTGTGTAACGGAGCTCAATTATAAGGACGTTTACAGTCCGCCTACTTTAGCAGGAATCCGGCCAGCCAGGGAGGCAAGTGGCTCTGATTTGTTGTGGGTTTGATCTCTTTTATTTATCCGGCAAATATTTACTCACTAATTTAATTTACTCCCAAAGCCAAAGTTAAGATTCTTATTTCCCACTTTAGTCTGAGCAACAGCCTAAAAGCCTTAGAAAGATAGTCAACAAATCCTCTGAACCCCAAGCAGCTTCAGGGGTTTCACCTCCAGCTGTGATGGGGTTTTATTTTTACCACCACTCACGTTTCCTTCCTGCACCGCACTCCCCTCCCAGACTACCCAAGCTCTACTTGTGTGAGTTCTGCCTTCGCTACATGAAGAGCCGCAGCATCCTCTACCAGCACATGAAGAAGTGCAACTGGTTCCACCCCCCTGCTAACGAGATCTACAGGAAGGAAGATGTCTCCGTTTACGAGGTGAGGAAGTGTTCAGACTGAATGATGCGTTTGTGACAGAGAGCCAGCCCGCATACCACAGGGCCGTCAGACGCCGTCCTTTTGCAGATTCCTTCCTCTTAGTATACTCACTCGAACGCTCACCTCATGCTCTACACTATTGCTCTGTATAGTCACAGTAAAGACCAACAAAAACTTTCTACAGACTTTTAACGAGACCCCCTGAGTGTTTGTTAGGACTGGGAATATCTGCAGATTCCAACTTCATGAATATACAATGTTGATCCATCCAATTCTTAATGGGGATAAATTGACATTCCCACCTACCAGGGAGGCATATTGTTGTTTCTGTGATCAAGTGAAAGTAACTAAATTCCTAATCACCCGTGCACAGTCGAGCTCTTCCTGACGCGCTCGTAGCGCAGTGGAAGATTCCTTCGCTGGGCGCCTGCCAAGGCAGCAGGGCCGCCCGATTCCCTCTCGGAGGAGAGCGAATGTACAGGGCACGCTGCCGAGCTCCTTGTTTCTCGCCTTCACCCTCTCCATCGGTCGGGTCTCGAGAGACACTTCCGAGATCATTACTTCTCCTCCATCCACCTTCCCTTTGCCCCCCCCCCCCCGTGCTCTAACTGCAGCTTAACGATGTGCTTCTGGACAGCGGTGTGTCCAGAAATGGGCGGTAGTCACTTTACGAACTGATCCATTTCTTTCTCTAATCCCACAACAGGTGGACGGGAACGTGAGCACTATCTACTGTCAGAACCTGTGTCTGCTGGCCAAGCTGTTCCTGGACCACAAGACCCTCTACTATGACGTGGAGCCCTTCCTTTTCTACGTCCTGACCCAGAACGACAACAAAGGGTGCCACCTTGTTGGCTACTTCTCCAAGGTAATGGATTGCTCCCGAACACATCCGTGTGCTGCATTGTGCAGGGCCTCTCTCTCATTTTTAAGGAACGCGTGCCTTTATAAATTACAACCCGCAAAACATGGGGGGGAACGTGATTCAAATGCAATTGAAACGCATTGGATCACTCCACACAGGTGCATTCCTGCAAATATACAAAATGTGTCCAAGACGCACACTGGGTGCCGTGAGCTCCATTGCCCCTCCGTAGCGGTCGCAGGTGCTCCCATTAACACGCCGCCTCGCTGCCAAAACACAGCAGCCAGCGTGCGGACGCGGCGCCATCAACACCCTGCCGCACACCCACACAGGCCTCCGCTGTGGTGTAGTTCCCCCCCATACATATATTTGTTTTCTAATTGTGGAATGTGTCTGCTTTCGTTCCCTCGTCTCCAGGAGAAGCACTGTCAACAGAAATACAACGTGTCATGCATCATGATTCTTCCACAGTACCAGCGCCGGGGCTACGGGCGCTTTCTCATCGACTTCAGTAAGGACTCAAAACGCACGCCAAGTTACACCACAACAATAACTGGGAAACGCATCTGTTGATACACAAAGTGAATAACTGAATAAATTGATTAAAAACTAAATGTCCTGGGTCCCTCCCTACAGGCTACTTATTGTCCAAGCGCGAGGGCCAGCCCGGATCTCCAGAGAAGCCTCTGTCCGACCTGGGTCGACTATCCTACATGGCGTACTGGCGCAGCGTGGTGCTGGAGTGTCTCCATGACGTCCGCGACCGACAGATCACCATACGACAGCTAAGCAAACTGACCGGGATCTGCCCGCAGGACATCACCACCTCCCTGCACAGTCTCAACATGCTGGATCAGCGAGGAGAAAGGTGACAGAAACGCCGCGTGTTATTTAGAACCGCATGGAATGGGCCAGTGATTCACACCATAGGTGCAGAGAGTTCATGCCGATTGCAGAGTAATCAAAAGATTATTTATTTTTCATATATTCTATCTTCTGCAGCAGCACACTATATAACTCACTATTTTGCTGTGAGAAAAGGAAGAACGATCTGATCGCCAAACAGTTTCCAGTCACAAAGTATTAAAGGCTCTTGTAACTAATCCAGAGGAAACAGACTATGGCTTGTAGCCAGGTTCCACCTCGCATGTAAACAAAGCAAGCCTTTGAAGTACACTCTAGTAGGATCATTGCTCACAGTGACCATATAAATACAATCTGATGTATTTTATATTCCACTGACTTTCAACGTGGGCTGCAGCAAGGTACCTATCCTCCTAACTACTTGACACAGGCTAAAACTTCAATTAGAAACCCTGGTAACTAAATACAGTTCTAATTACAATGGCGTGATAGTCTGGATCTGGGCCCACTTTGTTCTGCCGGTAACATTGACCTTCTCCTGAGACATTTGACACTTATATTAAATTTCAGCAACAGTATAATAGAAAGGCAAGCACAGTTGGTCAGTTGTTTAAGTGTAATCTGCTAAGTGTACTTCAGTGATTAATGTACTGGTGATTTGAACCTAGATACAAGTCTGTGGCAGCAGCAGAGAACCTTTGGCAAATGGCAATATTATAAAGCTTTGGATTAAATAATCATGTAAATGGACCCAGTCACCCTTTACATGCGTATACACACATACAATACCCAATGGTCGTTGCATTCAAAAGAGAAACCACAGGTGGGAATGCACACATGTGCACACAGACCGATTCTCCTCATCTCCTAATGCTGGCATGTAAAAGACTTGTTTGTTTGTGCTTTGGTCAGGCTGGTCCTGGTGCGTAGGGAGAAGCTGGTGTCCAACCACATGACTCGTCTCAAGGCCCGGCCCCGGCAGCTGGACGTCGACCCGGAGTGTCTCCGCTGGGCCCCCGTCATCGTAACCAACACTGTGGTCTCTGATGGCGACGATGACGAGGAGGAGGAGGATGACGAACCAGAGGAACACATCCGCAAGGAGGTAAATACGTTTAATTTGTGTAGGACGACAGATTGACGTCAAAGGTAAACTATTATTGATTGATTACGTTGCCTGTTCGTAGATCAAACCAAGTCACAAGGTCCCAGCCATGTCCTGGCACCAGCGGCAGGGGAAGAAGAGGGATGAGGAGGAGGACGAGGATGACGAGGAAGAAGAGGAAAGAAAGTGCTTCCTGGGGTTTCCCATGAACCAAAGTTCCCCGGCTTCCACTCCCATTCGCTGTCCACCCCCTGCCCCGGAGCCACCGCGCCCGCCTCCCCCGACAAATGGGGAACGCAGGCCGCGGGGGCGCCCACCCAAAAACTGGCCCTGGGGCAAGGTGAAAGACAGCGCGCGGGTCGGGCGGCCACCTAAGATCCGACCGGCGGGGGACGAGGATGACAAAGGCAACAGGAGAACGGAGGGAGGAAAAACCATAGGCTCCGCCACTGGCCCCCCATCCCTTTTCTCCATGGACAGACGAGCAGAATCCACGACCTTTCACTCACTGGACATGGGCAGACACCCCTCCATAGTTCCCTCACGAAGAGGGCGGCCCCCGAGAAAAAAGAGAGGCCCCAATCCCAGGTTGATGGATGGGGCCGGGGTGGGGCTGGCCCAGCTACCTATGGTTTCCAGGTTGACTGAGTCGCTTCCCATCCGGAAGAGCTGCTTCAGTGAAAGCAGTGAAGAAGAAGAGGAGGAGGATGACGATGATGAAGATGACGATGAGAGGAGGGCGGGCTCCCCACCCGTCCTCACCAAGCCTGCCTTGGGGCTCAAATGCAAGGTAAGAAACCGCTCTCAGGAATCAATCAATTAATCAAGTCAGAAAACGCATAATAACCTTCCCTATTTGTATCCAGAAGCCGCTGAGGAAGCGGCACTTTCGTCAGCGCAGCCATCCTCACAGCAGCGTGGTGACCGAGACGATCTCCGAAACCACCGAGGTGTTGGACGAGCCTTTCGTCGACTCCGACTCGGAGAGGCCCATGCCCCGGCTGGAGGAGGAGACGCCCCTGGGACACCCACTGCACCGCTACCCACCAGCCCGCTCTGCCATGAGGCTGTCTGACCCTGCACCTAAAAGGACCCGGCACTCCAACCTCACCGACTCTGAGGAAGACGGTGAGCCAAAGGCCCAACTTTGCATTACTTTGTGCGGATTGGTTTCTTTATCTTAACACTTATCTCCTTGCCCCCCCTTTACCCCACCTCCTCCTCTCAGAGCGAACACCTTTGCTGAAGCCCGTGGCAGCTCCGCCAGCAGCTCCATCAGGGACCCAGGCGGACAACCTTGAGGTCCCAGTCAAGAAGAAGAAAGGCTGGCCCAAGGGAAAGAGCCGCAAACCCCTGCACTGGAAGAAACGAGGCCCCGGGAGACCACCCGGCAGCAGAGCAGCTGCCGACCGCCGGGCCCAAGGTGGGGATCCGCCACCCCCCAAAATCAAGATGAAGCCCGGCCGCAAGCCCCGGGGCTGGCACGAGCAGCGGGCCCGGGAGGAGGCCGAGAGGCAAAGGCTGGCGGGGCAGCAGGTGGACAAAGGTCTCCAGCCGCTCCAGACAGACGACCGCAGCAGCAAGCGGGTCTGCCGGACCACCACCGACCGAGACGCCAAGCCCAAGGACTCCGAGGAGGACGACGACTATCGGCCCAAACCTGTCGAGCAGAAGCTGCCCAAAAGGCCGAGAGGGAGACCGCCTAAGAACCGCGCCCTCCGGCCCCCACCACAGCCCGCCCCTAAACCTCCTCCTGCCTCCGAGCCAGAGGAGGAGGAGGAGGAGGAAGAGGAGGCTGTAAAGGCCTGGAAGGAGGACAAACCCGGCCGTCCACCACCCCGCGCCCTGCTGTCCCCCTCGTCCTTGTCGGGGCCCCGCCCCCCACAGTCCCGGCCTCAGGAGACAGATATGGGTAACAGGGAAGAGGACGATGATGACGAGGAGAGGGAGGAAGAGGAATGCGGCAGAGTGGTCAGCGGCGGCGGAACCGTCAACAGGCGAGCATCCGTTCCACCGGGTTCAGGAAGCAGGCGCAGCGAAGACCACGACGCAGACGACGAGGGGGACGGACACTTGGAGGACAAGAGCAACGGCAGCAGCAGCATCAACAACAACAACAACAACAACAGTAAGAAGAGAAAAGGTCAGGACTCGGAAGAAGATGATGACGACGACGACGAAGACGAGGAAGAGGAGGAGCCCACCTCCCGTGCGAGCTCTCCTCCGGTCAAAGAGGAACCCCAAGTTGGAGAGGCTTTTTTAGACATGGAGAACAGCGTGACCCGAGACGTCAGCAAGCAGGAGGAGGAGGAGGAAGAGGAGGAGGAGGAAGAAGAGGAGGAGGAGGCTGAGGAGGAGACAACGACGACAACGCAGGAGGCCAAGTGTCGGCCCCCCTCGGCCGACCCCCGGCAGGAGGAGAGGCGGCGCCGCGAGCAGGAGGAGTCGGCGGCGGCGGCTGCGGCGGTGGAAACGGTCACGGGTCCCTCTGAGCCAATGGAGCTCCAGTCGCTGCACCCGGACGACAAGGACGTCACGCTGTTGATGGAACCGCAGCACCCGCATCCACACTCCCACCCCAGCCAGCATCCCGACTTCAAAGAGGAGCTGGGCCACCACCACCCGCACCACTCCCATCACCACTCCAACGAGCTGGACCTGGAGACCATGCAGGCCGTCCAGTCCCTGACCCAGGGGGAGGCCCAGGACGAGGAGGCCGAGCCCCAGCCACACCACGGCGCCTACCAGGACTGCGAGGAGACCCTGGCCGCCTGCCGCACCCTGCAGAGCTACAGCCACGCGGGGGAGGCCGAGGACGAGGCGCTGGCCTTGGTGGAGGAGTGTGGCGCCTCGCAGCACAGCAGCCCCCTTCCTAATCCCACAGTGCCGCCTCTCCCCAGCCAATCGGTGCGCTCGGTGAACAGTCCGGGGCTGCCCTCGGGCATCATGGACACGACGGCTGCGGGGCAGAGGGGAGGCACGCCTGGCCCTACTGGGGCAGCGGGAAGTGGTGGAGGAACCGGCGGGGGCTACACCCAGATCACGCCGGAACACCCCAGCTCGCTGTCCGCCCCGTCGCAGCAGAACATGGAGACGTCGCCCATGATGGACGTGCCGTCCGTGTCTGACCACTCGCAGCAGGTGGTGGACAGCGGCTTCAGTGACCTCGGCAGCATAGAGAGCACTACAGAGAACTACGACAACCCCAGCAGCTACGACTCTACCATGGGCGGAGGTGGGGGGACCGGGAACAGAGGGGGAGACCACGCGGGGGCGACCACGGCCTCTTCCTCCTCCTCGAGCTCGGCCACCCCGTCGTCCTCGCAGTCCAACAGCTGCTCTTTTGTGCCGGCCCCCAGCCTCACGTCCTCGGCGGGAATGGGCAGCTGCAGCCTCATCCAGCAAACGGGGCCCAACAGCGGACCGGGTGCCAGTAATGTAGGCAGCGCTGTGGCCCAGCCCCCCCCACCGCCGCCGCCATCCAACACCCCCGGCTGTGGCATTAAGTCTCCTCAGAGCTGTGTGGTGATCGAGAGGCCTCCCAGCACCAACCTGCAGCAGCAGCAGTCCCAAAAAAAGGTTTCTCAGCAGCAACAAGCCCCTAATCCTCCCCAATCAGCACAACAACAGCAGCAACAACAACAACAACAGCAACAACAACAACAGCAGCAGCAGCAGCAACAACAACAACAACAACGGCAGCAGCAGCAGGCCCTGTCCCAGTGTAGCATGGGTAACGGCTTCGCCTCCACACCCATGATAATGGAGATCCCCGAGAGTGGAGGAGGGGGCCGCCACATGTACGACCGCATGGGTCCAGACTTTGGCACGGGGGGCTACCCTCAGCCCTCGGCGACCTTCAGCCTGGCAAAGCTCCAGCAGCTCACCAACACCATCATGGAACCCCACGCCATGCCCTACTCTCCATCGGCCTCGGTCGCCTCCTACGCCACCAGCGTTTCCCTCTCCAACCCCGGGCTGGCCCCTTCACCCCACACCTCCCTCGCTCAGGGCCAGCCCACCATGACCCCGCCCAACCTCAGCTCCGGCTCCATGAATCTGGGCTCCCTGCAGCTCCAGTGCAACATGCCCACCGCCAACATCGGCCTGGGACCCCCGCCGCACACCAAGCGGCTACAGGGCCAGATGGCTACAGTCCAAAGCCATATCGCCATCCGGTCCAAAGCCACGCAGCAGCTGGCCCCGGCGCCGCACCAGCAGCAGCTCTACGGCCGCAGCTCGGGGGCCGTGTCCATGCAGGGCACGTCGCGCACCCTGGCCGTGCAGCGCGGCATGATGCCCAACCTCATGCCCACGCCGGCGTCGTACAATTCCATGAACATGGCCCCCCTCAATGCCATGTCAGCCGGTTACAGAATGCCCCAGCCCATGATGAACAGTGGTTACCACGGCAATCCCCCGTACATGAATCAGCCGGCTCAGTACCCCATGCAGATGCAGATGGGCATGATGGGAGGGCAGGGTTACCCGCAGCAGGCTATGCAGCCCAATCACCATGGCAACATGATGTACACCGGCCCCTCCCATCACAGCTACACCGGCGTCCCGAAACAGTCACCTTACATGAGCAGATGAGCAGCCAATTAAAAACCGAGAAAGGAGCCACGAGGCCGGAGCTGATTCTCGCGGTCCTCTGAATGTCCACTACCCCCCCCCCCCCCCGAACACCCTCACCGGCGCCACGGCGGGCGCCAGGGGGTCGGAGACGGAAAGGGTCTTTGAGTTTCCTGTTTTTCTGTGTTGTCATTTTGTCCCTCCCTTTTTTTTTATTTAATTTTTGAAACTGGGCCTTGTTTCCCTTCCCGCCCGCCCAGCTGGTTGTGTACGGGAACAAGCGGGCCGCCGGGTCGGGGGGCGTGTACTTGGACCTCTGCCGTGCTGATCCGGGCCAGGCCTGCACGGCCCTCTGTAATGTGATGATTATTCCTTTTTTTTTCAACACGGGTCCAGGAGGCTCCTCGTCCTCACGAGAGGGAGAGGAGGGGACAGGAAGGAGGACGAAGACACACAGAGAAGGACGATACGGGAGCAGCTCGCTTTCGCTTTACTGCGAACGAAAAGCAGCGGTTAGCTGAATATATTCAACCATGCACACAATCTTTTAATTGACATAGGAAGCCTTACCTTGAAAAAAGAGACGATGAAACCATTGTGGGCAGACTATTTTTTTGTTAAACATAATGTTGGATCTTATTTTTGTTGTTGTTATCGTTTTGAGATACTCGTGTGCACTCCGACCTCTTATATGCTTTGGTCTTTATATGTGCGGCCTTCTGATCCGGTGAAGCGCCCTCTCGCTCGCTCAGAAATACCCAGACATCCCTGTGGCTTTACACTCCGTTCCAGAGGAGCAGAAGGGTGTGTGTGTGGGGGGGGGGGGGGCAGTGTGTGTCTTCCCGAAGGGACGTCGTACCAAAAACAGCAAAGACACGGGAGGGACAAGCTGTCTATTCAATGTCCATAAACAAAACAAGTAGCATTATTATTATTTTTTTTTCCCAGTTTGCCACCACTCCGAAAAACCGTTTTAGATGTAAATATTCTGGTACTTCCCGATATCGAGCGCACACGCACACACACACGCACACATACACACACACAGACGCCGGCTAGCTGTCGCCCAACGGCAGCTCGCGGCGGAAAGAACAACGCTACGCTGCTCTTGTCCACACTCCACTGACGGACGGTCAGCCATTTTTTCATATTTTTTTCCCGCTCTTTTTTTTTCTATTATTGCAGTTTGGGGAATGCCGAACAAACGGTGCCATTTCCATCTAACTGCTATAGCAGACCCCTCTTCAGTGTTAGCGGCCGAAACCGGTCCAGGAGTCGGACTTTGAACGGGGTATTCTGTCATGACTGTATTTCATCCCTTTTTTGTATTTTTTTTTTTTTTTCCCTGCAAAATTCTGCACTTCCAATTGGCTAGAGAATATGGCGGTAGACAGTTATCCTTTGTAAAAGGTGCGCCTGAATGCCTGATCTAGCGCTCACATGAAAAGAGGGTGGGGAGGGCGGTGGCAGAGGCGGTTCCGGCAGTGGACCTCGTTGCTCCGCGTACCAGTATTCAAAGTCAAAAGAGGAGTTTTCATTTTCTTACAGACCCGACATTGCATACTTTAGTTGTGTGTATTGTTCTGTTCTGTACTTGCATTGTTTTTTTCTTTCTGAATTTTATCAGACTGGGCAGCTTTCTTTTATGACACGAGCTGACTCTTTTTGACTTTAGAAAAGCTATTGTAGAGAAAATGTTTTTTCTATAATATAAAAGGAAACTCTGACATTGATATTGGTACTGTCATTTTTTTCACTTCTGTTTCAGGAAAAAAAACAATACATATTTTTTAGCTCGCCTCTTGGGTAATGATTACTAAGAAATTCAAAATTTAAAAAAATTACCACTCACTTTTAGTGACTTTAAGATGCCTTTAACCTCTCCATTCCATCTCATCTCTAGAGTTTTTCTATCTTTGTGTAGTTATATTAATGCTATTTTAAACAAAAAGGACTCCAAATATCTAAAGGTCACTTGGCATTCTTTTTCTTTTTTTACTTGTGTGTGTATAGGAAGACTTCCTTACATTTAAGAGGCATGTAAAAAGGAGCTCAGTATATTTCTGTCTGTTTATATCGCTTCCCTTTTTGTATCCTTTGTAATTGTACATGTTGCGTTGTATGCTAAGAGAGCGCAGAATAAAGAGGAGGGACGGCTGGGCACACAGTGATGGATGGATTGCGCTCAGCGGCCTCGGCTCTCTACTCTTTCCCTGTATGTATTTCCATTTATTCTGTTTTTTTTTGGTTTCTTTCTTAGCAAGTACTTTCAAAGAACTCTGTACATTTTAACATAAAATGAAAATAAATTATGTTGAGCCATTCATGTTTTCCTTGCGCTTTTTAAGCTTTAATCTGAATAGGTTTTTTTCAGGGCCTTCACCTCCGGCCGCTACTTTCAGATTTACTCCAAAAAAACAAATGGAGCTTTTGATTAGTTTTAGAATTTATTTTATAGTACAAGAAATGAGTTTTTCATGATAAATACAGGACAAATGATGAAGTAGAAGTAGTCCTGCAAAACCAAATGTTTTTAAATTTAAACGTATTTCTAACTTCAAACTGACTTTTGCTCATGTGTTTCATCAGAGCTGCATGCGTGTGGTTTGATCACTTTTGAGTGACCGCGTTGACAATCAAGCAAACAACCCGACTATCATTGGCACACACACACACACACACCGCTGAGCCCCTATTGGTGGAAGAAGTGCGCACGTGTTTTTCCTAAAGAAGCCTTTCCATTTTAGACCAGTTCAAAAACACAAATACAGCATCTTGTGTCAAATAACCAACACCGTTTCAACTTCCACACGTTTCAATGTAGGACCAAGATTTGTCATCTGGTCAAACTTGATATTTTTTTCAGTCTTTTAATGCTGCTATATCAACATTTTTGTCCAAAGTAAAAATTGAATGTTTCATTTTAAGTCTAATTTCCAAAGAATGATGCCACATCTTGTTTGATGTTGCCCCCTACCTGCTATAAAGCATTCCATATTTAAAGAAATGTGGTTTTACTAAGCTCCATTCCATCACTAATTCATACATTTTTCTCCATTGTCGGCGAGCATTTATAGTGAACATTTTGACATGGAATTGCTTTGATTGTCCTCTAGATGTCCCCAAAGACAAGTGAGCGTGGAAAGTTAAGAAGAATGGAGTGGAAATGAGTTTTATCTGCGCTGTGAACAGTTTGATCTCTATTTCAAAGGAATAGCTCAGAACACACGAGTCCCATTTGTCACATCTATTTAATGTAAAATGTTTTATCAGGTCGCTACGGTCGCCACAATATGCTGAAGGACATGTTTGGTTGTGCATTTTCTATGTCATGCGCGTCAGAGTGATTAAGATCTCCAAATTGTATTAATGTCCTGTGACCTTTGCCTGATGAACTGCGTCTTGTCACAGCAAGTCAAAGCACTCGGAACTCGTCAAGAGCTTCGTTGTGAACGTTTCTGAAGGATGAGGCTGTGAGCCAAACTAAGCTCCGATATCCTAGTTTGGTGTCTTTGCCCGGGAGTTTCACCAATATTTACAGTAAAGATTTGACTTATTGACACTCTGGGGCGGTTTTCTCAAACGCTCATTGTTTGCATGTGTGCTTAGACTTTGTCTTAAAGGTGTGAGCCGCACTTGGAAAGAAGGTGGAACTGCAATATGAAGTAAATTAGTAAGTAAATACTATCTACATATGTTCAATATACTATATAAGGAACTACTGTTTGATTATGATTTGTTTGAAATACTGAATGTTGCTCATTTTCAACAACGCAACAGTTTTTTGAAAGTGCCATGTTTCATTTACATACTGTGTCTTTGTGTTGTCCAAATAACACACTCTGGTCTTGTACAACAATTACAAAAGTCTTCAACAAGAAAAATGCTCAACATGTGTTTTCGTGTCATTCATAAAATACTTTAGTATCAATATCCAAAGGTATTTTGGCTATTTACTTGCTATTTAATTATGACTAGATTAGGGGGCCAATTTACAATTAGATTGGCTCTGTACATAACAAAATAAGTAATTCATTTTAACCTGACCGATTAATTACTGTGTAGTTTTTGAAGAAGTTTTTGAACCATATGTTTTATCTCCTCAAGATGAAATCTGATACTGGAAACAAAATGTCAGACCAGCCACATCTTCAGGCCAATCAGCGGGCAGTCTTACTGGTGTTTACCGAAGCCCCCCCTCTCTTCCACGGACCAATCACAGCCAAGTCTCAAGGCACCAGCTTCCGTATTATTGACCTATAACTCTATTAAGAGGGCGGGATCTCACGAGCTCCCCGGATTCCGATTGGTTCGCTGCAGCGTATCCTTCTCTGTACCAAGCGCTGTTCCACCTAACGGGAAGCGACGACGGCAGCTTAATCTTTCAATTGGAAAAAGGGTGAACGGTGAGACGAAAACGTTAATATTTGTCTTCGGTGAGTCATGTGCAATTGACCCGTTGCCCCAGGGGGGCAAGTGGCGCGTTCTCAGTCAAAACAGCTGCGTTATTTTAAGGTATTTCCATCCCCTGTAGCGGGTGACGGGGCTTTTCCTCCTCTGTCATGAGACCGCGGAGCAGGAGGAGGCATTGATGTAGCATCTCGTATGGCGACGGAGGCCTAAATAAACGGCTCTACAGTGGAGTTAGCTAGCTAGCTAGTTACGCGTTTAGATGTCGTATATTGTTAATACATGTTGTGTAGCTGGCACGTATTCTGGTTCTTGTGGCGCCGAGTTTCATCCGGTCCGAAGTTGATCGCGTCGTCGCATATTTAATGAATATTCCGGTGTCATATTTCCCAGCGACCCGAAGAAGAAGCTGCTCAATGAAAACTGGGTCTGTGGCAAGTTAAATATGGATACGTTATTTTCCCCTTGTATTGTAAGATCTAGATGTTTTTTAATTACTCATTTAAATTTAACAGTTAAAAGTTAAATTAGTCAGTGACATGACAGGATCTTTAACCCTTTCAAATGTTAGATTGTAAATTAGAATACATAGTGTGCAATACGTAACGTAACAAATAATACAAAATGAGGTAGGTACGTTGTGTTTACAGAGTACACGTACTATGGACTACATGAAATATACAATAGGTACATTGTGTTTACAGAGTACACATACTATGAACTACATGGAATATACAATAGGTACATTGTGTTTACATAGTATACATACTATGAACTACATGAAATATACAATAGGTACATTGTGTTTACAGGTTGCCCATGAACTGGAGAATTGCTTTCACTTTAAAAAAAAAAAAAAAAATATATATATATATATATATATATATATTATTTAACAATCTCAATAATAAATATTTTTAAAAACTATTTAAAGTTATGCATTTGTTTCAGCTGTTTTTGGAGCCTTGTTCCACAAACAAAGTTTTTAAAAGCTGCTTGAATACAAATCTACTTTATTGAAGGGTGTATAATACGGTAACGACTTGTCATCTTAAAGTACTAAAGCACAGGTGTAAATGACACAAAGATAAAATGCATGCTGGCTGACTGGACACTTGATGAAACAGGGCTGATATAAATGTGTTATCAGTAATACCTGTACTTTTCCTCCCAGGACTTGTTTTGTGCGTGTTTTTGACTGATGTTGATGTTTCCAAGCGATTCCTTGATAACAAGTTTTGTATATTCAATGTCTGCATTACCACCGTTTAAACCCGTGACCTCTTACTGGTTCCGGCTCTCTCAAAATGGACAGAACGAACTCCTCTGCTTTCCATCGCCAGCCTCTCCGCCGCCGGCCGCGATGATCCACAGCCTGTTCCTAATCAACGCCTCCGGGGACATTTTCCTGGAGAAGCACTGGAAGAGCGTCGTCAGCCGCTCCGTGTGCGACTACTTCTTCGAGGCGCAGGAACGCGCCTCTGAGCCGGAGAACGTCCCCCCGGTGATACCCACGCCGCACCACTACCTGATCAGCGTGCTCCGCCACCGCATCTACTTCGTGGCGGTCATCCAGAGTGAGGTGCCGCCGCTTTTCGTCATCGAGTTTCTGCACAGGGTCGTCGACACCTTCCAGGTTCGGCTGCCGTGCATTTCTTTAGCTAGTTAAAAGTTGTTTCATAATTAATATCTGATTTTAAATACCCGTATCCTAACCGTGGTTTTTGTTCGCAGGACTATTTCGGAGTGTGTACAGAGGCCGCCATTAAGGACAACGTGGTGGTGGTTTACGAACTACTGGAGGAGATGCTGGACAATGGCTTTCCGCTGGCCACAGAGTCCAACATCCTAAAAGAGCTCATAAAGCCTCCCACTATTCTCCGCACGATGGTCAACACAATCACAGGTACAGTCCATGTTCACCACGGGGCCCGTAACAAAAAAGGACACCTTAAGCATTCAGTAGTCTTCTAGACTGTGATCGTTAAGTCAAATAAAGATAGTGGTGTCAGATATAATGTGCGTGTGATTGAGGTGCTGGACAGATTAGACAAGTTACTGGAGTTTACGACATAAACATAAGTTATGCATTAACATAACTTTGTAATTGTGGATAATCAATTGGGGAAGTCTCATTGCGATAACCATTTTTACATTTTTTTGATACCCAATTCACCTTAAGAGAGTCCTGCAAACTGTACAGTGTAGCATCTTTGCATTCTTTAAAGACCCATTTCTCAAAAATCTCTATTTCAGTATCAAATACATACGCAGAATGTTTGCAGTTTTACTCTTGTGACACTATATAAATGGGCTACGTATAAAAGGACTTATTTTATTTACATCTGCTCTACTTCTGTTTTTCAGGCAGCACCAATGTTGGCGAACAGCTCCCCACAGGCCAGCTGTCAGTGGTGCCGTGGCGACGCACCGGAGTCAAATACACCAACAATGAGGCCTATTTTGACGTAGTGGAGGAGATCGACGCCATCATCGATAAATCGGGTATTGTTCCGATCATCCTGCCGTTCAAACGCTTCATTGGTTGGCCACTTACTTTCATGCCCTATTCAATGGACACTGAAATGAAATGTGGTCATATTCAATTTTATGTTTGCAATAGAAATGCTTTCCTTAAGCATAGAACCTCAGCAGCTTTACTCCACAATGAATCTTGTCTGCATCAGAAAATCCTTCTTAATTTCTTGGGTTTTGTCTCTCTCTAAAATTCTTACATCAACCTCTAACTCTCGTCCTCAGGCTCCACTATTACAGCAGAAATTCAGGGAGTTATTGATGCTTGTGTAAAACTGACAGGCATGCCCGACCTCACGCTTTCATTCATGGTGAGTTCCTTGTATGTTATTTCAATGAGTTCACAAACTCTTTTAATGTCCTCAATGGACACACAGCGTCAGACTCACAAAAGCCATCCAAAGCAATGCATTTTATTCGACTTTATTCCTCAAAATCCCCCGGCACTTCGCCCCTCTCTCCCAGAACCCTCGGCTGCTGGATGACGTCAGCTTCCACCCGTGTGTCCGGTTCAAGCGCTGGGAAGCGGAGAGGATCCTCTCCTTCATTCCTCCGGATGGAAACTTCCGCCTGCTCTCGTACCACGTCAGCTCTCAGAAGTCAGTATTTTCTCATTCGGGATGATTCGATCAACGGCAAAGAAGCTCCCCGAAACAAAATGTATCCCAACGCGTTCCTCTCCGCCGGCTCGCGTGACCCCGTTTGTCGGCCTGCTGCTGTTTCAGCCTGGTGGCGATCCCTGTGTACGTCAAGCACAACATCACCTTCCGAGAGGGAAGCTCCCAAGGACGTTTTGACTTGACTCTGGGCCCCAAACAGACCATGGGCAAGGCGGTGGAGGCGGTCCTCGTCAGCAGCCAGCTGCCCCGGGGCGTCCTCAACGCCAACCTCAACGCCTCCCAGGGAACATACACGTTTGATCCGGTCACAAAGGTACCTGAAAATAAAGTCAGAGCGTCAGTAAAGTCAGTAATGTGTATGTGGGAAAAAGCCTTAAATCCCTTATTGGCATCTAAAATGTTTTTTTTGGGCTAGATGTTGACATGGGATGTTGGCAAGATCAACCCACAGAAGCTTCCCAGTCTGAAGGGCAGCATGAACCTGCAGGCCGGGGCCTCCAAACCCGACGAGAACCCCACCATCAACATCCAGCTCAAGATCCAGCAGATGGCCATCTCAGGTAAGCACTCGCACGGTCTTCCCATCACCATCACCGGGGCTTCCCACCAGTTCTTACTAGTGGGAACTAGTTCTGCACGGCAAACTGATACTGGGGAGCCGTGACCGTACCCCGCGTTGTTACTATTGCTGCTACTTTAGAGAAGTGTTTTCCATAAGAGAAAACTCCACCCCTTCCAAATACCTTCACTTGTGGTTTCTTGTTGGACTAGTTTGTTGTCACAGAGATATTTTTAAGAGATAACTGGTAATTCTGCTAAGCTGTCACACACACACAGCTCATTCAGTGAGTCAGAGACATGTTTTTATTAATATTACCGTTTTGCATTGAGAAATATTTGCCCTCAAACCCAACATGTAGGAAAAGCTTTTATCACATGCTGCTCAGCTGACAAACGCCTGACCGCCCCACTCAGTGAGCACGGTGACTCGATGGCCGCTGGGTGGCGCCAAATGCACCAAAGCGCCTCCTCACATGACGCCAGAAACTACTCCACTGGCAGGTTATGATAGTGATGAGGCTTCATTAAGGTAACGGTCGTGCAAAATCTAACCTGTTACTTTGAGTGCGCAGTGATACGCTCGGGTCAATGTGAACAGGTACTGTACATTATCGCTGAATAATTCACACCCCGTGACTCACTCTCAACCAATCAGAACGCTGGATTTCATCTACTCGTATTGTAATTAAACATATTACCTAGAATGTCATTGAACATGTTTTTTAGTCCAGAAGCTTTGGAGTCTTTAACCCTTGTGCGTCACCAGGGACACAATGTTCACAGCATTCTTTTAATCCCGAGTCGGCCTTCTGAGGTGTCGTTTTTACCTTTTTCCACTGAGTGGAGCTGTTTTCTCATAAATGATGTTGCCCTGGTTACCACCCAATGCGTTAATGCGCTGCAGTGTTTGATGCAATGCATCAAAATCAATGATGTTGCTAATAATTAACGTGTAAAAGAATCCCCTTGCATTTAGTATACAGAACATAAGATGTTTGGCTTTAATATGTAAAAATTTAAAGGGTTAATTTTCAAAAAAATATAGAATATTTGGTAGTTAAGATAAACACTGAGTGAGTGAAAACTGAGTGAAATTGGAAAATTTCATTAAAATGCCGTATTTTTTTAGCATTTGAAGAGATGAAATATCAAGTTTTTTTTCTTTAATCCGAGATGCATAAAAAATAAAACTTCCTCAAAATGAATGTCGCCGCTAATCATTACCATACCCCAAACTGTAAATAAAAAGTTTTCAGTATACAGAATTAAAAAGAAAAAGCATTATTTTTTGTCCTCCAACAGGGCTGAAGGTGAATCGATTGGACATGTACGGCGAGAAGTATAAACCTTTCAAAGGCATCAAGTACATGACGAAGGCTGGCAAGTTCCAGGTGCGAACATAAGGACACCTGCTCCGTGACCACTGGACCAAACCACCACGAGACTGAGGGCTGATGTGACGGGGGGAAGGGGAGTTGGTACATTCCCTGAGTATATGCATTTCAGGATTTAACAAAAAGGAGGCTCCGTGGAGCAGCAAATAACGGACGTAGAAACTTTACTGTAAGTGAAAGTGTCGAGAGAGTTTGAACCTCAGGCCGAGCCAACTCGCCTCGACTGAGACTTTCTCTGATAATTCTAATCTTGAGCCCAAAATCAGGGCAGTTGAATGAGACGTTTTCGACACTCAAGCGTTTCAAATTTAACTATCAACAAGCCCGACTGTGATGCTGCACTGTTCCAGCTGTAGGTATCCCCCCCCCCCCCCCCCCCGCGTTTCATCGTCTATGGCACGTGTGTGCTTGTCACTGTTTTCACCCTCAAAACGAGGTGATGTGGATACGGGACGAATACCATATTGAAAGAAAGCTTCTCCTTTAGTAAGTTAAGATGGCGTGAGCGGTATGGATCCCATGTTTGATAAAACAACAGCGTTTCTCTTGCAGGACACTAGTACATAAACAAGGAACCAGCGGCAGGTGATCTGATGAATATGCTGTTGGAGCCTAGAATGTAAAGTAAAATGTATATATAAATCAGTTGGGGAGCATATTCTAGCAAAATAAAGCAAAAATGTCCTTTTCTGTCCACAAATCGTGTTCCTAAGGTTGGTAGAACATGGTCATGTGCTGCTTTTCTCTGAACCGTATTATTTGATCACAGTTCAACGGACCAATGGAAACTGGTGTCACTGTATTTTATTTTATGCGTCCTCCTCTCGTTCAGTTTTTATTTTCTCTTTCTCTTGTTTCAATAGTCTGATGACTTTGTCCGCACACTGACATGTGACACTGGAAGTGTCCTCGGCCGTGCACTTTACCGTCTGCTGGTTCTAACATTTCCTTTTTTAAATGCAGGTGACTTCAGCTTGTTACTAACCTATTTATTACCTCCAGGCATTTCTGGGAGAATTTCTGAAACATGTTCAGCCTTTTTATTCTACCTTAATGATTTATTCATCAAAATGACGAATCCATTTGCTGAAGTAAATTTCTTGGTGCTCCTTGATTCTGCATACTACCATTTAAATTCCTCCTCAAAGCTTTAACTGTGTGGGAGCTTGTTGTTTAACCATGTTATGACCAAACTGGATCAGGTTTTGATCTCGACGTGCAGAATGATATTTGGAATCCTGTCAACTTTGGTCCCAAATGACATCACAAGTGCATCAAACTCCTGCGTGTTAATATCTATTTAAAACATCTCAAATTAAACCGGACATATGAAACTATTATGATATGTATTGGTATGCATTATGGTATCGTGGCCGGGTGGCTCTGAAGACATGTTGAAGGTTTGCATTTTGTGTTTACAGCATTTTTGTTTACGTGTTTGTTAAACAGCCTCCAATGGAGTGTTACACTGGTGAAAAAATAAAGATTTGATGTGTCATAACCGAGTGGTAACAACAATCATTGAACGTGTGTGGTACGGAGATGCTGGGGTTCCTGGTCCAAATAATTTAATGGGTTTTCTTTGTTTTGTTTTTTGAGCCTTACTGTAATTTGTTTTATTATTTGGGGGGTTGACTATTCATAACCTTTTTATTTAGATAAGTAATTATCATTAAGAACGTCTGAAAAGCAGCCTGGTCACAATGAAGTTTGTGTCTGATTTCTACATCTTCAGAGATTTTTTTATAAAAGGGTATTTGAAGTATCTCTTCATCTAAACCTCCATCCTTTTCACTTGCACAGGCCTCCATAAGTCCTTCTCTGCAGCTGAGCGTAGTGGATCAGGGCTGAGCGGCGCTGTGCACGCGTATATAGTCCGAGGTGCCTGAACTCGGTCAGCCGGGGTCACTGCTCCCCTTCTTGTGACCCAAATGTGTGCGCAGGAGTGAGGCCCATTGTGATGTCACAACATCTGGTTCATGTCCCACACGTGACATCACAGGCTTCCGGTCACAACTCTCTTTTAAGGAATTGAGTTAATCATTTTAAAAATGCCATTAAAAGATCTTAAGAGCAGTTTTTTAATAAGTTTATGACAGCAAAAATGCCCCCCCCCCCCTCCAAAAAAAAACCCTCAACCCCCAACCCCACCCTCTGATCCACTTGGCAGGACTCCACTCCATAATTTACTGATGACTTGAACCCCTCCAAAAGATACAACTTCTCTCCAGTCCTCGCCCCCCCACCTCCCCCCCCTCCCCACCTCCTCCCTCTCTCACCTCCGGCTCCATTGATCAGTTATGTCATGATGATAGAACTTTTCACCCCGTCGTCTCCACGTTGGAGCACAAGTTAATTCTCTCTTGAGTGGAAATGTTTGTTGCATCTTTTTAAAATTCTCCCTTCACGTTATTATGGTACTTTTTGTTCGGTATATTTTCCTTTTGTGAAGACTGAAGCTGTGGAGGAATATCGAGGCATTTAAAGAGCGCACTGGTGGTACGTTGTCTCTTTCCAACATTACGCGCGTGTTTTTCCTGTGCAGCCATGGATGTCGAGTCAGTTATTAACTCTTCTTTATTTCTTTGCACAACTATGATTTACAACAGTTTATGTGCTGAATTATTTCACCGTTCGGCTTTTATATCAAACCGCTGTAAAACGACTAAGGGTGTGAATTATGGATGCTGTTCATTATTTTACTAATATATAAATATAAAGACCGTTCGGACATTCGGGACAACCACCGATTGCACCTCCGCGCCAGTTCCAGGTTGTCGCGTGGATGTAAATCAAAGTGTGTTTTCACACCTGGTTAAAGTGCTGTTTTTGCCCCCTAAAGCAATTATCACAGCCCTAATGTGTATTGTGCATTGTGCTGTAATGAGGATTATCTTAATGTAAATCTAACATGCCTGTTAGTGTTTATCTGATTGGTGTGAGCTGGCTCAACACCCCCGTGGCTAACCACGTGGACGAACAGTGCAAGTCACAACAGAGGCAGCGGGGATTACTTTTATTCCACCTTCATGTTATTCACCTGAAGTTACAACTCACCTACATGTAAGCTACATCTCACCTGAAGTTACAACTCACCTACACGTAAGCTACATCTCACCTGAAGTTACAACTCACCTGCATTTAAGCTACAGCTCACCTAAAGTTACAACTCACCTACATTTAAGCTACAGCTCACCTGAAGTTACAACTCACCTACATTTAAGCTACATCTCACCTGAAGTTACAACTCACCTACATTTAAGCTACAGCTCACCTGAAGTTACAACTCACCTACATTTAAGCTGCATCTCACCTGAAGTTACAACTCACCTACATTTAAGCTGCATCTCACCTACAGCTCACCTGGTTACAGCTCACCCACCTCACCTGGGGTCGACGTGATGAAAACACGTGCTTGTTGCTAGCCAATGTTATTGCGCGCAGATAACTTTAGCGGAGGTTGACTTTTGCAGTTAGCAAAGTGGCAAAAAAAAACAAGCAATAAAGTATCGAAGACATTAGTGTCTTTGTTGATTATGTTGTTCATTCAACCTCTTTTACTTTACCTGCAGGCTTATGTAACCTATTTATCAAAGCAGTGTCCCGCTGGACTGGTCTAGGCACTGCTAACGTAGCAAAATACTTTAAATAAGCTAGCCTTCAAGATGGGCCCCCATTCAGTACTTTTCTTTTATCCAGAACTTAACAAGGTTTACAAACTTAACAAGTTTGGTATAAATGTTACTTGTACATGTATGTACAAAAAACCCCAAATAGTAATAAGACAAGTGCTGTCCTGCTAACGTTAAAAGTCAAAACAAGTTGTGCCTTAACGTTAGCTTACTAGCAAAGATGCAAACAAGCTAACGTTACCACAACATTTTAAATGTTACGGCTATTGTTAGATGGCTGGTGTAAATCTATTGGTTCCATCCCAGCATATTAGGGAAATAGTTGCAATAAGCTGCAAAGTTGCAGTTTTGCTACTTTGCAGGAAACAAAATAACCTCAGATATAAGCAACAATTAAGTCTTGTTTTCATGGCTTGAAAGCCCCTGCAGGAGCTGAAAGGTTTACATTTTCAAACCTGCCTATGGAGTAATATTAAAGTAAATTAAAGTAGCCTGAACATTTTATAGTGTTTTTTTCCGCCCTGTGCATTGCTGATGACAAAAAAAGAAGTATTCAGTGCAGGCTTTGAAACCAGGCTGAAGCAGAAAAACGCTGGGTTTTCTGAGCACAATTCACTTTATTGAAGGTTGACTGGAGCGTGTGACCACAAGACAAAGACAACTATCCCTTGCATCTACTTATCAACCCCCGGTCTTTCTTTCAGGGAGACATAAGCCTCCCGTCCATGTGGGTTCTGCCATTAAAACACTTGGATCTTCTTAAACTGCTCACGTAGGCCTGCACAGATATGAGCCAACTGCATGCACAGCACTGACGGCTGTGTTTGGAAACCAGACAGTATCCAGACAGCTATCAGGGATTGTTGGACTGAACTCAAGGGCAAAGCATCCACTATTATCAAGTAATGCCACCCAACAGGTTATACCGACCTTTCAAGTACACGGCGGTTGGGAAGTGACATCCGACACGATCATATCTGCTCAATCCTATGTATTGTGAAAGTATTTCAGTAAACCTTTGCCTTTAATAGTCCATTGTGTGAGTTTCGAGTGCTTTATTTTTCTTAGTTGATCTTATTACCCTTTTCATTATATAATGGACATGGAGTTTTGTTTTTTCCAATAATCTCCTCCGATCACATTGGTCTTTCTTAATCACATAGTTGGAGAAAGATGACCATAGAACAAGCTTACCGTGAGGCCCGAAGTGGACGAAGATAAACATATTCCACCAACCCCACAAACCAATCAAATTAATTTGTTGTTGAAGTCTGCCGTTAAAGATAGATGTCCGTGAACTCACAAGATAAGTGCTGATGAATTCTTGATGTCACAGTGACTGCTTTCTGTGTTCGCCTTTGGCCTGTTTTGCTTCTGGAAAAGTTAGCAATATGAAGAAGTCTTGCATTTGGTCATTTTGGCAAAATCATTAAATAACTTAGTATGGGACACATCTGACATGCTTTATTTCTGGCATTTAGTCTTATCTCCTTGCCTTCTCAGACTGGTGCTCAGCCTGTGCAGACACCGCCATGACCCCCCAAGCTCCAGCTGTGCTGCCCAGACTGTGGTGGACCATCTACCATACCAAAGGGTAGCCGGCAAGGATGGTCTCCACACTGCAAGTTACAACCAGGATTCTCCAGGAACACAATATGATAATCAAGCTGTCCCTGGAGGGCTCAGACTAGAATATATAGATAACCTCTCTGGTAACAGCCTCCGTAGTCAAACGGGTTGGGGCTTTCTCCAGCTGCTTTTATTATCTAAATAGACAAAGTCAATAGAACTGATTCTTTCGAGACACGTTTTTACCTGGCAAACTTTGTTTTTAAGACCCCCAAAAATTGCAGCCAACAATTCATTGTATTTTTGGATGGTTTGGATTTTTAAGCTCCATTTTTAAAAACTTTTTCAAACTGGTTTTCGAACTATTTAAGACACAGAATAGACAGGTGAGGACAGCCGCCATGCCCAGGGCAAGGAAAGGGACCGGTCCCCCACCTGAGGACATTGACACGTTCCCCACGGAGGCGGAGGAGGCTCGGTCGCCCCACTCGCACAGGACATCCTCAGAGAAGACGTCTCCTCTCAGCAGATACATCGAGACTGAACACCAGCAAGCGGGGCTCTTCTCTCTTTCCCCCTTCGACGACTCCCCGGACACCGCCGCTGACCTCCAGAAGAAAAGGAGGAAGAAATGCGGCGACTGCGGCCCCTGCCTCCGCAGAGAGAACTGCGGGAGCTGCGCAAACTGCTTGAACCGCAAGACGGGCAAGCAGATCTGCAAGATGCGCAAATGTGACCAGCTGAAGAGGAGACGGGAGGAGTGGGAGGTGAGCGTGGTGCTGATGGCCTTCATACAGTTACACTTGTTCATGTGAATAATGCATTGATGTATATCAATGCATATTCAATTCCACTTCAATTGTGAGTTCAGTCAGCTGGTTGTGGTTGTAGTGCCTTGCTCGAGGCTGTTGAGCAGAGAACTAGAGGACAGCAGGCGGTGAATCCATTCACCCTCTTGCTGCAGTCGTTTCATTACAGACCGTTACAGAGGTCACAAACCTCTAGTGTGAGATGTCCATTCAGAAAGATAGCATAAAGCTTTTTAGCTGCTGGTGCTATTAATTGCATTCCTTATCTGTCAAGTCTAGACCTGTTTGTCTTCAGGCCGGGTTAAAAAGCCTGTCTGTCGTACGTGCCATGTATGCAAAGTGTGTACATTTACTCAAAGGGCAAAGGACTGGTAGGAATTGTATTTCCTTTTTGCGTTTAAATTTGCAGGTTAATATTTGACCTCTCCGGTTTCTGCAGGTGAACATTAACTTTTGTTTCACAGAGATGAACAGATTGTTCTGCCAAATAAAACAAATTCATAGAGTGCACTTTACACAATAATGTGTGATTTACAAACATGATTAACAACAAGTGGTTATATTTTAACAAATGGAATATTAGAATATCCAATTATTAAGCATGGCTGCTGTTGAAAGCTCCTTTGTCATAGAATTACTATGGAAAAAAACAAGAAAAAAAACATGGCCTGAGCAGCTTCATTGTTGCTGAACTGGATGGTGGAGTTACACTCGTCTGATCTATTGCAAAACCTCACAGCATGAAGCCAGGATGCTTTTAGTGACAGTTGGGGACAGTCACTGAACCTTTAACATTGTGAGAAGCCTTCTGGAGGTGTGTTTATTTGTTAATTGGGAGAAATACTTATGTCATAAATGGAATGGGGTAATCTTTTAGGGCTAAAAGCACATAACAATTACACAAAACAAGTTCCAATTTCTCCACTGTGGTGATTTTCTACTTTTCTCTCCTTTATATTAATACTAAGTGTAAAGTACGTGTCTTTGGGTTGAGGACTGTCATTCAGACAATTGTGATTTTATAAAAAAAATGGCTATTTATACATATATTCTTAGACAGAAAGAGGCGCTCACTCTACCTAACACATCTATTTTTTAGATGTCCTCAATGTAATCAACACATGAAGTGCATTTTACTTGTCCGGCATGTGTGCCGAGGATACAGATATAACCTTCTATTCCCGCTTATAGATCCAACTTAAATATTCCCCCTGAGATAAAGCTGCGGAACAGTCTGGGTGTGTTTGAACAGACTGAGTGCACAGTGTTTGTGTGTGTTTTGCATGGCTGAGAGAGTGTGAGGGCCACCAAACAGCAGCAGTGGAGAATTCCTTCAGTTGCCTGGGCTTTGTCCTTTGACCTCTGGAGCCCTGAATGAAGGCGGGGGTTAACCTCAGGCCGGCTCCTATTCGTGTGTGTGGGTGTGCGAAGATAGAGAAAGAGTGCGTTTTTTAAAGAGTGTGCACTTATGTGTTAATGGAAGTGCTTGTGTGTGTGTATGTGTGTGTGTGTGCGTGCGTGCGTGTGTGGGGCTTTGTGTGTTTGTTCGTGCATCAGCGTCCTAAGGGCGGGGGTTGTGCTGGGAAGTCAAAGAGGAGGACGGGAAGATGTGGTGTTGTAGAAGAAGCAGGAAAAACCAGACTTGGTTTGTAAAGCATGACGAGAAGCTGACTTTTACTGCTCCTCGGAGCGCAGAGCGAGCACATGGCCGCCTTTCCTCCCACTGACAACCGCTTCTCACCAACGCAAAGTCACGCCTAAGCGGCTGTTTGATATTTCTTCGTAATGCCAAGAACTAAAAAGGTCAGGAGCTTTATGATATTTATATTTTGCAATATTTCTGAAATGAAACATTTCTGCCATAGCATTTCCATGCAGTAATTTCCGTGTTAAAATATATAATTCTTTCATTCACTGTTTTGCAAATAATTTGAAAACTTATGCTTTGAAAACACCACAAAGACCAGGTAAACAGCCCAGCAAAACGCTGGTTAATTTATAAGGTAATTGTTATTTTTTTTGTTTGCATACTGTCAGAAAGACTATTGTCATGTTGCAGTAGTCAGTAACATCCAGGTAAACGCCAGACTCGCCGTTCTGTTCAATTAACCAAACTCAAAGCTTTTTTCTTCGACACATGCTGTGCGCCCAGAAGGGAAGATGGGACATGCAGATGTCTTAGCAGACAAGGACAGGACGTGCTGGTGTTGATGAGTGGAGCGGAAGTCAAGAGGAAAAGGCACAAAGTTTGTTTAGCCACAAACAGGAAATCAGGATTTAGAAGCACACGGTCCTCAGCTCGTCCTGTCTTCTCTGGCGAGACGCGTCTTAAATGGCAGCAACTGCTGCAAAAAGATAACAGTTTACGGCGACGCAATTTCACATTTACATGAACAGACCCTGATTGTATTTGGGGTTCATGTGACAGAAAGTTAGGCAAAACTGTCTTGGTGTCGGGTGGTTAGTCAACGTTTACAGCGTCCACATCTCACAACCCCCGACCTCTGAGGGAACTCTACCCCTACTCAGCCGGACCTTTTCCCCCCAATTTCACTCTGCCTCCTCCGGGCCGCTGGAGGGACACAGGGGTGTTTTGTTTACGGCCGAATACCAGCATCAACTTTTTGTTTATGGCTAATGATATGTGGCTGGTTCAGTTGCGTGCTTCGAATTTTTAAAGCGACATAGTTGCAGTCGTTTCATGTTGCTAAAGAAGCAAGCCTTTTTTTTGTCAGTATGTTTCGCCAAATCTGTTTACTCACACAGTCAAATGTCTTATTGATTAAAGCACCCAAAAGTCAATAATGGCCGTTAGTGAAGCAAAGGTTATTCCGATTACATTTATTTCACAAAAGAAGAAAAAAGCTATGTAGTCATACGATTACACAATGATCATAAAGGAGATTCTCTCAGCCTTCTTCTATCATTAATTACATATTGGTACAGAGCGATAACGATCTACTGCTTCATTCCCAAAGTACCAAAGATCCGCTATCGACAACGGTGAGTGTAGTGTGTTAAGGCATGAGGAGATGTTCGGGGGCTTAACTCCGAAATCTCTTAACTGAGTGTCCCTCCGTCTATTCATCCCATCAATATCCCTCCCCCACGCCCCCCCCCCCCCCCCCCCCCCGATCGCTGCCCTCTGACCCGTATCGATGTGGCAGCTGAGTCCCGTATTGCCTGGCAACTAGGCTACATCCTCCATTTTCTCCCATGGCAACGTAATCCGTGGCCCGTCGGAACCCTCCTGAGGGGGGGTGGGCTGGGGGGGGGGGGCTCACCGCTGAGGCGTACAGTCCGTGTGGAGAGCCGGGCGGACCGGCTTTATCAACGAAGGCCCGTGCACCTCGGCGTTATGTGGAGGAGCAGATTGGCGTCCGTGTGGGAATATGTTCTGTGTCCATTGAAGGCTGTGGATGTCTGAATGGGGAGGGGGGCGGTTTTAGGTGAATGAGCGACGGTGCCGGATTCTCCCTCTGGATTCTGCGTCCTCTTCTCTCAGAAAGATCCTTCGTTTCTAACAAGCCAAATGATCCGTCTCCCTTTTGCTGGATCGGCTGCTACTGCGACCGCCTTCAAGCGACGCGGCCGCCGGTAACGAAGCTCGCGGAAGCCAAGCGGCTTTTACCATAAACACGCCTCTGCTCACACATAAACACACACACACACACTCGCGCTCACTCGCACCCACACACACGTGCCCCATTCTGACGTCAGCGGAGGGGCTTTCCCGAGCCGTACGAGAGCCTCAGAAACCACATTCGCTGCGTCACTGTGTGGCTGCCTCGCTCTTTTCGTGTGTGTCCCCCCCCCCTCCCCTCCCCCTCCTCCGCTCCTGTTCCTGTGTCCCTGTCTGCCCCGCGTCCTCTTCGTCTCCATCTGAACTTTCGCTGACTTTGTCCCGTCTCGTGGCGGTAACTGATTCAGCCGCTGGAGAGTTTGCTGTTTTAACAAAATAGATAAATGTTAATCTTGATTTTTTTTTTTTTTACCTTTTTGAAAAGACACCTGATTAGTGAAGAGGGCGGCGTTAAGAAAGCGGAAAAATGCATCCAGGCGGCGGGACCCGGTCACACGAAACCCCGCGAAGCCGTGGCGTCTAGTTTGAAAGGTGCAAGCTGCTGTCAGAATGTAAGCGGCGTGTCGCCTGCACGCCGTCTGCACACGTGAGCTCTCGGAGGTCCCCGATTCAGTCATTGGTGGTGTTATCGCGTTCGTTTACGAGCACGCCTTCGCGATCAATGTCACTGAACAAACCCGACCCCAGCTGATGATCTGTCATCTTTTTTTGTGTGCCTGTAATGTGTCCTCTTCTTGTGAAATTGCACAGTACACTGGCGCTGTGTTCGTTTTCTGGGGGTCTTTGGGTCAACATGCTGGGCTTTGCTGTGTAATTGTGCCCTTTTTGCCTGTCAGTGGTTGTAAGGCTGTTAGTGAGGGTCTGTGTGTGTGTGTGTGTGTGTGTGTGTGTGTGTGTGTGTGCAGTCCAGTCCAGTTATTGCAGGCAGCCCTGACACAGATGGTGCTCAGTGATACCACATACCACAGGCATTGTTTAGGGAAGGCGAGTTCGAGGAGATAATTGACAGGCATAGAGAGGACCCATCCCCCCCCACTCCGTCAACCCCCCCCTCCGCAACACACACACACACACACACCTCCCGTCCGTCTCCACTCCGTCCCTTTATGTCAGCCTCTCTTTTAGGGTGCTGCACACGCACACACACACGCACACATATACATACACACACACACACACACACACACACACACACACACACACACACACACACACACACACACACACACAAAGACACATTCCCTTTCTCTTTTTATGGTAACCTCTTTTTACTAGCTTATATTTCTCTCTCTCTCTCTCTCTCCCTCCCCCCTCTCTCTCTCTCTCTCTGTCTCTCCTTCTATTTCACCCTAGCAGCAGAGCCCGGCACCGCCGTCTGATTGGTGGACGCGCTGCCTTTGTGTGCTATCTCTAGCGTGACGTCTCTCCGGCGAGCTCTCTGTGTGTGTGTGTGTGTGTGTGTGTGTGTGTGTGTGTGTGCATTTCTGTGTGTACATTTCTGTATTTGTTTGAAGAAAGAGCGAGGGGGGAGGGGGAGCGAGGGGGAGGGGAGTAGGTGGTTGACGGTGCTTTTACATCATGTATGCAGAAGGGACGAAAGAAAAAGAACTGAACAAGTGGGAGGAAGGCGTGATAGCGATCGCAGCGTAGAAAAGAAAAAAAACTTGCGTGTGTGTGTGTGTGTGTGTGTGTGCGGTAGACCTATTGGCATACGAGCAGGAGAGAGGGAGGGGGGTAGAGCGAGCGCGAGAGAGAGAGAGAGAGAGAGAGAGAGAGCGCGCGTGTGTACGAGGGCTCATGTAAAACCAGATTAAAAACACAAGATGGCTTCCTGAATGGGCTGCCGGAACACAGACGAGAGAGAGAGAGACGGAGAAAGAAGAGTGGAGAGGTAGAGAGAGAGAGAGGAGAGAGAGAGAGAGAGAGAGAGAGAGAGCACGACAGCGCGAGACGAGAGGAATAAAGGGACAGAGGTGAGGACAAGAGGAAGCCTGAGTCTTCTGATGGGGATTCGGCCAGCGGACGGAGGAGTACAAACCAGGGCAGCTCACAGGCTTAGAGGGTAAATATTCATCACTCCAGACTATTTTAGGTTTGACGGGGGGGGGGGAGGTCGGGGGGGGGGGGGGATTAGGTTGGCGGGACTGGGATACACAGCCAGAGACAAAACACATCATTTAACATTGAGGCATCCAGGGAGGGGGGTGGGGTGGGGGGGGCATGTAGACAAGATGCTGTTGTTTGGCTTGATGAGCCGTTCCCGTCCTTAGCGTCCCGCTCTCAGGCGCCCCGTCCACTCACGCGCTTTTGTCAATTTACCCTTTTAAAAAAGACGGCGTTACGCAGGGGGCCGCGTTGTTGTGCGTCAGGTCAGGATGCAGACGTTACATAATTGTGTCATGGAAATTGAGCCGGGGCTTCGCCGCCTCTCCATCCTCCGTCCCGGCAGCAGAGGGAAGTGCCGGCTCACCGGTCGGACGCAACGGTAGAGGAAATGCGTTCGCGTGCACCGCTGCTTTTCGCCGAAAAAAAAGGCGCACAAGAGGTGGTCCTGCCCTCCGTAGGGACGAGTCTTCTCCAAAAACGGCCCCTTGTCGCATTATTCTATTGATTGTTATTCTCACCCCCTCCCATCTCTCTCTCTCTCTGTCTCCCTCCCTCCCTCCCCCCTCCTCTCATCTTCTGTTGAATGGCCATACAGGTGGAATATTTCGAAGACAACCGACGAGGCAGCTCGGGAAACCCTGAACTGGCAGCCGAGGTAAGAAACAGCGCAGTTTTTTTTGTGTCCTGCGTCCGCGTTGCTCTGACTCCCAGCTGCAGGGTCGGTGGTGCAGCGAGGCGTAAAGGTGGCGTAAAGGTGGCGTAAAGGTGGCCGTTGTCAACAACAACCAAAGTGCACGACTCTTTCCTCCCTGTGTGTTTGCGCGCGTGCATTGGTGGAATACCTCAAACGCTCTGTTAATGGTGTGTGACGCTACCGGGTTTAAGCATTAGTACCCATCATACGGGGAAAAAAAGGGGGCTTTGTCGCTGGGTCGTCACCTGACTATCTGCCGCTCTCTCTTTTTATTTACCCCCAAACGCCACCGCGGGGCAGAATAAAGGTGTAATAGGCGTCTCGGCGAGGATGTGGCGGCATCCTTGGGTTTAAAGCGCCCCACGCTGCCCGCTGATTGGTGCCGGAGCCAAGCATGTGTAGATACGAGGAGAGGGGAGGAGGGAGGAGGGAGGAGGAAGCCTTCGCGCCGGCTCAGGAGGCAGAGGGGCCAGTGGGTTTTGGAGTCAAACGAGGTAAAGGGAGTAGAAGTTAGTGGGTCGCGCGTGCGTAGGCGCTTGATCGGCGGGCGTAGTAACCTGCGGCACGTGGACGGCGAGAGCTGCTGTTCCGCGGCTCGCCGGGTCGGGGCACGCTCGTGTGTTTGTGTGCAAACGAAGTTTGAGCGGCAGGGGCTTCGTGCAGAAAACAGATTTAGCGAGCAACAGACAGGCCGGTGCGACGGCGTCTCCGAGTAGACGAAAAGGAGGCTCGGATTGGACTCGCCGGCACCATCGCAGTGATGAAACATACGTTAGTTTCAAATGCCACCAATCGGTTCAGCTCAGAGACGCACTCTGATTTACCTCTAAGCCGGCTGTAATCCGCGTCCACGCGTAGACGCTCTTCATCCGCAACATGCATACGACCATCTGGGAAGTTGAATCGCTCAACTGTCCTTTCGTGCGAAAAGCTGCAGTTTGTTTAAGACGTCTGTGTTGTCGGCCTTCGCGGCGTTCCTAAGCTCCTCTTTCCCGGATGGAGCGTGTGTGCTGTGAGACGCACACTTAGTTTGGACGAGGAACAGGTCATACATCAGTTTTTGAGAGGAATCTCAAGCACACGACAGTCAGGCTGCACTTTCTATCACTTAGTTTCAGTGTTGCTGCTCAGGAAACAGAGTTTAGGTTCAACCACAACAAGTTAGAAGACAGACAGACTGCACGTCCCCCAGGCACGTCGACAAGATGCTGATCGCTTTCTCTGCGATGGCGGCAAAGCGTCAAAAGCAGAGCAGAAACGCTCAGATCATGCGTGACGGCAGATGGAGCGACCGTTAATCACATGTGTATCTATGTGTATGTAATCATATATTTGCATGGAATCCCCCCCCGTCCCCGCTGGCTAAGGGTTAACATCTGACCCAGTTTCTGTGGCAACACCCAACGTCTGGTGACTTCATTCTTATAATTTTAACTCAAGTCCGGCATCCAAGGTCGGTCACGTGACCAAGCAGCCGCCACCACATGTGCCGTGCGTGCACGCGTGTGTGTTGGTGTAGTAAGTGGCTTGGTATGTAGTACACACTCAGGAAGTGGAGGGTTTGACATCACCTGTTCCATTCAGCGTTGGCTTTCGATGTATTTGCTCAGTGTACTTTCCACTCAGTCGGTAAAGAACTGCAGCTTTGTTTCCCATGTGCCTTGAAATAAAACTAGTGATCTAATATATATATATATATATATATAGGCATAAATATAGTCGACAATTCTTTTAGTTATCAGGGTTTTGGATCTTGAAGTCATGTCGACAGAATCTGACTGTAACTGAAATTCTGTTAGATGTTGAAAAGAGACATTTTTATTCTCCTTTACAGAATTTTCTAGCAGCCCGATTGCACTGATCATATGAGCTAAACTCAATGTGAACAGCCTTCCGTCTAAAATATCTCCAGTGCCCAATGAATCATGCTTTGAAGTGCAATTAGTTGTCATCTCCTTCAATGGTTGTACAAAAACACCCCCAAAACACCACTATGTAAAAATAGATATGCCATTTTAACCCGGCTAACATGCGGTCGTTAATACACGGGGACTCGCTAGGCTCTGCACTGTAATTACTGACTATAAGCAGATGTTTGCCTCTGCACGTGGACGCGGCCGGAGCGCGTCCGGATCGACGCCCTGCATGGAAACGCCGCGTCGCGGCCCGCCGGCTCGGCGGCATCGGCGCCGGCACCTGTGCTTGATGCCGTTTGGGAGGTTGCCGGCTGCCCGGTGCCGCAGTTAATTAAAAATGAATGGAAAGAGAAGGGGGAGGAGCGCTCAGCTGTTGCTGGAGCTCTTTAACTCTCACCTCTCTGGTGGCTGCGCTGCCGTTTCCCCAGTGGGCAGCACACTTCCATCCCGGATCCCGCTGCCGCCTGACGCTGCCGGGTTTTATGTAACACGGAGCCACAGCTGGTGCCGGCTTCTCATCACACGCACGTGAAAATATCGATTCATGAAACACCTGAAGTATATTCACGTGTTCATTCCTGACATACCATGACAGACACGGCGTACGACTTGTAGTAGTTTAGAATAACACGGCATGGAATCAGCTCTCTGTATGTGAAGCCCCACACGGTCTTCACGGTGCACCGTTCTGTGCTGTCCCTTTAAGTCCGGCTCTGCCTGACTCGAACATATGGGAAGCTAATCTTAGCCCAAATCCTGAGAGAGACAAGGCTGGCAAGCAGCCAGTGTGCAGAGCCGAGGAAGGTTGCCCTCGCATCTCTCTCAAGTCTGAGCCACTTCTCCTTCAAACCCCAAAATATCATCTCCAAAAGGTCACCCCATTGTCATTGAGCAGAAAAGTGCCCCAGTATTAGAGACACCGGCGTTCTGTTAATGGTCACATCATTGTCCAATAAGATTGGACTGCTCGTCTTCTTTTCATGACTTGGCACACAAGCAGAACGCCATGTGCCCGTATTGTTTTTGAACCTTTTTAAACTTAATTGCTTTGCATCCGTCCTCCGTCTGTCGCTTCCCCCCCTTTCCCCTTTGTCTCAGACCCCAAACCCTACTCTATATATTGATTACATTATTCTCCTTTTTTTTTTCATGCCCCTAACCTCAGGCACAAAGAGCTGCCTCTTGAAAACAGCGCCCCCCCACCTCCTCTTGCTCCTCCTCCTCCTCCTCCTCCTCGTTGTTTTGTAGAGGCTCCACCCACTCCCCCATCGCCACCTTTCTTTTTTTTTTTCTCTCTCTCTCTCTCTCCTCCCTCCACAACCACTCCTCCCTTTCCCTTTGTGAGGAGTAGTGAAAGAGTGGGTGGGGGTGGGTGGGGGGAGACCTTCCCCCAGCTGGGCTATTCGTGCCGACTTGCACGTGCCGAGAAGTCAGGAGGTATGACTCAGTGGATACTCTACACACGGCCTGCACACAAACACACCCTGAACTCAACACCGTCCCGCCGGGCAGCGCGTCGCCGGTGGAGGGTGGAGGAAGGAGATGGAGGGGGCAGATGTCAATGAAAGCAAAGACAAAGAGAGAAGTGGCCCAACAGGGAGCTGCAAGGTTGAAGTAACAAGGCGGTGATTACAATATGAGACGGTTCATAGATGTGTATTTATTCACTCTGCATGAACCTACACACTCGTAGAAAGGACCCTTTTTCTTTTTCTTTTTCATTTGATACAGAAATACAAAATTCATTTATATCCCTTTCATGATGTTAGGGATTTTCCAAACAAAACACATTTTGTGCCTAGTTTCTCTCACAAAAATACAAAACTTGGTGTTAATAATATCAAACTAATCACGATAATAAGAGTTTCCAGCGTTATATTAGTCTTTATTTGTTTGACCAGGCAGAAACAGTTTGTGTTGCTTCTGCTCTGTTAAGTATCACGTGCCCCGTGCAGCCCTGCAGCCTCTGGTCCCGCCCACAAACAAACCCGGCGACCCTCGGTGAACAATCCAATACTGTATGCATTCTAGCATGCGTGTGTGCACAGAGGAAAATATATATATATATATATATATATATATCGCCTCTACATTTGCTGCCTGTGTGTGCATTGGTTCAGTGTCTTTGCCCTGAAACAAGCCAGCGTGCGTTAAAGGAAAAAACGACAGAGAGCAAAATGAAAGACGGGGGAAGGAGAGTCATAAAGTGTGTCAGATCAGATGACCTTGATGCCGTTGGACTGCGGGGCATTGCGGGTTTGGGGGGGGAGGAGGTGGGGGTTTATGGAGGTAGGCGAGAGCAGCAGGGGAGTCAGCTGACAGGAAGAGGTGGGGGGGGGGGGGGGGGGGGGACCCTCGTGTCATGACTGTGGCGCCCATGGGAGTTGTTTTAATGGCAGTAAGAGAAAGATTGTCACCTTAAATGGCCCAAAGCGGTGGCGCTAATGAGGGCTGACGAAAGCGCCGAATTTGTGAAATCGCATCAACTGTCGTACAAAATAATTCTCCCACGGTACCTTTGAAACAGAACGCCGTGGTTCTCCATCGCCGTTGGCGCGTTCCAACGCAAAACAGACCTCCCGACTACTGGTGCTGCTGGTGATATTTTGAAAAGCTTGTTTCGGTGTGCGAGGCTTTCTATGTCATGCTGAGAAGAAAAGCAAAAAAAAAGATGACTCAGACTTAGTCATGCGCGAGCCGACCCAACACACACCGTCGAGGATGGACTTTTGTTGTCAGTCATCCCTCCTACAAGCAAGACCTTTTCCCCCCCGTGCTGCTGAAAACAGTGAGTAAGAGACAAAGAAGGGAAAGAAATAGAGAGAGAGAGAAATAGAGAGAGAGGCGAGGGTGTGAAACAACTCATTTGGACTCATTTGAACAGTTTGACTTGATGAAGCGCGAGTACTTTCCTACTTTCAATGCCGGGCTTCAGGTTTACCGTAAGTGCCTTGTTCATGTTTTCCATTCCATTTTCTCTCAAAAGTTAAGATGCTACGACTGTTATAGGAGTTTTTCTCTTCAGTTCTCAGTGTTACGTGATGTGAACACAGTTTATAACAGGACGTGGCTACAGAGCGTCTTCCTTCCAGCTCTGATGGAATCACGTCGCCCTCGTTGTCGGAATGAGAAGTGACACGTTTGTTGGTATTTCAGGACGGCCCTCTTTGGCAAATGGCATCATTGTGGCTTATCTAGATTATCCAGGCCAACTGCCAAAACAGCTGAGGTAAACAGCAGGGACGTCGAGCAATGTTTCACTTGAGATGGCTCAATGTTTTATCAGTCTACTACTGTAAATTGTGGCTCATATAGTGTATTTACTGCCTGTAGTTTAGCCCCCTGCATCACGTGTTGAGGTTTATGATCAGCGCAAATCATGCTTCCAGTAGCAGTCACATGTTCGCTCGTGTTTCTCTTGATGTTCGTTTAAATGTCGTGACGGCGTCACAGCCACGTGTTGTGATCCACTCACAGACCGGTTTGGATTAGACTCAGGCGGGATGACTGCCTGGTCTGCCCGAGGTCTCTTGGAAGCGGCGAATGTCCGGTGACAGCATCTTTTTGACGCGTAAAATGCTCCGTTTTGTGCTCAGCAGTTCTCTTTAAGCGTAAGGAAAGCGAGCGACTCATGGGTTAAGTCGAGGCTCTCCGGAGCCATGAAATGCCGTGTCATCGCAGCCGGGGGGTGGGGGGGGAGGAGGGGGGAGCGAGCGCCAGTGAGCCGGGGCGAATGAGAGAGCGCGTGTCGGAGCGTCCGTCGGTGCGCCTTGTCGGTGATAGTGGAGGGCGGGCAGGCGATGACACACACACACACACACACACACACGTGCGCGCCGCCCACCCAGCAGTGGAGGCACCGGCAACGCCGGCAATGACGCCGAGGCTTGATGACGACGATGACGGTGCAGCTACGTCATCGCCACATGTGTTTCCTACCTCTCTCGCTCACTGTTCTCCCCGCCGCTCATTGGTAGTCCTCGGTCATGTGACCTAATGCTCTACTTCTCCTCTCCTTCCCTTAGACAGCTTAGGCTGCGCTGTGTTTCTCTTTGGGATTGACGCTCATCTGTGCGTGTGTGTGTGTGTGTGTGTGTGTGTGTGTGTGTGTGTATTCGAATACGTGTGGTAAGAGAGAGAGAGGCGGCCAGTGTACAATTTTAGAGGGCCAGAGAGCAGGGTGCGTCACAAAGTGTTGGAATGGAAACGGAAAAAGGCGCAGGAAACTAAAACCGAGAGGCAAATTGAGAAAGCCAGAGAAAATGAGCGATCGCGAAGAAACCGGGTGAGGCTGCTTAAGTTGATCCGACCATGGCGCGGCGCGGCCGCTCAGTGATAGAAGAGAAAACTACCAAGCGGGAGCTGACAGCGATCGGCATGGGGAGAAGACGGCCATGTTTCGCTCCAACCCCCCCCCCCCCCCCCCCCCCCCCCCTTCGCCCCCCTCCTGCTCCTCCTGGTTAGATCTGCCCCAAAACTCCAGCGATGTTCCAGAGAAGAGAGGAGTCGCCGGTCAGGCCGGTCAGCCGGCGAGGGGGGCGAGAGGACAGACCCGCCGATCGTGACAAACGTTGACGCTGATAATGACACCGAGGCAGAACAACGGTGAGGGGGGGGGGGGGGGGTAACGAGAGGACCTTCTCTGATGGACAGGAGAGGACAGAAGTCTCGCGTCCTCAGCGAACTGCGACGGGTTTATTATTGGTACTCGGTAGCTGTCTTCGTTCGGCAGCAACCTGCCGATCCTCTCGCCGCTTATGCCCTCTTCTTCTTCTTCTTCTTCATCGTTATCGGCGCTCCCTTCGCAGAATCCGCCACATAATGGCTTTTCTCCTCCGATGTCCTCCCCCTTGTTGTCTTCCCTCTCCTCGGTGTCTTCTTCCATTCCCCCTCTCCTCATTCCGCTACTTTTTCTTGCCGATGCCGAAGTATCATCCACCGTTCCCTCCGCATCGCCCTCGCTCGTTTACCTTCGCTGTAATGGCATCGCCGTCGTCCTTCCGTTTATTTTCTTCCCCCCGCGTAGGCGAGGGAGCCGTCGTTACGGAGCGTCGAGGAGTGGTTGTATATCAGGCGAACATCCGCTTCCTTCAGTCGAAAATCCTCCCACCTACCCGTCGTCTCCTTTGGACCTTGGAGGAAGGGCCAGCGGACCGCCAGCGAGCCGCCTCCCGCCTCAATCTACTGACCGTTTCTCTTTCCCTGTGCTTGGAGTCTTGCCACAGAGTCTGTAACCAGCCGCAGGTATTAGATCAAAGCCTTTCGCTTCGATCGAGGGACGGACGGACGTTCGCTGTGGTTCTGGACGGGGCAGAAAAATGGAAGATGGAAGGACCGTTATCGGTGACTTCTCCTTTGGCCCGGTCGAATCTAGATGCCCGAACACTGGACGGAAGCCTCCGTGTGGAAAACCAGAGGCCGTTTGCAGAAGGCATCAACAGGCATAGACACTACGTGGCTTTTCTTAGCTCCTTTTTCCCCGTTGATGCCGCCGCAAGTCGAGATTGTGTATTCGCTGGTTAGCCCGTTCATTCGCCTCCCGCGCCCGAAAGCGGAGCGGCTCTGTCATCGCCGAAGTTGCCAGCGCTTGGCTTTTGCGGATGAACCAAACACACACACACACACACGTGTATACATGTACAGATAGCGACATGAAAATGCCGTAGAGCGAGCGGCGCCGAAGGGCGTGGGTAGAGAGGTTCTCTCATTGGTAAGAGCTCTGCTGCACTGTGCTGTTTCCTAGGCTGCCGCCGCTCGCGACTCTCCCCCCCCCACAGCCCTCTCTGTTTCTGCTCACTGCACACTCCTCCATTCCATCGTACGTGCCCGCTGTGGCTCAGATAATGGCCTCTCGCTCTGCACACGTTGAGAGAGAGAGAGAGAGAGAGAGGGGAGATGGAGGGAGAGGCTGCGTGAGAGGGAGGGGAATGGAGCGAGCGAGGGAGGGAGGGAGAGAGAGAGAGGGGAAGGTGGGGGCTGCGAAGAGAAGCCGACTGCATGTGCAGCCGAGAGAAAGAAAGAGGATATTGAAAAAGGGAAGGGAGGAGCAGACAGAGATAATGAGAAAGGAAAAAGGAGAGAACAGAAAGCGTCGGCCATAAGAAGAGGCCAGAGAGAAATGAGAAACGTGCGCGCTGCGCTGGGGGGAAGTGTGTGTGTGTCTGTGTGCGCGTGAGCGTGTGCGGCGTGGATTTTCGGCCGGGAGGAATAAACAGGAATACAAGCCAGCAAGTCCGGATTGCTTCTACGGGCTGCCGTGCCGGCACGCAAGTCTCATGCTCCCCTCTGTCTCCTCTTCTGCTCTCCGCTCTCCGACCGGCAGCTCCGCCTGGACGCCTGAGACCTCGTGAGTATGTGCACCGCCTGTCCTCAGCCTCACAGCCGGCTGCATATTGTCAGGGGCTCTGCTTCATGTTCCTGCTCGGCACGGCAGCAAAAGGAAGGGGTGGGGGGAAGAAGGAGGACGGACAGGGAGGGCGAGGGGGGAGGGTATGGAGCGGGGGGAGTGGGGGGGGGGGGGGGGGCGATGTTGTGTATCTGGGATTTAGGTTCAGCTGTCTACTCGCAAGCTGAACTTAACCCCCTCTCCACCACTGGCGTCTACACAGGCTTTGTTTGCCGCCTCTAGTTTCTAGCAGTGTCGGCGTTAAACAGAAATGCTGAAAGGCTTATCTCTGTTAAAAGGCTTCTTAACCGGGTCGTGCCACATCTGATCCGGCTGGGTGCGATTCTGTTATCGGATGCACTTTCTGGTGTGTGGCAAGCACGTAGTAGTACGTGTGTGTGTGTGTGTGTGTGTGTGTGTGTGTGTGTGTGTGTGTGTGTGTGTGTGTGTAACGGACGAGTACACTTCTGGCAGCAGAGTCGGCTTTTGTCACAGTGTTAATATTTGTCAAAGCACGTGGTCCGTACAGGTACACGCACACACACAGGTGCACAGCGCTGCAGGTGCATGCACAAAAGGTGAATCGGGGTTAATCCAAGCGCCGATCATGTGAGGATCCTTATTGCAGCGGCGTTATTCGTTATCTGCAAAGTGGAGTAAAGGTTCGTCCCGAGTGCGCTTTAAACCCACGTGACCCGCGGCGGCAGCGTTTTGCATGCAACTGTGAGAAAAAGAGGAAAAGAGAGTGCCGATGCGACCGACGTACGTGACCGTGGGATGTTGTGCAGTGTTGCAGTCGCTCTGTTTCAACACACTGCAGGTCTTGTAACTGCCGTGCCCCCCCCGTCCCCCACCCTCCCCCTTCCTCTTTCCCGTCTGATGCCGCTGATAGTGCAGACATGGGGCCTCTCACGTATTGCATGCCGGCTGTTCACTGCAGCACCCTTCCCCTCCAACCCCACACCGTCTCTTAGTAATACCACCCCCCTCCCTCCCTCTTGGGACCCCCAACAGACACCCGGCGCAGAAGGTGGATTCAAAAGACCTGAGCATACTGCCTGTCCAGTAATTAGCTGCTTCAAAAGGCCCATTTCAATCATATTTAAATGATGGGGAAGCTGGACGTCAGGCTCACTTCCACTGTCAGACTCTGGTAAATCCACAAACAGAAGCCATGTTCTTTCTTCACCCAAACACCTGAATCAGGAAGGAGCTTCGGCTTGCTCGAGGTTAAACTGTGTTTGTGTAAGGAATTATTTTTATCTCCATTTCTCTGTCTGCTTTGTCTTCTGCGAGGGGCATGTAAGTGTCCTTTAACGTAAAGGCCAGTGTACCATTCAGGGTGTGCGCTCTGTTCACTTTGACACTAGAAAGGTTATTAATGCAGTTTGTTGACTTCCATCTATCGGGCTAACCACCAAAAGATGTATTTGTACAGTGCGTCTGATTTTTGTTTATTCTCACTAGGGCTTTTAGATATGCGGGAATACACTATTTAGTCACAACATGAGCTCTGTCAATGATTTGTGAGGCTGCCCTTGGATTATCTTTGTTTGCTGTTCCTCTCTAGACTCATTTGATAATAATCTGCAATAAGTTAACCAGGGCTGAACACTGTTAATAAGACAAACTTTGGGAATCACATGAATATAAACACCATAGTTGGCTGAGTAAAATAACCTGAATACTATTAGTAATTAGGACACATGTCCAATTGATGTGTTTGAAGTTTTCAGTGTAACTTGTGGTAACTGTCCCCATTCTGACTCAAAGAGGAAGTGAGAAATGTGGCTGCATGTATAAGCTCCTGATAAGTATTACCAACTGCCTCCAAAGACATTTAAATCTACCCACATTACAACAAAAAAACAGACAGGAACAATCCCTCCCTTATTTGTGACTTCCACAGTTCCTGTTACACTGTATTCTGCAATGATAAATAGATTCAGCTTTAAAGTAGGTGATACAATTGGGGGGAATTCAGTTGTTTTACTATAAAACTTAGATCATTTGCATCATTTAAAAAACAAAAGTGTATTTCAGGCCTAATCATTGAGTCCAGTACGTCCAAACTCCAGTAAAATAGCTCCCTTTCCAGCATCAAAAACATGTATATGGTGATTTGAGCCAAATGACCCAATGGCTTTACTTCTGCCCCATGTTGGCCCACTCACAGCCGATGGCCCCCTAACGAGGTGTCTTGGGATGTTATATTTATTTTCCCCTCTTACGTTCCTGAAAAGCTGAAGATCTTTTCTCAAGTGAGGAACGATATGAAAGCAGAGTCGCTGAACATTTCTTTACTTCACTCGCTGCATCAGTGTCTCATGACGCTTTGTAACAGAAGACATGTAAGTCGCCTTATATTTAAATGTTCAGTTGCCCATCTGAACATTTATGTCCACGGCTTGTCTAAAGTTAGAGGGGCAGTTTTATAATGCATACAACCACTCGGCGAGCGATTGGACTCCTTTATTAGCATTTCATTTAGCTCCCTTTAAATACTTTTTATTAAATGGTGTGTATTTCAAGGCAACGCTGTGCTTTGCTTCTAGATTGATAGACAGTCAAGTGAGCAGAGCCACAAAACCAGACTTCAGTGCTTATTGTTGCAAACAAACATCTGAAATGTTCAAAAAAGGACCTTTTCAAACTAGCACTGTACGGTATGTGTGCAGCTGGCTTTCCATTGTGGATTATCTTAGCATCACATATAAGTCTCTGGAACTTCAGCTCATTTCATGTTTGCCATTTAAGGTCTTGTTTGGGTTGAAAATGTCTTGGGTTTGTGATAATATCACCAGTTAATTCAGGCTGTAACTGCAGGGTTTCAGCTACTCGGCTGAACCGCTGTGTTCAGCTACAGTCCATTTCAGCACTTAATCAAAATCTGCTTTTGCCCATAAAAGATATTCACGCTGAATGATAAGAATAACAATCTTTTCTGAAATATCTCAATTTGTTTCACTTATCTATTGCGTTTCTTGGAATAAAATATTGACTGAGTAAATAAAAAGTTTTTCTCTGTTGATTCTTCTCTACAAAAGAAGAAGGTTTGTACATCTGAGTAAGTCATGAATATAAACAGTTAGTGGAAGTGGACTTCCCTTGAACTCACATGCATTTTATTTATTGTATCCATTCCGCAGTGTGTATTTGATGCCTTCACCTCCGACATACACAACATCCCCCAATGTGAAGGGTGACCAGTTTCAACACCAACTGCCTGCTTTGCATAACCCAACTGATCTGGAGCACAGTGTCCATTTATAACCAGTGAAACTATGTTGCATGACCCCCGACTTGCTTGACAAAAGACTTGCCTGCTATGGAAGCAAAACTTAATGCGGTTCTCCTCAGCCCTGCTGACCCGGCCCTGCAGTAATGTATGTATAGTGTGTGTGAGGTGGGAAGGAAACCCTGGCTGCAGCAGCCAGAAAGGAATGGAGTCAGTTATTACTTTGATGGTTCTTATTTATCTGCCGGTCAAGATTTTCTTGCAATTCAATAAAACAAAAACAAAAAAAAGCAATTAATTTACAATTATTTACCCCGAGCCTGGGGATTATTTTCAAAAATGAATGACTAATCCGCAGTGTATAATGTGGGTTTACATTTTGGTGCAGATTGGATTCTTATAATCTAACTAACCTCGCTCCCTCTTTGTTTTTCAGACTGTTTGCGAAGTCACTTCAGTGGATGGCCACAGAAGTGGAGGCCAGATGGAAATTGGGTCACATGACCGCCTCCAGGAAGGCGTTGTGAGCCTGGAACTGACCAATGGGGTGAGCCGCTACCCTAACGATGATTCGACATCTAGTGAAACAGAGCAGCAGAGGGCAGGAAGCGTGCCTCCAAGGCAGAGCTGGTTGTCAGTACATGGCAAGGTCAGTGACACCCAACAACCATGTTGGAACCGCAGCAGCGACACAACCCCTGGTAAACCTGTCCACCACGCAGACATGGAGGATGCCCACAATCTAGTGGCTTTTTCTGCTATTGCTGGTTCCCTGCCTCCATCCTCCTCGTCCTGCCTCGTGCGACCTAACACAGCCCAGCTGTATGAGAAGTTCACCAAGGAGAAGGATGTTGAGGGGTCACAGGCCAAAGGCTCTGCGGAAGCTCCTGAGAGAAGCTGCCAAACTCCAGAAGACCTGAACACCCTACAGTCAGCACTGAACCAAGCCAAACATGGAACCAAGCCCCCTAACTGCAACTGTGATGGGCCCGACTGTCCAGACTACCTTGAGTGGCTTGAGAAGAAGATCAAGTCTGCAGCCAATAAGGATCAAGGTGCCCGCGAGATGGCCGATGCTCCCCCGCACCTGCAGCCTCACCTACAACCGAACCATTTGCAGCAACCCCGCCAGATGAACGGTGGCCACCGTCTGTCTACTTCTTACCCCCAGCAGGGAAGTCAAGGCCCTAATCTCAGCCAAGGGCCGTGTTCCAAACCACCGATTCCCTGCTCTCCCCAGGTGCTCTCCATAGCCAAGGAAAACAACATAAGTCTTCAGACAGCCATTGCCATTGAAGCCCTGACCCAGTTGTCTGGCACTGGTCCACAACCTGCCAGCTCACCAGGTCAACTTTCCTACAGCAGCAACCTCCACCACCACCACCACAATACGCAGAACCTCCCATCTCAACCCTCCAATGGCAATGGCTTGTCCTCGGCCAGCACACACTCATCTTCCTCACGCTCTCAATCTGTCCCTCCAGGACTAAACACCATTCAGCAGGGCTCACTTTCCTGTGAGCACCACAGGCCCCAATCCCAGGGCCAGCCACCCCATGCTACCCCTCTCCCGTCCTCTACCTCTCCCTTCCCAGGTCAGGGAAAACATCCAGGCTTCAGCTCTAACCCCCAGCAGTGGAAGCAAGGCTCAGACAGAGGCTCTGAACAGAGGAACCCGTGGATGCTTAAAAAGTCCGAGCCTCAGTCTCACTACGCTGCTGCCCCTCACAGCAGCTCAGACCCCATGTCGGAGCTCAAGCAGCTGCTTGGTGACACCAGTGGTAAGTTCAGCCACGCTCATTTCAAGCTCCCAGTCACACAACCAATCGTCTTGAACCAGAATGGAGGTATCCAGGCCCAGGACAACCCAGTATTGGCCAGGATAAAGCAAGAACCGGACTCTGGAGAGAACTACCATCACATTCCCTCCATGGGACATTACGGTATGGTTAACGGTCAGCAGCAGGGTCAGCACTACACTGGCCCTCCCCTGTCTCCTGGCCAAGCAGCCATCAGCCTATCCACTCAGGCAGCTCTGCAACAACACCTTCACTACAAGAGGAACCTCTTCTCTAGCCACTCCCCTGGATTTGGAGCACCGGGCCCTCATGCCCCTATGGCTGGTCAAAACTTAAAAAAATGGTGGCCCCAGGTGAACGCAGAAGGTTTGCCACATCTCGCCATGAAACAGGAACCCAAGGAACCCAAGAAGAGGAAAAGCAGTCAAGGATCTCCTGTCATAAAACCTGTGAGTGGGATGCTTTCAGGCCCTCCGCTGCCCAAACCTAAACAGATAGTCATCAAGAAGACCAAGCAGAAAGCCTCCCTTCCAACCTTCCTGCCGCCGATTCAGATCACCGTGCAAAAACCATCAGCCCTCATGGTGAACAGAGCCCTGACCAGCATGCAACCAGGTCCTCACCCCTCTCTGCCCCTCCACAGTAACTCCACTCAGGCTGCTGCTGGAGGCCTCTCTGCCCCAGCCCAATCTCAGGTATCCATCTCCAACTCCTCAATGACTCCCTCTTCCAATGTTTCTGGTTTGTCAGAAAACACTCCTCTACTCCAACCTGCGGCCCCTGTAGCTCAGGCTAAGTCAGAGGGAGTGGGGAGCGTGGCCTCCGTTAACACCAGCACCACCACGCCTGTGACCCCCACATTTCCATCCAGCGCCTCACAATTACAGGGCGTCATCAACATAGACCCGAAGTACGAAGATTTGATCCGCCAGTTTGAGGCTGAATTTGGGGACTCGCCTCCAGACGCAGGTGCCACTCAGCCAAAGGAGGTCAGTGCTACAGCCCCTCAGCCGAGGACTCAGTCCGAGACCAGTACTCAGGACATCAGTCTCACGTCATCTTCCACCTCCCTACCATCTCCCTTAATTCTCGCCAATCGAGCGAGTTCGACACCTCATGCAGATGATCGGGAGATGGAAGTCAGCAAGGATGAATCGGGGTCCCAGAGTGAAGCAACCTTGAACCAGGCGTCCACAGAAAGCTTTATGCGGGATATCTCACTACATCGTCAGGCTATTCTGAACAAGCAGCATCTGTCAGAGAACATGCCATGTTCTCCGCTACCCAAACGCATGAAGATTGAGACCTCGGGTGACATAGCAGTACTTTCCACCACATGTTATTCTGAGGAGGACACACCCACAAAGGACAGCCTGCCTGCTTCGCCATCTCTCAGAGGCTTCCTAGAGTCTCCGCTGCGCTACCTGGACACCCCCACCAAGACCTTGCTGAGTACTCCCTCGAAGGATCTGCAGGCAGAGTTCCCTACCTGCACCTGTGTGGGTAAGTCAGTGTGTTGGTGTTTTTGTGTTGCCAGGGTGTGTGGCTGCGACCATCCAGACCGCAACAGTGTGAGGCACTAAAGGCAGCAGGCATGAACAATGGTACTGGTGGCAGAAGGAGCCTTTTGTGTGCGATTGGGTCTGCCAGGCAAGCAGAACAGAGCCTTTATTAGGCAGAAAGGGGTTTAGTCCCATGGTCCTTCAGCTTGCTGTAGTAAGTAGTAGTAGTGTTACGAAGGGTTAAGATCTAGTAAGTAGACCATTGCTGTTCCTAAACATTGAAGCAGAGAGCAGCTGCAGTGAAACACTTGCTAGCTGTGTGTTACTCAGAGACCAGCAGATAATAAGTCTCTATAGTAAAGCCTGGTTCCGCACTGCCCTGTCAACTCCCTGTAGCGTAACCCTGCGCTGGAATTAGACTTCCTCCTACACAAACAGATACAGTATGCAGCCACAATGTGCACAGCACACACACTCACACACAACACAATTTCCATGCAAGAATTTATTTTGCCTCCTCCACTTCCTGCCTCTGAGCCACGCCCTGGTGCCTCGCTCCACCAACAGGGGAATGTGACCTCATGTTGCCTCTCAACTGGAGACACGCACAACCCCGACCGTGTGTCCACACTGTGGATGATCAGCAGAGAGTGTAAAGTGTTTACATTCAGAGCTTTTAGATAATGTGGTTATCCAGAGTGTGTGCGCCACAGTATGAGGAATAAGTGTTGTGTACGGAAGCGAGAGCAACTCTGCATTAGTTGCAATATAAGCAAGTGGTTTACGGTGTGGTACATTCAACGGAGCCGTGTCACACACACGCAGATTGATGGTCAGAGGACATGGGTTAAGACCATAGACGTGTGTAGGACAATGGTTGAATACAGACACGCACGCACACACACACACACACACACACACGCAGTCATACACAACATAAACACAGATGCTCAAATAGACACACCCTACTGCTTCACAACACTCCCACGGTCATTCATCACTACCTCAAAACGCTCCAGACCAGCACCACACCCTGCAGTCTCAGCCCTCTGTCTGCGTGTTCATGTGTGTGTTTGTGTGTCCCACGCTCGCCGTAGATGATTTAGCTTCAGCCACAGAGAGGAGGTCTTTGAGGAAACACATCAGAAAACACGACAATCTTTGATGTTTTACAAAACTCTACAAGAAGTGAGATGTGATTTCTAGCAAAGACACTTCCTTCTTCACTGAAGTCAAGGGGCTGTTAAGCTGTTCAACTTAAATGAAACATTTACCATCATCGGCTTCACGCGGGACTCTGTGCAGGCACTAGTACATAAGGATCTGAGTCAGAGAAATACAAATAAACATTTATAAATTCTATGTTGAATCACCGCAAAAGACATTTGGTGACATAGTTGAGTGTTAATATCCTCTTTGATATTGTCGCTCTACAAATTGAAAAGATCACATAAAAAAGATACATGATCAAAGCTGTTATCATGGCCCTTGCAAATAAAGTGAGTCACATTTTGCTTCACTTCCTCTCTAAGTGTAGGATAAGAAATGAAACCTACATGTGATATTACGTCTGCTACTATCTCATAACAACAAAGCAGGCTGAATATACACTACCATTACCATTCATTGTTTATTGTGAATAATAATGTACAATTAAGTGTGGAATTGGCCATAGCGTCTTTTTAAGACTAGCTACGTGTGTTTTCCCTCACCCTCTACCGCCTCTTTCTCTAGAACAAATCCTGGAGAAAGATGAAGGACCGTACTACAATCACCTTGGATCAGGACCCACCGTAGCCTCCATACGAAACCTGATGGAGACCAGGTGAGTCTTTTCCTCTTCCCCTCCCTCAGAGTCATCGGTATCAGAATCAGCTTTATTGGCTAACATGGAATTTTACTACGGTTTGTCCTTTGCTCTCCACGTACTGTACATACAGTCTCTTTTTTACAAATAATCAGGAAAAAAATACAACATGAAACAATCAAAACAAGGACAACACAAAAAGAAAACCAATCCAAGAGCATGATGCTGATGATGGAGGCCCACTTCAGGTGCCGAGAGATAGTGGATCCTGGAAACCTGAAGGTCTCCGCAGCAGACACGGTGTTGTTTAGTGTGGTGAAGGAGGATAGGGGGATGGGGGGCGGGGCAGTGTTGAGGGGGCTCCTCCTGAAGTCCAGCTCAGTGTTCAGCTCTAGGTTGTTCTGCTCACAGAACGGAGACTCATCCCCGTCATGCTCATACTTCCCCCTCTTCATCCTCCGCCTCCCTTCGTTTTGTGCTCATGTTGTACCCAGGGAATCTGTGACCCAGAATCCAGCAGGAGAAACAGGAAACATCAGCATCATCAGCATAACAGAGGCAGAAAAACAAGGGTGGCAGGAGATGATAGCAGGGAATGAGATAAATAAGGTAGTGTATATATATATATATATATATATATATACAATTACAGAGAGTGAGGAAGAGAGACTCACGGGAGGAAAGATGATGCATATGTTGTCTACTAATATCTACTAAAGTTTTATATTATGTCCTCAGCATCAGTTAGGCTGCCATTTGGTGTTACAAGATGCAAGTAATGTTCATACATACTCAGCTGAAAAACAGCTGAAACTCTTTTTATGACATCTAATCTAACAAATAAACTCCCAATAAAATTGGTGGTGAAGAAATATGAACTTTCTCTTTTTAAATGAAAAACAGATGAGATGATCCCTAAACCCATCCAATAATCTGTTGTTACTTTGTCTGCTATGCATCAGCAGACGTGGTAATAAAAAGACAGGCCGAGTTTAGCTGCTCTTTATAGGATTAGTATTTATTAAATTTAGGAGGAAACACCAGAACGTCGTCTAGCTTTATTTTTATAACCACATCTTTGAATCATTGCTGGACTTTCTTACTAAAACATCTTCCTACTGTGCTCTACCATTTCTATGGATACAGCTTTACTTTACGCAGCCTGGTTGACTCAATACCTTGTTTGTTCCCCAAGAGTGAACACTCATCTTATACCCAGATGCCTGATTGTGTTATTCTACATGTTAACATGACTGAATGTTGTAGTCAGACACAAATTTAGCTTTTATTTGCTGAAAGGCTGGATTTCAAAAGGACCATTAGCCCCAGAGGAGCACAGGATGACTGAGGGGGGGGATGCGCCTTTTTTTTGTTTGAGAGATGACATAAGAAGTTAAGGCCCCAATGTCCCTAAATGACCCTTGGCCCACCCCTGACCCCAGCGGGCCACCCCTGTGGTGACAGAGCCCACTCACCTCCCAATCTCTGAGCCACCTTCGGGGGATTTCCATTCAGAAAGAGCCCCTTTTGTTCACTGTCACGCCGAATCTACTCAGGGCTGAAGCTCTCACAATGGCACGTATCAAGCACGCAGGAGAACTGATTTAAGCCGTGAGCAAACTCCCGGCAAGTTCTTATGACCTATCCCCATCTCAATGCAACCTCTGACATCTCGTCTTCCTCCTATACACCCCCCCCCACTCTCTACCAACAGAGCCGAGAACACACACACACACCGAGGGTGAGGGCCACTGTTATTTAATCTCCTCACACTCCAGTATTTGCTCAGGCAGGTGCTCTAGGACACATTCACACAACTGGATTTACATTTTGGAGGCACATGTGGACACAAAAACACGGTGTAGCGCAAGATGCTTGGAAAGAATAGTGAGCTGAGGAAGTTTCATTAAACTTAATCTGTCAATGGACCCTTAATTCTAACAGCGACTTTAGAAATCAGCCAGAAATACTCGTGCGGGAGCTGCTGTTCTACTTAATTAATAAAAGCTACCGAAAAGAGATCCCATTAGAAGGCGACGTTACCACCACACTACTGGGAAATGTAGTCGACCAGTTACGCCGCTATACTTGTAGCACCGCTATTGCCCAACACAGCAAACGCAAGCACAGAGTTACAGGGCGGCTGGCACTGTGTCGGCGGCTTGCGGCTTCTGGTTTACTCTGCCGTGCTCGTGTGAATCCAAGCAGAGGCTTGTGTACACTCCTCAGCAGCCAGTGCTGCAGAGGTCGGCCCGTCTTTATCAGAAACGACATCCGCTGCTTCTCCCAAAGGCTCCCAAATACCAGCGACTCAGGGCAACACGGGCAAAAATACGGCCAATGACAACAAAGAGACTCCATTGATTAAGTTAATTACTAATCCCATACGTTTAATGTTTTAAAAGTTTATACAGATTCCCACACAGCAATGTAGGCGTATTGTTTTAATCTTCTTTTGGGGGTGAATGTGTTTGCAGAGCACCTGTGCTGCTGGACAGGGGTCTGCATTGTTTAAAGTCAGCTGCTCCGAGAGCACTAGAAGTGATGCAAAGTGTCTGATCAGTCGATAAGCAAACCCTTTGTGGTCAGCTCGCGGGCCCCTTTAGGCCCCCGACCCACAGGGAAAGACAACCTTGCCTGTTTTAGGTTCAGGACACCTGAGTTTCAGCTTGCCGTGTCGGAGCCCAAAAGTCAGGAATCAGACAAGACAAAGAACTGAAGTGTTTTTCTCCTCCTCTGCAGGTATGGAGAGAAGGGGGATGCCATCCGGATTGAGAAGGTGATTTACACAGGCAGAGAGGGAAAGAGCTCACGAGGATGTCCTATCGCCAAGTGGGTAAGTAGCATCTCCTCACATTACATCTGCCATGTTCAAAGTTCTTTAAGAACTGCGCAGGTATCATTGAAGTTTTCTCTTTTGCTTCCTTTGTTGAGTTGACATGTTGAAATAACGACCGATGACTCAAAAAAGAACATTGTGATATTATGCCAACGACTCAGTCCGAGCCTGACAGTGTTTAGGTGAGAGAGAGGAAAACAATGACAGCCAATCAACACCAGTGCAGTATGTGTGTGTGTGTGTGTGTGTGTGTGTGTGTATAACGAGAAGTCCAGCAGAGACATCAAGCCAAGTTTGTCACCTAACCCGACTAAACAAGTAGGAGGTCTCACTCTCTGTGACGACTGTCAGGCCCCCTCCTGTGTCACCCTGACGCATCCTGCTAATGACTTTATGGATTCAAAACAGCTCACCCACTGTGGGAGTGGGAGTGTTGCTGTTTGTTAGAAGCAGAGAGAGTTGGGGAGTGTGAATAAGATCAGGCTTATTATCCAGAACAAAAGTGTTGGAGATGTATATTCTTGGTCCACTAGTATATCTTTTAAGTACGATTCTCTCTGGCTAAAAATATATTAAAAAAAAGAAAATAGGATTGTTATCCCGTTCCCAGGGTTAGAGGAACCCAAGAAGAAAGAAAAAAACCAAAATAATGACCAGCTCTGTTTCCTGTCAGGTGATCCGTCGAGGCAGCGAAACAGAGAAGCTGCTGTGTCTGGTGCGTCATCGCGCGGGCCACCACTGTGCCAACGCTGTCATCATCATCCTCATCATGGCCTGGGAAGGTGTCCCGAGGGCCTTGGCTGACAAGCTGTACCACGAGCTCAGTGGCACCCTCACCAACTACGGCAACCCCACCAGCCGACGCTGCGGCCTCAACGACGAGTGAGTAATCCGATGCTGTTAGGGAACGGTGCTCGTGGTTCCCACTCTTACAGTGAGACGCGAATGCATGTTAAAGAATGCTGGGGTCACACGTAAGACATGCACCAAGCTGAGACCACTCTCGCTGTCTCCCCCTGCAGTCGTACCTGCGCGTGTCAGGGTAAGGACAGTGAGTCTGCTGGTGCTTCCTTCTCCTTTGGCTGCTCCTGGAGTATGTACTTCAATGGCTGCAAATACGCCCGGAGCAAAATACCCCGCAAGTTCAGACTACAAGGAGATCACCCTGAAGAGGTACTGAGCTACTTTTTGTATGCATCACATGGGAATACGTTTAAAATGAAGTACCGTTGGAGTTCTTTGTTTTGGTGTTTTGTTCTGACCTGGGATGTATGTTTGTGCTCGTCAGGAGGACAAACTCAGGGATAACCTACAGTATCTGGCAACCGAGGTGGCTCCTTTGTACCGGAAGCTCGCACCAAAGGCCTACAGTAACCAGGTTTGTTGCAAAGGCCACTTGTAGGAATGCAATAGTACTGAAAAGGTATGATTCTGGTTTATGGACAATGGTCATTGTGAGTTCAGCACAGTGGAGAAATAAAAGCTGTCAGTGACAGACAGATTAACAGATTCTGAATCCACATAATAAAATATGTAAGTCAATATTACTCACGTGTGACTTTTACTTCCATATTATTTGCAACAACAATCTACATATCATGTTTTCACAATGACACCATTTCAACCAGAGCGTAATCTTCTGACACTGACTGACTAAACTGATCACACCTGTGAAGTGAAATGTAAGAAAATAAAAGTTATTTTTTTCTCCCTCAGTGCGAGACTGAGTCGAAGGCTCCGGAGTGCAGGCTGGGCTCGAAGGAAGGCCGGCCCTTCTCTGGAGTCACTGCTTGCATGGACTTCTGTGCCCACGCTCACAAGGACCAGCACAACCTCTACAATGGTTGCACAGTGGTAAGATCACTCACCATACTGATAAAACGCATCTTTTATGTTTTGGGGGTATTTAGGATGAATAACGGCTGTATTATTTGATTTAAAATGTTGATGTTTTGTAGCTTGGAACAGTTTACATTGCATCTTGCTTTTCCTTCTCTCTCTCTCTGTAAGGTATGTACTTTGACTAAGGAGGACAACCGTTCAGTGAAGGAGATTCCAGAGGATGAGCAGCTCCATGTGTTGCCTCTTTATAGGATCTCCCAGACTGATGAGTTCGGCAGTGAGGAGGCCCAGCGTCTCAAGATGCAGACGAAAGCCATCCACGTGCTTCAGGCTTTTCGCCGTGAGGTGCGCAAGTTGCCCGAACCTGCCAAGTCCTGCCGACAGCGCAGACTGGAGGCCAAGAAGGCCAATTCGGAGAAGAAGAAAAATAAACTCATGCAGCAGGCAGGAGCGACACCGGATAAAACAATCGTCAAGGCTGAGGTCTGCATCACAGGTTCCCCTCAACTCCAAGACAATAAAGGTTGGTTGGTTGTTTTGGACTCATAATGTACTTTGACAAGGCAAATGATTTGAAATGTACCACGGGAACCCAAATACAGCAGAAGACAAAAACAATAAAGAACTTCAATGAGTTATAGTTTTTAACTTACTTTTCCTTTTTTTCAAACATTCAGCAATTATAAAACAAGAGGTGAAGCCCAACATCAAGAAAGAGCCGTTCAATGGATCAATGGATGGATACCGTGTGCAGGCAGCAGACCCATTCAACAACATCTATCCGCACCCTGCCTACTATGCAAGGGGAGGCCTTCCCCCGACTGGCCAGCCCTCTGCATCCGACCCAGTAAACGGTTACCACCACAATCTGCCCGCGATGCACTATGGCTACTACAACTACTCCCCCAATGCACTTTTCCGCCCTAAGCTGAGGACCTACGAGGGTCGAAATGGCTCTTCGCCCAAAGCAGGCGGCAAGGTTGCCCAGGCTGACTTGAAGCCTGACATTCAAAGCCTTCAGGCCAGACTGACCCAGTCCTTCCCCAGCCACCCAGAGCAAGCCAACCAACCAAACCTCAGCGCTTACGCCCAGCACGCAGACCACAACCAGTCCCGTTCTTCCTCCGTGTGCTCCGAACAGTCCAACAGAGGCACCCCAGTCATCAAACAGGAGCCTATGGACGTGCCGGTCTATGAAGGCACAACGCACGGCCAGGCTGGTGCCAAGACACCGAGCAACACCCCCCAGCCTGCAGCCTGGCAAGGGCATAAGTTTAATGGAAGTATCGTTCCCACCAACTGGGAAGGCCATCTGCATCCAAAACAAGGCCCCGAGGGCTCGTTGTTGACCCCGGACAAGCAGCAGTTTCACCAGCATCCCCAGCAGCGGCAGGCCTCTCCTTACCCGGCGCAGTGGACATCCTACCCAGGCTCAAATGCCCTAAATCCTTCCCCTGCTCCTTCGGCATCACTCCAGGTACCTCCCTCTTCATCCCCATCACCTCACCTAGGGACAGCGTTCCCCGGTAACATGCACCAAGGGTCCACGCGCCCCTCTACCCCGCGCTCAAACACCCCTCAGACAGGTACACCGCAGCCTGGCAGCGCTCACTCAGGCTCAGTCACAACGCACCCGGGCCCAGGCACTCCGGGCCCAGGCACCCCGGGCCCAGGCACCCCGGGCCCAGGCACTCCGGGCCCAGGCACTCCGGGCCCAGGCACCCCGGGCCCAGGCACCCCCAGGCACTGGGCCAGCCCTGCTCCTAGCCCTCAGCCAAATGCTTGGGCCATGGGGCCCGCGGCGTATAGCCCTGGTTTGAAGCACAGCAATCCTGCAGGGGCCTACGCAGACAAGATCTGGTCCAAGACCGGGGAAAGTCGGTGTTCCACCCCTCTGGGGCTCCAAGAGAAGGCCTGGAAGTCCGGTGGAGGTTCAATGGCGGGCATTTCCCCGTCTCCTACGCCCGAGGGTCGCCTGTTCCCTGATGCCCTGCAGCAGTCAGATCAGGCCTGCTGGACTCCCAACCGAGCCGAGAGTGACGTTGAGAGCACCAAAGGCCGCGAGGAGTACGACGAAGAGGAGTGGTCCGACAGCGAGCACAACTTCCTGGATCCCAACATTGGTGGTGTAGCCGTAGCACCAGCCCACGGGTCCATCCTGATTGAATGTGCCCGTCGGGAACTACATGCTACCACTCCGCTCAGAAAGCCTGATCGCTCCCACCCCACCCGCATCTCCTTGGTCTTCTACCAGCACAAGAACCTCAACCAGCCCATGCACGGCCTGGCTGTCTGGGAAGCTAAAATGAAGCTGCTGGCGGAGCGAGCACTGGAGAGGCAGCAGGAAGCAGCTCTCCTTGGCCTCTCCCAGGAGGAGATCAAGGCCCTCGGGAAGAAACGCAAGTGGGGGGCTACGGCGGCAGGTGCCAGTCCAGGACCGGGACAATCTAAAGACAAGAGGGAGGGGCCAGTGACGCGGTTAGCACCCACGCTGCACACCTCCACCACGGTGACTGCGTCTCCCTATGCCTTCACCCGCCTCACTGGGCCCTACAGCCACTTTGTCTGAGGTCACGCGGATACAGAAAGACTGACGGCTACAGAGCGGTGCAGCGGAGAGAGCAGGGCGAATGTCTCTCAGCCGTCCCACAGTCTGGTCTCTCCATCCTGGCCCCCTCCAGTCCCAATAGAGGGGGGGGGGGGGACATTTTTATTGTTTTTTACCTCATGTCAGGCAGGTGTTTGGGCTTCAGACACACTGCCTGTGGTGCTCTTCCTCTCTCTTCCCTGTAGAGGATCTCCATTGCTTTTTCTTGTTCATAGAATTTTAATGATTCTAATTATTGCTATTATTAGCGCTATTATTATGATTGCTATTGTTACTGTCAATGTTGTTATTACAGGTATTATTATAATGAAGACTTGTTTGTTTTTTATTATTGCTGTTTTCATTAATGTTATTATTAATGATGTGATTGTTTTTGGTTATATATATTTTTTTTAAATCAATCAGTCTGTCAGACTTAGACAATTGCTTTTCCATGTTTGGAAAACGTGTACCCTTTTTTGTTTCTGATTTGTTTGTTGTTGTCAATCTTCCAGCTGTACTTAGAGGAGGAGCCATTATCGGCCTGGTAAGACAGCAAATCAACATTATGGAAATCATATGTACGCATCTGAAAAAAGGGGTTTTCAGTGGGCTTGTTTCAGATATCAATCTCTATTTAAAGATGTACAGATGTGTATCTTTGATTTTATGGCAAGAAGCCCTCTGTAAAAGTTAATTCCAATTATTGTCAACCTGGGGCTCTATTTTCTAGTTTTATTACTATTCCTGATCACGAATACGTTGACCAACAGCCCTGCTTTCTTATACACAAAATACAGTATCACTGTAGCGAAGCCTTCCAACAGCCATTTTTATATTTTCTATAGCATGGAATTTGCATATACTGTATCTTTGTATTTGCATCCGTTCACATTTCCCCGTTACCTGGGAAAATGTGAACTTCAGCCTTCCGGTAAAAAAATTCCAGTTGCCCCTTAAAACACATTTGGAAAAGATTTAGCTGCCTCTGTTGCCGTCGGATGACGTGCTCCTCCTCCTCCGTACCCCTTCAGACTGGTGCTCAACTTCCAGCTGTGTTTGATTTTCATTCCGCTACTCTCCATGGCACTTGATGCTGAACTTAGGTGCTCTCTAACCCGGCTCGACTATTATCAGCAAGTGAATTTGTTTTGCCCGAGGTGGAGTGTCAGAATGAGGAGCTCTATTGCTTTAAGACATCGGCGACGAGAGATTTGCTTCACAAATCCTGTCACGTGCTCCCGTAAACTGTACATATCTGGCACTCCGCTGGGGGACAAAAATAAGTGACGCTATTTGCAAATGCCGTTCCACCCAGTTCGGCAACTGGCACGTAGATGGGTAACAGGTGGCACACTTTATCTTCCTATTACATTCAAGTATGCGGGAGCACCTCGCAGTGTAAACTCTAGAGGGCAGCAGTGGCTGCCGCTTCAAAGTGGTGTGTACAAACAAACCGTGTAGCGCGTGAGCTCCATCCGGCGACCAGCAGCCTCTCCTCGCTACTTCAACAAGCCGCTGCCAGCAGAGGGGGATCTCAGGCCCGTTAGCGGACCGCGGATGGGCGTTGTGATGTAGTGGATCTCACGGCGCGGATGTGAGCGGGTGCTCTTTTGGAAGCCCGTCCTGGGGTTGTGCAGAGGGAAATGGTGTTTGGGACAGCGGTGCTTTTGGTGCTAGTACACACACACACCCTCACGTAGACACACACGCACACACACTCTCCGGTGCTCTCCTGCTACACTTGATATACTGTGAAGGGCCCCCTCCTTCCTCTGCATGGTGCTGTCATCTTAGAGCAGAGAGAGGGAGAGAGACGCGTCCTTCTGCGGGCGCCCCGTCTCCACAGAGCCAGTCAATCAAAGGAGCCGCCCCGCGGCGGCAGATCTGACGCTGGGCCTCACAACCGGTTTCATTTTAAGGTGCTTTTTGCAAATTATTATGGAAATGTGGGTTTTGTCTCACACGGCGCTCTGTACGGGGCAGAGAAAGCACAGTAAGTTCAGTGCATCGCCCGTAAGCCTATTCACAGAGATAGACAACAGTGAAATGGAGAAGTGGAGACCTGGGACTTGGCGTCAAATGCAAGAGTCAATGAATCTCTCGGTTTGCGTGTGTGAAAGGGACTCAAACACATGGTTGCGTGTAAGAGAAAAGCCAAAGAGAGACTATTTGACGGCCTGGAAAGAGTCTTGTGAGCCGCTCGTTTGTTGTTATCGGGCGTCGACAGTGGGGCTGTTTGATTCGTGGTATTCGAGCGGGGACACGGTTGCCTCGCGGCGTCTGTCAGAAATGAAAGTGAGCGGCTAATATTGGATAGAGGCAGACTCCTGGCTGCCCGGTGGTTGTTTGGTCCAAGGCCCCGGGCATTTGGTGTAGGACCGCGATACCTCTCCCGAAGGTCTCCAGTCTTTTTACCTCGCGCTGTAGAGACACTGGTCACAATCAGCAGAAATCATGCTTATGTCCTTTTGTGTGCTCTAAATCTCCACACTCATTTTAACCTGTTTTCTTTTGGGTTTTTCTACTCTTATTTATTACTACATGGTGATGATGATAATGATTGTCTTTGATGTTATTGTTTTTTCATCTTTTTTTATATAGCTAATACAAATTGTACATAGAGAAGAAAAGATTTATAAAAGCACTTTTAATCTTGATTTTAAACAAAAAGAAAGAGCCGACTATTGACAACTTGAAGCTTAGTTTTTTTGTTTTGTTTTTTTTCTCAAGAGAGAGATAAAAATGTAAATATTAAAATATTTAGGTAAGATTATTTAACTTGTGATGATAGTAAATAAACCATAAATGACAAGGGGGTATTTTGAAGTCTCTGACAGCCCTCAACAACACCTGGTCCCGATGTGTTGTGTGTAAATGTGTGCTTAGTAACACTGCTGTTTTTTCTTTTGTAAGTACTGTAACCCTTGTCAGCATGTAACTGAGACCTGTCACTTTCTACTAAGAAATACATCAGCTCATTAATGTAACATTGAACCAAGCTTGACATACTTACTGGCAAAAGTCAAAATAACTGAAGGGTACTCCCCAAGAAGATTTAATGGAAGTTGGAGCGAGCCGCTAGTTAGTTTAGCTTAGCATGAAGACGCAAAATGGGGTGGGGGGGGGGGCAAGTAGACCGACTCTGTGAACAGGCAAAAAAACCCACCCACCAGTACCTCTAAACCCCACTAACACCGTACATTTCATTTATTCATCGGTCCAAAAACCAACGCTTCACCAAGTCAACCTTTGGTTTCATGGTGGTTACGCTGGTTACGAGTCTATAGGCCGTCCGCGTAACCAGGCAACCAGCGGAGACCGCAGGAAGTGACCGCGCCCTGCCACGATGGTGTGTGCACATGGACTAAAACGTTTGTTTTTTGCGCGGATTCATCAGCAGTGCTTCTCGAGCACTTTGCTCAGAGCCAAACTAACCACTGCCCCCTATTTCCAGTCCTTCACGCTGAGCTAAGCTAACTGGCTACGTACGGAAATGAGAGGGGTATACATCGCCTCATCTCATCTTATATTTCCCAGAATATTTACCCTATTCCCTTAATACCATTAAAGCTGCCCTTTACAAATTTGCCCCCGATCCAAAGGAGTGAAGTTTAAAGCCGGGCAGAGGTGGGAATGTTTTTTAGCGATCTTTGTCAGTTGTGTTAGACTATCAGGTAAGAGACTCCCTGCTTGTTTAGATGTATCTATGATTATCTACTCATAATAGTAAGTATGTACTTGGCTTAAGAATCATGACGCCCCTTCGGAACACAACTTTGAGTGTTTGGTTTGGAATAATTACTCGTGTGATACACATATTATGGCTCACAGTGGTTTGACCGGTGCTGGGGCCGGAACTGGTACAGCAACGGCACATTTTACTCTTCAAGCATAACGCACGGACCCCATCACACACGCACACAAATGCGTAAACGGGTGCTGAGGACACATCTTAAAATGTCCAACTTCACGAGAGGTCTTCATGAGAAGCGCCTCCTCCCAAGCTCGTTTTAAGACGGGGGGGATTGGTCAGCTGGTGCTATGATGCTAACACCTAATAATTCACTGTGTAAAAAGACTAAAGATGTGAGGGATAAATAATTACCACAAATATTTTCTGAGCTCTTCGAGAGTCGAGAGAAATACACTTTTGATTCAAGCAGTTTCGCAGTATGAGAAGCTGCTCTGGTGCTGACTTTGTGGAGTCTTTTGTTACGATGCAACTCAACGGGCACTCAAACAGTTCATTACAATCTATTAACATTCTCTCCGTATTGTACTTGAGCTCCTTTAAACAACGATGAAATATAGAGTCATATTGTATGACGACTGTTACCTGGGTTTCATTTTTGGTATCATAGGCTCTTGAAATGATCTTTAAGCAAGTTGTACACTTAATGATGAAGATATTTGAACAATACAAGAATATCTGTTGTGTTTTGCCCCTTTCCTGTCCCTGGTCACGCACTTCCTTTACTCAACCGCTCTCCTATTCTTGACACGTGTATATTTAGTCTTTCTCACACGCACACAAACATAGATATACAGATGCATCTCACTGCGTATGGCCCACATTTAGAAGTCTGCTGAAAACCTAATTTAATGAACACTCTCCAAATTTGGGATGGAGACTTGAACCCCGGCCCGTATTAAAGAAAAAAAAAAAAATGAACCTACACAACTGGCAGCTACTTTCCTTTTTGAGTTAGGATTGTTCTTGGTTCTTTATTTTCATGTCAAGGATGCAGTATGTAAAAAAGTGTTTTTGTTCAGTCTCTCTCTCTTTGTAGCTGTATGGTGTATTATGTGAATACATAGTGTATGTGGTAAAAAAACCACAATATTGTTTTATGTTGCGCGATAAATAAAAACATTGAAGTGAAAACTTTGGTTCATTTTATTTTAATGGGTTATTACACTGGGTGATCAACTTGCCACCCTTCCATGTTTCACTGGCGTTAAGGGGAATCCACCATTGCGTTTTCCGGAAACATTATATATGACAGGTTACTATAGTGACATTTTGGTTACAAACATAACGGATATTTTTTCATGCATTTCTTGCATTTTTTAAATAAAACATTGTTTGAGATGAACATTGTTAGTGTGCAAAGGTAGAATGAAGGGAATTGGACATGAAAGTTCCAGACCAATCGTTATTTTCAGAATCAATAATGAGTCATAATATCTGAATTCCAATCCATTTAAAAAAGCAATTTCAATAAAAAATCTTAAACGTTTTCAAATAAGGATGTTATGTCATTTTCATTTTGTATGCTATAATTATCCAAAAGTTTCTAATAAAAAAATAAAAAAAGATGTTTTATCGTGATTAATTTTCCCAAAGTTATCTTGCAAAACACTGTACTTGCACTAAGATATTTCCGAGCCGGCTGTAAGGTTTAGAAACCTCATTCTGCTTTTCTCAATCTAGAGTCGGGAAAAGGTCAAATGCAATGACTGCCAACGCTCCTGCCGGCACTTCACCTCTTGTACTGAGCGTTATCGTGGCTCCTTATAATCACATATTGCTGTTGGAAAATTGACATTTAGCTCAGCAGGACGTGGCGGTCACCTCTGTCCAGATGGGCCGGCCTGAGCCCTCGCTGCTCTGCTCCTAGTCCAACCCCCCCCTGGTACCTCTCTGCCTCTCTGCTGTTTCTGTTACTCGTGGTCCGATGGCACAAATGGGGCGAGCTTGCTAAATATTTCACCCTTTCATCAGTGCAGCCCTCCGTGCCGGGGAGCCGCTGGTCCAACGCCTGTGTTCATCGGTCTGCCAAATTAAAAGGACTGAGATTATTTTTGGATGTGGTGCTGGTCGCTGGTGTGACACCGGGACGAGATCCTTTGTCTTAGCCTGCTTCAGACCTTCGCTCGAGCCGAGTGCAACTTCATTTTTTTTTTTTCATGGGTCTGATTGCACAGTATTTACACAGTAATTACACAGTAATTACACAGTAATTTGCAAATCCCTTCTGGCTGCTTCTCTTAACTTAATAGCAGGTAGCTAACTGACATTTTTCTTTGTCACTTATGGATCAGAGGGAACCCCGCCTGACTGTCGTAAACACAGTCACAAGCCTTTTTTACCACATTTTAAATGATTCTTTTGTTTTGTTTGTAGACATAAACTGTATTACAATGCTCGTACGTGAACATCAGGTACATCCATTAAATTTGACATTTGCATTTAACCCAGCACTCAACCGCTGTTTCCACTGGCGTGAGAGCACACACGCACGACATTCTGCTATTCAGACTTTATTTTGAAGAAAGGGAAAGTGCAAATGTGGTATTGTAATCAAATGTATTGATACAAATCATATCTTCCTTGTGACATCTCAAGTTTTATGTAAGTACTTTTTGTCTCACAGACACAGAGACATGTTGGGCTTTTTGTCATAATTTAGTTTGAAAATACTGCAACTACATAATGTTTAAAATGGGGAGGTGGTTGTGAATTGTAGGTTTTATGTCTTATAATGAGGTTCGACTGTTCATGTGCCGCTGAGACCAATACCCAACGACTATGTTCTAAGCCAATTAAGCATTTCATCTTGTGCATTCCAATTAGCTGAAAGCAGATTGCATTGTCTCTCTTTGAATTCCATGTGCACGATGTAAAGCCTAATTAGTGTTACTGTACCAAAACACCATAGTCCAATGCAGACCACTATAATGAGCCTTCATTTCTATTTTAACTGTATAGCACATTTAAGCAACAAGGCAACAAGCACAGAGATTTAAAAAAATGTAAGAACATTGATTGAAACATAAAAGACAAAACAGTCATTGAAAAGATAAAAAACAGACAACGTTTAAAAATTAGGTACAAATTTGCAGTGATGTTTAGGATGACCAAAATGCAGAAATGGTCACTTATATTGGGAATTCACCTGCACACAATCTGCACAACGTCAAGGCTCGACTTGAATGCCAATAGGTCACCAACAATGTTAGTGATGAAGGGCAGTAACCATGGTGGTCCTGCGAGGGGCCTCCTACACGCCTGCCGAGGAAGCCGCCGCCACATTGAGAGCCGTCGAGCCAGAGGAAAAACCCAGAAACTTGTTTGTGGCATATTTTAAAATTAATGTTATCAAATAGGTATCTCTAATTTACCACACTTTGTTAATTATAGTGTTCAGTACCCATTATCCTCTACCTCATGCAGATAAAACAGCGGGAGAGGGGTCAAAACAGTCGGTGGCATATTGGCTGGCAGAGCATGGCAGACATGAAATGATGCAGTGTCACAGGGAGTGTACACATAGTAATCACGCTGTTGCCTGCAAACAGGAGTCATGCTGTTGATTTCAGCATTCGTAACACGTTTTACGGCAGTTTACATAACTTTCGTGAACACTGTTTACTTAGGCTCGCTTTCCTTAAGAAAGACTTGTGCAACCTTGGTGGAGTGTAATTGTATAATTTACCGCTGTGCGCGGGCAGTTATGTCTGCAGAGCTTTCCATTGTCTACTTGCTGCTACTCAGAGACGGTCCTCCACTGATCGTGCTATAATGTCGTCTTTGTTCTGTGAGCAGTTTTCAGCAAATAAGATTGCAAGTGAAATAATGAGGTGTTCTTTGGCTTCTGTCCATTTATCCTCTTGCGGATTGCAGCTGGATGCCGTCTCAGCGCTATACAAGGCCACATGGCTTAGGCGTACTGTTGAAGTCTAAAAACGTAAGCACAGCAGCGCATTCAGCTAATATTCGTGCAACCAGAAAATGTACATTTCTCTGTTTCTAACAATGTTTTAATGGAGAATGTGCCCAGCCTCAGTGAGAGAATATTCCAGCGAGCTTTGATGAAGCTTTTTCGGCAGAGATACAAAGGACCAATAATTATTTTAAGTAATCTGAACCTGCTCAGAATAACATGGACAGAAAAGCCTTTCATCATTTATTTATTGACCATCACACAGGAAAAAAAGGAACAGGTATACAAGAAAACACAGATAGGGGACACATTGAATATTAACACGCTGCAGATTGCTGCACACAATCGGATACACACATTAACAATTCATGTGTGCGTGGACATGAAAACCCCCCGAAAAATAGATACGGCACGATAGCGTAGTATAATTAATAATACAGAGTAGGATGAATCCTGCTGACTACGGTGATTCACAAAGGCTTTTGTCGGTGACCTCATGAGGTCGACAATTGCGATGATGATAAAAACCATTGACTGAATTTAAATAAAATGCCATGAGCTTGAGACAAAAGCAGTGATTGTGACGTGTACAGCAACACAAACTTAAATATTTGATTGCTGGTTAAACACCTGCATACTATGTAATAGTGCATAATGCCAAAATACTGATGAGGCTGCGGATATATTTAGTATTTTACAAGCAGTTTCACGGTATGTTAAAGGTAAATACTGGTTTGTTTGAGTATGCAGCAGAACAGAGAAGTTTTTTTGCTTCTCTAATACATTTCTCAAACAGGTTTTCACAAAAGTGGCTGAAATGACGGATGGATATTTGAACAAAAATTAGAGGGCTTTAGAACAAAATACAAAATCCTCATAGTAGAAAAAGTAAAAACAACACATAAGTGCCAAACGACAAAGTTACATCTAGTTACACAGCAAGAGAAAGGCAGAAAGAACAACAATACAATAATAAATGGTCAGACGGTAGTCTGAAACACATGTTTAGTCCCATTTCTCTCAAATAAATCTTTTTGCACAGTCTTCTGATGCCAGTAGCATATTCAAATAAATGAAAACTGTAAATTACAACCCACTGTGGCACAAACATCCTTTGTCCTTGACAACGAAGCTGCCACGATACAATTTCCAATGCAAATCTAAACAGCACATGTAGAGCAACTGATTTTCCCTGTTGGGATACGTAAATAGTCATCATGCTTGCCAGGCAGGGCAAACAAATATATAGTGAAAAAAACAACAACAACAATATTGCTGCCACAACTCGCGAACGCATTCACGTTACACCACACCATTGAAGATCAACAACAAAGATGCCCGAAGTGGCAAAAATCCAAAAGACTTCAACTGTTCTGACGACCGTGTCCATTATTACATCCGATTCTTTGGTTGTGGCTCTTGTGGATTATCGATGTATGTAGCGCCGTTTTTTGTCTCGCTATTGTTATCATGCCTCCTATTCACAGTTTTGTTAATGCACTTTTTACTCCTCAATGAACTACTAGGAGAAGACACAGTGAGAGTAGCTGCTTGTTGGTAATTGGGCCTCTGACTGCAGTGCTTAAGCAGGCTATTTTCTGCAGCCGTAACTGCCTGTGCACACGCAGAAACTATGCCAGGTTGGGTGTTGGAGAAACACCGCAGAATGGATCATTGGTAGTTCACAGAAGGTGGAGTTTTTGAACCATTTCATCGAACCATTCACCAGATAGACCTGTGACAGGTCGGGCCGAGTTCTGTTGCACGGTTAAAAGAAATGGGATGAAAATTGGTCTATTAATGAAATTTCTGTACTATTTGTTCTCCTTCGTCTTATCACGAAGAATCGTAATTTGCACAAATGTTGCCCTTGTGTGTATGTAAAGATTTCTAGTCAGTTTATAAAAACAAGGTTGGTATCTTTTGATACTAGAAATGCCAAGTGCAAAGAAATCACGTTGGATCACCAGCAGCCGCATTCAACCGAGAAAAGAGTCAAATGTTTAAATTGTTTATTAGAAGTTCATTAGGAACAAATGTAGCGCGTGTCTCCATATTTGACACCGCATGTCCTTGGGTGCCCAACGGTACAACCGCCAAACCTAATATAGATAAAAGTTGAAGGGGCTTTAAGAAAGTCAAAGGTCGTACCCACGTACTGACAGAGATTCCTAGCTAATAATAGCTGTGTAATAATCATAATAATAGAAAGGTTGTGCTTTTTGCTTACGTAGCATTTTGACCACGTGAGCTCTTTTCCGGGGGGAAGTTGGTATTGGTCCAGTAGCTTTAATGCTTTTTCAGAGCAGCACTGGTGAAGTAACTGTGGTAAATAGAAAGGAAGCTTGTTTTTTTGGCGTGCTTCTATTCTAAAATGTTCTGTTATGATCCATCAAAGTTAGGCATGAAACAAGCTGAATAAATCTCAGTTTTGGTTATGGACCCTAAAGGAACCAAAAGTCAACTCTTCTAGAGTGGAAACAGAGACACTGGTTAAAGGCACATTTTTAGATTTTTTCATATTACAATATCAATCATATTACTTGCACAGAGCCATCAACTAAGAACAGTTTTTGCTCCTGCACTTCTCGTCTGGGTTAGTTGTAGTGCAGAGTATCAGCTGAGAAGATAATCTAAGAAAAGACATTTACTGTGATGCATTACCTATTTAAATAGGCCTTCTTGTTAAGGAGAGAAAGAACATGCACATTTCCTGGGATCTCTTGAGCTCACAGTAAAGTTTGACGTGATGAGTGACAGTTATAAAAGGTCATTAAGGGACAGTCCCAGTGCTTTATTCAACTTAATAAATACTTAAGTTAGTAGCTTAATACTGGCAAGTACAAAAAACAATTGCTTTACCCGATGAAACGCAAATAGTTATAATTTTTCACAACTGAACAACACTGAGTTGTGATCAGTTTATTCTCCGTCCGTCCGACAATTTGTCTATTGGTTGAATCATTTCAACACTAATGTAAAAAAAAAAAAATAGGACGAAATTACAACAAATGTTGCAGAAGCACGCGGCCGCACAGCGCGACTCGGTGGTTCCCTCCCTGCTGAGGCGGCGCAGTGTGACAGCAGGAACAAACAGGAATGTGATAAGCAACACGCTGAGAGAGCTGCACACAGCCGCACGCCGCCCAGAAGTGATGGTATGTCCGAGGCCGTTCAATCAGTATGTGGGTCTTGTGTCGGCGGAGGCTTTTAAAGACGCCAGCGGGGCGTCACTCATCAGTGGCCTCTGGCCTGCGATTGAAAGGGCGCTGAAATGGGATGGGTGATGATGGGATGTCATGTGAGAAAAAATGGTTTGCCTTCAACAGCCCGCCTGGGTGTACGTTATTTTTCCGCCGTATTCAAATGTGTTTCATGTTGTTTCGTATTTCATTTTAGGTTTACAGTGTGAATCCAACGACACAACATGTCTCTTATGTACAACGTCTTCCCCATAAATATGGACAAATAAAATATGGTCACAGTAAAATATGGACATTTTAACACTAATTGCATATGACTGAACCAATTCACCAAATAAGCATGACACCAAATGAGATGTATGACATGCAGGCAACTTCATTTTGGAATATGTTACAAATCTAGAATAACCCCCCGCTCCAGTGGGATCATCATTATCTGATTATCTGTGCTGTACGTGATAGGCAGAGGAACCGGGGCTGAAACGTGTAACCACCTCTAAACAGTGACCACATTAAACATCTCACAATAGTCTCTTCCTTCAGGCCACAATCTAACATGCTATGGCTTTGCTTATTCGTTTCTGGCTTGTATTGTGAACACTTAGTTGTCCCATGCTTGACACACTGAGGCCGCCATTGAACTGACCTTTTCGGACTCCTCCCCACTGCCACCTTTCTTATTCACAACCGTCATTTCTAACCCTTGCTCCGAAAGAGTTCCCTCCGAATGGACCAGCACGCAGCCCGCCCTTCCGCTTCCGTCTATCTCGGCCGTTTCTGTGGACACATTGACGTTGTGGACTCGATTCCTCAGCCCCATGATGAGCTGGTTGTAGTTGCTAATGACATCCCTGAAGTCGGCGCCCCCGCGAGGCGCCGGCCCGGACCGTTTTTTCCGGCCCCTCCTGGCCATCCTCTTCCACAGGTCGCACCGGGGGAGGCAACAGATCGGCCTGGTCTTGCACACGGCCTGGAAGCCCCTCTTGAAGTTCTCGTTGTAGTAGCCGTAAATGATGGGGTTGACGCTGGAGTTGGAGAAAGCCAGCCAGTGGGCGAAGGGGAAAATGTAGCTGGTCAGAAGGTCCAGCTGCTGCCTGTCCAGGCCCGCGTAGTCAGTCATCATCATGAGAGTCCACAGCGGCAGCCAGGACAGCATGAAGAGCAAAGCCACCAGGATGAGCATCTTTATCACCCTGACCTTCTTCTGGGAGATCATTGGCTGACCCGGCCTTCTGCGCCTCGCCTGGGCCGCAACGTCGGCCAGCTGCGGCTCTCTGTTGGCCACCACGGAAGAGCACAGTTTGCCTCCGATGCCGCCGTACATCAGCGTGATGACGGTGAGCGGCACCAGGTAGATGTGAGCAAACAGAACCGCCGTGTAGACTTTTCTCATGTGAGGGTTGGCAAAGTTTTCGTAGCAGGTGTACAGGGGGAACGTCTGGTTGAAGTCGCCGTTGTGCACCATGATGTGGTAAGGGACTCTGTCCACGGTCAGTGCCACGGCCGCGGGACACATGATCCCGATCGCCAGCACCCAGATCAACACGATGGCGGCCTTGGCAACGAGGATGCTCGGCTTGGGGTGTAGAGGGAACACTATGCAGCGGAACCTGTGGTGGATAAGAGCCGTTCAACAGGTCAGCTACATGTCTATGGATAAGGAAAGTAACAACATGTAAAATATAACTAGGACTCATTTCTTCTTCAGGATCATGACAAACCCCCATCTCAGATTAACAGATTATACATGTGTTAAAAATTCCAAAAAATCAAAAGGGAAAAAGTAAAGAGAGAAAATACTTAGTAAAAAGCTGCAATCAGCAAACGTTTGGTACTTTGCGCCACCTTATGATCTAGTCAGAGGGATTTTGGACTGAAATATCTCAACAACTTGCGGCCCTCGGAACGATATTTTGTGACCCCCCACTTTAATAAGAAAGTTTGGATCTGTACAGATGTGCTGCCTTTTAGGCATTAGGCTTTTATTTTGTCCAAGCTTTTATTTTGATATGGTTTCATGCCTTAGGAGTTCCGGGAGTTAGTTTCCTGTTAGTGGTTAGAGAAAGAGGGTAGGGAAGGTAGAATTAGCCAACATGCTTTCGTCATCAATGGCAATCCACATAGTAAATGCTGCAGAAGCAATGTCGTAAATTGATAATTTCATTGTTTTAATTGTAATGTAAAAGTTAAGATGCATATTTACAGTAAAAGTGGATTTCATGACTGTAATTAAAAACGTTTTATTCACATATGTTTACGTAGGACTAAACAATTTTGTACCTTGTGTTTGTTACAGTTTTCACTCTTCTGTCTGTGACATGATATAAAGAGCCACAGTAAACAGCTTGAGAAGCTTACTATGACTCAACTCGCCATTTGGAGGAAGGAGGAAGAGTTTAGCTAGTTGAATAGCTGCGGTTGCTACACCGTAGCGAAGACAACATAACAGCTATTTATGCAGGACTAACTGACTTTTCACCAAATGGTTAATATTCCACTTTTTAAGGCAAATGCTGTTGTAATTAGAGAAAAAAACAATCGAATCAAATTCTAACCTTTCGACAGCGATGGCCACAAGAGTGAAGACCGAGGCGGAAACAGACATTCCCTGCACAAAGCCGCTCATCTTGCACACAATGTTGGAAAAGGGCCAACCTGTTGAAAAAAAAAAAAATCATTAGAGTTGCACTCAGGCGAGTCCTTCGTGGCAATACATTAACATCATTGTCAATCTATTCAAATTTGTATAAATCCAGTAATTCAAAAGATTGCTTAACTTTTCACCGAGTGACCTTAATGTGGAATGAACATATTCAAAGCTACAGATATTCTTGCAAACGGAACTGCAGAGAAGTCACAAAGTTACATACAGAATATGAGCGCAGTCGACATCAAAGCCCGCGTAAGAACAGGGCTGAAATCAGTCACTCTATTTAATTAAGTAAAACAGCGGCCAGTAGCACACTTAGTAAACAGGGGGGACTACCTGTGATGAGGTTGTCCACCAGCGTCGTGGGGATGCAGAAGATGCCCACCAGTAGGTCACTGATGGCCAGGTTGAGGATGAAGAGATTGGTGACCGTGCGCATTCGACGGTTTTCCAAAACAATCAGACACACCACAATGTTGCCCACCATACACAGCAGGAATATGAATAAGTAGGCCAGGATGTAGCTGGCGGCCACGTACAGGGAGTGCTGATAATAGGGGAAAAAGGTCATGTTGGTGTCGTTGGCGGAGCCGAGGCTGACGTTTATGATGACCCCTTTGTTGGCCGACGCCTCCAACTCCATCCATTCCTCGCCCATGTTGTCCAGAACATCCATTCTTCAGAGGAACACTGCAGAGGAGATGAAAGAGTGAGAAGGAGAGGTCAGAGGTCAAAACGTGATTATTATTTATTTTGAATCGACGGTCTGAATGGAGTTCATGTTCAAAAGTAAGTCTTACAGATAAGAAAGTTGCTTTATTACGTTTTTTAAATCAGTACATGAGAAAAAAAGTTCTCAAGGAAGTGTGTAAATAAACCCTCCACACCTCCCACTTTCTATGTTAAAGATCAGTTTAACAAAATAGAGTTGGAATTGTTGTGTTGGGTTTAAATACAGTGGACCTGACGTGCTGCATCATGATTATGATCGACACTCCCGTGTTGAGTTCACAGGCCTCTCGCTTTTCTGCACCAGTGCAACCGATGTAGAGATAATTGTCTGGGGCACCTGTGGACTACAAGAAATCTGAATATAATGGTCACTTACAACCATAATGAGATGCGGTGCTACAAGCAGCTGGAGAGCAAAGAGTGCAGTCAAAAACAAATCACCTCACAGATGTGGGGGCCAGGTTAGTCACACGTTATAGATTTCCTTTTGCGGTGCTGTCAAGAGTCCAGAATCAATATCGCGTACACTTGACAATGACAACCGCTGATTGAAGGCTCCAGCGGGCTTCAAGCGAAGCATTTTGTGAATAAAGGCCGGAAATTGACTTCCTCGACCCCCCATTGAAATTGATTAGCGGTGACAATTCTGTGTGACACCAGACGGTGATGGAGCTGCGAGGAGTAACTTTAGATGATCATTTGTCTAAATGCTTTGACTCGCCGGTGGCGAAGATGATGGAAAAATCTATCAGTGGTGAAGAGACGCTCTCCCTTTTGACACGACATATGATGTCATCATTATTCCTCAGGAAGATCTAGAAAAAAAACTAAAGCTGGTACAGAAGAGAGCTGCTTATGTTTCCCTTTGATGCACATCAAGAGCCAATATTGATAAAATGCATGCCTAATTTCTCTGGCTAAAAGATGAGGAGAAGCCGAAGAATCATTACTTTCTTTTGTAGGGAGCTGATATTCACGAAATGTACAGTTGGCTCAAACACTCATAACCCAAAAGAGGTCACAAGACGCTTAAATAGACATAATACCAGAAAAAGCGCTGTATGATTAGAAGACACTCACGTCTAGATCCGTTTTTTTTTAAACACTGAGTAAAGCACGTGTAATAATAACTCAGATTTTTCTCTGATAGAGTGATTGGAAGTGATTCACAAAAAACATTCATGAAGTTTGGTTCTTTTATGACTTTATTATGGGTTAACAGAAAAAGTGACAAAATCTGCTGGGCCACAAATATACATACAGCAACATGAATGACTTGACTTAGAAAGTTGTATCAATGAAATGAGCCTCATGGCCTTTTAACTTCTTGTGAGTGCTTATGAGTGACTACAGCTGGTGACTCTGAGGCCATTTAAATAGGGCTCATTGGAGACAAACGCCCACAAACGCTACAATGGGAAAGTCAAAAGGAGCTCAGCATGGATCCGAAAAAGCGACTCGTTGACTTGAACAAGTCAGGGAGGTCACTTGGAGCCATTTCAAAGCAGCAGCAGGTCCCAAGAGCAACAGTGCAAACAATTGTTTGTGAGTATAAAGTGCACGGCACTGTTTTGTCACTGCCACGACCAGGAAGAAAATCACCTGCTGCTGAGAGAAAATTGGTCAGGAGGGTGAAGAGTTAACCGAGAACCACCAAAAAGCAGATCTGCCAAGAATTAGAAGCTGCTGGAACACAGGTATCCGTGTCCACAGTCAAGCGTGTTTTGCATCTCCATGGACTGAGAGGCTGCCGTGCATTAGCGTTTTAGAATGGCGTTCCCAAAGTCCTGACTTAAATCCCATTGAGAACATGTGGACAACGCTGAAGAAACAAGTCCATGTCAGAAAGCCATCAAATTTAACTGAACTGCACCAATTCTGTCAAGAGGAGTGGTCAAAGATTAAACGAGAAGCTTGTGGATGGCTACCAAAAGCGTCTAACTGTGAAGTGGAAATGGCCAAGGGACATGTAACCAAATATTAGCACTGCAGTATGTATATTTTTGACCCAGCAGATTTTGTTACTTTTTCTGTCAACCCATAATAAAGTCATAAAAGAATCAAACTTCATGAATGTTTTTTGTGACAATGTCTAAAAATCAGACTTATGTTCTTTACAAGTGAATGTAAACTTTTGTCCGCAACTGTATAGTAACCAGATATCAACTCTCAACAATATAAATATGTTCCTTCTTAATTAATCAAATTATGGCGTGTACAATTTATACTGTACAGCTGTGAGTTTTATATTATATGCTTTTATATATTTTTTTTTCCCAGGTAATGCCTTTTTTATTTTGGTACAGTTACACACAGACCCACAGAAGAGTATCTGCATTAACTAACGGGATCCTAATGAATGTGTAAATGGTGCAATCAGCTCATCTCCCGCTACCTCACAGTACAGTGCTTTGTTTATTTTTAGAAATATAAGAATTTATAGTCTCTCTTTGGTCTGCTTTGTATTTGTAAGCCTGTCCTCTGTAGAGGAGGCATGAGGGGAAGGACTCAAAAGGGGGACAAGACATAAGTAGAGTTATGCAGCTATATGATTTGGTGAAAGACATCAATTTAAGACAAGTCAAACAAACACAGGAGACATGAGTCTGGGATTCCAAAAAGACAAGCAATCGAATAAATAAAGCCCAGAGAAACCACGACAAAGCCACTTGATGTCTTGATTTATCTCCTCCGGCTGACGCTGAACATGAAAAGAAAAAATAAATGACACAAATGAGGAAGGGCGAATCTCCATGGAGACTGAATCAGCTCAATGTGCACACATTGTCCAGCAGCTTGTATTAGCTTATGATTGACATACATTCTTAAATAAAATCACATATTCATAAGTCAATAAAGCTAAACCCCGAAAGGACGTTTTAACAGCAACCAACTCCTAATTATCACTTTAGGCAATGCAATAACAGCAGTTGATCGCAGTGAGCAGCCGTGTGTTCCAGGGTGGAAAGAGAGATGTGGATCAAGTGGGTTCGTGTTGACGGAGGGCAAGAGCCAACATCGTGATCAATAGTTCAGTTCAGTTTAACTTCCAGTATTTTATTGAAACACTAATTGTGAAACTCCTAACACCTCTCTAATGTTGAAAGAATTTGCTGGCTGGGCCGAGGACACATTATATGGTATTTGACATTAAAAATCGACATAATTGACATAAACAGTGAGTTTTTTTCCATGTGGAAAAATGTTTGTGCTGCACTTTTATTTTTTGGGGAACGTGGCAGGAATGAGGGATCAGGAAACAGACCAAATGTTCATAGAGGATTTGTAATTCTGGCCCGTAGTCCTGGTTTTGTATTTCAAAGCCAGGACGCTGGGCAAGAATTACAATTCTTCATCTCTTTTACTGTGCAGTAAAAACAGACCTCAGATCTCAAAAAGCGTAACTGTGTGAATGTGAACACGTAAGACACGACTCGTATTACAATCGACAGGTGGCATTGCTCGCCAGCCCCTTATACTTCTGTGAAAGCACTGGTGAAAAATGACTGCAGAGTGCCAGATGGTCCGATATGTTTTTGTACTGTTTATGAGCTGGTTAATATTCAACGTGGTAGCTTACATGTGCACATCGAGGCCTGAAGCTGAGGTGGATTCATTAAAGCTCTCTTCTTGTTAGAAAGTGTCCGTTTTTCTGTTCTCTTCATGTTAGGATGCAGCCCGCTGTCTTCGGTCCAATTGTGTCCAGAAGGAATCGTAGTGACCAAAGAGGTCGTGGCGGGAGTTGGACTAGACACATCTTCAACAGGCTGTGGCTTTCTGCGGCTGGAGGAGATCCTCCAACAGACCGTAGTTCCTTACGCTTAGTCAGCTCATGCTGTCACAGCGTGGCAGAGGAGGCGACGTTGATGGTAAATACAAAAAGTGTAAAAGCAGCACTAAACTCTCTAATCTGATGAGTCTTGAATTACTGAATGGGTTCTGCGAAAGTGTCTTTTTCCCGTAAACTGAAGATGGGCAGTGAGGATCTCCTGTTGAGTTACATCCTGGAGCTGCTGAACTTAACCAAATGTCAGCTGTCACCTGACGACGTCTCGTGATAGACATCCGTCTCTGCTGGAGTCTCCTGGGTCTGTCGAACAGCACAGTGGGCTGCAAGGTCGAATGTGGATTGGGATTTTGCAGCCATTACATCACAAAAAGTTGCTCTCAAATGCACATGAGCCCATCAGATGAAGAACCTCGTGAAGCAACCCACGGCGATGAAAAACATTAAACCTCCACTGAAGATCAACAGTGTAGGTTTTGCATGTGGACCCAGGCCCAAAGGTCCAAAAGTCCTCATTCACTACTGTATTTAGTTCGGTTTCTTCTTGTTTCAAGCTGAGCGGTCACGATTGTTTGCCCAGCTTATTTCTGTAATAACAAGATCTAGACGTCCGCTGAGAACAATTTTTCGCTTGATTAGTGTGGACTTAAAACAAAGCATGTGGCTACATGGCATCTGACGGCGCTGCGACTGCGATGTCTTGCGATCCACTGGTGGCACCGCTCATCAAAGAGTCCTGATGGTTGCTTGTGCTTCTCTGAAAGCGCCGGTGCAACATGCCTCCACGGTGTCAGGGAGTGCAATATGTTAATGTGGCGTTTGTGCGCTCGTTAATATTCAAAGCGGCCGCTTACATGTGTGTCCACCTAAAGGCAGGACGCTGCGGTAGACTAATTAAAGCTCCCCCTTTGGGAGGATAGAAATGTCAAATTCAGGAGGAAAAAGATAAGCATGACGTTAATGGCGCCGAAAGACCTACACTGATTGTATGTACGTCTTAACAAACAAAGTTATTGATTGTAGAGTCAGCAATTCATAAATAAAAAAAAAGAAGAAAACTTGTTACCTAAACTAAGTTACCCAGAGGAATAGAAAAATAAGTCCATGAGTCTTCGTTCTCCTTAGTTGAATATCATAGTCATACTTCAAAGTGACATTGCCTTCACTCGCTTCATACCGTATTTCCTTTAAGGAATCATGCATCACGCCAACAGGGAGGCGGCAAATAAATGTTGTCTTGCTCGGTCCAGACTCGCTACCCGGGGAGTCGGGGAACATCTAAATAGTTTTTCCATCTAATTTCCGACTCCAAACATCCAGAACAAAGCCTTCTAACATGAAGCATCCCAAAGGCGGACGACTTTAAAAAGCCCTTTTAGGTTTATAACCATGAAAGCATATTTTATTTTATTTTAAACTCCGGTGTCGTGCAAATCCCTTAGAAACTGGGCAGAGTGAGAGTCTGTGGCCGACATTGAAGCTCCGTTGTCAGCACTGGGAGCCTTTTTACGGGTGGCGTGGACTGGTCAGCCTCAGCAGCGCGTTCCTGCTGTGGACACACAACCGGTCCCCAAAGATGGACTAATTGAAAGTTGTTTAAAAGTATAAAAGGGACGTGTCAGGCACTTTGAGGGACTTGCTGCTCAGTCAACCCTTTTCTCTGTCAGCAGCATCTCTTCCGCCCTCTCTTGACTTGCCCACGCAGGTTACTATGGTTACGAGCCATAAGGTGTTGCCAGGTCCTTTCAACAAGGCTTCACCCTGACCGTTTTAGCACGCGTGTGTGTGTGTGTGTGTGTGTGTGCGGACATTATTTTTATATCACAACTCATAGTTAATCTGGAAAGTCAACAGTTTCTTACACAATAGATTCAAATTTGGAATTTTAGTAAGATCTCAAAGGGTTTTTAAAAGAATCCAGCATTTGTATTGTCATTTGCTGATTATTCATTGTGCTGCTTTTTAAAAAAATCTTTTTTTTATGCTTGTTAATAAAGAATGTGTCCCCCGTAGGGAGGTTTGTGCTGAGACTCCATATGGACCAGACCTTTGAATCTTAACATTTGATCAATCAGCAAAAGGGGCGGGTCAGAAAATTGTTCCAGGCGGTGCTCTGCAAATCAGGGGTTATAAATGGAGCCACAGAGGATATTGACACTTTAGACGCTGTTGAGGCAAGAAGCTTGTTGCCAGGTGATTAGTCAGCAAAACAGTTACCCTCCTGCGGCATGGAAATCAACAGTGGAGTCGCTGAAACTGGAAACCGAGGGTAACGAGTTACCGGGATAGTGAAGATGTGCTCACACTCATAAGGCTGCGCCACCTATTTTTGTCTACGTTGGGTCCAATCACAGATTCATGTCTGCCACCGAGTACTCGGCCCAATTGAAGCCTGGTTGCTGGCGGGCCGAGGTTCAGCCAGACTTGGTGAAGATTACCGGGCAGCGGCTTAGGGTGGTGGCGACCAGCCTGAGGCTGGAAGGCTGCGGGCTAATTAAGTCCTTTGCCCGTCCAGACAGCGATTTCTCCAATAATGGCTTTGAAGACAGTTCCCGGAGTGCCAGTGACAAGGCTTTGTTTCTCCGCTCTCTGTGGACGCAGGAGGGCACATGTCACCTCGTGAGGTTCCTCTGAAAATGATCCATTTCAGGGTGCACAATTAGTCAGCTCACGCTGTCACTGCCTGGTGGAGGAGGCAACGTGGAGGCTGATCAATATAAAAAGTGTAGAAGCAGTTCACCCTGAAATAGCATTTATCTACGCTCTAATTTCATGCACAGAGTATTGAATTTGTGAATTTGACTTGCAAAAGTGTCTTTTTCCCGTAAACTGAAGATGGACAGTGAGGATCTCTTGTTGAGTTACATCCTGGAGCTGCTGAACTTCACTAAATGTCAGCCGTCACCTGACGGCGTCTCGTGAGAGACATCCGTCTCTGCTGGAATCTCCTGAGTCTGTCGAAGCCGAACGTGGATTGGGATTTTGCAGCCATTACATCACAGAGTAAACCACAGCGAAGTGTCAACACGTGCAACATCAACATTGAGCATGTGACATGTGTCACATGCTCAATAAAACAACAATGCCTCATTGACGTAAACAAACAGCTGCCATGAGTCCATCAAACACTTGTAAACCCTTGAGCCTCACTTTTAAGAAATTGCTCTGGTGTAAAAAAGAAGAATATAAGAATGTTATTTTCCATTTGCACTGAGTTCAATGCTTTAACCAACGTCCTGATCATAGTCACACATTTTCAAAATTAAAACCTTTAAATGTCACCGAATACCAACTAATGTGGGATTTCCAAAATGTCCCTCTTGAGGGATCAATAAAGTATCTATTTAGCCAAATCCTTTTTTTAAATCCCATCTTTTAAATAATGTAAACGTAAGAACCTTATTATTTAAATTCAGCTTATTAGGAAAATGTGTCGTCTTCGCATCCTGTTTCCAATAAGATGTGAAAGTGCACAAACAATGTCAGTCTTCAAAAGGAAGGCTGAAGGCACAAACAAGCTCCACAGGTGGCATCCACAAAGACGGACCTGAGCTTATACAAATACTACAAAATAGCAGCTGGAAGTCAACCATTAAACCTCATGGTCATTATTTTGTTCCAAATCTAATATACTGAGGAGCGAATATAAAACTGTGTCCATCGTCACAGTCAGTTTCTTGCTTGTTTTTGCAGAAGATCTGAAGCATGAAGCGTTGTGCTGAAGGAAGGGAGCGGCTTTGGCACAGCATGATCATTAAAACCAATGTTTAAATCAATCATTTAGACAACTACTGTATATAGAACTGTGGGCTTTCCACTCACTCCAAACTCCCTAAAAAACCCGCCACCGTTTTCGTAAATGGGACAAATAGCTAAATAACAAGTGGTGCTTGGTGAGAAAAGACGCGGCGGACTTTATTAAATTAGCTTTTAAAATACCCTTTCGTCAGGTTTGGGATCGTTTTGTACAAAGAAAAGCGTCCAACTGGTCCAACAAAACAGGTCCGCTGGACGCCAGATATCCCGAAAGTTATTTCACTTTAATTGGTTTGAGGAAAAGCATATGCAGCGTGTGGATGAGAGACCAAAGACAACATGCTGCTGATGAGAGAAGACAACAAAGTGGGGCTTTAGGAGCGTGGAAGTGACCTACCTCGCTGCTGTCAGATGCTCTTTACGCGCGCTGCTGCCAAGAGGCGACGATTAAAAATGAGCTAATTAAAGAATAAATAAAAAAATGAACACGAGGTTCTGCGTCGTCCACGGCTTCTCCAGTACTCACTTAGTTCGTATAGTTTTACCAATAATGTTTAGGATATAGTTGAAAGACAACATTTACTGCGACCAGAGTCAGACCCGCGATCCGCCGGCACGGAGGCGCGCTCCACTCCGTCTCCACGACGGGGGGGGCAGGTGGGACATCTGGAACAGCTTTACTCTCTGCGTGAAGCTGTGGAAATGAGCTGCTCAGACCTCCCTTAAAAGGACCACGGCGCGCGTGCATGTGCGCGTGTTGGTAGGGGCTCAGTCCAAAGGGGAGCGCGCAGCGGATGCGCGCCACCGCGTGATGATGAAGGTTACCAAAACATTACAAAGTTCTATTAGAAGGGTCCGTTACGTCGCGGCGCGTCAGCACTTCCAGCACCGTCACACATGGTGAAACGCGAAAGGCTCTGAAGTGGCTTAAAGACGACGCGTATCAAAAGAAAACAACCGTTTACCGTTTCGGGTACAGTGGAAGGAATAATCATTTTACCCCCTGCTGATTTTGCAATTTGGAAAAATGGTCAATAATTTTAATGATTTATTTTACTGTGAAACACAGAAGCTAAAAAGAAAAAGAAAGAAAATCCCATATAACCTGGATATATTGATTTGCATGTTAATGTGGGAAATAAGTTTTTGATCCTCAAACAACAAGCAAGGATTCTGTCTCCCACAGACGGGCAATTAGTCCTCTCGCTTAAAGAAAGTACTCCAAATCTCCACCTGTCGCCTGATGAAGGAGACCGGTCCATAGAATCTGTCCATCAGATCCCAACCCCCGTGGGACCAAAGAGCTGTCCAAGGGTGAAGACCTGCACGAGGCTGGAATGGCCGACGAGAAAATAGCCGAGCAGCTCAGTGAGAAGGAGACAACTGTTGGTGCAATTATTTGGAAATGGATGGCACACGAAATGACATTTAATCTCCCCCCCCGGCCTGGGGCTCCACGCAAGATCTCGCCCCGGGGGGGGTAAAGGTGAGGGGTCAGCTCGGAACGACACAGGAGGAACTTCTTAATGATCTAAAGGCAGCTGGGACCAAACCGTTGGAAACACACTACGCCGTGGAGGTTTCAAACCCTGCAGCGCTCGCAGGGTCCCCCTGCTCAAGAAGGTACACAACCAAAACGTATATAACCAAATTCTCTTTTATACTTGGTGTCGCTCAGTTAGAAACAATTATAGCCCATTTGTTTCTTTGGTAAACCTACACAATCAGCAAGGGATCTAATAGTTTGTAATAAGAATCTGAAATTTGAATATGTTCTCATTTGCAGACACACAAAAGATCAGAGAATATTTGCACAAGACGTTATCCAGATTGTTGAAGCAGAAATAAGCAGCAGAATTAACGCAGTCAAAACTAAACAAACAAAGCTACATAAAACATTGCTTTAAAGCCACTGCTTCAATGACTGCTGCAGACCTTGTACCATTCCGAAGCCTTTCTGGTTATTCAGCGTCTTTTCAACATGGATAGTCGGGTCAAACATCAAAACATCCCACTTAAAGATCCAATTCGCAATTTTTCTCATTTATCAAATCTGTGGAGAAGAGCAAACTACGTAGGCTGTGTAACACGCTCGCATTTTTCTCTTTTGACACATTTCCCACAAAAGTATTGACTTTATAAAGTAAAACAAAAGAAAAAGGCGCCGGAAGAAAGAGCTCTCGCCTGGTCTGGGAGACATCTATATGTTTACCTCGGGTTTAAATTCCATGAGAAGACCTGCCACTTACCCGTCGCCATCACCACAGCAACCCCTGATTGCTGCTAGACAGACACAGGTGCTTGAGATGAGCTAATTAGGGCGGTTTGTCACATGCAGAGACGCACGGGGGGGGGGGGGGGAAGAGATTGTGCTCTTGGGGACAATGCTCCCACCCAAATTGTTCTCGCAGGGGTGGACTCGCAATGCTTGAAGCGCACTGAATGCTGGTGATAATTTGGGACATTGTGCAATGTGCTTTGCCCCCAGCACAAAGGACACCTGGTGTGCACAGAGTGGATGGAAATGATAAAGGTATAAAACTTGAATATCATGGTTTTCCACAGTTAGTAATACAGTGACGCTGAAGGCCCATCCCCTTATTGGTATAGTGTTAGTTGTTTAGTATGGTGACCTTAATAGCGCTGGTAGTTACAAAGTAAAAGCGGGGCAGTGTTTAATCCGGACCCCTCCGTGTGAAGGTTGCACGTTATCCTCCTGCCGTTTCAGACTTGCCTGCAGGAGTGAAAATAAGTGTGTATGGTTGTCTCTGAGTCTCAGCCCTGTGGTAGTCTGACGACCTTTTGCTGCAACCTGTCAGCTGAGATCGACTCCGGCCCTCGTGCAACCCTGAATAGGATGAGGGTTGACAGATAAGGGATGGTGTTATTTTTCCATTGCATCTGCAACATCATAGAGGTCCCCTGTTTGACACAACAGGACCAAGAACAGGACGAGCGTGTTTGTGGGCTGTGAAGTCAAACTCCATCGTAAAAGCATTGCACGTGGCCGTTAAACGTTTTTTTTGGGGGGCGGTAGATTTTCGGGAAATCGCCAGACCTCTGGTGCGATTAATTATATAGAAAACTGGTTGCACTCTGAGGTCCAGGTTTCTACTCGATTGAATATTGTTCATGTGATTCGAGTTGTGACTTCACTCGGATTCGTTCCACATAAACATCCTCTCATATTGATTGAGCTATGTAGTCAGACGTATTTTGTTGCGGGGCCGGCCACAGAGGAAATGTCAAGCGCGTGTCACGGTGTGGGTTGGTTTTCTGTCTTCTTTTGTATTTTCCTGCCTCTTGTGTCCCTGGGTTAACTTCACTTCCTGCCCTGGTGTGTTTTCCCCTGTGTGTCCCTGATTGTTTCCTGCTGTGTCCAATTAGCTGCACCTCCCCAGTCTATTTAAACCAGGTGTCCTTCGTCTCCTTGTGGATTCTTTAGTTAATCTTGGGTCGTCTTTTGTTTTGTCTGATAGTCCTGGTCCCTGTTTCGCCCAGTTTGGAAGTGTGCGTTTCTATCGTTTCCCCGGACCTCTCGTCTCAACGCAACAGTGCTCGTTCTTCACAGTGAGGGGGGCGGGGTTATCCAACCAATTTTTTGTATAAAAACAACGTGACTCTGCCTTTTGGATAGAAGATCATAAAGCTCAACAATGTTCCATTGTCGCCAACAGATTTGCATTTACAAAACATATTTAGTTCATACAATTAAAATGTCACCCTTCCCTCCGATCCAGAAATATGTTAGAAGGTCAGCTTCTTATACAGCAACATGAAACACTATGGCTCAAAATAAAGTGAGGGCATATCGGCTCTTAAGAAACCGGGGTATTCATCATCCGGAGGGGGGACTGACGTTATCTGGAAGCAGTAAATTTCCTTGGAATGCCTCCAGCAAAGTAACCAATCACCATAATGCATGTCATTCACTCACATTCGCTCACAAACGTGTAATCTGTATTTCATGACTCAATCCTGTGAGATTGATTAATCCCGTTGGGGTGCTATGCTAACCCATTTTTGACTGTATGTATTTACTCACAATTCTTCTCATTCTGATTTCTATTGCATACAGTGCAAGTCGAAACTGACACGGTACATAATTGAGAGATGTATGTCCTAATTACTCATTTTTATTGATGATAATACTCCTATTGGCTCGTGTGTTTCAGCAAGATTTCGGCTCATCTTCAGAACGTATACACGTTCAAACATGTTTGTCTGTTTCTCTACAAGCAGAGAACATAAATAAAAACTTCCTGGCATCGTGAGGCTTTCACTACGCTCCAGTTGCAGAATGTTGAGTTAATCTCGGTCTACTCATGCAGTCAAGTCTGCCACCGAAACAAAGGCAGGCTTGAAGGGGAACCTTCAATTGCTGTCACAGGTAGCCGTCAAAAAATACAACCGCCCCCCCCCCAGCGACGGCGGCTCTCAGCACTTTGAAGGCCCAAACTGAATTAGGGGGTGAGATAAGGTCGTTAAAGCAAGGCCTCCCCTTCAGCCCTTACCTGCTGTTTCTTCTTCCATCACACTCTCAACTCCGTTCCCTCCTCCACGAGCTGTTAACCCAGACAAACGAGGAGCGTGTGAAGTCCTTGTAGCACTTGCTGAACCCGCTGCGCGTCGGGCCTAACAACACCCCCGAACTGTTACATTATTGGGCGATAAAGTACAGCCTCTCGTACCATATTGCTTGAATAATGCACACCAGAGTTTAGTCTGTCTACGAGGAAGTGCTTGTTCAGGCCAGCGTCCAGTGAGAAGGTGGGTGGGAGTAAATAGACGGGTTCTTGGGAGGAAAGCGAAGGGAAATGGAGTGAGGACATCAGCAACATCGCTTTAGAACATCGAAAACAGACGAGTGAGGCGTCTTCCCCGCAGTGTGGCGTCCAATGGAAGTATATATGTCGTTTAAGACGTGCTGTTCTGTTGCCTGATTTGCACCTGATTTGATCCAATCTCTCTTGTGTTCCGTGGCCGTCTGCTACTGAAGGTCCCTGCCGGTGAGGCCCTGCGGTGCCTCCCCGCGGGCTACATATACTTTTACGTTCAGCACTCAGAAGTTAAATCAGCCAACCAAAACTACTGGCACAGCTTTGCTCATCAAGAAAATAAACAGGTCCAATTGGGCTTAATTCGCGCAAGTAGAGCTCAGAGACGGATCCGGATTGTGGACGTCAGGGGATCCCACCACACGGGAACTCGTTGGACGGTGATGCTGTCTTTACAACATACTATTCTTAGTATCTGAGGCTTTATCATGATACGTGTTTGCGGCAGCCAATAAAAATCTTGTACCATTTTTTTTCCGTTTTGAAAGCTTGTTTCTTTTGAAATCTCAGATCCTCTTTTTATTATTGTAACGATGGACTTAAATATGATGTAATTCTCCAGATGAAACACCCAGACTAGTCCTTGTATTCAGCCACTGAACACGACCAGAAATGTATTGTCAGTACATTTAGAACACTTCCCAAATCCCATCAGAAAACACATTTTCGCTATAAACTCCACCTTTTCAAAAATAAGACATTTCATTGACACTATCAAAGAGTTCATTGAACTATATATCTTTTATTGAGATGGCAGCCAGCAGTTTTTGCCGCACTGGCCTTCATTGCATTGAGGTGTTTCTGATGTTTTGCTCACCTTACTTACACAAAGAAATGTGATAGAATATAAACCCCTTCACAGATAACAGCTGTTTGAAGCAAAACAAAGGAAAATCGTAGTTCAGCATAACCTTCTCTTTCTTTTAAATGTAAATACTTGAATTGAAAAGAAAGTCTTTATCATTGGCTGCATTATAACAAAGAACAAAGTAACTTAATCTGAATGTCAACAGAGTAAACTCGACCTGGCATCATTAATCCCTCATTTAAATAAAAGATAAACTGCGACAAACAAATGTTTCATCAGACGATGTCATTCAGTAGTGTTCAGTTGTCAAAGGCCTGAATCCACTTGATATGCACGGTGTCGACACACGGGGATGTTTGGACTGGATCTGGAATCTGTTTGCCGCTTGGCTGAACGCAGCAGATGGACCATCAAATGAGCCTTTTGGAGAGGAAACCCTCGGAAACAATACGCACTTAAAGGTTCCAGCGTGTTGGCGGACACATTTCCTCCAAAGCTCAAATCGCGTGGCTCAACAAGATCAACAGATATGTCCTCCCACAGCTGAGTCCTCTCACAGAGCCTTTTCGTCTAAACCGGTGGCCCTGTCCCGGGTTTACTAGGACATGCCACGTTGACAGTGATTCCAAAATGAAAAGCATTAATGGAGGTATGTTTTATGCTTTCTGAAATAAAATTCTGAAATTGCAAAAATGTAAAATATTCCAGATTCATACACAGCAAATTGTCAGAGTATCCTATGATACAGTAAACTGCATTGAGCCTTCGCTACTCCCGCCCCTCGAAAACAGGACATTTGTGGTAAAACCGGTGGATCTGACAGAGTTCCTTTTCTTTTATTAAGCACATCTACATTATATCAATATTATATGAGATTTAAGTCTTGGATTGGGATATTTTAATAAAATCATTTTGTTGTCTTTTTCCTATAAAGGCTGCGTTAAAGAAAGGTGATCTTTTGAACTTAAGACGTTTCCAGCTGTTCTAGTTTCCCTTCCATGGACATTTGTGATAATTATTTATACAAAACCTCATAGTGTAATGATGAGTGTTTGTTAGAACACCTGGTGTTCTAGCAACGCTAGAATATATTCCACCATCTAAAACAAAATCCATTTCTCTGTATCTCCCAGTCTTGATAATACACCCTGAAGATATTAAATGTACAAGAATGCTGCTTTTGCTTTTTAATTATTGTAATGGTGAATAAATTATTGATTTTATGCTCACATCTTAGACAAAAGTATCTGGTAAGGAAGCCCACTGGATAAGCGCTTGTTCTTTGCTTTTGTCCCAATGAACGAGAAGTATCTCTACCAGGATGTGCAATGAACACAATGATGTTAAAAGTGCATTTCCAGTTTGTTCAATAAAAAGAACATTGTTGAACATGTTCTGATGAGTAAAGGGAACTTTCGCCTTTACCGACAGGTGACTTCCCTTTGTCTCAAACATTCTTTTTTCCAAAGTTTCAAGTCTACAGCGGGGAGAACAAGTATTTGATACACTGCCGATTTTGTAGGTTTTCCCACTTTCCAATACTTATGTCATGCAATAAACTGCAAAATATACAGTGCATCCGGAAAGTATTTACAGCGCTTCAATTTTTCTACATTTTGTTATGTTACAGCCTTATTCCAAAATGGATTAAATTCATTATTTTCCTCAACATTCTACACACAACAACCCGTAATGATAAAAATCTGTTAAAAATAAAGAACGAAAACATCACATGTACATACAGAAAGTATTCACAGCCTTTGCTCAATACTTTGTTGAAGCACCTTTCGCAGCAATTACAGCCTCAAGTCTTCTTGGGTGTGATTCCACAAGCGTGGCACACCTATTTCTGGGCAGGTTCTCCCATTCTTCTTTGCAGAACCTCTCAAGTTCCATCAGGTTGGATGGGGAGCGTCGGTGCACAGCCATTTTCAGATCTCTCCAGAGATGTTAAATCGGGTTCAAGACAGGGCTCTGGCTGGGCCACTCAAGGACATTCACAGAGTTGTGCCGAAGCCACTCCTTTGTTATCTTGGCTGTGTGCTTCGGGTCGTTGGGTCCTGTTCGAAGATGAACCGTCGCCCCAGTCTGAGGTCCAGAGCGCATTGGAGCATGTTTTCATCGAGGATGTCTCTGTACATTGCTGCATTCATCTTTCCCTCAATCCGGACTCGTCTCCCAGTTCCTCCCGCTGAAAAACTTCCCCACAGCATGATGCTGCCACCATGCTTCACTGTAGGGATGGTATTGGCCAGGTGATGAGCAGTGCCTGGATTCCTCCAGACATGACGCTTGGCATTCAGGCCAAAGAGTTCAATCTTTGTTTCATCAGACCAGAGAATTTAGTTTCTCATGGTCTGAGAGTCCTTTAGGCGGGCTGTCATGTGCTTTTTACTGAGGAGTGGCTTCCGTCTGGCCACTCTACCAAACAGGCCTGATTTGTGGAGTGCTGCAGAGATGGTTGTGCTTCTGGAAGGTTCTCCTCTCTTCATAGAACAACGCTGGAGCTCCGTCAGAGTGACCATCACGTTCCTGGTCACCTCCCTGACTAAGGCCCTTCTCCCCCGATCGCTCAGTCTGGCTGGGCGGCCAACTCTAGGAAGAGCCCTGGTGGTTCCAAAGTTCTTCCATTTCCGGATGATGGAGGCCACTGTGCTCATTGGGACTTCCAATGCTGCAGAAATCTTTCTGTGCCTGGATACAATTCTGTCTCGGCGGTCTACAGATAATTCCTCGGACTTCATGGCTTGGTTTATGCTCTGATGTGCACTGTCAACTGTGATACCTTATATAGACGGGTGTGTGCCTTCCTCAATCATGTCCAATCAACTGAATTTAGCACAGGTGGACTCCAATCAAGGTGCACAAACATCTGAAGGATGATCAGTGGAAACAGGATGCACCTGAGCTAAATTTTGAGTGTCATGGCAAAGGCTGTGAATACTTATGTACATGTGATGTTTTCGTTTTTTATTTTTAACAGATTTGCAAAATATTGCTAACAACTGTTTTCACTTTGTCATTGTGGGTTGTTGTGTGTAGAATGTTGAGGAAAATAATGAATATAATCCATTTTGGAATAATAAGGTTGTAACATAACAAAATGTGTAAAAAGTGAAGCGCTGTGAATACTTTCCGGATGCACTGTATATATTTTAAATCATACAATGTGATTCTCTGGATTTTTGTTTTAGATTCCGTCACTCACAGTTGAAGAGTACCTATGATAATAATTTCTAATGGTTAGGAATGCTTGTTTTTTATGTGCTACATATGACAATACAAGACAATGAAGCACAGCAATGAAAACGCTGGAGAAAAATGTTTCACTCCCCTGAATGAAGTTCCTGTTTACTGGAATAATTGAATGATGCCTTGTGTCTTTAGGAGTAAAGGATTGCTATTCTGTTTCAGTTCTGCAGGAAAGCTGCAAGTGACATTCAAATGTCTCCTTCTGCCGCGAGCAAAGGATGTTTTCTTAGCACAACACATCATCCAAGTAGTGATTCAAATGAAATACATTTTAAACAACAGGCTTTTTACTTTTACATTGACTACCGTGATTTAATTAACTTTTCCCTTAAGGTTAGCAATTTGCAAAGAGCAATCAAAATTATCTTTAAACACAGACTTCTACAAAATGGCATAATTAGGCTTTGGTGCCAAATAAAGCTGTCGCATTGTATTCTGTCGTTTATAATGTCTTGAGACCTCGGCACAGCGAAACATAGAGCAGGTGTAGAAAGTAAAAAAAGAAAGTTGGGAATAAAAGGTGAGCTGCTTAGAACAAAGAGTGACTTCCACTGAACCAACAGCAGCTCCCGCCCAACTTTATCATGACAGCCTCTGTTTGACTCCAGAGTAATAATGATCAGATTAGTAGTACAGCTGTTATCTTCTTGTGTCTAAGTCATGAAGCAGACGATCTGATGTTGGATGAATTAATTACAGGATATGTTGTCTCGGGAGATACTTACGTTTTAGAATCAGAGACACATTAATATTCACATCAAGTTAATCAAACATACGGTGTAATCAGTAATCACAAGTGCCATGTGACATAGTAATTACAAAAATGGGATTAGTAGTAGTTCCATACACGAGGACACATTGCAGACGCTGCAGACACTCTCCATAGTACGTGGTCTTTTTATTTTTTAAACAACATATCATTCAAAAGTGATTCAAAAGAGTTCTGGAAACCAAATTAAAACGTCTAAAAACCAAGAGAAGAGACATCATTGGTTCAACCCTTCGCTTTCCCACCTCGAAGAACCTCCAAGCTTTGGCCTTTACCTTCTGACCACTGTTGTTTAATCAACTTTTATGTTTAATTAAAATGTGAAACTACATAGCCCAAATATAGTTCGGTTCATAGTCAACGCAGATAACAGCCGCTATCAAAGAAACCTGCCATGTGGAAACCTGCAGCTTTGAAGTTAAAAAGGAGGGAGTCTAAAAAAAACAAAAAAACACTCCACATCCTGTAACAGCCTCTTCTCTAACACACCAGCTAAACCTTCATTCCTGAAATTATTCTCCACCGTGTCAGCTGACACAATAAATATTCTTTCCAAAAACAAAGAAAAGTTTAATCAACATTTCAGTACTAAAGCTCTAAACTCAGGCCAAGTAGTTTGTAACTATTGTTTGGCGACCTTGCCGTTAGTCGCCCTGGTTCCACCGGCCCGCCGCCGCCGGGACGATTCAGGGCTGCCCTTCGCTCTTCATCCTACAGGCCACAGCGGTGATCAGCGCTGCTCCCTTCCCGCTCCCATCCTCCGACTTGTTGAAGGTCACCTGGCACTGTGGTGCCAAATCCTGTAACGTCTCCTGCATGATGCTGGAGAAACTTGAAAGGGAGAGAAAAGAGAACTAGGGTTACATGCAAATCCTCTCGTATTTGTAAAACTTCTACTTGTGGTCCTGCCTGCGGTCCATCCATTTGTCCCGACAAATCCTGTCCCTTGACATGCGTGCTCCTTACTGAGGGTGCGTCTTGTAAAGGGTGCCGTCCACTCCCACGGTGATGGACAGCTGATTCAGGTTGCGGTTCTCCCGGATCTTGTCGACCACGGCGGCTAGACCGGCTCCGCAGAGCTGGGCGGCGCGGCTTGAAACCACGCGGCACACCTCCTTCACCAGCACGCTGTCATCGCAGGTGGAGGTCGTGAGGCCCAGGTGCTGCAGGATGGAGCGGATCTGTCGCATGGCCAGACGGTCGCTGGGGTGTGGGGGGGGTTCACAGAGAATAGGGGTTACACACATGACAGAGATGGCTAACATGCAGGTTGGGATGAACTTTCTTTGTAGCAATGAGTTTAATTCATTACACTTGCTTCAAGGGGTGAATGCAGTTTAATGATATAGTCCACACAATTCAAACTGCGCTTTATCATTACAAAAAAACGCCGTTTACTAGAACGCTGTTGCCATGGTGACGCATTCTTCGCCATGACAAACAAAGGTGCATTTGGTACGCACGTGTATCATAAGCTTCTTGGAGCCGTTCTCTAAACCCAAACTTCAATCATTCATTTATGTGATCTACTCGTGGATTTTCCTTTTCCATTTTGTTTTTTGTTAACAAACTTCCTCTTTGGAATTTCCACTTCGACCTTCGGCAGTACAGTCTAGAAAATAATAGATTTTCAAGTTTTCTTCTTTTAGTTTATTTAACTTAATTTAATAATGTATTATTTATATCTTATTATATTGTATATAATGTGTATCTTTTTATTCTATTTTCTTTTCTTCCCTGTACATGCTGCTGTGATACCAAAATTTCCCTCTTGAGGGATCAATAAAGTATCAATCTATCTATCTATCTATCTATCTATCTATCTATCTATCTATCTATCTCTGTGAATGAAGTCTTACTGTTAGTGTGTTTGATTAAGACAAAATGACCTAATGTGCTCTCAGCGGTTAACGGTTAACAAAAGCTTTGCGTTTAACGTGACGTGGCGGCCATTTTTCACGGATCTCCGACACGCATCTGGCTGTTTGTAACTCGACTGTACATTATCAAAACTCTCCCAAAGTTTCTGATGATCACAGTAATGCACGCAAACCCTCCGTCGGTGTGCGTGGCGGCACGAGGGGATTATGAATGCTGCTCGCAGCTTTCATTTGTTTTAGTCTCTCAGCAACTTGAACAAACACAAATGTATTTCATCTTAGAGGCCGGTAAGCCGTGAGCGACAGCACTTCATTCGCGTCGTTATAGATCACGTCTTATTGCTTTCAGCGTCTCTATTGTCTTCACACTATATGGATTGCTTCTTACTTCTCCTAAGAACCAAGTGTGGACAAGGTCCGTAATTCTCACCTTTCAATCTGCGCCAGGAACTTTGTCTCAAAGATGCACCGGGTCTTGAGTCGCTCAGACAGTTTGCCTCTGAACAGCAAGCCCTTATTGGTGAAATCTATCAGCACATTCCTCACGATCTCCCCCAGGTACATGCCGCTGATCATCTTCTCATACCTGGAAGAAAAAAAAAGACACACAATCTGAAACTCATTCACAGTTTTTAAATGAATAATATAATTCACTGTTTGTATCATATTGATATGTGGCAGCCCAAATATGCTGCAAGATGCAGATGATGTCCCATCTGAACTTATCCAGGTTTTCAGTGAAGCACTGAATGCACGGATACCAGCACAAACTGCAGCTTATTATTTTCTGCTGATGAATTAAATGCTAATGCAGCTCAGACACAAACTGTAGAATTGTTGGACCTAAACTGCAGCAACAGTGGAATCAAACGGTGAACTGCATCTGGATTTCCAGCATAATTCATCTTCCCACACAATACTGGAAGGGGCTTACAGCGCCTTACAGCGATGTCGTTGCCATGGGGACATGGCGGCGTGTCCGCATTAGACAGCAGACTCCTCTGCAATAAAGCTGATAGAGACTTTGTGTACATCCTTTGTTGAGAGGAGTTTACAACAGAAACATTGACCTATCTTCTCATTTCAATTGCTTTGTTTTATTAAAGTGACTCAAATGTGGCCTTCAGTGAGCTTTTTCAGTGTGGCTGTTTTCGTTTTAAAATGTCTGTCCTTTGCACCTTTTGGCTAATTTGTTTTCAGTTTGTTTGTGACTGGAATGGTGGAAGTGATGCTGTTTGATGAGAGTGTTGGCGGCATTGGGTTTATGTTTTTCACGCACATAAAGAAATAAACTACCCACCTCTGTTTCCCAGGATTGTTAGAGGAATTGTCCACGACGCGATCAAACTCGGTGCAGAAGTCATCAAGTTCGCCCTTGTCCCCAAACGCTCCCCACTCCATGTTGACGCACATCCGGCCGTGATCCCCCTCCACCAGCTCGATGTTCTGCATTTCCTCCATGAAGCACGCATTAGTCCCCGTGCCTGAGGTCAAGAGATGAGGACGGGTATTAACCCGAGCAACGACATGGATGAGCTTCATTCCAAAGTTTACACATAAACACTCGCTCATGATTACGTGATTAGAATGTTTAAAAATGGCTTCCAGAGAGGGAGAGTGGACAGACTTACCCACGATGAGCCCCACTTCACATTGGGGGTCTTCATAGCTGCAGGTCATCATGGTTCCCACTGTGTCATTGACCAACGCCACAAAGTTCAGGTCAAAATCCTGTAAGCAGTAATAAAAGTGATTGACACCATAATATTGGAACCACAGTGTTTTGAACTAGAAATATCAGATTTAGGATGATTAAGGTTCCTCCCCTTTGCATACGTTTGTCTTGCTTATTGGATGCTGTTCCGTTATAACCTTTTAGAAGATTGTAATTCCAGGCATCTAAGAGTAAACTACACTTCCGCGCCTCCCCTTGACTCTGTTTTCAGGCTTTAGCAAATACATCACATGTGTTCTTAACTATAATAATTTCTAATGCATTATCCCGACCCCATAACAAATGAATAAATGACACATACACATTATTATAACTAGATACTGTATCACGGCTTATGATGAAACCATTAACAATTACAACAGGTTGTATAACGTACATGTCTGAAAGCTGATTGCTCGGTCCATTTAAATTACCACATTTCTAATAAAATGTATAAATAAAGTATTTGTTCACTGACCTGTCTGCGGCGGACGGCATCTTTAAGTAAAGTAAGGACATCTTGTCCCTCACAGCCACTGGCCTTGAAACCCTTTGTCCAATTCAGAAGAATGCCCTGAAAAAATTATAACATTGATTTGTGTGTGTGAGACTTTTAGAAAGAATAATAAACCATTATTAATACTGTATGACAGCTATATTCAATTTATAATAAAATAAAAAGTGGTTAGTAACCATGTTTGGTACATTTTAAAAATGCAGCAGAATATTTGTTTGACTTTGTACTCATTTTCATTACTCAATTTCAGACACGTTTGTAAATGCAAAGGCCTGCTCAATCTAATTTACAGATTTTCATTATTTTCATGACCTGAGGCGCAGTAAGGTGTTATCAAGGTTTGACCAAAAGCTCACTGTTTGCTCGCGGCCTGCAACTCCTGCAAATACCTCATGCAAGATCATTTTGGCATTCTGATCATAACTTACTTTTAATTTTTAGTACGGTGGTCTTAAGTACGCCACATCAGCTACAGCTCCTAATTCTCAGATAACAGCTTAAACACTGTGAAATCTGCCAGAACGTAAATTAGTTTATAAATTAGCATAAATAATGCCCGACAAAAAACACCGTCTGCGTGTCAATTTTAACAGCGTCAGCAACACATTTAAGGAACCTGCTAGAGGTACTGCATCTGGCAAAACGACCAGCGCTGTCACTACCGTGTCACCTGAGGGTCGTGCTGTTCCCTGACATGAAAGAGGAAATGGTTCGATATGAAAAAGGCCTCGGCACAGAAAGGAGAATCACGACTCAAAAGGAGCTAGAAGAATGATTTCAGTCGTTTGAGATCAGTACATGGACGTTGCAATCAATAGCCAATTACAATTGCTACATGAGTAAATCATGAGTAGAAATGCCTTCAGAAAGGCGTCCTGTCATCTAAACAAATTGTTTTCAGCGATGAAGCTGAAAAACAAACTGATATAGTTTCTTCAAACTTGATGTCGATGCTTCAATATGTACAAATTAAAGCTATTATTACAAGAATGTTGAATTGAGCATTACCTGATCCAGTTTGCTCTGGTGACAGGGGAAGGAGAAGGTAAATCCCATAGGTATGGATGCTCCTTTCATGCCCATGTACTCAAGGAAGTCGCCGATGCAGCACACAATGTGGCCGAATAGCTGCCGCAGGAGAAAAAGACACTGAGGTTAAACGTCTGAACTGAATGCATTTCATGCGGACATCGCAATCTTTTTTATCAGAGGACCAGTTTTGAAAGAGGGGTTCATACTTCATCCCCTGTGCCCTGCATAATCTCCTGTGGGATACTGTAGATCTTGTGGTGCATGTCAACATTGTGTCCCTTTTCACTTCTCAGTCGCACCAGCAGCACCCGAAAGGTGGAGCCCCCAAGGTCCAGAGCCAAGTAGTCGCCGTGCTCTGATTAGGGCAAAAGAGACCGCAATCAGGGACGTGGACATGGAAGCAAAATAGACAACTCGATATCAAGCAGAACATTGGATTTCCTTTGAAGGGTACCTGTTCCATCTGGTGTGGATCTGACGAAGGTGGGAAGCATCTTGACACTCGCCTCCTCATGCGTTAGTTTAGACAGGCCTCGCGCCATTTCCTCACTCATTCGCCTCTTCACCTCCAGCAGCTTTTCGCGGCTCAGACGCAGGGTGTCGAGGATGCGCTGACGCTCGGCGTGTTGCGCGGCGAGACGGTAGGCCACTGCTGTTACCATGGCGGCACCTTTCCCGCTGCCACACTGCGACTGCAAGAAGCGCACGTCGCAGTCCGGCACGAGCCGGCGTACCATCTTGTGCAGCCTCCTGGAGAACCTAAGACGAGTGGATACACTTTGTAATGTCTGTGGTTACAAGAATAGAAAGTGAATGTCATTTATGATTCACGTATAATCTATGGGCCCTTTGTCTGGCTTACCCCTCTCTCTCTTCCCCTCTATCCAACATCCACCTTTGGTCTTTTTACACACAATTTTGTGTGCTTCACGACATTATTACATGAGCTGTTGAACTTAACAACATCCCAATATTATATATATATATAAAAAAATTATCAACATCAAAGGCTTGTTGCTGAAGCCGCAGCTCAGATTCGTCCAAAGAACATCTTCCAATGGCCGTCCATTCATTTTTCTCTTGAAATGAGTTCTGACAATAAACCTCTTTCCGAAGACTAGAAAATAACTATGATCATTATTCTCGTGGTCAACACATTCAGCAGTGAAAATATACTTTTTCAACACGTTGATTAAATCATGGCCTTTGTCTCCTATCTGACTTGCATGCATTCAAAGGTGACCTTGCTTATTGAATACTGAGATAAATGAGCTTTTCGATGCCTATAACATGAATGGATACTTCATATTCACTGTACAAGTGTATGTGTGTGTGAGAGAGAGAGACACCTACTCTGGATGATTTTTGTAAACAGAGCCGTCCACCCCAATAGTGGTGCGCAGCTTCTCTGCTGCTTTGTTGTCCCGGATCTGTCGCAGCACGGCCACCAGAGTGGCAGCGCACAAGTGTGCGGCTCGAGTGGACACGATCTGACACACCCGCCGAGTGGTTCTGCAGTCCTCCACCGACGGGTCCAGACCCAGGCCCTGCAGCACCTGCTGCGCACTCGCCAGACCTTCCTCATCCCTGCAGGCAATGGAGAATAAATACACATAAATACTCATAGATCTCACAACGTCCAATGAACCATCTGACAAAAATCTGTGTTTTTCTAAGCAGATGTCAACATTACTCCATTGCCATTTAATAATAATCTGTATGTCTTTATCTCAAAAGGGTAAACTTTTCATCATCAACCTCTCTCGGAAGAAAACCCCGCCCAAACTAACTTGTCATTCTCAATGGCAAAGATGTGGCTGGTGTTGAAGCTTCCAGTGGTGAGCAGCTGTGGTGTGGTCTTTCCCTGGAACAGCAGCTGCTCTTTGGTCATTCTCAACAGGATGAGACGCACCAGTTCCCCCATGTACAGGCCGCTGACCATCTTCTCAAACCTGCACGGCAACACAAGAAACTATTGTCACTTGCTTGAGAGGGTGATTCACGCCTTAAACAGACCAAACACTCATGAAAGTGATGTTTCAATTAGGACGCCCTTGGATATACATGTCAGAGGAAAGAACTGGATACATATCACAGTTTGTAAAGTACAGAAATAAATAAATGTAAAGTACTAACATGGAAAAACAATTTATTAGAAGGAATGAACAGCCAGAAACACAAAACCTCCAATTGGCCGAACTGACTGTGGGGAAATTTGCTCTACTCTCTTTCTACCTGTAGAATTCCGCTGTGAACCGGTTCGGTGTTTTATCTGTATTTTTTTGACATTCTTTAACTCACTAAATTATAGGCCAAGATCACCAAATGTAAATTAATTATAAAACCGATCCTTTCTTTTGTAATTTGCCAGTGGAGCTACCACTGAGGGATGTTTAATGTTGCACCGGGTGAAAGACACTCACAGCTGCTTGCCGGGGTTTAGAGAGCCCGCATCGATTTCCCGGTCAATGCCGGTGCGCAAGTCCTCCAGGGAACCATCGTCTCCAAAAGCGCCCCACTCCGTGTTAACACACATCCGGCCCTCATCCCCGTCCAGCAGATCAAGGTTCCTCATGTGCTCCATGTAGCAGGCATTGGTCCCCGTTCCTTGGGGGAAGGGATGTTAGCACCAAAATGACCAAGTAGTTGTCATTCAAAAATTCACTATCATTAAAACCTGGGCTCTTCTTCTTCTTCTTCTTCTCCCGACATTAGAGGGGGTTGACATGGACTCCAGGATACTTTGCAACTTCTACAGGTGCACCATTGAGAGACAACACTGATTGCCTGCATTTACAATTGCATTCGGCGATGCAGGCGATTGGATGCGGAGGACCTCCACATGCAAATGTCTCAGCTGTCTCCAACGACGGCAACGTGTATTATTTTGTGTGTTGACTAATACCGGGTCACTCAAGTTAATCGGTTCTCATGTAGAAAACTCAAGCAGCAAAACAAGCTCATTAACATGCTGGTTGAGTCTGCGATCCTCTGAGGGAAGTATAAAAAGAACAAAGAAGGGCATCAGATCCGCCTTTATCAGACACACCTGCAGACGACAGTAAGGACGTCTCAGGGACGGCTTCACTCGCAGCCCATAAGGACACTTCAGTTTGTATCAATTCAATCATTTGTTATTCCCCTGCACTCTTAATAGATGATAAATGAAGGCTCAGTATGGTGATACCTGGTAATGTGCATGCCAGCTCGCTCTCACGGCTCACCGCTGCACTTGACTGGATCTGGGCCTTAGTTAACGTCGTTAGTACCATCTAAGGTTTCCCTGTGTGACGTGTCAAAATGTCTAACGGCAGGTTAGTCGGGCAGGAGTCAGTCAGGCAGCTCGTTTGGCCCCGCCCAGTCTAATACGTGAGATAAGGTCAAAAAACAATGCCTGCTATTTGATGGAAATTCACCGGCGGACCAGAACTCACCCACAATGAGGCCTATTTCACAGTGATGATCATCGTAGCCGCAGGTCATCATGGTCCCCACCGTGTCATTGATCACAGCCAAGATGTCAACGTCAAAGTCCTGCAAGGAGATGGGATCCAATTGGACACATTGAAATCAACACAGACGCAAAGTTGTTTTGACAGCACGCACGAAACGAAAAGTATTAAATAAGGTTTATATGCTACTCAAAACTACTACTATTTTTTTGGATACACTTCAGAATCATTGACGCCTCCGACGGCCCTCATAACTCGAGGTGTCATGTCACCTCGCCGTTACCCACGTCACTTTCACAGGGTGCATGCAGAGGTGGCAGACACACCTAGACAAGCCAAAACTTGAAATGGAAATGATCACAGGGTGAATTAAATAAGTGCGTCTGAATCGTTCTTTGAGCTCTTCTTCTTCTTGTTGGAAGTCTGAGACCTTCATCCACACGTTGAGACGCCTCCGTTTATCAAAATAGCCGCTTGCTCCCGCTCGGATCCGCATGTTAATCACTGTGGATATCGCCTGCAGCTGGATTCTCAACGCTGCAATAGCAACGATGAAGAAAACATATTAACAAAGACTTTTTGTTGTTCTTAGTCCTAACATCCTGCACGGCTGTGTGTGGCGACACAATCGCTCTTCAGATGCGAATGCGTCTCTCGGGATGCTGCAACCAGCAAATGTTCACTTTGAAATTGAAATCCGTTCGGCGCGGCACGCTTGGAAAGCCACAGAGAATCGATATTTGTGAGCTATGAAACAATGCTCATTCCCTCAAGGCTATCCTCCTCTCAGGCACTGAAAGGAAAGGAGGAATAACACGTCAAATGGCCTCACCTAATCTCCTAATCTCTCCACCCGCCTGTAGTGTGTGCCGGATGAGTTCGGAACCTTTACTCAGTTTCCCACAGTTGTTTACTGGATGTGTTTGCGCATTAGCCACCACCAAGCTGTTGTTGTGTTCGGACCGAACGCGCGAATGTTTCCCCTCACGTCGAAACATTGTCAGCTACCGCAGACGCATGTTTGCGTCGATCGGAGCCTTTCTGAGCACACCGGTGCGTAATCCCGCGGCGTGCGGGCGCGCCACCTCGGGAATTCGCTCCACGTTCAACACACTTCAACACACTATTTCCAGACGCTTCTCCTCCATTCGTGGGATTCAGGAGGAAAAGTGGGTCCGGTTCGCTCGATGCTGAAAAGCTTCCGTCGAGGAGTGAGTCAGAGCGAGCTGGTCACTGCGAGCTGTCGGGGCTCTTTGGAGCTCATTTCGAAAAGAAATTCCCTCAAGCTTCAATCAGAGAGGGTCAGCGCAGCATAACCCCCAGATTGAGCCGGTCCTTTGTGCTCCAGAAGATGTTTTCTTTTAGGTCCGGAACTATAACAATAAAACTGCAGGTATATAACTACGACTTGGAAAGAAAAGTACATATTTATTGTCGTTCACATTTTTGCTCTTTGTCACATTGCAGTGTTCACAGGTATGAAGGGCTTGTACTCCTTTTTTTTCAGCTTTTGTTGTTACATTTCTTTGTATTATCTTCATAGACTAAACAAAATAGACTTCTAGGTCGCTGTAAGTTTGCACACTTTGAGAACGTGTGTAAATAGAACATAATGTACCATGAAATTGCTAGATTTTTTGTACACTTACCCCTCGTTTTTTGATGGATTTCCTTAGAAGGCTGACCACGTCCTTTCCTTCTACTCCGCTTGACTTGAAGCTTTTGGTCCAAGACACCAAAACACTCTGCAAAAAGGAAAATAAAAGACATACAGTTAAACCAAGATGATCTTCAGCTAGCCTGACCTTTAAATTAGGTATTTAAAAATAACCATAGCTGAAATGATTAAAACCTCATAATAACCAGAATAAATGAATGATGTCAAACCTTTTTAAGAGTTTCTAGCTGTACGATGCTAGACGTTACGACGTACGACGTTATGATTGAGAAAAGTAACAAAGTAACAGCAATGTACTGATTTAGATGAACTTCCTTATGTCCGGATAAAAAAGTTCAACTTGTGAATGTTTCCTGCATTAGGCTGCGCCTATTATCCTTTTGTATTCTTCTCTATGAGTTCGTGAAGGACAGCTTTTTGTGTCATGTTTTTCTGCTTGGGAACCAATTAGCTTCGGTGACCCTGTATTACTCACTAAAGAAATAGTTGCGGGTGACATCGATCGAGACAACGAAGCTTGTATTTATATCCACGTGCTTTGTTCCCTTTGTTCACTTCCACATTAATATCGTATTTGTCCTTTAATATCAGGAAACGGTTACTATTTACAGGTTGTCACGGCAGTGCTGTGATACTACCTACTGAGCGGCAGGGGTCCATTTTAACTGGAACCACAAAGATGGCATTAAATTAGTGGCTTAAATAAGCATTATGAACTAATGTGATAGGAAGTATCTGCACTACACAAAATATTTATGGACTATATATGTGAGTGGTCCTGACTTGGAGACTAAGCAGGAGAAAATCCCCAGGTTTGCAATCCATCTTCAAGCAATCAATCGGTGGATGTGAACTGTCTGCATCGTTGTAGACTAATCTTTAATCTGTAATTCAACATAGAAACATTTCCACCATAAATTGGTACAGAAATGTATGTTTTTTCCTGCCTCTCATCCTGATGAAAGTGTCGGGTCGTCTTGGCGCAGGGGTTAGAGAAGGTGTGATGGGAAGCACAAGGTTGGTGGTTCGATTCCAGGCTGCCCCATGTTCCATGACGAAGTGTCCCTGAGCAAGACACCTAACCCCTAATTGCTCCCCGGTCAAAAATGTGTAAAAGCCATGGGTTTAAAGTGTAAGTAATGTAAGTCACTTTGGATAAAAGCGTCTGCTAAATGACCTGTAATGTAATGTAATGAAAGCGGTCGTATTGTTACTGCAGTCAAATGCAAAAGCTCCAACAGCGGCTCATTTGGACGCTCAGAGCCGAGGTGGGCCCCAAAGTACGTTAGTTTGGATCAAGAGACTTGATCGTTGTCATTGGGGGAAAAAAATAGTCCCACGCCATTGGCTTTGATCTCATTATGGCATCTAGTAGATAAAATATCTTAAATCACTCACTTCGTCCAACTTGGTCTGCTGGCAGGGGAAAGAGAAGGTGAAACCCAGAGGAAGCTTTTTCTCCTTTATGCCCAACTTCTCCAGGAAATTAGCCAGGCAATCAGCTATGTGGTCGAATAACTGCAGGACAAAGAAAAGGTCAGTTTTCTTATTAACCAAGTGCTCGTTTTCCGTGTGTGAGTGTATCAATATGCATACTGAACAGTCTAGAGTTGGGACGGGAACACCAGGAAGCGCGTGTTGCCATCCTATTGTTTCTTTCAGCCTCAATCTTCTACTTTCATTTTTTTCCCCCTGCTGTTTGGAATAATCGCTTTCACACTCAATCGTCTGATCCATCAAGTTATCGGCTAAAAACGTGATTTAGTTATGAGTAAATGATCACGGTAAACAGCCAAAGCTGATCTCCCTGTCTGTACATTTACACAAACAACCTCCAAACCGGAGGAATATAATTGATGAATGTATTGTTAGTCAATAGGCGCCCCTCCACTCCTTGATTAATTGATCTAATCAATGGTGTCTTGCACACTGAATACCTTCCAATACGAACACGCGTCATTCTTTCTCCCTGACAAAAGCTTTGCTCTGTGTACGAGGGGAGTATTGTTATGAACAACTTCTGGTTCCTGAAGCCGGTTAGAAAATGGAACTTTTTTTTTTAATCGATGGCAAAATACTTGGATTTGTTAACCTCCTCCTCCTCGTTTTTTTCTGGCAAAGACAGATGTTGAAAACAAGCAGATCTCTAATTAAGACCTTCTGTCAGTCCGCGGATTTACTAGAAGTTTTATGAATTTCTAAACAAGCCAGAGGACAATTTGCAATATGTATGAGAGAAAAGTTGTAGCAGAACGTTTTGCAGTATATAAATGAATGAAAACAGATAAGAGTAGATGTTTTTACTGTGTTGGCCTTCTAGCTATTTATATGAATACATGATGCAAATTATCCTTGGTTTCTTCATAATGTAAAAATTGATTTGGAGTGGAGCTATATGGCATGCCATTACTTTCGGAAAAGTATTGATCTTTACAATACAATCCATAAAACAGTTTGCAGTACATGTAGGCTGTGTGTTATTAATTACCTGTGACCCGCTGCCTCTCATGAGGTGTTCAGGAATGGCATAAATCTGATTTTCCATCTCCACCTCCTGCTTGCCGTTGGCCATAACTTTAACCAGAAGCACCCGGAAGTTGGACCCGCCGAGATCGAGAGCCAGGAATTCACCTTGCTCTTTGAACAAAGTTTGAACACCATACGTCACATATCAAACATCTGCCAAGATCAAGTGCCAGCAATTCAAACAGATGCAGAATATAATAAAAGGTACAAAATAACGTGTCACATGATATCACGCACCCACACACCCACCCCCACACACCTGTGGTGGGCTGTCAAGGTCAGCTGAGCCTTCTCTGCTGGCTTCACAAGGAATCACGAGGTTAAGAGCCATTTTATAATTTATTCATTTTTTATGAATACACCATATGTATATTAATTATTTTCCCAATTTTCAGATTTTGTTGTTGCACAGCTGCTGTCTTTCTCTGTTGCTTCCAGCGCAGCTTGTGTTAAAGAGAGCTTCCATCCAATCACATTCAGCCCCCCCACGTCGCGACGTGAGACTTTGCAGATCAAGGCGCATGGGGACGATACTGTTGACTGTCATCGTCTTCAACCAATCGGATCTTCAGTTTGCCGTGTCGGGCTTGGTAGCCTCACGGCTACGTTTGTATTAACGTACAACGTGCGCCCTGATTGGTCAGTGGGCGGGCGAAAGACAGCTAGCGAGCAGATCTTAGTATTCAGTCAGAGTTCAGGGGGAACTTTGTAAAAGTGAACTGCTTTTGTTTGTACACGTTAACAAGTTAATTTGTCTATTGTCTTGTTTTCATTAAATATTTAATATCGTTCCCTCTGATGTGATGAATATTTGAACGTCCCGTGCTCTTGCGTGTTTTAGTGCCGCAGTTTGGTTGGATCGTTTTGTTGTGATTAAATGTGACAGGTTCTTGCGTGTTTGTTCTTGTCATGGGGTTAATTACATTGATATGAATATGAATATGTGCATTGTCTGTTAATTACGCAGCATCCTGCCATGCACGTACTCACGTATCTGCAGTTTGTGTATTCGTTGGTGTCCAGCTTCATGTAACATTTTATTTTTTCATGTTAGTCTTGTGTGAATATGAGGTGTTTACGCAGAAAGAAAAAAAAAACCTGTAACCGTGGCGTCGTGATGAGGGTTTGAAGTTATGAAACTGTAGCGAGACAGCACAGAAAGCCCAGGTAGAAAATGTCCGGCACACACACACACACACACATCTAACAATATCAAGTGCCAGGAATTTACCTCGCTGTTTGAACAAAAATGGAACCTACTCTTTGTGTAATTTCATTTTTAATTTAAAGTGCCTCTCTGTCAAATATTATTGACGTTCCAGCAACGACTGAATGCCTGAAAAGAACACAGTGCAACCCGGCGCCTGAAGAAACAATGTTGATCCTTAATCATAAAATAAAGTATTTTGTGTTTCTGTGAAAAGAAGCGCCATCTCATGTTCGATCTCCTGCTGGGTGACATCATGGCTGACGAAAGCAAAAGGTGTTATTCACATACAATTGATTGTTCAGAGAAAGTGTGAATGACATGGACCAGAGGATGCTGATCATTTAACAGCAGGCTAATGTGAATGGGTCCAACGTGACATCAATGATCCAATTTTATGCATTTTATCATGCATTACCTGTTCCATCAGGAGTGGAACGCACAAACGTGGGCAGCATCTTGACAGCGGCTGTGGGGTTGGTGTCTCTGCACAGGCCTTTGTCCATCTCTCTTCGAAATCGTATCGACAAATCCATTATAGTCTTATCTGACAGCTGAAAATGGTCCAGGTATTTGTCCACCTAAATAATGGCAAAGAGGAGAAAAGGTCACATGCCAGGCAAGAAGTTATACATCACGAAATACCTGAAGATTGTGAAATGTTTTACATAGAAAATGGACAATCCTGTATCGAGAAAAGCTCCAAAGCTCTTTAGGTCGGTTTCTTTTTTTTAATTTTAAGTGTTGTAAACTGTCTGTGAGTTTCCATAGCGAGTGCATCAAATGATAATGAAAAGCAATTAACTGCAAGCAGAGCTGCATTCACTAACACGAACATATACCTTTCCACAGGAGAGCGTTCCAGCCTGCTTCAACGCAGCCACCAACCTCCCATGGGTCCCAAAACACCTACGGTCTCTGGTCAAATGTCAGGACATGGGACACTCTCCCCAAACTCTGATGAAGCGCTTTGACAAACTGGTTCTCCCGCATACCAAAAAACAACACCCTCTCCAGCCTCACCGCTTGGCAGAAAGAGCCAACAGACCCGCAGGAGACAACGTGTCCACTGCTCCCCACTTCGCCCATATATACATATCACGAAAAACAAACACGCGCTTCAGTTCAGCTGTTTGTTAATTAAAAAGGTCAGTATTTAACCCCGGTGAGACTGATTAATACACTTAGCTCTGTGGGCTTCAGTGTGGTATTAAGACACACGGGGACCCCGGGGCGGCTCGGGATTGGCAGCCACACGTCCTGCGCTGTGTACTCAGCCCCCTCGTCTCCACGCCGTGTTGTGCACGGCGTGGAGACCACGATCTGCCACTTCACAAACAAACAATGACGAGAGTTTTCGCATTGAGAGGAAATAAACAGTCGTGCAGAAAAGCCGCAGTAAAACTACGGTTGATTTAGGGGGTTGGAAAAAAAGAAGAAGACATTCACTGCGGTCTACATCCGTTTTGAGCTTCATTCAGCATCACAACCTCACACGGTGGTCACGCATTTCAACCTTGGTGGGAGTAAAAAGCCAATGAAAGGCTGCGTTTAAGAGAACTCAAGAAGCCAAGAATCCTCAACAACTCAAATCTGTACTTCTTTAAAGCAATTCAAAGTCTGCTTGGGTTTACTTTGAAACACGCATCCTTGAAAAAGGTTCACCTCGTCCCCCACGGCCAGCACTTGTATCTGGGCAAAACATTTGACAAATAACCTGTGTGGAGGACACGGTTCTGCCGGTTCGCCTCACAGCCACTCAATGTCCGCACCGCAACGTGAAAGCGGAGAGCAGCGTTTAGTCACAAATAGCTCGACATAATGAGGTGAGATGGACTTTTCTGATTGAGACCATGGAAAACAGATTTTCCCATCTCATATTATCACATTAAAAAAAAAAGCCGGGCCTAGTAACTGGCATGTTTTGTTTGTCCCAGCGAGTGAGCTCGGGGGGAGGAGTGAGTGGGGGAAACATCATTTTTGCCTGGCATTAACCAAAGGAACAGGCGCAAATGCAGTTGTTATTTTTTTTCAAGTGACATTTGGCGCCTCAGAAAAACAGAAATCAACTGCAAGTACAAAGACAGCCAACAACAGCAAGACGAATGGATCAATGAGTTCCATTCAATTGTTGTTTAAGAGTCACAGTTCATAAAAAGAGCTTCCCAAGCCTACTATCCTGTCTACCGCTGATTACATGAGACTTCTATGTACTTAATAAGAAACAGAATAACAGGAAATGATTACCTGTATATGAAATGTGTAAGGAATTAGGTATTCTACGGAGGAATGTTTCATAATAAAAACAGTCCAAGGATTTATGTTTAAAATGAATACTACTTTATTCAGACATTATTACCCATTTAAACCTCTACTTTTCCTGCCCTCATGACACGACTTCAACGCCACACTAAAACATGCCCAGATTAGGTTACATACTGCCGGAACGATGTAAATGCAGCAGGTAAACATATTACACATGCGTGCATTCAACAGCACATGCAATGTCCCAATAAATATATATGTATATGTGTAATGTGCATGCAGAGTGGCTCGCCGGTTCTTACGAAGCGGTGTCATTCCAGAGGAAACGTCACTGACGTCGACATTACCTTGACGTTACGTGCTGAGACGCGGAGTCGGACCACTTTCACACAGTAAAAGTTAGGCCTTCATATATAACGTCCGGATAGACTAAACATCTCCAAATAAATCCCGGCGGGTGTTTAGCAGAAGTAACGTTACTCACTGGAAGCGCTTGGTCATCATGGTGCTCGGCACAGAAATCAGCCAAAAGACTCGAGGCTAACATCTTTCTGTCGTATGTGTGGCGACTTAAATTAAGTCCGGCTTGTCCGCCTGCTTTAGAGTTGAAAACGGTTGATCTCCGAGGCCAGTTTAAAAAATAATAATACACACTAATGGAATAATTACTCCGTTCCTCGTCCAAACTCAAGGCTTCAAACTTTAAAGTTAGTTTTAAAACGCAGCAGTAGGAAACTGCCAACTTCCTGGAGCCGCTGGTATCTTGCCGACGTCATACCATGAAGCTGGCGCTGATTGGCTGCAAAGAAGCTCCGTGTTGATCCCTTTTTTTTCTCTACTAAAACGTAATCGACGTAACGGGGAGTGGACAAACCAATGCGGGCCCACAACAACACAACTGCTACTTCTGAGAAGCCTTTAGCATCTTTTGGTTTTCCACAAGAACAAGTGTTTCTTTTTTTCTCCTTTTTACTTCTAGGCATCCACTACTGTATTCAAGCACAGTTTCAATGCATTTAACTTGGGTTAGGCTACTTTGCACTCACTTCATTCAACCACAGTGATATTTTCTTTGGAGATTATGGATTTTCATGGAAAATGTATCACTATATATATATTGACACCCCACACTAGCATCAGTCATTGAGATATTTTACATTTGAGATATTTTACATTTCTCAGAGGCTGATGTATGTACGCCATATACAAAACGCACGTGTGCCTCATGAAATCAGGCATGCATTGACATTTGAATATGTATGGGATGAATAGTTATGAGTTGAGAAAATAACAAATAGCGATAATTTGAGTGAGGTTGATGTTTATGGATAACGGCAAAAAAAAAAGTGTAGGAAATACAATTCATCTGCATCTCTTCAATAAGCTTGCCACAAACAAGGTATAGGTTGTTGAGTATGACCTTGCAAAGCTCTGGTTCTGGTGTTTACTCGTTTTTTACATCAGCACAAACGATTGCAAATGCAGGATGGCTGCAGGCAGACTGTGAGGAGCAATGCTCTTGGGAAACGTGAAATACTTTGTAGCATCATTGAATGGAATTGGCATGGCAACCACAGGAAAGAAAGACGTTATATGATGAAGATATCGGAGTTGTAGATTCAGTGCATGTCTCATGTGGAACATGAGACGTTTTTGCACTCAACGCTCTATACATTTAATTAGAGGTCTGACAGGAGTAGGTTTGAAGTTATTAGTGTATTGTACATGATGTGTTTTCAGTAGTACTTAAAATACAATGCATGGCAAAAAAAATCTCTCTCAGTCTCTCAAACTATTCTCTCAGATATATAAAAAGCCTTGATGAATAATGCATTCTGACAACATACATGTTTAAAGCACAAAAACAACTAAAGCACATAGACAACTATAGCTTTATGAAATACTGTGAGAAAAACATTTTAGTAGAGTTGCAGCTGTATCTCAATAATTAAGTGTGTGTGTGTGTGTGTGTGTGTGTGTGTGTGTCTGTGTACATATGAAAGAATGTGCTTTCATTTGCATGGGTGACAGTGTGTGGTCGTCCGCCCCACTGTAAACGCCCCGGTACCCTGCAACAAAGAAAAAAAACACGATGCCCTTTGCATGAAACTTAAACAGCTTCTTAATGTTGCTGAGTCTATTTTTTCTGATTGAGGATGATTTTGGGGGATTCTTGATGCCCACAGCATAAAGGGTGTTGAGAAGCACCTGTCATGTTTTTTTTCAGGACAATGACACGCGTGTGTGTGTCTGTCTGAAGGCAAACTTCAATAAGAATCAAGCCGGGTCTCCTGCCACCATCAGTACCGTGTAACGTTCTTCCTTCTCAGCAGCTCTGGCAGTGGGAGTATGACATAAAGTGTGTTATGTGATAGTTTGTCTCCGGAGAACTTTCTGTCACCTCAAGTACCACAGGCTTGACCTGATTCTTTTCTGGCTGTCCATCAACAGTTTTGCCCTCAGTAAGCTTGCATGTTCCACGCATAGGGCCTGGTGTGATACCCAGCTTGTTTTGCCATGTCTCTGTGGTTCACTTGCATGCAGATTAATGGCATAGACCTCAACAGAGAGAGTGTGTGTTTGTGTGTGTGTTCATCTGTGTATCATTCCAAGTACAAAAGTGTGAGCCATGTGACACAGATGCTATTGTAACACTTGTCGTGATTATCGTGACTATTCAAAAGAAAAAGCAAAATTAAAACATCAAAAATTATGACCTAAATAATCAACCATCTAGAATAATTAAATAACTGAATGCTAAAATCAAATAAATAGCTAAATTATATTTTTGGCAGAAGTGTAGCATTAGTAGTTGGACACATTGTGGCTGAACGGTATTTAACCATTAAATCCATCCTCAAATGGCCCGAAGGGGACGAAGTTAATTAAAGACGTGGCACAGGTGCGGTCACAGTAGCTCGCGCGATTTACAGGAGAAACGGGCAACGAGTGCAGCCACGAGGGCCCAGGTTGTATAGATGTTATTGATCAAAATGAAGGTGCCAGAGGAGGAATTAATGAGCGATATTTTGAAGCGCTTAACGGGAGAGTCCGCTCTGCCCGAATACAGCAACATCGAGAAGTTCAAACGGGGAAAGGAAGGTTTTTACTTTGTCGCGGAGGACTTCAGTCAAACTGTGAAAAAGCGAGAACTGGTCAACGCAAAGGAGCGACTGCGAGTGAGTGTTGGTTTTTAAATTACACGGTGTCAAACATTTATACGTGTTTGGTGGTGTCTGAAGTTACCGTTCAGTTTCTGCTCAGCATGCAAATTCGTGTTGCGCTCTTGTCACTTAGCATTAGCATTAGCTAGCAGATTAGCCTAACGTTAGCTGCAGCCTAGCTTGACTGTAGCTAAAATGTTAAAACTTAAAAAAAGATTTATATTTTACATACTACTGAATCTTTTTCTTCTGTTCCGCTGAAGGTAATCAATGTTCGCGCTGGTGTATTTTCGTGTATAAAAAAAACACATTATTAATTAAAGTTAACGTTACATGATGAATTTACCTGTGAATATTAATGTTATAAAATGAACGCCCCATTACAAATTTGTAAAAGTACTTTTACATGAATTCGTTGAAGAAAGCAAATTATATCACGAATGCTGTAATCCGAGGAATTGCATACATTAATATAAAAGGTCATGATGTAAATAAAAATGTCTTTTATTGATGTCTGGAAATTGTTAGGCATGTGTCATAGTATTGTGATTTTAAAGAGCTAATTTAGTTAACACGATTAAATTGGCTGGATTGTATCCATTTCAATTCAGTTAGGGAAGGTTCACTAAATGAGTATTTTAAGAGCTGGGCTGCCTTGTGTTTCTGCAACAGGTACAGAACTGATTTCTCCATTTAAAAAATAAAAAAAATCCTCTCCCTGTTGCACTTCTCTTCCTGCATTCATTAATAATCCAGTAAAGGAAGAAGTGGCCAGACTATATTAATGATCCAAACGTGGGATTTTTACTCTTTTAAAAAGTATGGAATTGTATCCAAATCCATGCATTTCGTCCTGCTTTATAATGAAGCCGGCATTAAGTGATCAGGTGTTCAGGTATGATACTACACTAGCTCATATAATGGTCTGTTAAACTAAAAAGTGATTTGGGAATTTTACGTTTTTAAATTTGAATTTAGCTCTTATTTACATCCCTGACACATTGAGTATTTTATTTAATTTACAACCCCCTGGACTCGACTTGCTCATTTGTCTTTCAGCAACGTTTTTAGTCGGGTTTAAAACTTTCTGCACATTCATAAACATCCCTCCCAAACACTGTCTGTCTCTTTAATCTCACCTAGATCTCACCTCATCTTCTCCCCCACTGGCCTATTGGTAGCTTGCAGTTTTAAGACAGTGGGCTTTTTTAAGGAAATTATTAAAGAGGTCTGCAGCTCAGAATGTCACCAGAATGTAGCGAATCTGCTCCTCTTTAACAATTTGTCCGGGCTTTTAGGAGTTGTGTGTTCAGGAGTTGTGTTCCCAGAACATTGAGACATGTACAAAAATATAAGGAATGATATTGCCTTATTGTGCTTGCATCGGTCTTTCAACAGAATATGTACACCAGGAGACTGTGATCATTATATATGATTGCATTTTAACACAAAGAGGAAACTTTTATGCCTTCTGAATGTTATGCTGGGTTTTTGAAAAAACATTTGTAACCTTGAGCAATAAAGGATGAAGTCCAGACAAATGTCTCTGCTTAAAGCATGTAGCAATATTTATTCCTCATCATTACTTTGCTCTCAGGTCAGAAAGAACAATTTAATGATCTAATCAGGCCAGTTGCTTATGAAACTTTAACCTCTTTTCTATATAGATCAGGAACTTGAACACCATGTTCTCCCGCTTGAAACGCATGGTTCCACTAATGAGACCGGACCGGAAGCCCAGTAAAGTGGACACGCTCAAAGCTGCAACCGAATACATTCGATTGCTTGTTGCGGTGTTGAAGGACGCAGACAAAGTAAGCACTGCATTCAACAGGACTCAAATCGATTATCAAATTACCCAATCCAATTACAAAATTATTTCTGAGATGTTGATTAGTGTTATTTTCTTTTTCACAGGATGATGGTTGTGGGACTGATTTCCTAAAGAATGCAATCACTTATGGTCAGACCGACGGCTTTGACAATGACCTGTGGAGGGTGGAGGACGTGAGTTTAGTTTTCCTCTTCTGACAAGGGGTTGCTACATATTAGTTTAGGTTAACTAACCCATTCAGTGTGCAGCCGGGGATCTCGTCCATGTGTGTAAACATTGTGTGCATTGGCTGTGGCAAAAATTAAATCTCCTAGTAAATATCATGGCTGTGATGAAAATGAAGGGAATCCCTGTCCACTGCAGTTTATATGTATCTTTTTTTTGTACTTGTGCACATTAGATTAAATGTAAAACAATAATTAGAAGGTGGAATTTGAGCTTAAATGGTGTTTGAGGGCATTCATGGATTGAAAGATACTTTAACTTTGTCTAAAGAGGGGGGAATTATCTGGCCTATGGATTATAGCCTGTTGCATTGAAAAATACATCGCATGAAACCATCTAAACATTTGGAAAGTCTCAAAAAAGAAGACTTAAATTCTGAAGTTCCTGTGTATCCATTTCACATCGCTCTATTGCAGAATCAAGCCTTAAAGTTCAGCGCGTGGGAGGCTGCCCTTTTCCACTTTGACACAGTCTTCTTCCTAATGGCAAAGGTTCACATCCAGAGAACAGCGAGGATGTTCAGAGTCTGTAGTTAATTTTGTTGCAGACTATGTGCTGTCTGTGTGTCCGACAACGTCCCATTGACCTTAACCTCCGGTGTCCCAACAAGTGATGAATAAACATCCAATGAGCAATATTAACACTCACTTTATTTAGCGCCTCTGATGCCAGAGATTTTTAGACACTGAACTAAAATCAATGAATCAAATTTCACTCTTGGCTTTTCGTCAGAGATAAAAGTGCTAAATGCCGAGGATGCCACCTTATGACCTGCACTTGTTCTTGTCCTCAAATTTATATTTATCCAACACTGGCTCAACTTCCTTCTTGAGCAGAAAGACCTCGAAATTCTCAAAGCATTTTATAAACATTGAGGCCAAAGGTTTATTTTTCCATACTTACTTACTACAGTTTCACAATCCAATCAAATCTGACATTTTACCACACAAGCTTAATGTCTTAGAATCACTTCCTGCGTGTAATGCTGTTGATTTTTTTTTTTTTTCCTCCTCCTGACAGTTGCTGAACTTGTCCGAGGAGCGGATGGAAGACGGATTCTCCATGACCCCGGACCCGGTAACGGAGGACGGAGGAGATATGACCCGACTGATGTTGCAACACTGCGTGATGCCTGCCTACCAGTTCATCCTCCAAGTGGCACCTGATCAGACTTCGGTAACTTGTTTATCTTTTCTAGTATTTCGCCTAATTTTATGCTCGTTGTCCCCCGACCGCCCTCTAGCTACATCTGTGACGCCGGCCTTGGAGCTGTTGCAGTACAGCAATTTAGAAGCCAGTGAGTCGGCCTCTCTGTCTGAGGGGGAAAAAAAACTCGCTCACGAGCTTTGTCTAGACATGTATTGTCTTTTTTTTTTTAATGACAACTCAATTCAAGGTTCCATTTATGCACTCAATTGCTACGCCTGCATCCTAATCATGAACCCATGAAATAATGCCTCCGGTTAAAGACATAATATCTTTTCTGATGTACACCGCAATGAAATAAAAAGGATTCAAATTAAATTAGAATTAGAAATCCCTGGGTTGGTTCACGGACCAATATAATATACCTATATAATCCATCGTATACACAAAACAGTGGTGTTAGAAATATTGAGTGAAATATCAAATAATTACTTTTTTTTTTTACACACGAGGGGGTACAGCATGCAATTTCATTAAGGGACAACGCTGTTATATTGAAGTGTTTTTTTTGTTTTTGTTTTTTAATGTGCTGAGGCCCCCGACACACAAAGCCATCAAGGTGATGATCACCTTTGTCTGCATTCATTAAAAATCCATCAACGAAAATCCCGCCCGACGGGCAGATGGGTTTATTGGTTCGCGCACATGTACATATTAGTCTCCATGGTTGGTCAATCGGAGAAGAATGTTTGTTTTCTCTGATTCAGTGCCTGCTTCTCTTCCCTGTCACTCTGCCTCTTTATGCCCGTTAGGGAGGGAGGGCCGACTTGGAATGCCGAGTGTTAAGAACTACCAACCAAAGCATGTCGTAGCTTTTTCTTAAAACAAGTTTTCCAATATATGTATTTTTTTTTCCCCCATCACGGCATTTTATAGGCAGAAATACAATATTTGATTTGCGTGCTTCTATGGATAATACATTTTAGAATTCATCTCGTAGACTATGTAAATGCTAAATCTTGAGCAGCGTAACGTAACCTTTTGAACACAATACAGGCAGCCTTCATACTGTATACATGCATAAATGCAGATCCTTCAAACAATAAGCAATCACACTTTGAATCCTTGAAATGATCTGACAGGAAGATGCCACGATTGCATCTGGCAATCAACACAAATAATTTGATTGTCTTCAGGGTGGCCCTGTCATCAGACTCATTCAAAGCGTCCTCACAAGTACCTCATCGTTTGATTGGATAAATCAAGGTGAAGCGGTTTAGAGCAAGACGAGACCCCCTTTTCTATTATCCCGTTGGCCTGACGTGCTATCACAATAGGAAATCTGTCTGAAGACAACATTTTTACCGTTTGCACCAGCAGTTAAATTAAAAAAAAGATTTTTATTGTTGGCAAAAAATAATTGCTTATTCATGCTGTTTGACCTGTTAGAAAGTGCACTGTTCAGATCTCAGGCCTTACCGCCGCCTCTTCTTTTCACAGATGTCTCAACCCTAAATCTTGGACCAAAAATGAAATGCACGAATATCTAATCACTTAAAGTCCAGAATGCTGCAATCGTACAAAAAGTTGGTAAGATTAAACTATAATTGCATTATTATTCCTCCTTTGTCTGATCCATCTCCCTTTTTATTTCCACGTTCTTCCCTCTTTTCATATACTTCCGTTTTGTTCCTACTCATTCTACTTGTGATGAAAGTCTGTGTAGTAGAAGTACCTTTATTGGTCTGTCTTACAAATCCTGCCCCAATGTGGTCTGACAGATAATTGACACTTTCATGAAATTGTATGACTTTCTTTTCAGCTTCTTTTTTTTATTTTTCGTCCTTTCCTTTTCCTCTTTTTTGGCTTCCTCCCTTTTTTTAAATTTCTTATTCCTCCATTTTCGCCTACTTCCCCCTTTTCTTTGTCTTCTTGCTCCTTTTTTCATCTTCCTCTTATTCCTCTTTTTAATATTATAGATTGTGGTAGTAGAAATGGTACCATAGAACGGTATCGGTCTAAAAGTAAACAAATGCTGCCCCTATGTGGTCTGAGAGATAATTTACAATTTTAGGAAATTGTACAAGTTCCTCCTTCCCATTGTCATCATCTTCTTCCTTCTGTTGTACTTTGTCACTCGGATGATCCCTTTTAATAATCAAATTTTTAAAATCAAAATAAAATAAAATAAAAATCTTTTTTTTTTTTTTTTTCAGGGTTCCTGTTCAAGAAAAGCCCCCCTCCCCTGAATGAAATTTATTTGTCTTATTAAATTTAACTTTTGAAATTTAAATTTTGTTTGAGTAAATATGAATGTTTTAATTTTTTCTTTTACAAACTGTATCCTTGGCAGCCCTTAAATAAAATGAGCGAGTTTTGTTTAAATTACTGTCTGAAAGAGTTTGTTCAAGTAGAACTCTTCGTTTTTATAAGTTTTGTCAATCTGCACATAACTAAATGAAGTATTAAATGTCTCCTGCTAAAAAAAAAGTCCTCATATTACTACCTATTTATTTAATCTAAAAAAAAAGAAATACAACTGGAAATAACAGAGTCTTGCACTAATGAGCCATTGTAGACAGCATCATTTAGTTAAGTACATGTGGCCAGAGTAAGTGCTGCAAGTATTTTTTATAAGCAAAAGTAATACCAGAATAGGGACCGGAATATCCCAAAATAGATCGGTAAAAGGCCTGTTTTCAAATGTTTACCCAAATAAAAAGTATCAATAAGTTGTATAATCATTGTGTAAAATAAATGTGTTATATATTACTGAATCATTCACATTTAATCAGAATTTTAATGGTTGAGTGACACTATTGTACTGCTCTGTAGTATTATGATCTATGGCAAAATGTTACTGTGTTTGTCAAATCTGCAGTGTTGTAGAATTTGAAGTAGAAAGTAAAATAAGTACAATCACCTCAAACCTAATTACCTAATTTATACAGTATTTGGGTAAATGTGCTTTTACTACTTTATGGGTGTGAACAATTATTCAAATGTGACGAAACCGTCTAGAATGATTTCTTTTTTTTTCTTATTACGTCGCCCAGATGTGGTTCTCCATTAGACCAGAAGGTGGCGCCTGTCTGACAGGCAAACATTTTGCTCTACTCAAACAGGGCCTAGTCCACTAAACATTTCGGGAGCCGGCATTAGATCCCTATACCAGGGCGGTGCGCAGGATATTCAAACTAAATAACACGTCTTTTGCCAAAGGGGCGATCCCCACTCCACGCTGGGTGCGTGCGAGCCCTCGGGAGTCAGACTGTGGACAGGCGTGGCAGTGGGCTGGTCCGGGCGCACCGAGCGGTGAACAGAAAAACCAAAAAAACACCAAGGGTCCACTGGTTTGGGATCAGCTGAGGCCCTGAGACGAGCTCCCACAAAGGATCCCCTGCGTCGCTACCCAATCGTGACACACTGACTGCAATTAACCCCACATCTGCTTCTTGGACGAGGACGCGCCTCCAGGGCCGTGGGTGTGCCGCACCCGAAAAGACGACTGCGTCCTGAAGGATGCTCTGAGGTGAGTGCACCGCCCGCGATCCTGTGTCTTTTAGCTGTGTCGAACAAGGCGTTCAGCCAATTCGTAGTTGGATGCATGGCGGGGACGCAGTAACACACGAGATCCTCCCTGACGCGTGCACGGAGCCCGTGTGCGCGCCGGTAGCGTCCTTTACTGCCCGATGTTTACCGTGTTGTTGTCGGCCGCACGGTGCATCACGCTCCCTGCATCGATGCGGTGTTCTTTTTTTGTGCTTGTTTATTGAAATCGCGCATTTATTCGGCTCGCACGCCCTCTCCGTGCTCGTCATTGTGCTCCGCAGAAGAAGGGCCGTGCGGTTCATCCCGAGGCTGCTGTGATGGCAGCGCCTTTTCCGAGCGCCGAGTCTAATCCCGTTTATTAGTGATGGCTGTTTGGTTGTTTTACTTAAGCTCAGCCCGTGTGGGGTGTGTGCGTGTGTTTCTCGGGAGAAAGTCCGGGTTAACACGCGGGAGGTCATGAGCTCTTTTGCCCATTTGATTTCTTTTGTTTCTTTGATGCGTGGTTCTTTGCAGAGGGAGAGTCGTGCATGCTGTGGGTGTCCATCTTCGGATCCCGGTGCTGATGCTGCAGCGCGTTCGAGTGTTGCTAGGCAGCCATGCAGAGCGCTGGCGGTTAGAGGCAGCAGAGGATGCTAAATAAAAACAAACATCAACGAAAAAGGATTTAAACAATGTTTAATGTGTACGCCCACGTTGTAGGTCGTTGTATGTTGGGCTGTCATCTCGTCCTCCCCCATGTGACTCGGGGCGGTTGGGACCATATTTAAATCCCCCACAGCACAATGGCAGACATTCACCTGAGTTACATTAGTGTAGAAACTGTCACTGTTGGATGAATGTTTATATATATTTTTGACCCTCAATCTAAATAATGTCATGTATGTTGGATTACTTAATCGAGTCCTATAAATGTGTATATAAAATTATGAGAAAGTGAGATAATGCATTGCTTTATGGCTTGTCCAAGAAAGGAAAAAAAGATGTTTGCTGTTTTAAACACCATAATATCAAGTTTAATTATTCAAGTTCTATCATGAGCTGAAAGGAATGAAACAACCAGTAATGATGAGGGATGTATCGCTATGACCAAAAGCATTTTATTTTTCATTTACGCCTTTAAGTTTTCTTTGGTTTTGCTATTGTTAATTTACGTTTAGGTGGAAGCCAAATCTCCAAATGTTTTCATCTAATGTTTCATAACTGTAAAATACAGCAAAGGTGCTCTTGAGAGTTAATACATAATAGCTTTTCTTATAGTGGGCTTACTTTAGTATTGTAACCTAGTTGCAAAGCTAATTAGTGAGGACTCACATATTCATTCTCAAACAGCCTGCATGCGACTCCAAATGAGTTTAACATTGCTTATGAGGTGTGTTCTACCATAACATTTGCAGCAAATATGATGAGTTGCAGTCATTTTAGAAATTAGAATCCTGATCCCCACGATTGAGCTTGTAACTGTCGCAGAGGCTGGTTTATCAAACATAGTGGTAGATATCCACTGACAGTCATTATGATTTAATCCCAATGAAAGCGTAGCCAAAGAAAATCAATCCGGAACTACTTAGTAATTTAGACGCTTGTCTGCCTTTCCGCTGACGGATGTCAGGAGTCTGACTCAGACGTCCGTCAGGTATGTGAAGATAATGTACTTTCAAGTTAGAAAGCGGATGGTTGGGTCGCCGTTCTTTAATGCACAGATCAGGCCAAAGACCTCGTTATATTGGTTTATTGTGTGTTCTGCTGAATGAAAATGAAGCGAATAGATATTTATTCACCGTACAAAACATAACAAACTACTTCTTTTGCTGTTTGATAAGAACGCGGTCATAGAAGAGGAGAGGTTGGCAGCTTTCCCTCTTCCTGAGATTTTATGCAGAGGGGAGAAAAAAGTGTGCGTTGATGATGCAGCCGGATGAGAGGAAGTGATGTTGGGATACCGGCCGGATCGATAGCTGAACATGAAAATGTTATCAACCCTTTCAGCAACACTTGCAAATCGCAGGAGGCGTAACGTTTGTAAAAACCATCTGTACCAATTCAGAATGTCATGTGACCATTCCCTCTAATATTCCCATTAGAATATCGCCCAAAGTAATCGTGAGAATATTTGTTACATTTTCTTCAGCCGTTGTCGGATCTATATGTCTCCCCTTAGTCATTAGGAGCGCGTCCCTGGAGAGAGAGGCTTTCTGTCTGCTGCCTCCCAGCAGCTGAGCCCCCAACCCCCCCCCATCCCTCCCACCCCTGCCCCCCGTTCCCCGAAGAGAGTCAGAAGCACTCTGAACCAACCTCCATTGTGAGACCGCGTGAAAGGCCCAATGCCTAAAATGAAGGCTTTTATGGAGGGGCCGCTGTTTGTAATTTCAGCAACTTTAAGAGCATAAAGCCCCCCAAAACTGCCCGTCAAATCCCAATGGAAACACAATTCATTTGAAAACTAAATACCTTAGTGTTATTAGTGAAAGCAGCTTTTCATTTTTAAAAATGAAAACAAGACGGCATAATGCTCGTGTATGATCCAGGAGTTTTTTCCCGTTAATCCCTTGGTGAATGGCTGGTGTGGCAGATGTGGTGTTTAAGTGCTTCTCTGTGCAGGCTGCCTGGTGTTGTCGGGTTAAAAGTGCACAGTTCTATCCAGAAACTCCTTTTTAAAGCTTTAGTCATCTGTCAGAGTTGTGATTAACAATAAGCGCATCTGTCTGATGCAACTTGCTTTCACACCGTCGTGTGGAGTGAGCGAGCATCATATATGCGCTGGAGGCCACATTACGGATGCATATGTAGTTATATTCCAGTTATTTAACTTATAGAGTGGTGGCGGAGGAGAGAGGGTGTGGTGTGTCTGGGGCCTTATCTGCTCCCTGCAGCACTGTGTGTGTGTGTGTGTGTTGAATCGGGGAGTGGCTGGCCTGCTCTTTTCTGAAGATCCTTACGTTAGCGCTTTACTATTTCTCGAGTTACGGCGGTGCGTCTCTTGCTAACTTCCTGTTGTGGTTCTGATGCTGCCGCCTCCACGCGAGCCCAATGCTCCATTTCTCCTGGAGCGCCGTGCTTCCACCGGCCGGAGGAATACAGCATCCTTCATGTGAGGGTAGGTTTTTCATCTAAACGCTGCCATTTCAGCAATAAGGAGAAATCCAGGTTCAATGTTGTTTTGTTTTCGTTGTAATAAAATGCAGATCAGGTTTGACTTGCACATAAATGAGGATATTGATTTAACAGGCAAATGGGTGTTTAATATTTGATCGTTTTCACCGGATCTCCTTGTATCTCGGCCGATGTGCACCATCGGATCCCGAAGCAGACCCTTTGCACACAACTGGAAGCAAAAGCAGCAAGATTAAACAATTTACTTCTCTGCAATTCTTCCATTTTGAAATGTGCTCAGATTTCTTAGAAAACGCCAGCAGTGACTTCCGTTTGAACAGGATCATGGCTGTTGCTTTTGGAGCAAATGGCTCGTATAATTTGAGTCGTTTTAAAAACTTTTTGTATTGTTTTTCATACCGGCCTTCATCGTACTGCACTTTCACCTCAATTGACCGCTCCGTTAATTGAAATATAAAAAGCAGGAAAAGGAAAGGCATGAAGGGAAAGTTTTTGACTGGTGCTGTATAAATATGATGTTATTATTTTAAAAACTATGATGCAACGACACTCCGGCCAGAAAATGTTCCCCACTTGCAGCTTGCTGTGCGCCGTTCACATCGGCAGAAGGGTTGTTGGTCATCCCGCATGAAACCCCTTTAAAGGAAGCGCCGGTCCGGCTGCCACGAGCTGCTCCATTATTCCAAAGAGCCAAAAGTATTTTGAATTAGCACGAGCCCAACTCCTGTGTCCAGGTATTTCTCCATAAAGGTAAACATTTGTAATAATTGCACCCCCTTTCTTTACAGGTATCCCCGCCTACTCCTGGCTGTGATACACCCACTGCGATACGTAAAAGATGAGCAAGTCTCCCAGCCCCAAAGGCACCCCGGTGCAGCGCAGCCCCAGTGATGGGCTCCCCGAGGGCCTCGTATCTCCTCAGCACTCCACACCCAGCTCCGGACCCCCGCATAAGAAACACATCTCCAGCCTTCTTCAGAGTCCGGTGAGACAGGTCCCCCCCCCCCGTGTGTGTGTGCGCGTTAAGGACTAAAGTCTTAATGTGTCACTCTTTTTCCTTCTCTCTCTCTCCTCTGAATGTGTTTATCTCCCCACATTACAATAAATCTGCTCTCAAATGCCATTAGACAGCTTGGGCTGCAGCTGCTTCTACATATGTGTGGGAGGCTCCATGACGCTGAAGAGGAGGGGCTGACTCCGAAGTGAAAGAGTGGATGAGGAGAGGCTGACTCACTGGATATGTTTGCTTGCCCCTGCAGTGTAGGAGTGTGTTCAAAGCCCACGTCAATATGGTGTCTGTCAAAGATGAGATGATGAAAATGAGACGATTCAAGGGTTGCTAAAAACGGAAAGGCTCAACGCTTGCACATTGAGTATTATTACGACACTGACTTGCTTTGTAATGTGTGGGTATGATATCTGCACACGTATTAATATCTGCGTGTGTGTGTGTGTGTGTGTGTGTGTGTGTAGTCATTCAGGGAGGAGCTGGATGTGCTGATCCAGGAGCAGATGAAGAAGGGCGGCAGCTCCTCCAACCTGTGGGCTCTGAGGCAGCTGGCTGATTTTATGGCCTCGCACGGCTCCCCAGCCTCCCTTCCCGTCTCCCCCTCCAGTACGAGCACCTCTATAAAACGCATCCCAACGAGTATTTCATTCCCGCAAATGGTGTGCAAATGGGATTGTTCCTCCTACGTAACGTAGTTGCTGCTTTGCCTTTCCCTCACAGACATGATGATGGTGACGCCCATCAACGACCTGCAGAGCTGGGAGCCCGGCAGCATGGTGAAGGGCGAGAGGTTGATGCGCTGCAAGCTGGCCAGCGTCCATCGCCTGTTTGACCTGTACGGCTGGGCCCAGATCAGCCGCACCTGCCTCACCGTTAGTTTCACCACCTTCTTACGTCACATTCCTGAACGAGACTGTCTCTCAAATGGCATGCTCTGTATTTGTATTTCTTTTATTTTAGTACATGCTGAAATCGCTCTGAGAAAGTACGTGCTTGGACGTACTACTTCATCGTAACACATGCTCACACACCTACTGGTCATTATTCAGCCATTATCACCTTGCCGCCAGGGTGGCGACCATGCAAGGTGTTACCTGCCCATCAGAACTATAACTGACCATTCACACGCACTCGTCCAGCAGAGGAGCAATGTGGTGTAAAGTTGCCCAAGGATGCGTCAGGCTGTGCAATAGAAGGGATGGGTTGGGCATCTAGTCATCTGTTGTGTTAGTTGGCAGCAGTTACAAAATGATGTATTTCCTTGAATTTGTTGAAGAAAACCTTTTTATTCTTAGTCTTGATGAATTGAAGTAAAAACAGCTCAGCGTTCGCTCACTTTTTTATTCATGCTCGACCTTTTCCCAAACACAATGCATCGTAGCTGAAAACCGTACCATTATTATTATACACGGATAATGGAGGAAGCATTCCTTTACGGCACTATAACGGTTATTTAGGTTATTATATAGGAATAGCTGCTCATTTAACACAGCAACATATTATAATCTTGGATTCGCGTAGCTTCTCCTGCGTCGCCTGTCGTCCTTCACTAACGCTCCTCTTCCTCCCCGACAGCTGCGCGTCAGCAAAGAACAGGAGCACTTCTTGGTGCTTCCAGACGGCCTGGCCTACAGCGAGGTGACCGGGTCCAGTCTGGTGAGTGAGACTAAGCACGGCCCAAGTGCCACACACTCGATTTTTATGAATGGAGACTTTTAAAACTCCTTCGTGTGGTGTCCAGGTGAAGGTGAACGTGCTGGGGGAGACGGTGGAGAGGGGCAGCACCAACCTGGGCGTGGACTCCGAGAAGTTCAGCCTGCACTCCGCCATCTACTCGGCCCGGCCGGATATCCGCTGTCTGCTTCACCTCCACACGCCGTCCACGGCCGCGGTGAGTCCGCCGAGGAGAGACGCCGTCCCTTTATTATCATTATGTTGTTGCGCGTGGGGACGCCTGTCTCGTGACCGTGCGCGGGAATCCGTCTGCAGGTTTCGGCGATGAAGTGCGGCCTCCTGCCTCTGTCCCACGAGGCTCTGCTGGTCGGTGATGTCGCCTATTACGACTACAATGGAGTCATGGCGGAGGAGGAGGACAGAGTGGAGCTGCAGAAGAGCCTCGGCCCGACCTGTAAGGTGAGCCGGGCCGCCGGGGAAAAGACACGAGCGTGTCCTCGCTTGAGCAGCACGTCTCACATTCAGCTTTCAGAAGGAACGAACAAAGGACTCCATGTGGTCTTATCCCGGATTAATTACTGAAGCGCTGGCTGCTTAACGGCTCCATCTTTGGGAGTCGTTCTTTGTGTTCTTTCTCAGTCTACAGAGACATTTCTCAATAGCCAGCACCTGTTTTAAAAATAGAAAGAACGTGGGCGGTTTCCATCGCCGTGTAAATGTTGACGTCACGGTGTGTAGGTTCTGGTGCTGAGGAATCACGGCATCGTGGCTCTAGGAGAGTCCGTGGAGGAGGCCTTCTATTCCATCTACCACATCCAGGCTGCCTGCCAGATCCAGGTACTTCTCTCTCTCTCACACACACAAACACACACACAGTCACGTTTTCATCCCTTTTGGGGACAATGCGGTAATCCAGGACCAGCAGTGACCTGTGGGAAGCAGATATGTGAACTGTAAAGTCATTGAGCAGTCACATGTCTGCTGGTTGATGTGTTGTATCAGAGGAAAATGAGCCCAGTCACTTTTCCTGAATAAAGAGCAATGGCTGAAGGGGAACCGCGGCTTGTTCTAAATCAGTTCTTTTCTTTTCTCTTTTCCCAGGTGTCGGCTTTGTGCTGTGCCGGTGGTGAACACAACCTGATAATGCTGGACAGAACCACCCACAAACCCAACGCAGCCGGCACCGTGGGCTGGGCCGGCTCCACCTTCGGACCGCTGACCAAGAGCCGCATCGGGGAGCACGAGTTCGAGGCCCTCATGAGAACCCTGGACAACTTGGTAGGCAGCAGTTGTACTAAACATGTGTGCAGCCATGATCGAGGATTCCCCCTTTAGTGATAAAGAGCCGCCATTACTAATTTAGGGGGAGACTTAAAAAGGAAATCAAAGACTACAGTTATTAATCAGAGCACTCGCCTGAGGACATAAGTGAGAGATATCGATCCTGCCACAATCCTGCCAAAATCCGCAGGGGGAGCAGCATGGAAACCAATGCTTGCAGCTTGCAGCTCTCTCTCTCTCTCTCTGTCCCTGTTCACAACCACAAAGAGCAAACAAAACAAACTAATGAACCATAATCTGTCCGTTTGTTGACCTCTTCAAGTCCGTTTCGTCGCTAGGGACAGAGCCGCGCCCCCCTCCGCCCCCCTAAACACAGCAAACGGTGCTGTCCGTGGTTCTGAAACAGAGATGAACAATAGCCAAGCCCAGCAAAAGAAGACTTTGTGCTTTATCCAATATCCTATTGGTGCATAATTGGCTTTACAAGATTAGCTTGAATTGAAAGAGTGAAACGCTGAATGTTTTTACCCGCCTTGTCTGATTCATTGCAGGTTGGTCAGCTGCAGCTTCTTAAACCACTCCTCCGCAGCAATATGTATTGTATTGTGTTACATGATCAATGCACATTGAAACCCTCTCACGACCCCCTCCAGTAGTCTGAAGACACAAATGATTGTTCGCTGGAATCTTTCCCTTTTCCATATCCCCACCATCTTTAGTCTATCACGTGACCGCAGCAGAGGTGCAGTGACGATTGCTGCTCTGTTTCCTGTAGCTGCTCTACAACAACAGCATTAAAACCTCTCTGTGGTTTGCAGAGGGAAAATATTGACATAGAGAAGCGGCATGAAATGTTCAGTTTACTTCAGCAATAACTTGACAGCAGCTATGAACCTCATACCGGAAACTAAACGTAGTGAGACTTTCTGACCAAGTATTACTCTCTGGCCACCTGCGCAATCATCCTGAGGTTTGAGTCGATGACAAGATGGGGCAGAAGTGTTGCAGGGCCGACCGTCGGGAAGGTGCAGCGAGGCGTTCTGACTTGAAGCGTCCCTCCTCTTTCCGTTTTTTCTTCAGGGCTATCGTACAGGCTACGCCTACCGCTTCCCCGTGCTGCTGGAGCGCTCGCGGACGCGGAGGGAGGTGGAGGTGCCCCCGACCGCCACGGCTTTCCACCAGTTCGATGACGACGGGGTCCACCCGGCTCTGAGGCAGCACCCGTTTGCTCAGCGGCAGCAGCAGGAGAGGACTCGGTGGCTCAACACCCCAAACTCCTACCAAAAAGTCAGCCAGGAGCAAGCCAGCCCGGGACACCAGCGCAGCACTGTGAGGCTCCGGGAACCAACGTCTTTTACCTGTTGAACCAGTTACGCCCAAGGAGGAGTTCAGGAATTGCATGGAATTGAGTTGCATGATCACAGCTGAAGGCCCTTTGCAGCTGGTAGTTAGCAGTGATATGGAGGTATTTTTGTACGGCGGGGAGCAGCGGGGTTAGAACAAAGAGTGAGAATAAAGTAAGCAGAGAGGAGGGAAGGAAGAATTGGTTCATATTGGTGCCAATAAGATGATGGTGCAGAGAAGAGAGCAGTTAACTCACCATCAATGTGATGATTTCACAAAAATATGTGCCGTGCATTCAGCCGAGGCACCCAGCTCGTATTCACAGGGATGTTGATGTACACGGTGGGGAATGACTTTTTATCCCCATGACCCATGGAGAAAGGATGAAGCCGAGTCATTCAGAGTCACACACAATGTGAGGTTGGTTGACTTGCATGAGTGGGAGGAGCTTGGCCCTCTCTCTCTCTCTCTCTCTCTCTCTCTCTCTCTCTCTCTCTCTCTCTCTCCCCCTCCTCTGCATTGCAGAGGAAAGCCCAGCGCCTCGTGATAACGGCTGCAGTGCATCGTCCTCCCTCTGCTGGACAAACATTATCAAATCAGTTTGATTAAAACCATAATTCTTCAGGGGAGATAAAGTACACTTTTTAAGGAGGCGGGTGACTAAGAGGGATTCTCTGCTTGTTGGTGATATTTAATCATAAACGGCTGCGTTTGGTATTTTAGTTTTTTTTTCTTTTTGTTATATTATTTGAACAAATAAGTAAAAAATGCAGAGGGGGGTTAAAAAAAAACCCACTAACGCTTAAATCCTAAACGTATAGGCTAAAATATTTACAAATTATATATTTAAAAATATCAAAAAGAAAAAAATATTATTATTATTATTTCCGAACAAGAAATACTAGAACGAAAAGCACCAGAAATAAAATATATAAACACAGGATTACAGTAACAAATATACACGTAATCTCATCTACGGCGTTTTTAAAAGCAGAATTGAGGCGCGGCTGCTTAGTGGAGCACAGAGTGGTGAAGTGACCATATAGAATATGAACAGATCGGGTGTGATAAGAAGCATTTTTGGACATTGTTTTGATGTTAACCGTCTTTCCTTTAGTGGCTGAAGGCAGAAGAGGTAACTCAAGCCGGCAGCACGGCCATCAAGATGGAGAACCAAAACCAGTTTGTGCCTCTTTTCACCAACCCTCGAGAGGTGATTGAGACACGGAACAAGGTAACTTCTTGCGTTTTACGGCCTTCTGGTTCTCCAAATATTCCCATTAATTGAATCAACGATACAATGCGAAACCTTTGTCCAATCCTCAGATCCGACAGCAGAATCGTCAGGACATGAAGACAGCAGGACCACAGTCTCAAGTCCTCGCCGGCGTCATAACGGTCGACAGCCCTCCGGTGAACTGCTCGTCTTAACTTCTCGCCTTTTTTTCCCCGCTCTCTCGAGTCCTCCTCCTCTTCTCAGCACTAAAAGTCGTCTTTTGTCTCTGCTTGTCTCTTCAGTCTCCGGTGAACCCACCTAACGTCCCGCCGGAGCCGGAACCCCCCAACCCCTTCAACCAGCTGACAGACCAGGAGCTGGAGGAGTACCGAAAGGAGGTGCAGAAGAAACAGGACGGAGGGACCAATGGTACGATTTCATCTGACTAAACTCTAGTATTATTCATGATTCGGGTATTAAGCGTCGTTTCCGTATGCTTCACATGGCGAGGTGTGTTGGCAGACATTACGATGGCCTAATAAAGTTTGGATTTTTTTACGCAGCCGGAGGAGAAGGAGGTATTCCAAGAAAGATGTTTTTTTAGTGTCTGGATACTTATTAACATGTTATGATGATTATTGAGTTCAAATTGTTAGTACCGGTAAATCCTACTGCAAAGAACAATTTTATTTGTTTTTCCCCCCTAAATGAGTCTTGTATTCACCGGGAATTTTTCTTTTTAATTTTCTTTTTTTAAACCTACAATGACATTTATACGCCACAACACTTTTTTCTCTATATAGTACATCAGAGAAAGCTTATTATGCCACCCCGTCATCGCTAATGCATCGCACATTTTCTTCTAACCTTCTAACCTTAAGTGCATATGAACATATGAACTACCAACATAGACGGGATTCCACTTATTCCATCTTTGTTGCAAGAAACTGAAGTATTTTTCTCTGCTTGTGCCGTCTTTCACCCTCCCCTCATTCTGAACGGTTAAAGAGCCGGCAGTTCTCCCTCTGAATCCCTCTTTTTCATCTGCATGACACAAAATGTTTATTTGCAAATATACAGATACTAAAGACAGCACCATGAAATCAGGTTGGACACGGAACAAGGAAGTTACCTTGTTCCGTGTCCAACCTGATTTCACATGAAACTTTGATGTGAAACTGTGTTCCCAGCACTAACTTCCTGCACAGCTGAACCCTCACTTCCCCTCACTGTGTGTGTGTGTGTGTGTGTGTGTGTGTGTGTGTGTGTGTGTGTGTGTGTGTGTGTGTGTGCGTGTGTGTGTGCGTGTGTGCGTGCGTGCGTGCGTGCGTGCGTGCGTGCGTGCGTGCGTGTGTTTGTGCAAGTAGGGGAGGAGGTGGCAAACGACCAGGAGTGTCCCCCTGCTACCTCCCCCGCAAAGGGCCCTGCGCCCAGCCCCCCTCCCCTCTCAGGTGAGGCTCGGCAGAGCGCTGAGGGTGCACGCCGCTCGCTTTGCACGCCACGTCTATGACCAGCAGTGCTGCAGGTGTCACATGGACTCGTGTCCAAAGCTGCTTCTGCTTTCTCATGCTTCAAATACTCGCTCGCCCTCTCCGTGCGCAGTGAAAGGATTGGCCTAAAGAGTCATTTTTTAAAATATAAACATTATAGTGAGCTGTTCGCTCCAAAAGACGACATGTTGACGGGTGGTAACAAAAGGCTCACTCGGCAAATACCTTTTCCTTCATTTATTTGTAGACTACAACTTACAAAAAAGACGCAGTTAAATAAGAGCATCAACCACAAAAACTGAAGGAAAAAGAGGGTGAAAGTAACCATTTATCACTCATCAGTTATAATCAGTGTGGGGAACAGCGTGGCTGTTTTTCTGTCCTGTCGGGGTACAATCAACCATTTTGGTCCAATCAACTGTTCGATCCACCAGCGGAAGTGAAGGCTGCCTCTTTTAGTGCTCCTGGCCATATCATTTACGACCGAAAATCGTCTTCCAATCTCTTAACTATTTATGCAGGTACATATTTCTCAGTTTCAATAATTAAAACGGCTCGGCATTAGTAAGCTTCCAAAAGACATTATATGATAAAGAGGAGATAAATAGTCTTGTGTTTGAAGAGGCGCCTTTGAAACGGTTTCTCCCACTAGAGACAGAGCTGGTGAGTGATAAAGGTTATTGCTTTCATACTGCGTCTCTCTATTCATCTGACGAGGTGGTAAATGACTCATCGGGATCCCATTGAAAATGCTCATTAGCAGATACACACACACACACACAAACTGCAGATCTTCTTGTTAGTAGGTGACCCGATCTGCCTCCTAAACAACAAGCCCCCTCCTATCGCTGGCTGATGATAGTGCAGCATTACTATCAGTGTCTCTGGCACACTCGGCTCTGACAGGGAGTCGGCTGTTTAAAGTCTGTTGTCTGAGGCCTTTCTGTTTGAGTGACATGTCAGCCCATCTGTCTCTGTACCCGCTGGATCAGCTGTTCTCTCTCTCCCTCTGTGTCTGTCTGTCCGTTTCTGTGTTACTCCACACTCACCCACATAGGGCACACCGCCGCTGCTCTGGTCTTGTCTCGCTAGTAAGTACAGAGAACTCCCTTCTCATCGAGCGAGCATGTTCATCGGCAGTGGCGTGTCCGGCATGTAGCTCTGTAGCGCCGCCCGACCTCAACACCCTCAGTCTGGCCGCCGAATTTTATTCAACGTCTCCCTTTCTTTCTCTTTTTATTTGGCTTCTTCCCGACGAAACTCGTCGCAGGGGAGGCAAAGCCCGACACTCCGGCCATGCAGAACGGGGGCGAGGAGGAGAAGCAGACGACGGAGGAACTGGAGAAAGGGATGAAGGCGCTTTCGACCAACGACACCTCCTCCCCGCCCGCCGCGCCCCGCCGCCGAAACCGCAAGGCGGCACCCCGGAGGCTCGCCCTCCAAGTCCCCGACCAAGAAGAAGAAGAAGTTCAAGCCGCCGTCGTTCCTGAAAAAGAGCAAGAAGCAGAAGGGAAAAGCGGAGACCTGAGGGGGTTCAGACCTCCCCCCCCCCCCCCTTCCTCCCCTGACCTCGGTGAAATACTACTTGTGAAACATTTCTTAGCGTACGACAGAGTAGCAGACAACTTATCCGTTGTGTTCAAACACAGTCGAGATGTCGTTCACTGACACTAAAAGGCGTTCTATTAATTGACAAACAAATCCTTTACTGTAACACCGGTACTCGCCGATTTGATCAAAGTGGTGATTCATCAGGAAACACTGACAATTATTTTCACAAACTATTTGACCCGGGTCGGATACATAGCAACACGTCGACGCTTCTTGTTCCTCAAAAACCTCACACGAGGTCTCGTATTTCTTGCATCTTAATTTCACCTGCTGTGCTATCAAACCGTTACTTAACTTCACCGTATAGGCATTCAAACACCTTTCTTTCTGCCACTGGGATCACTTGCGTGATCCTGCACACTTGTCGCGTTGAATTTGTTTTATATATTTTATTATCCACAACTTTGCAAGATATGGTGGAAAATGAAGTCCCCTTGAATTATACACCCCTTGTCCACATATAGGCACTTGACATTTGTATAGTCACATTGTAATATGTTGCATTTATTCATCACCATAGGCATCTTCGAGTCATGATTTGTTTCTAATTATCAAATAGATGTTGCAGGTCTGCTGTGTGAGCACAGGTGCAGTATGTGTAGGAATATACTGATTACTTCGGAGTGTGCTCTTCTGAATGCTTGTTCTGTATACAACTATCAGCCTATTGACGTTTTTACAGCAGGGAGGAACGAGGGAAAAGAAAGCAGGGGAAATATGCTGGCTCGCAACAAAACAGAATTCACTATCAATGCCCCTATTACCCAAAATGATTTGTTGCTTGCCAATGCAGTGTGAAACACAGTAATAGAAGATACTAATGGTACTAAACATTCCGATTTTGTCATATTCTTTGAAATGTATGTGTGCAAAATACCTCTTAACAGTTGTAGTTACTTTCTGTTTTAACCAATAGCTGTTCTCAAAATGCTGATGTGTGATGTTTGCTCTTGGTTTTTATTAATTTCATCTTAGAATGTATAAGTGAGTGTTGCAAGGTTACCATGTATCAGTCATTAAAGATCAAGTTTGATTTCAAATCAACTGGACACCCAGTTTACGTCTATCTTTTAATATTGTGAAGTTCTCATTGAGGTTCTACCGCTACATTTTTAATTGATATACAATATATTTTATTTATTTATAATATTGATTTATTGATATTGATTAGGTCTACTACTACCATTGTCTCAATCACCACCGGGTGGTGCTGACGCATAATGGCGTCACCGGCGGATATACAGCAGCGCCGGTGCACATCCGGGCCACCAGAGGGCGCGCTTGTGTAGAAACGTCACCGGAAGTGCCGGACGCTGCGCGACAACAGACGAGCCCGATTGTCGGAAGCGGCCATTAGTCCAACGAATACACACATTTCTTGGTCTAAATTATTCTGTTTCTACGACTACCTCTACACTCATTTGATATTTTATCGATTGGTAAAATGGGAAGAAGCCGGAGTCGAACTCCTCCAAGGCGAGGTAAGACTGAAAGTAAAAGTTATAAATGAGGTAACGTTAGCTTAACATAACGTTAGCTAACTATACCTACGTATGACCATCTGGCTGAAGTCGCTCTTTTTACGCATTTTGAATCCCAATTTACACTGGAAAGGGGAATTTATGACGATGTAAAAAACCTGTTTTCTGTCCTGAATGACTTAACAACTTAAAATTCGACTTAATTCGTTTTAGTAGGATCGTCACTTTTCTACGTCTTCATCTGTTGTACAGAAAGTTAACTTCCGATGTTTGCTCAATGCCTTGTAGCTTTGGTGCATTTACGAAGTCTGCAGTGATATTTGACCGCGTTTGACTGGTCTCGTGTGTAATTGATTGATTAGTAACCGAGACGCAGAGTTCGAAGACATTTGTAACGGCCAATACACGTGATAAAATGTCGGACATCCATCTCCGGTTTGTCTGCCATCAAAAACCGGTGCGGATGGTTTCGGGTTAACTCTTCCAGGATGGCGAACCTTGACTGTCTACACATTTGACAGGAAATCATTTGATGGAGTTCTGGTTGAAACTTTCTCAATCAGAAACGTTTTACTGAAGACCAGTTGAACTGCATCTCATGAAGCAGGGATTGCATGCATAAAGGACAACCGTGTGCTAATGTTTTCTTGGGACACTCCAGTACCCAAAGTTGGAGCTGGAATGAATTGCATCTAGAACACTGCTGTAGCTGTAATTATATCAGCAATAATGTATACACAAACAATTGTTAGGCAGTACGATATATAAAGCTTGTACATTGTCTTCTAAATCAGTCCCATATAAATGATTCACTTGTGTGATGGCAGATATTGAGTCTTTGCGAAAATAAACTCACACATACAAATATACAAAACTGGACTGGTGGAATTATATTTCTACATGAATCATATGTCTCCTTTTCAAAACGTATTGCAGAGAAGTGCAACAAAGTAAAGAATGGAATATCTGAAATGACTGAGAAGAATGTTAAGTGGGTGACAATATGCCCAGTTAATAAGAATAATATAAATCCTATGAACTGGTTTCCTCTTTTCCTGCAGAGAGAAGGCGTTCCCGCTCAACTTCCCGTGATCGTGAGCGAAAGCGAAGGGAAAGGGAACGCTCTCGTTCTCGAGATCGTGAGCGGCGCAGAAGTCGCTCGCGATCTCCTCACAGGAGACGTTCAAGGTGAGTTCAGCACTTTCTCTCTTTCTCTTTTCCACAAGTCCAAGGAGCTGCAAGCTTAATCACGTTAAGTTGCAGAAGTGTCTGACCTCAGTTGTCATGGTAACACGTCCGAGGCAGTTTAACTGCATTTTGTGTTCCCTCTGCAGGTCTCCACCCCGACGTCATCGCTCCTCCTCCTCTCACTCTGACCGCCGCGATGATGAGCGCAAAGATTCTAAGGAAAAAACAGTGAAGCCCATTCAGATCTCTGGTATTGGAATAATTATTAATACATCCCTAATTTGACACGGAGTTAATTTATCTTTTTGTGACTAATGTTTTTGTCGAAATTTGACAGAGGAAGACATGGAGGGTAAAACGGAAGAGGAAATTGAGATGATGAAGCTGATGGGTTTTGGCTCCTTTGAAACCAGCAAGGTAAGAGCACGAGTGTAGTACGTGGTGCAGCCACTGGGAGGTGCAGTTTATTCCGAATAAAGCAAAGTCCACAACTGAGCGGAAGATGGCATACTGTTGCATTTCATTCCTCATTTGGCCTAGTCGATGTAATGCATCACAGATCTGAATTCCAACACACATGGTGACTGTTTACAATGTCAGAGCAGTAAACAATTCACAGCTTGGGGAGCTTCTGATTATATCATTTTCACTATTCGCATTTCTCTTTACTGTGCTTTCCTTTGTAGCCACTGTAAATAATAATGAAAGTAATATGATATTTGAATAAAATATAAAGTTAGCCACTGAAATAAAAGTCTGTTGTTAATAAGAATGTTTAACAAAACTGGGGCTCTTTTAAAAGAATCAAAACGCCTCAGTTATACACACAATATCTTTGTTACTGTTATCTGTCAAATACAGTTAGAGAGCTTCATGGTTTTACCAACAGTATGACGCACATTGTATCTTCTTTTTTCTGCTTGATTCAGCCCTTCATTTCAGCTATATGATTATTATGAAAGCCTTAACAATACCCATCATCCCAATTATCCTCCAAAATATGTTTTATGGATTAAAGAAAGCATTGGAAGTTGAGCAATGACTACTACATTTTTGAATAATAAATATGTTTCTATTTAACTTGATATTTTCAAACAGGGGAGGAAAACTGATGGGTCGGTCAATGCATTTGCTATCAATGTGAGCATGAAGAGAAAATACAGGTATGTCAACAAAAACAATAGTTTCTTATTGCTAAGAACGTTTTTTTCTGCTTGTGAAGCATCTCAACGTTGTCCTTCATAGCCATTGCCGACTATTAAGAGTTTTACAGGCCGTTGTTTCTAATATATATGTAGTGATCATTTTTGAAGTTTTTGTAAAAAGCCCACTTGTCTGTTTTCACGTCCCTCATGTGAGCCCCTCGGCATCATCCAATGTTATTGCAGCCAATCACCTCTGCAGGTGTTTCTATGCAGAGATCCCGGCTCTACCATTGGTGCGCGATGATGTAATCGTCAAGTGTTGCGAGGGTAACAGTGATGTAATGTTTTCTTTATATATATATATTTTTTTTAGGCAGTACATGAACAGAAAAGGTGGGTTCAACCGACCACTGGACTTCATTGCCTGAAAGTATCAACAACCTGTGATAGCCGGCAAGCTGAGCTCCGTTCTCCTCTCCATTGTAGTGGATGATATTGTTTTGTGTTATGCAACATTTGTGTATAGTTTTTTTTCCCTAGCAATACATGGGAGACGTAGCAATACATTGCATGCGGCGTGTGTTGTTTTTGTGTGTGGAATTTTATCTGAAATAAAATGATTTCTAAAATTTGTTTTTTGTGCTGCAGTCCTGAATATACATTTGGTGATCATAGTATTCTAAAGTCTAAAGTAATTCTGAAAATACTGTATAATTCTACAGTCAAATAATTATATTGGTTTAATTTGATTTGGTGTCTAATCTATCGACTGGTTTCCCATCCAATTGTGGAATGTAGTCGTGGACGAGGGCCGTCTTCCCTCAGATACCCCCATGCCACCTTGTTTTACTTTAATTCAAGGTATCTTTCCTTGCTATGAAATGAGCATAGGTCTCATTTTGAGGCAGCCTTTCACTGATGTTTTTCCGAAAGTCCATATGCGCATGCGCGGCTCCATGCTTTGTGATTCGTAGAAACGAAGCCAATAACAGTATAGCATGTGATTCTGGCCAATAGTTGAACACATCTAATGACAAACAACACCACAGGAGCCAACCGTTGCTATACACCGCGAAACAGCATGGCTGACCGGCCAATGGCTGACAAGTTTGTTTGATAGCAACCAATCACGGTGCGCGAATGTGTAAGCTAGAAACTGTCCATTTTGGCTCGCGCAGAGCTTCCTCGCCCACGGCATCACGGGACCAAAATCCGGGTTTGTCAGTGGTCTTCAGTGCCCGCCCCTCTCGACGACTGACAGCGCGATCGCCCAATAGGACCGGGCTTTCTTGCGTCCAGTATCCAATCAAATCGTAGCACACAGACGCTTTGTGGTGAAGTACAGTAGTTTGCTGTCATCCAGATCAACAAGCCACTGTTTTAGCAGCATTTCGATAAACACTCGCTGTTCCTCGGTTGATGTCAGTCGCTAGCTGTCTCTCCAGCAGGACGTTCCACGGGCGATCAGCGACCAGCCAGCACACAACTAGCCAGCCACACAGCCCGGATGACATCGTCTGTTCAACTTTAAGAACAACTACCGTTAGCTCGTTTTTTTTTTGCCTTAAATAATTTCCACGGTCCGTCAAGACTGTGACATCCAAACAGCCAACGTCATTTTTTCCCCCGTTTGGCTGATTCTGTAAAATAAAAAACCGAGCTAGCAATAGCGTTTCGTCGTTACTCGTCTCGATCGCTCACGTTAGCCAAGTTGTTTTTTTATCTTCTTCTCTTTTTTTAAACAGAGCCATACTGTTGTCGTTTTTTCATTCAAGCGACCTTCTTTCTCCACCGGCCGTGTCGTCAAAACGTTCGTTTTTAGTGAACAATTAGCTTAAAACGACGCCAAAGCAAGCTGTTGAAGAAGTGTTAGCCTCAGCTAACTCCAAACCCTTAACGTCACCTGAACCGTTTTTTAAAAGAACAATCATAAAGGAGCAGGCTTAGTTTGTTCGTGAGCCGATTGTTGCCTGTTTTAAGGACATTTAACTTTTAAATAGCCCGTTTGATACGCTGCAGGAGTTACCCGGTAACGGTCGCGCTCACCCTTTTAAGTTAAATAACAACTGTCCGAACTGCGAGCTCACTGAGAAGGAGATCAGTCGGTGTAGAATCCCTCATCGGATTTATTATAATAACAGTGTTATTGTTGAAAATGGCGGCGATCGGAATGGTGCAGATGTTGATCGAAGCAGCCGAGTACCTTGAGCGCAGGGAACGAGGTAAAGTGTTTTTTTCCCATCACATTACTCCCCCTAAATCACGATGATTAATGCACTTGCCGTTTTAAGCTACTTAAAACGTTGCAGCTGCGCCCTTTTAATTTGAAGTAATCGAGTAAGGTTATCGAATTTTAACGAACAACAGCAGAAAGCATCGCCTCACATTACCCCAAATAGATGCTCACGTAGCATCTAATCGCACTCGTCTGGGGATATTATGCAAATGTGCACAATACGTGTGCATTTCACCCTCTCTGATAATGCATACAAGGATACATTGCATATGTGGCAGATGCAGTCAGATGTGCAGCGAGACTTTGTTTTCATCGAAGCCCCTCCTTTCCCTCTGTTGTGGTTTGCTGGTGGGGTTTATTACAGTTCAAGATGACATCATTGTCCGGGCTGAGGGGAGAAAAAACGCTGTGTAAAGATACTGCATCGACTCCATCCATCCGCGTGCCTGCACTTAAGCACACATACGTTTGCTACTGAATTTCAAAAGCCTCCGGATCACACGTGGCACATTCTGCAGCTTCTCCTCACTGTGGCTGTATGTTGTATTGGCAGATATCTGGACACGTGACCACTATGTTGTCTGTTTGTTTGTTTGTTTGTGGTTTGCTCGCTTGCAGAAGCCGAACACGGCTATGCCTCCATGCCCCCCTTCACCAGCAGCCAAGAGAGGGAAAGCTTGAAAAGGAAAAGCAAAAGCAAGAAAAACACTAGTAGCAGGTAAGGGCACACCAGCTCCTTGTGGCGTATACGCTGAATAATGGCTCCGTTCTGCAACAAGGCACTCATAATACCCCTGTTCCTGTGCGTTCCCACTGAGCACAGCAACGTTAATCCGTTTTTAAACATTTTTTTTATTGTTTTACAATACACACTTAGAATTTTCCGCCTGCAAAGACAGAATTTTTCTTCAATGCTGATAATGGTCCTAATTTCAAACGGCATTAATATGTAATTCAACTCTCTACCGGTTTTAATTTGTGCCGGACACTCAAGACGAAGGCATCCGATAACAGACGACGTGGCTTTAGGGGTTAAGGCCCCGGACACCGCTCGTCTTCTTCGAAGCGTGTGAGTGACAGCAGCAAACATCAGTCCGCCTCAAAGCGAGTGGCCACTGTAAGGCAAACTGGGTCAGTGACAGCAGGAGACATTTCACTGTTCCGACAGCTCGGGTCAATAGACACTGCTGCACACACGTAGAGTTCTATAAGTCAATGGTATCGGGACAGATTTATGTTGCGTTCGCATCCCACAAATCAATGGCCGTCCTGTGATTAGGTTGCATTTTGGGCTTCATGCACGTGTGAGCGTCTTGTTTTTAGTGGAGAGGACGAAGAAGCTTCATCATCAAGGCAGCTCCAGCGGAACCGTAATCCATGAGTATCTGCACCGTGTATTTATGCGCATAGGCACAACAATTAAGCAGTTAATTGGTGAACTTTTCTTGGGGGGGGGGGGGGGGGGGGGATTTATTTAGGGCCAAAGTGGGCCGGTAAAAAAAAAACACCAAAAATGGTGAAGAAATTTTTTTTGGGGTAAACATTGGTGGACCTGCTCCCACAGTAGACTCGGCAGTAGCATATTGCTAACCCGCCGCAGAGAGCGGCAATGTACAGACAATAAATGTTATGAATCACAGCTCAGCCGGGTCATATTACTCATGTTAACATTGTAAACATGAGTTTATGGTCCCAATCATTAGTTTCGAGTCTTATACGTATGCATAATTCAATGAGTGTCTGCTGGCAATGGCTGCTACCTTCTGAAACAGAATCTCTGCTTCTAAAGATAAGCACGTCATAGAAGTGGTCCGGTGTGGAGAGGTGAGATAGTGCTCCGTATTTGAACTTCTCTTTCAGCCTTTTGTTTGATTTCTATTCTTGACACACGGCTGATCCCATCGCTCGGCATGCACAAAAACCAAAGGGCGCCCTTATGAATGCGTTAGCGTGCCAAAGTGCTCCTGAACCGTCTCGCCGTGCCTTTATCACGGACGGCACGCCCATCCGACGCTGTCGGACGACACTTTGTTTGCACTTGCATGCCAGAAGAGCTCGTTGACTTAAGTATCTTCTGGATGGTCCCAAAGTACATAGCACACTATGTGAAGCATGTAAGTTGTAAATGGTTTCCCCTCTTAACCCCGTGCACATGGTCACTTACATTATCGCCGGGTCTAAAGTAGACCGGCTATGCTAGGTTTGCCCAACTTTCCAAAACCCAAAGATATAAACACTGATGTATGATCGGAGAAGCTATAACAGAAACGGCTAAATGAAAAATCATTTTATCAGAGAGTAATAATGATAATTTCCGTTGGTTATTTGGAAAGATGTGCATTTCAACGTATACACGCACGCCTGTGCAAACACTCCTCTTTTAAAACAAACTCATTCTAATATTCGGTCGAGCCTGTTGGTCTGGATTTTAGTCGTTCGGCTTGACTTCCTCCATTGAGTGCAGCAGGAATAAAACAAAAAACCTGTTAATGAGTCACCATTTTGGCCCTTTCGTTTCCTCGCCCAACGGTTGACTATTTTTGGTTCGATGCCTAAAACGACGGGTGTGTCTTTGACGCAAGCGGAAGACGTTTTTAAAGATGCTATCTACAAACAAATGACTAAATACCCTTCTTGAGCTTTTAGGCATTAACTTAACTCATAAAAATGCGATGTCTAAATGAGAGCACAAACGGCAGCGACCGACCCGCCTACATCATCGCGTCTGCGACATGAAGTCATGCTTTGTCATAACAATTGTCCACCACAGAGCTTTTTTCTTTCCTACATCAATCCAATGGAAAAATCCCCCTTTGGCTTTTTTTTTTTTCCCTGAGAGAATGCACCATCTCTGCTGCACTCCGGCGGCGGCGACCAATCAGTAGAGCGCCGAGCGACGGTGTCCTGGCGCGCTTGGCTGACCCGTGGAGAATAGCTGCGACTAGCTTCGCCTTCTGGAGTAGCCGACGGGTTTCGGCACCTTTGCCGTCTGAATTTGTTCGACGGCACGTTTGTGTTTTGCGACGCTCCCTGGCCGGCTTGTTATTAGTAGGAGGGCTTCCGCTCATGCTTGGATTATTTAACGTGAACATTTCTAGGCAGGCCAGCACTGTGGCTGAATGGCTCGGGGGAGGGGCAAAGGCGTTTCTGACCGACCGCCATTCGATAAGGCACGAGAAGTTAATTTCTTGCTGTATGCGTGCATTAATGTACGCAGACACGACCCGGCCAGAAGCAGCTCCTCCGCTTTCCGTTTAAGCGCGGCGTGCCTTTTGTGAGCGGTGGGGGAGGGGAGCCGCCGTTGTTCTGACATGTATGTGTGCACGTGCATCAGTAGTGGTGACTCCCCCCTCCATCCCCCGCTCTCTCTCGCTCCCACTTGTGTTTTTCTCGCTCTTCTCACCTCCTCCATCCTCCTCTCCTTCTCTCTCTCCCCTTTTTCCTGCTCTGTTCTCACTCCCAGCTCCTCCATTACACAGGTCCCCCCCCCCCCCCCCACACGCAGCCACGGTGCACCGCGATCCCGCCGTCGCTGTTGAGCAGGAACAAAATAAATGGAAATAAAAACGCGTTAATAGCAGGTCCGCGTGGAGGAGTATCGAAGTCTACAATGCAGTTGTAGGTGATCCCCTCAGTCGAGGATCAGAGCAGAGCTCCTATAGTGAGACCGTGTCCGGGGATTTGAGATTAAAGGACGAAGCGCGTATCGTTAGAACGGTCGTTCATTTCCTTTGACATCGCCTGACCACCCGGCACCGAGGGACGCCGCCCGTCTTCGCGATGTGCAGGTGGCACAGAAGCTGCGGCTTTAAGCGGCCCGGAGAAGTTCCACGAGGTTTTAAGAGTCGTTACCTCCAAGGCTGACTGGGAACCGTCACTAAAGGGGATTTCATACGAATGTTGATCTTATTTTTGTAGTTTTCAGCGTCACTCCAGCCGGTGGCATTAACTTCACGGCGATGTGTTGATATAGAAATAGAGGGACCCACACATTACGAGGCCTGACCCTGAAATGTAGCCGCAATACGGGGGATCAGTTCCCTGTTATGTAACCGGCGGCTGTCTGCCCTGCACAGGAATGCACACCGGCGTGAGGGGGGGGCGAGTGAGACAGAGAGCACCCAAAGCTGAAACAAGATGACCCCCCCCAGCGCCGCACACACAGACAGGACACCCACTGCTGTTCAGAGGCCGCGGTATTGTAGGGGGTCATTTCTAAGCTTAGTCCTGACAGTAGGTTGTCAAACACGGAGAGGTGAGGGAAGTCGAGGGTGTGCGAGTGTCCTCTGCGATTCTTGGCCGTGTCACGATGGGACAGCGTCGAGCTGGAGGTGCAGACGGGCTATTTTGGGACCCGGAGAGGGTGGAACGGGAGGTCAGGTGGAGGTTGATGAGGGTTCAGGAATGCACGGGGGGGGATTTTTGCTTTTTCCGCTGTGTTTTTTTTTTTTTTTTTTTGTTTGTCAGACCAGCGAGGTGAAATACCAGCGACGGGCCGTGTGGACGGGGGCTACTGCAATGCAGAAGTCACGCTGCCCGCTAAGCGCACCTCAGTTTACCTCCAGCTATGTGTTGCCCCCCCCCCCTCCTGTCTCAGTGCTACATGCGCCGTGGATAATCAGGCGATTTGAAAAGGGCAAAAGTCCCTCGCTTGTGTTTTCTAGTTACTGTTACTATGTTTACCCGTGGCCTCTCCGTCACGTGTTTTAAGTGTGGCCCTCAGAAAAGCACAAAGATCCTCTGTAGAAAAAGCCACTCAGCCGGTTTTTCTTAGAATCGATGAATCTCTCCGTTGCGATTGCTCATGAACTCCCACGCAGCCTTTTTGTGCCTCTCTCGATCCCCGGCTCCAAGGCCGCGGCGTTGTATGATGGCACGCAGTGTGTTTAAGCAGTGATAAACACTGTGTGTTTTCTCTCCACAGGTCTACGCACAATGAAATGGAAAAGAACAGGTGTGTAAAAATGCTCTCCTGTGTGTGTGTGTGTGTGTGTGTGTGTGTGTGTGTGTGTGTGTGTGTGTGTGTGTGTGTGTGTGTGTGTGTGTGTGTGTGTGTGTGTGTGTGTGTGTGTGTGTGTGTACATATATGTGGATTGTTGCTGCTCCTGCGCAAGGGAATGGATGTTAATAACGCCGTGGTGTCTCCATGTTATTGGTCCAGCCATCAGCCTCCGCTGTAGTCTGTGCTCATTGCTAATGAGCACATGTTAGCAAGTGAAACTAAGACATGTAACCTGCTGAACATCCGCGTGTAAACATTGACTTGGTAGGGATGTTAAATGCTGATGTTTTAGATAATGCCACAGCTGTAAGGAATTAAAACCCCTCCGTCCTCGTCGGCCTCTGTGCTGGTCGACCCAAACCACCGGCCTGAATAATACATGTACACATAACACGTGTGTGTGTGTGTGTGTGTGTGTGTGTGTGTGTGTGTGTGTGTGTGTGTGTGTGTGTGTGTGTGTGTGTGTGTGTGTGTGTGTGTGTGTGAGCGCAGAGACGAAATCACCACCGCGGCCCGTCGTATTACACTTGAGAACACTCGCAGCCTTCAGCCAGTTTGTCCCACCAGTAGCTTGAGGACAGAAAGCCATCACAGGCAGTTAGTGGATGACCTCATGCCCGATGAGAGCAACGAGACCCCTCCCCCTCTCTGCTGGTATTGTCCCGTCGAATTCTCCGTGCGCACATTCAAAGTCTTCGTTCCCCTACGCCGTTGCCCACAGAACAGAGAGCCCGCGTGTGCACGTCTGTGCAACACGACTCCAGTCACCATTACACCTGTTTCTTTGCTTTACTCCCAGCTGGTCCGGAGCGTTGGGGGGGGGGGGTCAGAGGGCGGGAGCGAGGACAGTGGGCTGATTTACTGCTGGACCAGTCGTCCAAAAAAATAAAAAATGCAATTGCCAAATGAAATGGTTTAGAGAGGTTCTGGCTCTAGGTTCCCGTTACATGCGACATATCGCCACAGTGTTTCCCTATGACTTAGACACCATGTGACCTGCGCTTTTTTATGAACCTGCACGAGGGTTGTTTAATGGACATATTCTATCCCCGTCGACTACGTCAGAACAACAGGCGAGGGCCGTTCCGTGTTATGTAATGGCAGTTTTCATGCCCTTTGGACTAAGCCAGCTGAGAAACGGGCACCTGAGCCGATGGTTTGTGTTTTTTGAAAGGGAAAAGGTCCGCGTTGGACCGGCCGTGGCTCGGGCAATTAGTGGCAAAAAAATAAACTATGACCCTCGTTTAAAAACGAATATAGCAACTTGTTCTGTGTAAAGATATGAGCGAGCAATGACCACCTGAGCAGAGGATCCAGTCGCCCTCCCTCCTTGTGTGTGTGATTTTGAACTTACTCTTTCCGGCCGTGACGCTCATCCGTCATCCGCCAAAAATACACGTCTTTATCTTGGGAAGAGTGCGATGCTCGCACACGCCCACGCACTCTCTCTATGACACACGGGCAGAGGGACACGTACACACTGGTGCGTAAGTGTGTGTTGTGTAACAGCGGGCCGTAGCAACGGACGGACGAGGCCGGCAGCTCGGAGCGGCTGGGAACTGTGTTCCAGGGCCGCTGACATTTACACGGAGTTCAGATCTGTCAGTCCTCTCATTTCAGCTCGCGCCTCTTTCATTCTGTCAAATGAGGATTTGCACATTTGTTCCTCAAAAAACGCAACCGCCGTGGTCCATGAACTCAAATTACAGCTGGAGCTGATGACATTGTCAAAGCAGGAATTTGGGAAAAATGATGGCAGTTAGTTCATGACTCACCAGAAATATGCCATTTCACCCGTCGGGTGTCTGTGCCAAAGGTCGTCATAATTCACCCAAAAGATATTTTACTCAAATGTCACCCTGGTGGTGTTAAAGAAAAAAACACCGTACGATTAATCGTCTGGGGACCATGAACTCAACGTGTCCAACATGTTCCGACCACATCTCATGGTCTCCATGAGCAAATGGAGCTGTGGTGATGAGACGCCATCATGCGACCAAAGCTCAAGACTAATGACGACCATGAGATGTGGTTTAAGACGCTTACTTAAAGTGTCTCTTACTTACTGGTTTCTCCCTCTCGTTTGTTCCCTTCTGTTTTCAGACGGGCAAATCTCAGGCTGTGCTTAGAGCGCTTGAAGTCCCTCGTTCCTTTAGGACCAGATGCCAACCGGCACACCACCCTCAGCCTGCTGATGAAGGCCAGAGATCACATCAAGGTGCGTGTTCGTTTCCGTAGCGCATGCCAATGCGACTCAACTTGCTTTTACATAGTGAAGTTTCAAAAAGACACCGGGAAGAGCAACATATGGCACGAAGATCGATCTACTAATGTGATTATTTTGCTGGATTAAATAATTAATTACAAAGTGGTATTGCACACTTTTATTAATGCAACCACTTTAAATAAGGCGCCGTCAGCACTCGAGTGTCTCGGACGCAGCAATGAACTTGTAATCTCAGTTCAGTGATGGGGGGGGGGGGGCGACGTGTTATTTCGGCCCCCGAGGGGACTAAACAGACACACATCTTCTCCTTGTGTTTGCAGAGGCTGGAGGAGAGCGACAGGAGAGCTCAGCACACTGTGGAGCAGCTGCAGCGGGAGCGCAGACACCTGAGGAGGCGTCTGGAGCAGCTCGGGGTGGAGAGGACCCGCATGGACAGCACCGGCTCCAATGCGTCCGACAAGTCCGACTCCGACCAAGGTACGCCGTGAGATGGTTAATGTTTTAGGGCGAGAGAGACAGAGAGGCAACAAGAGCTCCTGTTAATGATCTTTGTATTATAACATGATATGGTGGTTTGGTTCGTTTAAAAGACTTTGATCTAGTTATACTGTGACCTCTAGTCAACGTTGTATACTGTGAATGCAAGAAGAAAACTTGCTGCTTGGAAAAACTACTGTGCTCAGGATTTGAGAGAACTACTACTACGACCCGATCATCCCAAATGTGTCTTTTAGGATTTTAAACCTTTGATTTTTACCAATTTGAAATACTTAACAAGGGATCCACTCTAGTACTATATGGCCGTCAAAGAACAATGAAGGCAAATCCCCTTAAATTTTTCAACCATGACAAAACACAATATCTTTAGTAACACAAACACATGGAGGCGGATTTGAGTTGTGAAATTAGCCGTGCGGCCCGAACAGGGTTCCTTGCGTTCGCGGTTCACCAGTAAAGCTTGTGGGACGTAGTGCCGAATGTCATCACAATGCCTGCGCCTCCTTTTCTCCCAAACAGAGGACCTGGACGTGGACGTGGAGGGCACGGACTACCTGCTGGGCGACCTGGAGTGGAGCACCAGCAGCGTGAGCGACTCTGGGGACGAGCGGGGCAGCCTGCGCAGCAGCTGCAGCGACGAGGGCTACTCCAGCGCCAGCCTGCTGCTGCTGCAGGACACTCAGGAGAGGGCCAAGCAGATAGGCTGCAGCCTATAGACGGCGCCACTGGTCGCCGACCCGCCTCCAGCTCCCCCCCAGCCAATCCCATCCACCTAGATTGCCTCATCACTCCTTAAATCCCGGCCCCGCCTCTCCCTCTCCCCTCACTATCCATATATACAACGACTGACCGAGTCCGAGGCCTCTCGGACTTACTGTTCCCACGACGACTTCCTCGAAGGCACCGTCCACATCCAGCCCATCATCATCATCATCATCATCATCAGCGGTCAGTCTTCAGGGTATCCCCCGTTCTGTCCTGCACCAATCAAACGAGTGGGATTTTAAAGACACTCCACCCTTCCGTCTCTCCATCCGTCGGAAACACTACTTTCAGCCAGAGAATGTTACCACACAATATCCCACTGCCTCTTTTTCTATGCCTCAGGAGCCATGGGAAGCACTTATGAGATTTCACCCCAGCGTCACACATACGTGGTCACACACACACACACACACACACACACACACATACATCCCTTCCATTGCCCCAGCGAGACAGAGTCCCCCCCAAAGGTTTAACACTGACATGAGGGCTTGTTTTTAGGCCCCAGTCACCAATCAACCACCTGTGCATGCTATTGTGCACTTTCAATTGCTTTTACAAACTAAACCTTTTTTTTTTTTTTTCTTCTTCTTCTTGTTTTAAGAAAAATGTCTGAAAATGGTAAACGCCCCCACTCATGACGTGAGTGTTATTAGAAACGTGGTCTGCTGTGCTGTAGGGGCGGTAAAGTGTAACAGTGTGTTGTGTTGAACTGTTTAGGCCGACAGCAATACGTCCCCTTGGTGTAACCCCCCCCGTCATGTTTCTGTCCACGCCTGCCATTCGGCATTTGGGGTACGAAGTAACACAAAAACAAAACGAAAAAAAAAAAAAAGAAAGAAATGTGTGCAGCATGAGATTGTGACAGGGCTGTGGGAAGGTTTCGGGGGGCGGGTTCCATGTTTTTTGCCTCTCTCTGATGACCGTGGCGTTTTTACAGCATCCTTTTATCATAAACGTGTGTATGTCACGTGTGAACCTGGCGACCTTTTAACAGCAGCCTTCCCTTGGAGCAGAACGCCGGTACACCTTGGCATGTGGCGGGATATTTCCCGTGCACCACTTCACCTCTGCCCCCTTCAGCAGGTATTAATAGGAAGGGAGGAGCAGATCCACCGAAAGCAGTCGAGAGACTGGAGCACATTCCATTAGCGGGAGGGAGGGACGGACGGCAGGTGAGATTCACTGCGTTATTTTCAGATGTTCCCAGCAATTATTTATAAAGGGAGGCTTCAGTCTGAGACGAGCCGAGTCAGCCTGAAACGGGACTACAGGCTTCGACAAACACACACTCTGGGATTCACGGATGAAGAGCACTAAAATGTTAAAAACTAACAAATCATCCCTCCTTTGCCTTGCCCGCATAGCTATTTATTGTCTCTGCGAAAATGTTAATGTAAATAGTTTACAGAAAGATCTCTATGTTTATCCACAAATGTATTTATTAGATATACTAAATATATAGATGAATATATAGAAATATATTTAATTAGTCCTAGCTTCTGGTCTTCTCGTGCGTTGTTTTTGGGGAGTTGCTGTAGTTTGCACAGCCTCGTCCACCCAGTATGTAGACACGTCCCTTGTGCCTCCAGGCTTTTCTGTCCAAAATGAAATGTTTTCTCTGTGGTTGATCCTAATTTTTAGCTTTCAAAGCCGTCTCGCCCTTTGATGCGGGAATAAAAAGGACAAAAAAATCTAAATAATTTATTATAAAAATGTAATTTAAAAAAAAAAAGTATAAAAAGGAGAGGAGCGGGTGGCCGGGATGAGCTGCGGGTACGATTCCTCTGCCAAAGCCGCGTTGCCTGTCGGGACAACATGGCCGCTGCGCCTCGGGAAGAGTTAAGCGCTTTGTTTGGTCCGCAATCATCCCGTGGGGGGGGTGGGGGGCAGCAGCCCTCCGAATGTAGACGTCCTCAGCCCCGCAGTGTAGCAGCACGGGGCCAATGCAACGCCCCTGCTGCTGCGTGCCACCGCTCGCTCATCTCACTTACAGCATGAAGAGGAGTCACAACATATAGATCTAGGAATGTTTAGTGTTTGATTGTGGAATGCTGCTTTTATCTTTTGATTTTCTTCTTCTTTTTCCAAAACGGAAGGCGCCGTGTAGCCACGTTATAAGGGAGACGGACTAAAGGGGGACATGTAACGAAAACAAGGTGTTCACTGAAAAGCCAACTGTCGGTGTGTGCATGTGTATACAGAGTGTGTGTGTGTGTGTGTCACTGTCTTCAGAGAGACATTTTGGGGTGGTGGCGGGTGGGTGAAATGAATTGTAAGGCTAAATTTCTGTTCTGGTTCTTTGTTCATTTGTTTACTAGTTAAATGCAAAAAAAAACTTCATGTATGAACCTCAGCATCGACGTCTGTCTCTGGGAGAAAACAGTTTTTCCATCCATGGCCTGTTGTCTGTCTTCCAAAAATTTGTGTGTGTGTGTGCGTTTCTGCTGTACGGGTGCCGGTTCTCATGCAATGTGCACACGTGCGAGCGTGACTCCCACATGGTGCGTTTGAGTCCCCGGTGCAGCGAGGCAGGTGTGCGTGGGGGAGGTGGGGGGAGGGCAGTGTGTGCGTGAATGATCCCCTGCAGGCTCTTGCTCTTCACCTCCACCCGTCCTCCCCTCTAAGAAAAAAGAAAAAAGAGACCCTGGTGCTCTCAGCATCTGCCTTAAAGAAGCAGGTGTGGAATCTCTCAAAGAACACGACTACAGTCCGACCAGTCGTTTTAAGCTACACGTTTCAGCTTCGGGGGGGTGGGGGCAACATGTGTGTATTTGATTTTTGCACATTTTGTCCCTGCGTACAAAGTGGCTGCTAATGCCTTAAAAACAGACACGGCCTACCGGAAGTATGTGATATGTATGAGTGAGCGAGATATATCGACATCACAAGGGCCATTCCTTTTCATTGTGACGGTCACTGGCGTGGTGCTTTCATGCGTTACACAACACACACACACACACACACACCCCGTCATAGCTCCATGAACATCATCGCCGCCTTTCTCCTCAGAAAGATCAAATGTATGTTTATTGAACAATAACTTAAAGGAGGGAGTTTGTGCACTTACTTTTTGAGAATTGGATCATTTGGACACTGTCGTCTAAAGAAGTCACTTCCAATGTGGAGGAAAAGTGAATCGTTGAGCAGCAATTTGTATTTGCCATTGATATTAGAGGAATAAAACATTTGAAACACTTGTTTACCTACCTATACACCTGTCGCTGTTCTTGATTTATAGTTCATGTCACAGAAACCTTCATAGTTGTTGTATTTTCTTTAAAGCAATTTAAGGTTTCTACCAGGGAAGCCGACACACAGAGTGAATAATCTTAATGTAGAGGCTGAATAGATGCTAATAAGGTTTCTTGCGCAGCAGATGAGAGAAAACCTCCACAGGGGCCTTGATCCTCGCCTGCCATCCAGTGTTTGTGTGAGTAATCCCGGGTTTGTGTGATCACAGCAGCCCAATAACCAACACACCATCCCCTCTGGAGCTGTCTGGCTGCTGGGGGGGCAATCAGAGGGGGAAAAAGCTCTTCTTTCCCATCACGGGGAATCCTTGTTCGCAAACACCATCTTGATACATCGGCGGTCATTACAAGCAAAAGGATTTTCAATTTCATTTCAATTATTATTGGGCAGCATTATAGTCGTGACATAGGAAGCTAACGTTAGATTGATCTGTTATTTCAGGTAGTTTAGAAGCTAATCTTTGAGTTTCTTGATAATTATGTTAAAGTAACAATTTTAAAGATTTCCATTCAAATCTATTAACACACAATCTTTTATTAACCATAAATAGACAAGATCAGTACACAGCTAAACCTTCTAGCTGTTGAAAGAGGCATCCATCCATCTTATCTATTCATCTCTTTCCGTGTTGGTGTATGATAATCCCCCCTTCCATCCTGCCGTAAAGCACTAAATCGGCCACCATGAAGACCCACCTCACGTATAATCCGCACATGAAGCACGAGACAGACGCCGCAATGCAGCTTGGCCTGATCCAAGCACACCGCGCTCCCGCTGAGAGTTTGATGATGGCCGACCTGCTGTTGTGTTTTCAAATGTCATTGACAGTAACAGAGTTGTGTTGGAAGGTGTGTTTATCTGTGTCGGGGTCAAAGGCCTATCGACTCATCTCGCCATGTGTTCGCTTATCAGATTAGTCAAATCCAGCATCTTATCGGAGAACCTGCACAACCACCTTCTTTTGACATTTGCCCTGGGAACGCCGCGACCTGCACACTTTCACCTATGAAAAAAGCACACATGCAAACGTGCATTTACACGCATGACACACACTCATACCGAGGCATTACAAACAGAACACGGCATGTGATTAAACAACACAAACAATGGAGATACTATGCATACAATCACTTCTAAGCTCCCAGTAGCCAGTGGAGAGCACGTAACGACGGCCTCCTCTTCATTTTAACGGAAAACAAGAGGTGTGAGAAGTTGTTTTGATAATGAGTGCATTGCATTTAGGTGAGTCAGTCCCTGGTGTTTGGTGTTGTGCATGTTGGGTACATTGTGGACTCCAGGCCGCTGCTCCGAGCCTAGAGACACGGTGCGGGAAAGCAGCTCCTTTTTATTTCTTTGAGATGTTACAAAATACGACTTCGATTCGATTGCCTGCACGCGTTGCCACTTGGTTTCTGAGTAAACAAAGTACGTTTTAGAAAGGCTTATGGCCAAAGTATCATCGACTCCATCATCCTCCATTTTGACGGTGGTCCACGGTGTCTCCCTGGAAACTGATTTAAAAAGATCAACGAGCACTAAATGGCACATATCACATTTCACATCCAAATTGAATGCATTTAATGAGCCTCAGTGGATTTCATCACCTCAGTAGAAATCCTGCACTTGCTGGTTGGCGACCGCCTTACATGAACATCCTGCCTCCCAGTTGGCAGCTCAGATCAAGAGATGGATATTCGAGTGTGTGCGTTCATGTGCGCTTTGCATGTGCGCGCGCGCGTGTGTGCACGCAAACAGATGGAAGAAGAGGCATCCCGTGGGACCCGAGGGAAGAGTGCACATCAGAGAAGATCAGTGCATCCGAGACGGAACAAAAGCGAGGGGGCTGAGTGGCCGGTACGTGACACGTAGTGAAGCCCTCCGCAGAAGCCCTCGCTCAGCGTGGAACACCTGGCGTATCAAAGCAACAAAGGAAAAAAACAGCTTCAAAGGAGCAGTGCTGCTGGAGAGCGTTTCGTGTTGGGACGATGTGGGAATTTCCGAGTTATTAGACGCCATCATATACGCAAAGAACATGATGCCACTCAAACCCAAACCGTGCTTTACGGTTAGCTGAAACCACGGCGAGGATGGTGCGGCTGGAGAAAGGTTAGATTAGCAGGCCGGTTAAAGGAGAGTAACTGTGTCTGCATCCCACAGGGGGGGGGACATAGTAAATAAATCATGTTCTTTCCCCACCCACATTGTTTTACAGCATGCAGAGGGAGAGACGTAATATGTCTTTCACTCCCAGGTGATAAATTATATTTATTGACTTTCAAAGGTGTACCATCTGGCAACGTTCTCCAAACTAATATGGGATTATTTTTACCTGTTCTATCCTTTACTTTCATAATTTGCCAAAATAGAGTAAATTATTAACTGACAGCTGGGCCAGAGTCTTGTGAGAGTGAATGAAATAACACTACTCGCTTATACTCACCAGCGGTGTCGGCCTACAGATTTGATTGGCTTATTTGTGTTGACTGCAACACTATGTTAGGTGGGTCTTCCTTTTTATTTAGTTTATTGAATTGGATTCAATAAATTCCTTCCTATGTCTTTCGTCCTCAGCAGCTTACTTCTTCTGGAGGATGCAGGACAGCTCCGGAGATGGACACTCAGTTAGCGGAGCTGTAGTAGCTTCCGTTGACCCTCCGCGAGGCCTTGAACCCTGCTGGTACTCTGTGAGGCTGTCAGACCGTCTATTGAGCCCAAACTGTATAAATATGAACCCATTTTAATATAGCTATGTATATATAGAGGCTGTTTTTTTTTCACTGGTTCCACCATTTGCTTTTGCTTCAATACCAGAAAGCTTCCTGTCCGTCTCTGCTGGAAGAACAGCGCCCTCTTCCTGTGCGTTGTAATAAAAAAAACACAGCATATTTCACCTGAAGTCCAGCCAGTGGCTCTATCTGCATGCACAAGGCAGTACGACATCTGCTACAGGCTGCCAACTGCACTGCGTTGCTGTTGAAATATGTCAAATGAAACTGCGTGTACAGGGGACAGGGAGCGCTGTACAAGACACACAATGATAGAAATCAGGTGGTTCTGGCTACCTGTCATTTCCTGCTGAGTCAGAGACAAGTGCTCTCTGTCTCACACACAGTCGGGGTTTCATGATTTTAAAGGAATTGCATTATTTTACATTTCTTTCCTGCAGATTTATTCTAACCATCATTGCAACCCGACAACCTACAGTCTAATTCATCAGTCTTGATAAACCAAACGGAAAGCTCACTTTGAGTTTTTTGCCGTCTCTCTGCGACGCTGAAACATCACTTGTGTGAAAGGTGTGTTTGAATATCTGTGGTAGTGCTTTTGATGGTGAAAACTGTCCAGCTGAATGACCTTGGAGGCTGACCAATACCAAGACCACGTCTGTTGCAGACCTGCATGCCACTGCCCGTAAGTCTAAAAGCATGATTATGTATCTACTCTGATTAAATCCACAGTCATTTCCACAGATAACCTGCAAGAGGTGTTTATTTAGCCTGTGTTATATATGTGCACGTGTAACACAACACAGTTCAACAGAACCACAATTTACAGCCTCTAAAATGATCAAACAGTTGAATTACTAACAGAAGTGTAACCAAAACAGAAGCCGAACACAATGGCCTTCATAGGGATCTATTGCAGGACTGTTGCGTTTGACTACATCAGTTGGAGCACTTTTTAAACTGGCTGATGCATCTGCAAGCAGGGGAAGGACAGAAGCTTTAAAACGGTGACTAATATAACAAAATAACACAGAAATGTGGATGAGACTGTTGTTCAGACGTGCTGGGAATCAGCTCAGGCCTACTGCATGCAGCACCACGCCGATGCTTGAGTTCCCTCTAGTGGTTGTTATGTGGAAGCAAAAAGCAAAAAGCAAAACGACTCCTTCCAATTTCATCTATAATGTTGACATTGTTTACATTGCAAGAGCATGTGTATAAAAAAAAGTAGATTATGGGAAGTGTTGTGTTATGGACACGTTGCTGCGGCATTAAACGTCCCCCCGGTGTTGGTTTACACTCCACTTTATTCGCAGTCAAACAGTTATTTTCATCATCATTTTATCATTCCTTTAGGGTGGAATGTTTTTCTCTTCTTTCCCAATGTAACAGTATCAACAGAAACGGCCTGAGGAGATTTGGGATGACTCGGCAGTGGCTGTTGCGGTGTTTTCCCCCACTATTCTGGGCTGTTTCCCAGACCGGCGGTGTGAAGAGGGGCACTAGAGGCGCCGTGTGCGTTGTTTGGGGAGGGGTGAGGCTGCAGTGAGGGAGGGGGCCCGGGGGAGGGAGGGGGGTTCTCTCTATAACATGGGCGTGGTCCGTCTCCTGCCGCCGGGCCGGATCAGGACCAAGGCCAGCGACCAAGCAGTGCCAGTCCCAACAGATCACTGGATAACTGTATAAGTCATATGTTTTATATAATATTAAGTCAATAAAGGATGAACTTCTAGCCAACTTGTTTTTTTGAGAATACTGCATTTTAAGGGGACATGAATGGTATCCACGTTATGGAGTTTAGGGTGCTTGTGATGACTTATAACGATATATAATAATCCTAATTTTATTGTGTTCTCATTTATAGAATGACGCGTTTTGTCGCAATTGGACGATGGTCGACACGATGTCACGGTTTCAAATACAAATCCATCACGTTCGAGGGCTGCAGATGAGACAATGTGGTGCAAGAAACAGGCCACTTTAATGAGTCTCATCCCGCATTCTGATATTGCGGAGGTCTGGGCTGTGGGATGTGGGGGGAGGGCGCCTACATGCAGACTGCAGCACCAAAAAACAAACTCTGGCGCACAGTTCGCGCATCGATCCCATTTGCCATTCTGCTGGGACAGCAAAGAAAAACTGCAATGACACTGTGGATTAAAGTAACATGAGCGAGTCCAGTGGGGAAGTGAGAGTGTATTATAATGTAACCTGAATGTCGTTGAGTCCCACATTAATTTAAAGAAAAGTGACGTCCAATAAGCTCTCAGGTGAAACCTGCTACAATAAAGCCCTTATACTGAGCCTGTGTTGACACCATTAACCACAAGGAAGAAACGAGGATCTGCATGAGTGAATTCGTGTCTCCCCAGGGGGGCGGGGGGGGGGGACTATCTGCAAAAGCGTGCAGGTTTTCCCTCATCTTCTTTTGTGCCTGCGTCAAATGATGCGCCGGCGGCTTCGCTATAAAAGCACCTGTCCGGGCCGAACACCACTCGCATCTCACTTGGGCTCTCGCTCACACACACTCTCTCACCCTCACGCACTCCTGAACTCCGTGCACTCACTCCCTCTCTCTGTCTCTCTCTCTTTCTCTCTCTCTCTCTCCCCCGTACAGAGCAGTGGGACCAGACACCACCAAGGCAAAAGGAAACATGAGTTACTCCGGCGACATTTACAGCAGCAGCTCCTATCGGAAGATCTTCGGAGATGCCCCCCGGTCCGGCCGAGTGGGTCTGGGCCTCAGCAGCAGCAGCAGCCCGTCCCGCTCGCACTCTGCGGGATACCGCAGCAGCCACCGCAACTATGGCTCCCCGTCCTCCGCCAACTACCGCAGGACGGCGGCTTCTGGCCGCGTCTTCTCCTCCATGCCGGACTCCGCGATGGACCTGACCCAGTCCACCGCGGTCACCAACGAGCTCAAGATCGTCCGCACCAACGAGAAGGAGCAGCTGCAGGGCCTCAACGACCGCTTCGTGTCCTTCATTGAGAAGGTGCACAACCTGGAGCAGCAGAACAAAGTCCTGGAGGCGGAGGTCACGATGCTGCGCCAGCGCCACAACGAGCCGTCGCGTCTGCACGAGCTGTACGAGCAGGAGATCCGCGAGCTGCGGGCGCGCGTCGAGGAGCTGACGCACGAGAGGAGCCAGATGCACCTGGACTGCGTGCAGATGAACGACACGCTGGAGCACATGAGGGAGAAGCTGGAGGAGGAGACCAAGCTGCGCGAGGAGGCGGAGAACACCCTGAAGGGCTACCGGAAGGACGTGGACGACGCCACCATGGCGCGCCTGGAGTTGGAGAAGAAGGTGGAGTCGCTGCTGGACGAGATCGCCTTCCTCAGGAAAGTTCACGAGGAGGAGCTGCAGGAGATGCAGGCGTCTCTGCAGGCCACTCAGGTACACCGCCCACTGTTTGGCCCTAGAGGTCCACTGTACACAAGTACTCCTCACGCATGGCCGTCGGTGTCTATGATGTCACATCCACGCATGTTTTGACCATGAGTGTAACTCCATGGAACTAAGCGCACTGCGTCCTCCACACACTTAACATTGCGCACTTGATAATTGATGGCACTGCAGTTCCGATCCGGCCACACTCGCGACCCCCTCCTCCTCTCCGCCTCCACCTCCTCCCACACCTCAACTCCCTCCTCCCCCCCCCCCTCCCCTCATAAATTCGTGTCTCACGAGCGGTTTTTCTCCGCGAGGTCATCAATGCCAATCTGAGGACTGCGGAGCCGCAAACAGACGTGTTCTGTGTGAATCGTATGCAAAGTTGTGCCACTTCCAATGTAAATGCTGAAGGTGCAACGAGGTCATCCGAAACTTTACTATATTTTTTTGTGGGAGTTGGGGGGCGTATTGGCAATATGTCCGTTAAATTTGGCAAAGAAAGGGGGTCAAAAGGGGGGTGGGGGGGTGCAGAGAAATAGCGCATCATCCTGGGGTGTGGTCGTCCCAAAGGCGCCAGATGGCAAGAAACCCCCCCGGAACACTTCTGTCGTGCAGCTACTCATTTACTGTGTGACAAAAGTTTTTGAAGGTTGGGTGTGGCAGCATTTATCACTGGAGCAGGAAATCAATGTATTGGACGTGCTGTAGGACATTGTTAAATCGTGCATTAGTTAGGGTTGCTGGGTAGATTTCTCCAGGGTCCCTCCTCCCTGTTTGCCATGTAAGCTATCGACAGCACAGCTCGCATGGCAGCAGGGAGGTCCGAGTCAGCAGTCAGTGCTGCAGCAGCGCATCCACACATTATGCATGCGTTTCAACAAAAGCCACGCCGCGCTTGAACACTGTTATGGGAAATGGAATTTATCTATAGTTTATATTTTATTGCAAAACATTACAGCACATTAAAGCGTTACATTATTTGATTCGGTTACGTTTTATCTGTATTTGAGTTTGAATATAGTATAACATACAATATTTCCTAGTTTGCTGTTTTTGCCAGATAATTAGTAATTAGTTACTGGTAGTCCAGTTGTGGCTTGAGAAGGTTATTTTTTATCATCTCTGGTGAAATTGAAAACGTCCAGCCTGTTCAAATCACAGTTGATCTACATCAACTAGTGTATAGTCATCAAACAAAAAGAGTACAATGAAGCATTTAGGCCATTATGCAATTGTTTAAATGTACCCTCACTTATTGTTGAATATATACGGCTCGTGGATTCTCAAAGTGTTCCTTACAGGTTGGGTAAACCTACTCATACTCTCCCCTCCTAAATCCAGGTGTCGGTGGAGATGGACATGAGCAAACCGGACCTGACTGCCGCTCTGAAGGACATCCGGGTCCAGTACGAGACCCTGTCGGCCAGGAACCAGACCCAAGCAGAAGACTGGTACCGCTCCAAGTTTGCCAGCGTGACCGAAGCCGCCGCCCGCAACCAGGACGCCGTCAAGCACTCGCGGGAGGAGCTGAGCGAGTACCGCAGGCAGGTGCAGGCCCGCACCCTGGAGATCGAGGCCCTCAGGGGCCACAACGAGGCCCTGGAGAGGCAGATTGCCGAGATGGAGGACCGACACGGCGATGAAATGGCAGAGATGCAGGTACGGCGGTGACCCGGTGGGTGAGATGTCATAACGCGTGTCACGGTTTGATTGACTTTTATTAAGCAGGTAAAGAAGACATTTGCTAAATGGAGACCTGCAGGGCCGGGAAGGCAGCATTAAACCGAATGAACTGTTTCACAGAACAAAGTACAGTCTGGAATTGTGCCAGAGATACCACACTCATGTTTGAAATCTCAAGGACACTGTGAACCCCGATGAAGGTCAAAACCGGGCTACGTGTCTCTCATGAATCACTTTGATATTACAAAATGAACAAACTCATCGTTGTTAATTTCAAACCATCTCCATTCACAGTGCATGAATTATTAGTATTTCATGGTATGATTTTGTGCGGGCAGGACACCATTCAGCAGCTGGAGGCTGCGCTGCGCAGCACCAAAGGGGAAATGTCCCGTCACCTGCGTGAATACCAGGACCTGCTGAATGTCAAGATGGCGCTGGACATTGAGATCGCTGCCTACAGGTGAGTTACATGACAACGACACGACCATAATCAGTTTGGGAGATTGAACTAACCAGAGGCAACGTATTTGTTTTTAAACCTTGCATTTATACCGTAGATATTCACATGAGGACGAACAATAATTCATTTATTTTGCTTTTGTTTTTTTCCACAACTCAGTTGAGACAAACACAAAACCTGTTTCTTCTTTAGACAGTTGAATTGTTTAAGATTTCTGAAGCGTTTTCTTTGTGTCCTGAAAAATGTTAACAAAATTCACTTCCACTCCCGCCTTTATTTTGAGATTTATTCTGGAAACAAACAGTTTTTAAGATGCAAGTGTACATGCGTATAAAAATTACCCTCCTTCATCCCAAAAGCAACCGTTCCCCATGAAGAATAATTTTCTCTCCTTCTCGATTGTGTCATTTAACCTTCTCCCAGTGTAATAAAATAAATGAATGGAAGTTATACAAGGTGAAACATTGATACCAGAGAAGTTAGACCTCTCAGCAGACGAGAGGTGACGTCATCTCTTGTGCGCGTCTCTCTTTCTGCCCGAGCAGGAAGCTCCTGGAAGGCGAGGAGTGCCGCCTCAGCTCCGTCGGCGGGGCCATGGTCCAGTCGGGCTACCAGGGCTTCTCCTACATGTCAGCCCGCTCCTACTCCCTGGGAGCCTACAGGAAGCCCGAAGCCAAGCCCGAGGAGGAGGAAGAGGAGGAGGAGGAGGAGGTGGAAGACGATGGCGGAGAAGACGAGGAGGAAGAAGGAGAGGAGAACAAAGAGGAGGGAGAGGAGGGAGATGACGGCGACGACCAGGAGGAGGGTGAGGGAGAGGAGGAGGAGGAGGAAGAGGAGGAGGACGAGAAGCAGAAAGAAAAGGAGAAGAAGAAGGAGAGCCCCGCCGGCAAGACCAGCAAGAGCTAAACGGCTAGTGTCCACGTGGTCTCCATCATTATCAATAACACATTCTTCATCCTCATTCCATTCACTTATATGGATCTGGTCTCTGTTCACATCATCTCTGTCAAACACAACTCTGCACATCGTCATTCACAAGCAAATTCACTTGAGTAGGGAGAGAAGGAACAACGTATCACAAAGTCGTTATCTGACATCACATTCATTTAGAGGGAGGCCGAGAGCTAACGTGATGCTTTTTCTGTTGCTGTTTGAAGAAGGAGGATTTTTCCTCACCTGAAGTGACAACAAATGTGCCATTAACGATCAATATTAAGAGCAATTGAAAGTAACACTTTTTGTCGGCACACAGACTTTAAGAAAAAACGCACAGATAAACAGCCAGTCCAACTTTTACGGTGCTATTTGATTTTTACGTGTAGAAGTTGGAGAGTACTGTAAGTGAAAAGGGATGTGATCAATAGGCCGCAGCGCCGCCAGCTCATCCCTGAATGTCACCGTGGAACGTCGAGGGGAAAGACTGCTCTCCCACTGGAGCTGCAGGTCCAACCCCACATGTCCCACAGACGGTGAATGCTTTTCAGTCCCCTCTTTCTTCCAACCGCTTTCCATTGCTCTCTGGTTCTGCGTCTATTCTCACCGTGACAAACGGAACCGATCTTCATTCAAGCCGCCCTCCTCATTCTCTTTCATTCACTGCAGTTTCACAGCACGGCACCAATGGAGCGCAGAAATACTGTATATACAAGTGTGCTGGGAGGTTTGGGACGAGGGAGTGCATCTTTGGGAATGAAAATGTAGAGATTAAATTGCCGCTATATATATATTTTTGATTCATTGATTGATTCATTGGTCAGGGAAATACGACGGCCAACACTTAAGAGTTTAACGTTGATCTGCAAGTCTGTTCTTCTTTCTCTTCAATAAAAAAAAAAACTATAACCAACCATTTTTATTTTTCCATATACAAATGTAGTGGTGCTTTTGTTTTATTTAGCTGGGTAAAGGACCTGGGGTGGCTGTCGGTGTCAGGCAGCTGACGATGACACTGACGGCCCTCCGCTCGCACTGTAAGTGGCAGTTGAGGCTGAATGGTAGAGAGCCGCATTATAAAAGGGCTACTTTCACCACGGCCTCCTCTATCGCTCCTCTGACCCAATTTTTTTGGCATTTTCTGTTTGACAAATGAATCAACCAATGGGCATGAATGCATGGCCTGACTCTTCGAGCTTGAATATCTGCTGGATGGGATAGATGTTTTGCTTGTTGTGTGTTTAATTAAAAAACTTGCCTTAATCATGACTGAAAGTTAAAACAAACAATGTGTTCCCCTCCATCTCACTTGTTTTTTTGAGAGGCTGAGGAGTGCTGCCACTTTCCAGAACTCTGCTATACAACTGTGATTGTAGACGTGCTGCTATCTCACTCAGTGATATTCCTCTCAAAGCCAAATAAAGACATTTAATAACCGAACTTCGCTGCATCTTGGTGTCTTTAATGTTGTCAGATCGGGACAATATATATGATAACAGTATTTGTGCCTAATCTGAGTTTTCTATTCATCTTTACACACAGCAAAAGCCTTAAGCAGCTTCCCAGCATGCATTTGTGTGAAAGGCAGTTGAGTGCAGGGCAACAATGGAACAAGACCTTACTTCAGTGAAAGACGTCATTTATAGTGAGCGACGAAATAAATAAATAAATTGTCTTTTTGGACGTTTGTACCTTCTTTTGCAGGTTTTATTCTCGCACAACAGCAGGACCTTGAAACTAAAGCAGCATACAAATGATTGCATCATTACCTTTACTGTGACACGTGAAGGAGGCCTCTGTAAAAAAAAGGCCTGCTGATGTATCAATTGCCCGTAACATATTAATCTTTCGAGCGCCTAAAGCTGTCCACTTATTAACGTTCAGTCACTGTCTACTTCCCGTCGCGATCTGCCGGCGTCCTCGGCGTTTACGCTTAAGTCAACGCCTTTTTTAATGTCGGCCGGGTGTTGCTATCAGCTCCTCTCAGCTTCGGTCTGCCTGCACCCAGAGGTGAAGGATGGGGATGGCTAAGATGGATGACAAGGGCCCGATGCTAGCCCGCCAGCACAGCTGCTCACACACCTGCTCCTGTGTGTGTGTGTCTGTTGTGTGTGTGTGTGTGGGAAGGAGAATCAGTGCAGCGGCAAAAACATTATCAGCACCAACAGACAATCAATACATCTGTCTGAAAAGTGTCAAGGACAAATGTTTCGGGCCAAAGTATTTAATGAAAAGGTGCCCGCTCGAGTTTCACAAAAGGAAAATTCAACGCGATCCTTTAAAGGCAAATACATTTTTCTCTGGAAGTGCAGCAATCAATAAGAAGTTAGATCTCCATAATGCTGTGTTAGAGATAAAGATTGTGCATTGAGTTTAACTGCACATTTGCATCTTTCAGTGTGTTTCTATCTGAAGGTGGTGGTTCTCTCTTGCTGAGAGTCTGATGAGATGAGGACAGTTGTAACAATCTCATCTAAGTCTCATCTCATCTGCCTGAAACAGCAAATAAGAGAAATGACACATCATTCCAATGAAAGACTAGATTGCTAATAAAGTAGTGCCACAGTTACTTTAGAAACAATAATCTCCCATTGAATTCATAACTTTTCTACAGTAAATAAATACTTCATAGCACATGAGGCATGTGAGAACGATTAATGCTCCCTCTTTCGTCCTTGACACGGGGAGAGTCATGACTTTGCATCTCAGAGGGCAGATTTATTGAAAATGACCATCGAGTCGTCCTTGATCTGGCCGCCGTGTGAGTGCCGAGCTCTGCTGTCAGCAGATTCCGTCGTTGTGGAGGGGGGGGGGGGGCATTCATAATTGAACTGCACACCTCCTCCTCCGAGACCTTCCGAGACCCTTTGAGATGAAGCAATAAATACTCTCATCTCAGCATTTAACAACCACCACTCCCTGTTCGGGTTGCTGGTGTCCTGCAAGTGAGTTAACTGACTTCACATCCTTGAAACAACAAGCACATCATTACTGGGCAGTTGGTTGGCTTTGGGATTCTCTGGGTTCCTTCAGCAAAGTGATCTTCGCTTTGTTCCATCACAGAAATTAGCATTTGCCATTAGACAAAGTTGCGGCCTGTTCAGTTTAGATTAGTTTACAGCTCATTTTAAGTACAACGCTCACTCTTCTTGTCGGTTGTTTCTGTGTTATCCTTCCCCTGCATCTCCCTTCACCCTCCTGTCTCGCTGTCTGTCACTGTCTTGATGTCCCTCCCCTCCGCCCCCTTCTCTTTCTCTCTCTCTCTCTCCTGTAACTCCCCGGCTATATATAGACTTCTGCATTGCAGATGTCCCGGAGCCCTGCAGTTCTGAGGGGAGCTGCTGAGGAGTCCCGGACCAACATTTTGGGCTGCCTGACATGAAACACACAGACACACACACACACACACACAACACAGAGCAGAGACAGTAGAGTAACCGTCCACTGCGGGACGGGGACAGTTGCAGCATGAGACAGGACATGTGCAGCGAGCTGTGTAACAGTGCTGAGCAACGTCCGAGGCGTCACACTGCAGCAAGGAGGAAGTGCCCCCACGGAATAGAGTCAAAAGCACTGCAGTCATAATCTGTGGGTGTGCAGGTATGAGAGCGTGTTCTTGTTGCCATGCGTCTGAGCCAATTCCCCGTGTTCTTACCGTCACGTTTTCTGCTGAGTCATGACTCCATTATTGTTTTAGAAGTTGAATATGTTAAGGTTGGATGATGACACATTCACAGTATGTGAGCAGATCACACACATTCAAAAACAAGAGTAATCAAACTGTTTGTTTGTTACAATGAATGTAATTTAGATTGGGGATTTGAAACATTTTTGTAATTAATTATGCAGAAGTCAGTGAAGGACGAACACATTTTACATGTTTAGGATAGAATAGGAGGGGAAATCAATGGAGCTGTTTAGACATTAATATCAACGTTCAGTTGTAATTAACTAAAACAACACAAAGGCGGAAATGACAGCCTGAGTAACAAAAAATCATTATTGTCCTCTGAATAATACAAAAGCATTCAAATGACATGTTCAATGTAAGAAAATGTATAGTTCTTTAGAGAAGATATAGAGGAAAATAGAAAGGCATTGATATTGACAGGGTCAAGATAAAATGAAAAATACACGTGACAGATGCTGCCGAGTCATGATTGAGTTGTGTTCCAGTGCACCAGTTGTGTTCACAGGTCATATCGTCAATGAATTCTTGCACCGGATCTTGTTCCAGTGATCAAGTCTGTGCCATTTATCACTGCAAAAAGAGAGTGAACACCACACAGTATGATGTCACATCCCATTGAACATTTGGGCTGCAGAGCTCACCTCACCTTTTACTTTTGCTGCAAGAGCGGTGGGCCTTATGTATTTATAAATGCTGGCTGCTGTCAGGCCACAGAGCAGACACACACACACACACACACACACACACACACACACACACACACACACACACACACACACACACAGAGTTATATTGAACTTTTGCTGCCACTTGGTGTTGAAGGAGAAAATTACAGTTAGTTTTCAAATATGTGGTCCTCTGAGATATCCAGGTAGTTTTCTTTCCCTTTTTGAACAAAATGGTCAGAGTTATAGAGGCGAGGAAGCATAATTGATAATAAATCAAATCTTTTGACTTTTTTCATGACATTTTTGACCCAATATCTTTTGACCTTTTTCTCATGACATTTTTTGACCCAGTATATTTTGACTTTTTTTCATAACATTTTTTGACCCAATATCTTTTAACTTTTTTCATGACATTTTTCGATCCAGTTTATTAGAATTTTTTCATGACATTTTTTGACCCAATATCTTTTGACTTTTTTCATGACATATTTCTGCATAATGTGTTTTAAGTTATTTTTCATGACATTTCATTGACCCAGTATATTTTTTACTTTTAAAAAATATAAAAAAAAAATATATAGATAGATAGATAGATAGATAGATAGATAGATAGATAGAGATATAGATATATTTAAACGGGAATCCGCTTAACATGGACCTTATTTTGAAATCCGGAAGTTGTATAAATCTTTAATTCCTCCAAACTTGACACCACTTTTTTTCATAACATTTTTTGACCCAATATCTTTTGACTTTTTTCATGACATTTTTTGACCCAATATCTTTTGACTTTTTTCATGACATATTTCTGCATAATGTATTTTAAGTTATTTTTCATGACATTTCATTGACCCAGTATATTTTTTACTTTAAAAAAATATAAAAATATATATATAAATATTATATATATATATATACATATATCTATATATATATATATATATATATATATAGATAGATAGATAGATAGATAGATAGATAGATAGAGATATAGATATATTTAAACGGGAATCCGCTTAACATGGACCTTATTTTGAAATCCGGAAGTTGTATAAATCTTTAATTCCTCCAAACTTGACACCACTTCCATCGAGTGAAAAGTGTTGCTGTGCAAATCACAAGCTCAACAGAAGACCTGTCCCCCAAACCAGCCAGTGTCTCGGAGACACAGGACCTTGTCTGTAGTCGCTAGGCTACAATCTGCTAGGATGACAGATCTAAGGCACCGTGGAGCCAAAGACACCGACCCAACGTTACAACAGCAGCCGTCAGAGGACAAGGTAACGTCCGCCAGCACTCCGTCCTTCCAATCACTTGAGAGCGATGCTAACGCTAAAGCTAGCTAACGTTAGCTCTCCTAACGCATCATCCTGGGTGATGTTAGCTGGGGCAAAAGTCGTGATCGATTTGGATGCGGTGTTTTTTACGTAGCTTTTCTCCTGGGCACACTCTGTTACCACTTAAAGGCGCTCAATACAAATCCACCGTCATCCTGCTCGTGTTTTAAACTTGATTGGTCCATGCTAGGCTCGGTCTTCCTGTGAGTCTTCCCGTGGGCTCTCACAGGCAAACCAAAGGCACAAGCTGCTTTTTTTTAATCGTATTTATGCCGATGTATAGGATGCTCTCCTTGTATAAGAAAGGGCATCTATTTGACTTTAATTGATGTTTTAAAGGTCATGCTAACCAAATCAACGCTAGATTGTAAACAATTTGAATTATGTTTTGGAAGATGTTTTGCAGCTGGCCACGGTGTGACGTCAGGTCTACGACGCTTCGAAAAAGCCTCAAGTGGTGAAGACTATATTTGCGCTAAACAAGCGTCACTGTTTTGTTTCCCCACACAACGCTATCTTAAGTAAATTAACTTGTATGACGTTATATTTAACTGATAACTGTTTAATTTAACTGCCCAACGGCCTGCGGACATCGTCTCCACCAGTGTAGCATTAACGTAACGTTAGCTTGGCTTAGCTGGTCCGACTGCTACAATGACAACAACAACAACTGCTTCAGACGTACAACATATTTATTATCGCGACGTATTCAAACTGGAGGGAACACAAAAAGCATGTTCTGTGATGTCAACATGGGTGTGGAAATAGTTTCCAGGGACTAGCTGTAGCCCACAAAGGGGCGTGGTCATGCATGTGGTTTAGGACGTGATTACGGATCAATGGAGAGCAGCTTAATAGTCGGGGCGTTACCGGCGTTACCTAACCACATTGGAGTTATTATGGGAAATGTAATTCATGAGTGACATCATATATATCTTCTATCTGATGGGGTTTGTTTAATTTGTCCATCCTGTTTTAAAAAAAAAGTAATTTATCACATGTTTCTGTGTAGTTTGGGAAGTAAATCTCAAAAAGCAGCTACTATAACTGTTCATGTAGACTTAATCTGGGAGATCATCCTAAAATGTTGACATGTAGCATCAATACCAGTGTAAAGCAGATATCTGGCTTTATGGCTCTGGCTATCTTAATCCTGCATAAAGACAACATTCTGCAGTTATTTACTATGTAGCAGGGTGATATAAAAGTAGTAGACTGGTGAAACCGGTTTAGGTGCAATGTTTATGGTGTTTTGCATAAATGGTATTTGTAAAATTACAAGTGAGAATCAGGTCATACTGCAATCAAACTTTGTAAACATTAAAAATGCCACAAAGTTCAGCTGCTAACCCATTTTTGGATATATGTGTGTGATCAACATCTGGTTGGGTGTGTTTCTAATTATAGACGCTATGTGTTTCCAGGGGATGACGGGAAGTCTCTGTCCAAATGAGCATCGCTCACACGTGGAGTCTTTTAGCCATTCAAAACATTTCAAAACAGCTGCTTGGAAATATTACTGTGATGAACTCCTAAAACAACACAGCCAAGAAAATGAATCTCACACCTCGTCTTTTCCCTCATTAAAAGATTCCCAATCTTCTGAGTTAAAAGTCGCGGTAAAGATGGTCGTGAAAACATAAATGTACTAATCCTTTGCGGCTTGCAGGTGTAGTTTCTTTTTTCCCCCCCAATAAATCGGTGATGGAAAAAGGAGACAGTCAGTGTTGAAAGCGTAAAAGGGGAGGAGCGTTTATGTGAAGCAAGAGCCTATTTTTAACTCAAGCATCCTGAGTGACGGAAATCGTCTCCATAGAAACCAGTAGGCGGCGAATAGGCCTGCATGTGAATGTGTTCTTGTGCTTCTGCATTCATTGGACAGGATTAAACTATTGACAGTCTATCTCGTAAGAGTGTTTCATTTAGTTTGCAGTTTTGGATTAATTTGGCCGATTTGATACAGAGTGACATGAGATGCCAGTTAGAGGGTCTGTGTTTTATGTGGGGACTCTGTGACAAAGGTGGACACACACTGATCGTTGCAGCTGGTAAACTGATCCTCAGTATTACATCTCTCTAAAATGCCAAATAAATAAGTACAGCAGGGTTTCAACGCCCTGCTGTAATAATAATGAAAACATTTCTAGTGTTGTTGTTGTGATGTACTTCTCACAGTCAACCCATTTAACCCTTTGAATTTAGCGTTGTGGTTCTTGTATCTCATTTAATCCCCCCTCTAACTTGTTTAAGGAAGGGAAATAAAGTTGATAGTAGCAGAAATGTTCCCTCTGAACGCCACAATGAGATAGAAAAGTACGAAGACCAAAAAAAAAGCCCTTTAAAGTTGTTGAAGTAAGAAAGCCACAACGGCATGTCTAGCAAATATCCTGCTGCTGCAGCATTCAATGGTCAAAGCGTGAGACTGAGTCGGCATTACGAAGCGTAAGCGGACTGTCTGCTGTGTGATTGTGAGGTGAGACCTCCGAGCCTAATTTGGTCCTCAGCAGCAGCAGCGGAGGGAGGGGGAGGGAGGGAGGGAGGCGAGGCAGGGGGAGAGGGGTTCCGAAGGACAAACTGACGTGAAGAAAACCCGCCGCCTCCTGTGATTGTTGCCGTTACCATGGAGACGCAGAGATTAGTGTTTGTGATCGGGCCTCTTGTCAGCAACAGATTCCTCTGGGGGACCAACAATATGGAGGGAGATGGTTTGGTGCCGCGTTTAGCCGCCCACATCTTACACTGGCAACCCCGCCGCCGGTGCTGCTGTTTGTTCAATGACATTTCTGTTCATACATATATTACTGTGTGTGTGCGTGTGTGTGTGTGAGAGAGATCTAGCTACAATATAATAGGATTTAGTTCGAGAGCCAGTATTTACTACTAGTTTGACTGTTGAGCTGTGAGACAAATAAAGAGCTTTGTTTACATTCATTTAGCTGCACAGGCCCAGTGTTTCTGGTAAGTTTGTTTATTCACTCGTATGTCGTATAAATGGGCAGTTGCCAAAGAAAAAAACATTTTGGGCAATGCTGATTTATATTTATTGTATGAAATACCAGTCAAACCGAAATCCCACATGGAAGACGGATGTCATCCCAGTTTGTTTTTTTGTGTTGGGCTACAACTTTATCTTTGCCAAAAGTCCGCCTCTCACGCCTCCTCTGTGTGCGTTTGTCAGGGCTCTGACAGTGAGCTGAAGGGGGAAAAAGATGTGCCATCAGACGGCGAAGCCAAGGCGGACTCGGGGGTCCCAGACGTGCCGGCCCCTGCCGATGACACCCCGGAGGTTCTGAACAAGGCCCTGTCCGGACTCTCCTCAAGGTACTGACACTGTTGATGAGAAACAAAGACACTGCTCAGTTTTGTCTGCAGTAATACAAGTTGTCTTTAGAGTCAATGTCTATGACTGTACAAATGAATTGTAATAGGCAAACAAGCTCAGTATTGACATTGAAAAATGTTAAGATATACTGTATAAAATATCATTATTTCACTGTGCTGATGGTTGAAGGGATGGATTTTAATCTTTACATTCATGTACGAAAATAATAATTCAATCAGTAAAGCCCCTCTGTCTGCGTTTCCTTCAGATGGAAGAACTGGTGGGTCCGAGGTATCCTCACACTGGCCATGATCTCCTTCTTCTTTCTCATCATCTACCTGGGGCCGATAGTGCTGATGATGATTGTGAGTACCAACACACAATGACACCTCCAACGTCGCCGTTCACAGAAATGTGTTTCATCAGTGGAGTGTAACAAATTGAATACGACAAAACGTCCTGTATTAATTCATTTCCTGAATGAGTTGAGCACTGTATCAGGGTGTGTTTGGGACGTTTTAGTTGAACTTTACCACACAACTGAAGCATCTCTTGGATTAATGGGATTCAGGCTCTTTAATAGAATGCAGGATTTTCTGCTCCAGTCAACCTGGGAATTCACTAAAAATAACCCTGTCAAACATTTTGTGTCACTGGGACACCAGGATTTAGCACACACACACACACACATGCACGCGCACATGCACACACACATGCACACCTCCCCTTGGAGATGCTCCTGTCGTTTCCTCCCCGCTGACACCGTGTTTCTCTGCGCAGGTCCTCATCGTCCAGATTAAGTGCTTCCAGGAGATCATCACCATCGGATACAGCGTGTACCACTCTTACCACCTGCCCTGGTTCAGGACGTTGAGCTGGTGAGGCGCAGTCACACCCACTGAAACACGTTTAACAGCGGTTAAAGCATCAAGTACCATCACTTGCTTTCTTCTTATTGTGTTCATGTTTTATTTTGTTGCAGACTTCCTGAGGTTTGTTTTCAGGCTTTTTTGAGTAGGTTGTAGATTTTAAACCAATCAACACAAAAGGCAAAAAGATTGTAAATCATCAGTGCGGTTTGATTTTAGAGATGGTGGTGGACAACATAGTGTGACTAGAATCCTGACATTCAATATGCCAGCAGCCGGAAAAATCTAAATTGTCCCCTGTGTAGTTATTTATTTGACCTTGGACTACATTTGAGTAGATTCCACACGGCCTCACTGGCTTTCTGCAGGCATACTGAATGCACAGTCTGATTAGCTGCTGCCGTAAAGGAGTCATACACGTACATTTACCCCCCACTCCCCTCCACAGGTACTTCCTGCTGTGTGTGAACTACTTCTTCTATGGCGAGACCGTGACCGACTACTTCTTCTCGCTGGTGCAGAGGGAGGAGCCTCTTCGCATCCTCAGCAAATACCACCGATTCATCTCCTTTGCCCTCTACCTCACAGGTACCAACGCTGAGGCCCAAACCTTTCGCAGCACTCTTTTCACTTTGTTAAGTGACCTGGTCACCTGGTCAGTGGGCCACAAAAAAGGGTCGCAGGGGGATCCGGTAGTTGGTGAATGTCTTCCCGGCACAATAATTATACATGTAGGGAAATGTAAAACATGTTTAGTCAAGCCTACTTCTGTTTCAAAAAAGAATTAATATGAACATCCACAGAATCAAACACAATAACTCATTAGTCAACTTCCAAAGTCTACGGCATTTACGGCACCATGCAAACGAGAGGAGACTCACTTCCTGTGCTGCCGGTTTCAGGCAGCAGAGGCTGCTGGTTGATGGCAAACAGGATGTGGGGAGGAAGGAAGCACCCCGACGCTTGCTATGTGTGTTGCCTACTCGATTGGAGGTGGCCCGGCGCTCTCACGCGTCTTCAAGCAGAGAGGCTTTGAAGACAACCGGGCCGTTCCTTCAAGTCCCAGAAAATACTCAAATCTGCAGTATTTCAGGCTTTTTGTTTTGAGATGTTGCAGCTGTTGTATCCCAGAGGACAGAATGTCCTTGTGAAACTTTCCTCCCAGTATGAGCACTTTTTGTTCTCACACATTCTCTGCTCCGTCTCCTCCATTCAGTCTTGTGTACTATACAAAACGCTCCAACAAGCCTCAACTACTCACGGCACATTAACTTGTCTGAAATGTTCCCGCTAAACTTAGTCGAGTTTGACCAAAGATGACCGTATTTCTGACTTCATTAATCTCTCTCTTCTCCCAGACATTTCAGCCCTGATTATTTATTTTAAAAATATTTCGTGCCGTGTTGTTGCAGGGTTCTGCATGTTTGTGCTGAGTTTGGTGAAGAAGCACTACCGCCTTCAGTTCTACATGGTAAGTGTCTCCCGGCTTCCTCCCGACCTGCAGCCTCGAGGCTGCTGGGTTATTGATGGGGCTCCGGGAAAAGAAACAGCCCCTCAAGTGCGTGAAGAAGCGGGTCAGGGATCGCTGACATAGAAAATCAATCAAGTGTTCGGTATAGTCAGATTGTTGCCTGGTCACTTAAAGACGGCAAGCGTTCATTTCTGTTTGGATAACTACGTGGATCCAAACAGAAATGTTGTTTAAAGGCTGAAAGACGACCTTTAGAAATGATTGATTCTGGGAGGGTTTGAAGAGCAACGGCACAAACATTTCCACCCGTCAGATGAGAATGGCCACAATATTTTTCCGACCACATTCTAGATTCAAGCTATTGATTTGCCACGTTTTAGGTTAGAACGTAATAAATCACAAAGTTTCTGGGTGGTGTTTGTCAGTAGATATGTAGACTAGAGACGTCATATTAAAGCGTGTCTAAACGTATCGTTTTGTCCCCACAGTTTGGTTGGACCCATGTGACTCTGCTGATTGTGGTGACTCAGTCTCACCTTATCATTCACAATCTGTTTGAGGGGATGATCTGGTAAGAAAAAACGATTTGTTTGTGTGTGTGTGTGTCTGTGTCTGTGTCTGTGTCTGTGTCTGTGTGTGTGTGTGTGTGTGTGTGTGCGCGCGCGCCCAATTCTATTAATTTGGTGTGATGTTTTTTATTTTATTTGGAGGATTACCGTGACTGTTTAATTCTCCAATTGAAATACTTAAAAAAATATATATATATTTTCAGTAAGTCTCATATTAGTCTCCTGTAAACTCCTCCCATCTGAACAGGTTCATTGTGCCGATTTCCTGCGTGATCTGTAACGACATTATGGCCTACATGTTTGGTTTCTTCTTCGGCCGCACCCCTCTCATCAAGGTTGGTTGTATCGCTGTTATTTCTAGCTTTTGGAAAACATGAATGGGAGAAGCAGACTGATTTTTGACAATTAAATTTGTCCGTTTTTTCCAATATAATTAAGTTGCTTCGCCTCTCCGGTTTAATTGTGTTGCAGTGGGCAGAAAAACACAATCGGGGTTCAAGAGTTCTGGGTATTCGATTATGTCAAAACATAAAATCTGAATCTGTGTCTCCTGCAGCTCTCCCCCAAGAAGACTTGGGAGGGCTTCATCGGTGGATTGTTCTCCACTATTGTGTTTGGCATTATGGTGAGAAGAAAGACAACATTCCTTTACTTCATATTTAAAATAATATGGCTTTTGTGGTGCACTTTTATACAATACCTCGTACTTTGCTCATATGTCACATAAAAGTACCGGTGAGGTTCTTGTGTTTTTACGCCCCTGAACCGTGGAACTCGCTGCCTCTGGACATTATGAATGATCGATGTTTGACTGAAGTAACTGGAGTCTGTTCCCCTCCCAGTTCTCCTATCTGCTGGCCGGCTACCGCTACTTTGTGTGCCCGGTGGAATTCAACAACGACTCCAACAGTTTCCAGGTGGACTGTGAGCCGTCCGATCTCTTCCAGCTTCAGGACTACGCTCTGCCCGCCGTCCTGGAGTCTTTCACTGGCTGGGTGAGGCTCCCCTGCACAAGTCCCATACAAACTGACGTGAAAGGAGGAAGTATTCGTACCTCAAAATCCAGTAAATTGTGGAGATGTGACAGAGGAGTTTAATATTTTCATGGCATAGTGTATTTTTGTAGCATCCTCACCAATATTTCACAAGTTAACAATCCCTGACTCGATACATTAAAGCAAGCGGTAGTTTTAGCTGTCACATTGACTACAAAACTTGAGCAACGCAGGACTTAAAAAGGAAAGGAACGCGTGAAGAAAAGCGTTCTAAATCAGTCCTGAACGCCGGTTGAATAACTGCTTTTACCTGTTATGGTCACACGTCTCCTGTTGTCTCCACAGAGCACCGTGCGTCTCTATCCGTTCCAGATCCACAGCATCGCGCTCTCCTCGTTCGCCTCCATTGTGGGACCTTTCGGGGGATTCTTTGCCAGTGGCTTCAAAAGAGCCTTTAAGATCAAGGTACCTTTTTATTGTATTAATCAAAGATCTAGTCGCATGGTGTCCTCGGTGTTGCCCTGCTAATATCAAGTAAGCTGTAGAAAGTTTCATATTTATTTGTGTCTGCACTTTATTAGCAAACGTTAATAAATGACATCTGTTAATGTCCGTTGACTCCACTCATGTTCATTAAAGTCAAATATCTGATTTATTTCATTTGTCCTTTCAGGATTTCGCCAACACTATCCCGGGTCACGGTGGCATCATGGACCGATTCGACTGCCAGTACCTCATGGCAACGTTCGTTAATGTCTACATTGCTAGCTTCATCAGGTAAACGCGCTTTGCATATCTTAATTAGTAGTACATGGTAATAGAATGGGAAGATTTTATCATCAAAGCTGGTGGTACATTTTTTTGGGGTGGTTGAAATCACTATTGTGTTTTTAAAGTTTTTTTTCCTATTCTTCTGGTTGATTCTGGAAGTGAGCACAGGCGATTTATAAATGCATCTAGTACAATCAGTACCATCAGATGATAAAGCTCAAACGTACAGGTGCCAGGGATCTGGTTTTTGGATAGAGGGGGTGTACAATTCTCGTCTCCTCCTCCTCAGGGGCCCAAACCCCAGCAAGGTGATCCAGCAGCTCCTGGCCCTCCGTATCGATCAGCAGCTCCACATATTCAACTCCCTGAAGACTCACCTGACGGAGAAGGGCCTGCTGCCGGCGCTGGAGGAGGCTGCCGCCGCCTAGAGCCACTCGTACCCCCCCCCGAGACGCGGGGCAGCACCCGAGGGTCCCGCGCTGCTCCGGAGCCCTGAGAGACTGTCGGGGCTTTTGTGTGAGCAAAAAACGGAAAACAAGAAAAACTACAAAAAAAAAAAGAGCGAAACCACCACAGTCTCGGGTCATTCCATTTAATTTGGGTGTGAGAGTCAGTGTGTTTGTGTTTTAGCAGTCTGTGAATAACGTTTCAGTGTTTTGGGGTTTGAGTTAGTGAATTACTGATGAACATTTCCATTATCGCCAACCTGTATCTATTCACGCTGTTGAACAAAGTGTTGGTCAGCTGTACACTTCTACCTGTATACAAGGAATCCTCTATATGGTCACTTATTAATGTGTGTTTTTAGTTTTAATGCACTGCTCTCAACTCGCTGTTACTCACTGTTTCATCAACTATTCCCCCGGTTTTAGTTTAAATTGTCTTTGTGGTGATTGTTTCTATTTATACATTGATGGATTTTATATTTTGTTTTTCCTATATCTTAATGTTGTGTCTGTTTCAGACCAAATTCATCTTTGCCATCTGCCGCTTGCATTTTTGTGTCTTTTTCTGTGTTCATCATTTTAAAAAAAAGGCCCCTTTGCTCAGCCGAGCCGCTGACATCCGACTATCGATTCAAAGGACACAACAGTTTGGTGGTTTTGTGCTGCAAGTGGCCGATGATCTTCACCACATGTTTGTGTCCGACAGATAGCAGCCCCCCCTTTTGAGAGGACGAAAGTCTCATTCTTCCCACACCTGGTTGCCATTTCATGGCAGACGCAGAAAAACTCATAAAAGCGCGACTATTAGCTTTTGTTTCTTTCTTAACTGACTCGTTAACACTTCTTTTTTTTCCCTAACAGGCATCTGGTTTAGGTTTCACGCGTTGTAAGTCGGATTGTTGCATTATGGCTTTTGTTTGAGACGTTATTGGGATCGGACCGTACAAGTAAGGCACAATAATGCTTTCTATGCTGCTTCTCTCTGTTGTCACGGTTACGCTTCTGAGCAGAAGGGTTGAATACAGTTGGTCACTGGTTGAGTTGACCCGCGCGTGTTACGGCTGTTGTGCGTTGGATGTTCAGGTGGTTTGTTATGTAGTCAGCTGCTGTTGCATAAAGGTCCCGTGTGTCACACGAGTCTGAAGGAAAAGGAAATCGTCGTGATGTCACAAGGACTTATTGGGGGTAATCTAGGGTTGTACGTGGGAGAGATACGCGTGTAGGGTGACATGTTAAAAGTACTCCTTCAAAACTGCCAACACAATCTGTTCTGTTCTCTCTTACTGGGTTTAAGTTATGAAATAATGTTTAATTTTACTTGAGGTCTTTTTACGGAGACGTTGAACTGCAACGCAAATGGCCGACAACAGAAGGAAACGTTTGACAAGGTACAAAATATTTAGATTGCTAAAAGGGATGATGATTAAATCAAAGTCCCTTGTTCTTCACTGTGCTGTAAGGAGCAGCAGACACCACGGTGTCTATCTGCATGTGGGTCCTAGTCTCTCTTACCCTCATCAGCTAAGCACCGCAGGCTGTCAGTCATGTTCATGCACATTCGTCATTTTTTTATTTTTTTTCTCAATCAGAGGAAAGAATTGATTTTAACCTTGTGGGTCAATGTTACCCGTTAACGTTACTCCAATAGAACTACTTCTGTGCTAAATGTTCGAGGATGCAGCAATATGAACCACCGTACAGTAACGAGTGTAGCAGGAATGTGATCCGCATCCAGGTGTCCATAAATGTTCACCCCGTAAAACAACCTTCATCTGTCCGCTGACTCAGAAAAGTGCTCCATCAAGTTTCTTCTTACCACATTCGGTCCTAATAAACGTCTAATGTATTTTTGAGAGAAGGCAGCAAGACGTTTTTTTAAAGCAAAAATGGTTAATTCTTCAATATGCCAAACCAAGATTGAGATGAAATGAACAACTGTATGAACCAGATGTGTATTTTTGATTCCTCCCCCTATTTGAATGTCTCTCTTCCAATTTAATTCATCACGTTTTTGGTTTGACCTCCGTGACAACCAACCTGTCTTACACTTAACTCCTAAAGTATTTATTTATCAAATCTAGATACTATATTGTATATTTAAGATGTTAAGAATAATGTTGAGTGTTCTTTTGGTATTTCTGGTTAGAGGAACATTTAAGCTATTATTATTATTATTATTATTATTGCCATATAGCAGCGAGTGTTGGGATGGCTTGCTGTGACTCCGGTGCAGTCGAGTGTGTTTTGGCTCCCTGGCAGCTGTCACGTGTTCTCCTCTTTGTCCCGGTGCAGGTTGAAGCGACCCAGATACGTCTCCAAAAACCAATGTGACGACCTGTGTCCCACCGCCTACCGTGGTGTTTTTGACCTTTTTTTTGGGGGGGGCGTTTGCGAGGCCCTGCAGCTCTGTACTGCCTGTTCTTCTCTGCTGTTCCGGTCGGCCACTAGAGAGGGCTGCAGCTCCTGGTGTGTCGGCGGATCTCCAGCGTGACGCCGATGCTGCATCCGAGCGGAGATGTTTGATACATTCCAGTTCCCCTAAGATGTGCTCACGTGGAAGCATGTCAGAAGTTTTGTTTTAAGTTTCGTGGCACCTGGGGAACGCCGTGCCATGTGATCTACGCTGTGCCACTGAGTCCTGTCCCGCCTGGAGCCCCTAAAAGGAATGTATGGGAGTTGTGATTTCCCCGCTGTAGGCTCAACATTTCATTTTGTGGTTATAGATTCTCTTTACAAAGCTGTATGATTTCGGTATATTGTTCTTAAACTGTGCGATGGTTTGTGTTGAGCTGTACACTTTGTCTAGAGGAAAGTTGTACTCTTTGATGCTGAAATGTGCTTTGTTTTAGTTCAAATAAAATTAAAGATATAAATAATATGGGAATCTGTGACTGGTTTCTTCCCTCTTTGTCTTCTTCCCCATTTTGAATATCCAGTTTGTGCCCCCCCCCCCCCCCCACCCCATTGACCCTTTGCATAACAGTTTGTCTTTAAAGATGGGGACACGTTGCAACCAGTGTGTTCCAAGGTCAGTCGATTGGGGCCTCCGGCTTTGACCTTTTGTAAATACTCCCCCTGTGCTGAAGTCGCATGGCAGCCTGAGCCGTGAAGCGGCACTGAAGGAGCGAGAACGACTTCCTTTTAACACACACCGTGGTTTAAAAAAAAAAAAAAAAAACGTTGTTTCACCAGTGAACGTTAGTCACTTGTAAATTCCCCACCGACGCCCCGGAGCTGTCTAGAGAATCGGCTTGGAATCCTTTTATGCTAATTGATTATCAGAACGAGTATGAACGTGGAAGTAAAAGCAACATGAGGGCTCGCGTTCACCAGGGCTGAAGAGAAAAAGAAGAAGAAAGATTAACACAGGAAGTAGGAAGTGTGATCTGCCGTACCTGCTGTGTGGTTGGCGTGTGTAGCGATTTGTGTGTGAATGCGCTCCAGTGGGCTGTAGTTGTGAACTCAGACCCTGACCTCTGGTGTGAGAAGAGAATGTCTCTCAAGCTGCCTCGCAACTGGGACTTCAGCACCTTCAAGGCTGAGACAGCTCGCATAGGTAAGCAGAATGGAGGCTGGACTTTCGCTCGCGTTGGGTTTGGACACTTTAACGGTTTTCTTTTAGCTGTGTCAAAGCGGAGGTAAAACACCTGACCGAGCACAAAGCAGGGTCTCTCTTCATCAAGGATATTATTACATGTAAATCCATGGTCGCATAGTGGAGGTTAAATGACACTGTTGGGGTGAGAGCCGATGTTTTCTTATAGTAAGGAAATGGAATAGTGACACAATCTGTACTTTATTGTTTCAGCAGTGTGGTTTTTTCGAGCAGGTCGGGGGTCGCTTACTATGTGTGGTTGGGAGCCGGCGGGTTAATGGAGCAATTTTCTTCACACAAATCACTGTCAACTCATTTAGAATGTAAACATTCTATATTATGCTACTTTAAAACATGGCTTGAGGTTAATAGATGTAAAGTGTGTTGCTTAGAGGGGAAGTATGACCAGGCAATTTATTTCTTTGGCCATTGACGTTGAGAAATACTAGCAAAGCAAACTCTCTTCATTGGAAAATACCTTGTGGATGACACAGCGAGAGCACTTTGGTAAATCACTGTGTGGGGGGGTTGGAGGGATTGTGGGAGAGATGAAGCATCGACTTGTTGCATGGAAAACTATGCATTCTTTTTAAGAGACTGCACAGCCGTCTAGACTGACCCCAGTTTGCTGAGGGCGGAAACCGCTCCGGTTTAGATGGCACAACAGTTTTGTAACATGCACACACGCGGTAATGGGATGAATAATCTGCTGTGGTTCACAGCGTGCATCATTAGTCTTTGCAACTCTAATAACCGTCACCGTCAATGTTGCCAATTGTGGAGTGAAGTATCTGCTGCAGTTATTTTCTCTGCTTCGTGTTGACAAAATTTTGTCCGCTACTGTCGCCACGCATGAAGCATAACCTCCTAAAAGCCGGTGACCGCCACGTGCTTCTTTTGACCTGGTGATGTGGACTGACTGGTTATTTACCCATTTACTGGAGCGATGCCGTTTTTCAACAGGAAACTCAGTTTCTGTCTGTCTGTATGCATCTGTACCACATGTATGGGAATGTGTGTGACGCGTGTGTGCGATGTATGTTTGTGCAAAGTTGTACTGCACCTTGCACACGGACGACCACAAACCAGTCAGTGTGTTGATTCACAACACCGGACCTCGGTCCTCTAGATGCATTAACGTCGCTCATCTGCTGTTTCACTCAGGAGTGAAGGGTTTTTGCTTTATTGTCGAGAGTTGGACACATTGATTGATTCCCACCTTTGTGCACGTGAGCTTGATATGTAGCTAAATTCCGAAGCTTAACAAAGAGACAATGGTTGGATATATTTTAGATTTTTGTTCCCTACAGAAGACAGAATCGAGCTAGTTGTTGCTAAGCTAAGCTAACAAGCTGACACACAAACATGACATGTCGCATCTGTCTTCCTAACAATCAGCAAGAAAGCACATAAATATAAGTCATAAAATGTCAGAATTACGGACCAATCTTGATTCTATTATTAATTAATTATTTTGTGTGATCATGGACATTTCTCCGGGCGAATATTTGATCATAAAACCCGACTGCATGACAGCTGCCGGCCCACAGTCGACATAAAACCCTTGTACCCATCATATTGTAAAGATCTGGACTCAACTGCCTCACGATAGTGGGGCCTGGGTGCCACTTTGTGGTGTTGTGGGATGGTGAAATGAGGCCGGTTCAAAGTAGCCGTGTGTGTGTGTGTGTGTGTGTGTGTCGGCTGGGTGTGGTCTGACATGGGCTCCGTGTGTGTGTGTGTGTGTGGGCTCGGCGTTCCTCAACAGTGCTTTAACTTTCCACTCATCAAGCGAGCGTGATGCTATTAAAAATGGGACCAAAGGACTCTCAAACCTCTAGGTGGAGACCCGGCGCTGATGTGGCAGCTTCCTGTTTACCCCGGTGCGGCCCTGCTCCTTCTCTTCTGCGCTGTCATCTTGCTTATCAAGACACAGTGAATTTAAGAGCCACTGAGCCTTTGGGTTCAGTTATCTCCTCTCGGTCCTGCGTGTTGTCTCCGTCGGACTGCGTCCTCTCGGGGCCACGTAGGCCTCTGCCTCTGTTCTCTCGTCACTCCACGAAATCATCCCTTCACAGATCAAAGGGTGAAATACCATTTTTGTGCCATTTTCACTACAGTCAATGCAGAACTCGGTGTCGGTCTCGATCTTTCTAGCTCGTGTTTGATGGGCGGACTCTTGCAAACCGCCGTGTTACTTGCGTGGAGCGATCCCGGCTGCACTTTTGAAACGTGGTCGAGTTCAGACAAACAGTTTCCTCTCCGCCTGAAAGTGTGGGCAGCGAAAATAAACTAGAGTGAGCAGGTCTCGCTAACTTCATAGGCGGATGCGTATTCATATCAAAACGAGGAAGTCCTCCAGCTCAGCAGAGCGCTGATGTTTCGTGTTACGTTTCACAGCTCCGGCTGTGACACAGCGAGTCTGCGTATTTCTTTTCGTTCACAACACTTTCACTCGCACCCTTCTTGTGGTGTTTGGCAGCACGGTCCAGGAGCGTGATACCCGGAGAGGGAGGCCTCGGCCCAGGCTCACCGCGCTCCCCCAGATCCATGGAGAGGCCCCTGAAGTCCGGCTGGCTCAAGAAACAACAGAGGTCTCTGGTGAAGAACTGGCAGCAGCGTTACTTTGTGCTGAGAGGGAGCACGCTGACCTACCACAAAGATGACAAGGAAACCACTGTGCAGGTGAGACCCCTGGATTTCTACTTTACCCAGTAAAGTACTGGTGCTATTGAGGATGATGTCATGCGCTTTCCTCTTCTCTTTTGTTGGTATGAGACACATGTTTATATTATTTCTTATTACATATCAACATAGAAATGTTTGTCATCAAAATAATTATAAATAATACAATTTTTAGGCTGATAAGAAATGTGTAATTTATATTTTCCAACCAGGACCTCAAATACTCAAACTGGGTGATTAACTTTGCACACTTCTTGCAAAGAAAATGAAGATGCTGTTTTGTTACACTGTTAATCCACAAGTATGGTCACTTTTCTTCTTACATGTGTTGTTTTTCTCGCCTCACTTCCTGTGTCACAATGAGTGATGGTGAAACAGGAAGGGAGAATGGAAATTATGAAAATTAAATATAAAACCTCAATCGCATCTAGAAACAATAAAAAAGTGCAGGCATGTTTATTCTTATTCATATTATTTATGTTTTTCTTCTTTCTTTTGAGTTTATGATGTATTCTGTTATTGGTTACTTTTTTGTCTGCTGACTGTGTTTATTGAGATAAGGGCACATTGAGTTTTTTTTTTTTAAATCTCCCTTGTACAATTTACTTCTTTTCTTTCATGGTTTTGTTTGTGCTGCTTCATTTTTTTGTGCAAACAAATGAATCTCAATCATCATCCTCTGAGGTCAAACAGTGGTTTCTATGTTTGGTTTTAAAATAGAAGGATATGTGTAGGAGAGTGGGGGGAGAAAGAGGAAATGGGTTGCAGATGTGGCGAACTGGAGAATAAACCTAATGTAGTCTGCATGCTGTGTAGTAAACAGGGAAGTCATAGAAATAGATCTTTCAGTGCATCTTCAAAAGCCCTCATGCAACGTTGACACAAAAAATGAAATCGTGCTGCACCTGTGGAGAAAACACCTGCTGACACCTTAAAAACACACAGGTGGTAGGTCTGATAAATCCACCGGGAATATCAGTGAATTTTTTGTAAATATTGGTATGAATATCAGTGCGTGTTTTTTGACTCGGACGTCACACTAACACGCGTTTGCTCTCTGGGTTTTGTGCTCATGTTTTTCGGTCTGCAGGGAGTCATCCAGCTGCGTTTCAGTAAAGTTAACGACCTCCCGCCGAACTTGGATGACCCCGGGAAGTACCTGTTTGAGATCATACCACGTAAGCATGTGAGCGCCCTCTGAAAGGGGGCAAAAAAGACGTGACTCTAACAACAGCGCATGCAATGTGTTTCTGCTTTCTGCTTTACCAAATGGAATGCAAGTCAGCTTGGTAAGATTTCTTGAAATCGGACCTATAATACGAAATGTGTTATCGTGTCTTATATTAATAGCGCGGTATACAACAGTAAGCTACCTATCTTTGTAAATATATAGTTGAGGAACTATAGTGAGTCAGTAATTCTACTCTGCACAATGACTTTGTCCCCCACATAGACTGTTGAATGTGTGACACATCAGTAGTGCCACATGTTTGTCCTACAGAAAAAAACCTGTCCTTGTGCATTTCCTGTTTACCACTAACAGCTATTCAAATTAGGTTGCATGCCACTTTGCGATTTCCGTCTCAATAATAACAATGACATACATTGGAAATTAAAAAAACGCCACAAACTGAGCGCAATCTTGATCTTTAGTGGAAATATTTGAATAGATTTCACGTGTTCTGACTGTCCCGCCGAAGGTTTTCTGTACCAAACAATACCCGTCATTTCACAGGTACGACTAAAGACAGAGAGCGATGTCCCTACGTGTTCATGGCAAACTCCCAGAGTGACATGGAGGAGTGGGTCCGCACTCTGCGCAAAGTCATTGGAGTACCAACAAGTGGAGGTTCAGTAAAACCTTATGTGGTCACATGTAACACTGCAACCACTTATATATTTTGGGAGTGCATTTATTTACTTTGTTCCTCAGAGTTGGATGAGAACAGTACTATCTCTCACATGTCTGCACACTGAAACGTACACGTTCTCACTTTAGCTTTAACTGTCAGCGAGAAAATAATCAAGTTCTCCAAATGAATAAATAAGTGGCACCAGCATGCAGTTACTGCAAAGACCACATACAAAGCTATAATGGTGTTCATTTCAATGTGAAACATGGACATTACTGGTCCAAATCCGTCATGTCTTGTTGATTTGTCCCTTGCAGTGTTTGGAAAGGGTCTCGTGGACACGGTGACGTATGAGCAACGGTTCGGGCCTCATATGGTGCCGATCCTGGTGCAGAAGTGTGTGGAGTTCATCACGGAGAACGGCCTGGATGAAGAGGGCATCTTTCGCCTCCCGGGTCAGGACAATGCTGTGAAACAGTTCAGAGACGCCTTTGATGCAGGAGAGAGACCCTCCTTCCCTAAGTAAGGAACCCATCTTTCGCTTTCAATGCACTGCAAAAAGTAAGAAAGTTGCATCATGCATATGTGTATTTGAAAAAAAAAAAAAAGGGCAAAAAATGATTTTGGAAATCCCTTTCAGCCTCTTTAAACCCAGTTGGTATGAAGGGTGGAACACGTCAAGCAGATCGCTGCTATGAAAGGAGAGAAACCATCCTTACCTCATTCAGTCAGCACAAACTCTTTCTTTCTGAGAAATCAAGGATGCAGAACGCTGAAAACATTTGTGTCTGATCTGAAGGCGATACCACATCCTGTTCTAGCCGGCACACAGGAGGAAGCCTGTATTTCTCAACATCACAAGCTCCTCTGACAGAGCACTGTTGTTTGTCAGTAATTTAGTGTGAGCAGAGTCGAGGAGCAGGGCTGCTTCTACATGCTGTATGTCGACTTTTAGGCCGCAAATAAAATGATAAAAAAAAAATTTTTCTTTTAATTTCCCTCGTGTTTGTTGTTTCTTGGCAACAAAAAAAAAGTGAACCCAAGCCTGCTGCCCCAGCTAAATATACAAAACGAGACCATCTCCAAGAACAACTAAACCCTGGAGGACATTGTTTATACACAACCCCATTGAATTATTTTTGTTTATCTGTAGACATGGAAAAACTTTTTGAGCCAATTCTTAAAGCCTGCAATCACTGCAAAACATTCACAGAGGTGTTTTGTTGGCTTGTCAAAATGTAAAAAAAGAAATCTCAGGATTTAGCTTACATGATGCGGATAATCCGCAGACTTTTGTCTCAATCAGTTTCATGAAGTTTGTGTGGAAAGAAAATAATTCGGACATTTTGTCTCCATCATTCAGCTACATACAAAAACATCTGGATCCCCTTCAGCCTGATCAAAGTTCTCATTAACAAGCTGTCATCAAGCGAATAGCCCGCCAGTGTGTGCAGACCCCATTTCTTACTAAATACATGCTACAGTTGTGTAATTCCGGTCTCAGCCAAGGTTAACGTCACTCCCCCCCCCGCAGGGACACGGACGTCCACACGGTGGCGTCACTGCTCAAGCTGTACCTGCGCGAGCTTCCTCAGCCTGTGGTGCCGTGGGCTCAGTACCAAGACTTCCTGGACTGCACCAACCCGCTGGACTTCAGCAGCACACAGGTGCGCTTGTCCAACCGACATCGGAGAGAGGTCTTGTGGTACTTTGTGTCCTTCAATCTTTTGCTCGTGTGTCCTCGCAGGGTTGGGAAAAGTTGCAGAAACAAATTGCTCTCCTCCCCAGAATCCACTACAACCTTCTCGGTTATGTCTGCCGGTGAGTAGGAGACGGGACACAAAGCATTATGTTACAGCCCAATAACAGATCTGTGGGACCAGATCTTTAAGCTCGACTGGTTAAAAACAACTAAGTACTCTTGTGAGATCGGTTTACATCCTCCCACGCATACGGGCTCGTATCCCAGAACATTGCTGATCACATCTTTCTGCTTTGCAGGTTTTTGTTTGAGGTGCAGCAGCACTCCAAGGTGAACAAGATGAATGTGGAGAACTTGGCCACCGTGATGGGGATCAACCTGCTCAAACCTCAGATAGAAGACCCCATATCTGTGATGAAGGGTGAGAACGCGCTGCTGAAGTGTCCTGAACGAAGCTGTGTCCAGATCCAGTTTGAAATTAAATGAATGAGTCTGATAATCGGGTACAGAACAGACTTATTATGCATTTTTCATTATTGCTCATCTGAAAAATGTGCGTATCTGATCTGCATGAAAGCACAAAATAGGATGGAATAGGAGGAAAGTAATTGTTCCAAAAAGTGAATTGAGAATTTGCATAGGAACCTAAGGAGAAGAGTTTTTGATCCTAATCTTTTCACATTTGTGTTCGCTTTCCTTTGCAGCCACTCCTCAGATCCAGAAGCTGATGACGGTGATGATCAGAAAGCATGACATTCTGTTTCCTCTCTCCGAAGACGTCCTTCCCTCCCCTCCCTCAAAGAAGACTGAAAGCCAGAAGAACACGCCCCGCAGCTTCGTGGGCTGGGAGTCCGCAGAGGTACGAGCAGTTGACCACACGTTGACCTTTGGGATCTTTTGAACGTCACAATGAAAAAAAAAAAGAACATCCCAAATAATTGAGGATCTCCTGTGTGAGGGATTCTGTAAAAAAAAATAAGTTGAATAAAATTTAAGTCTGGCTTACATTTTGGATCTAAATTCATCCTTTCAAGCGTTGATTGAAGGAAGACTTTTTTTTTGTAATTACAATCAGGAACAATTACTTTGGGTGATAAAGTTGTTCAGTAGTAAATAACGTAATATGCTTATAAGTTCATATCTTCCACACTATATTGGTTCACTCAATGGTTCGCTCTTAAACAGAGCTTTATTTCCTCCTCCATTTCGTCCCTCTGACTCTAGAATAAAATGTGCACTCATGCATTTATATTGGTATTTCATCGTGAGCGATGTGTTTGTCTCAGATGGGGGACGCGTCGCTGTCTGAGTCTCCAGAAGAGGAGGAGGACATTGACAGTCCCGGTCCAAACAGAGGAGACTGCAGCCCCCAAAACACGTGGCAGGAGCCTCGCTCCACTTCCACAGACGACTGGACGGGAAGTCACCGCAAACGCACCCAGACCCTTCCCACCTTCAACTGCCCTCTCACGGGGATGGCCGCCAAGGCCGAAGCTCTCAACCGGTGGAGTAACATCCACGAGAACGCGGAGGAGAAGAGCGGGACATTGTCAGAGGACATTTTTAAGATCCTGGACCTCCGGAGCTCAGGCTCATTGTTCGGGGGGCCTCAGACGAGCAACAAGGGGGGAGAAGATAAGATATTAGCGGCCCAGAGAGAAAGGGACGACACGGGTTCTTCAACCCCCGCCTCCCAAAAACCCGGCGGCGGCGGCGGCGGCGGCGGAGTTCAGCCCGCCCGCGTGCTGTGTCATCAGAAGAATGTGGGCAGCTCGATGGGACCAGACCAGCAGGTCAGCGGGCGGTCTGAGCAGGAGACGGACGGCCAGCCGCTTGCAGACAGGTGAGCTCAGCAGACAGACGCTCGAGCAACGAGAGGGTTCAGTCATGTGACGGAAATCTTTACAGGATTTAGGTTTTAGCTTCAGGGTTTAAAAAAAAAAAAAGGATGTTGTAATTGTAAGGATGTCAACACGTGCCACCCAAAGACCAACATTGGAGTGAAACATGAAGTTGAAATGGAAAACTACATTCAGGTTTTTTCCCTGCGTCCTTCTGGCTGGACAACATTAAAAAATGAATGTGTTGCAAGCGCAATGTTTATTGGTTGTGGTGTATTGTTAAAATGAAACCAAAGCAGTTCACTTACTGGAAACTCTTTAAAACAAGTTCATTTTGATTCAAAACAGATGTTTCTAACTGGATTTAATCCCAAGCAAGTTCGGTTTTAGAGCTCAATGAGACAGTGTGAATAAGACACTCAAATCTTTCTCAGTTGGATGCGTATGTGTTTTTTTAATAAGAAACCCAAGGCCATGGATAGTTTCCAATTGTCACAGTTTCTTTTTGACCGTGTGTCTAATTCCTCTGCGCTTCTGGCTGTCTCTTGCAGTCTGCAGCAGGAGAACATGGAGCTGAAGGCCACAGTGGCAGAGCTCCAGTCCGCCCTGGAGGCAGAGCGCCGGCGAGCGGCCGCGCTCGAGCTCTGCCTGAGAAACGCTGAGCGCAGCCGAGACGAAGCTCAGAGACGCAACGAGGAGCTGCAAAGAGACATTCAGCAGTTCCTCACCAAAAAGACACAAGCTGCTACCTAGCGTCACTTTTCACTAGTATTTGTATTTATGACGCCAACAGAGCTAATTTCACATGAACTGGTTAAGGAAAAATCCTGCATTGGGATTAGATTGTGTTTCTATTTGAGCTCTATTTGGTTCTCGAGTTATTGCATTGGCTCATTTGCTTTGGGCCTAAATAGGTTTTAATATCAGTATTCACATTACAGACATTGTAGGCATGTTCCTCCCTACCAAGAACTGCCTTCGATCTGGTCTGTCCACAGGGGAAACACTGGTTTCGATTGAATCGTCTGCTCCGAGGTCGACTGTGGAAATACTATGTGTATGTGGATTGACGAATCCATTATTTGATGTTTCATGTCAGTGGTAAATTAATAAAACAGCCCAGAAGTGATTTTTGTTAATGTATAAAAATATCTTGCACACCACATTTACAACGTCTTCTTAACATGTTATTACTTATCTGTTTAGTAACACTGAACGCAAAGTGTCAGATGGGAACATCTGCAGTTTCGCAGGCATTTGGTCATAAATGCAATGATCGGATATCAATCAGCCAAACCGTGTTTCTATGGCAACTTTCAAACAAATGACATGTTCTTAAAAGAGGTTTACCCACTGACAAAACGACACACGCATCCACATTTGTTACACTCATAGGTCACTAACACAGACCATATGCACCGGACTGACTGTGTGTGTGTGTGTGTGTGTGTGTGTGTGTGTGTGTTTGCAAAAGGACACTGCCGTTATCAAGCCTTCTTACGGGCAGGAAGATGTGCCGCAGCAGTTTAACAGAGTGACAGATAACGGCACATCTGTCAACCGTCAGCCTGGCAGATGAGTGGTAGAGGCAGGAAAAGCTCATTCCTTCCCATCTCTGTGACGCACAGCAATCTGGAGTGTATCTGCAGGTCACCCAAAGAAGCTCAGGAATGAAGGACAGTTGCGTAGTGGAACAAGGTTGCAGGTGACGAACGCCACAGCTATTCAAATCTGCCCGTGTGGGTCAACCATTAATCTGATCAGAAAGCATCCCAGCAGTCCCGCGCTGCTACTTGAAACGTCCTCCAGACTCGCCGCCAGCCGGGTATCTTTCACCCTCGAGCGTTTAAAGGCCTCACACCTCATTGAGTTTCAATTTCAGTTTGGCCAATTGTTGGCTACTAAAGGTATTCTGTTACGTGCAACAGCATCAACGGCGCCTCGGTGTAGTTTGTCAGAAAGAAATGGTCAATGGAGCCCAGGCGGGAGCTGGCAGAACTCCACCATTCACATAAACAAATGAATAAACATCAACCCCGGAGCACCCACCCAAACAAAATAGCGCTTCCACAAGGAAGAGCCTACAGCACCGTGTTTACAAAATCCTCATTAAGGAAGTAGTGAGATAACACACACTCGTGTGCATCACACAAAGTTGAAGGCACGTACGCAGACACACACACCCACACACACACACACACACACACACACACACACACACACACACACACAGCAGCAAAGAGACCAACAGCACTGAGCAATGCAGAGCCCACCAAGATAAGGGACAGAAAAAAAAGTGCTGGGAAGACGAGAGCAAAGCTCAGAGAGAGACTGACAAGGGGAGAGAACACAACAGAGATGACTCGGACGGACAAAGCCAAGCCGTGGCCACCCTGTAACCGGAACTGCTGCCCCGTCTCAAAGAACATCAAGAGGTGTGCATGAGAATAAATGCTGTGAGATCTGGATCAGGAAAGCAGTGGGAACACAAACTCCTGCAGAGGCTCACACTGCTCAGTGCAGGGGTCAACGGCACTAATGTCTACTGGATCCAGAAGTTTCTTTGTCTACAGATGAACTGACCGCAACTTTAATTGACCCATTGGATTAATGTGTTCAGAGATCACAATCATTTGGTCTGTTCGACCACAAAGAACCCCACAGGGCATCAAATAGAAAGCTGCAGATGTTTTTTTTCCCATGGCGAGAATTTGGATCTTTCCACCGAGAACCATCTGCACTTCCAGGACTTTGCTCTTGTTGTTTTCCATCCTACTGACCCAGGGGCTCTGCGGCCAGAGCAGCCCAATCTCCAACATCCATCAGAGGTATCGCCCCGCTCCGGGGCTGGGAGACGGGCATGGAGGGGCGGCGGATCCTTCACTGCCGGAGCAGGACATGAACATGCAGAGCTTGTTGGAGAGCCTGAAGGAACAGTTTCTGCAGACTTTCAACCTGTCGGGCTTGGTTCCCCCTCCGCCGCCTCATGGAGGCTCGCCAGAAGAACCACCTGAGTACATGATGGAGCTTTACAACCGCTTCGCTAATGACCGTACGGCCATGCCCACCGCCACCATCATCCGCAGCTTCAAAAATGAAGGTAGAAGGTTGACCACCTCCTTGATCATAAATATTAAAATATATATATATATATATATATATCATTTGTAGTTTTCTCTCAGTTTACACTCAGTTTACAAGTTGTGACACTGAGTAAAAGGGACGTTTGCATGTACGTGACCAGATTTAAGGGGCCTGTTGCTAAATGCAAATAGTCAAATCCAAGACTTAGCCATGGCCTTGTATTTCTCTGTGCAAGGCAACGTTTATGTGAATGCTATTATTAATTAGTAATGGGGAAATGTGTGATACCATTGAGTTGATAGTACTAACAAGTTAATGTTTCCCAATTAATTACAAAATTGAAAAGGTCCTCCTCATTTAGTTTTGGATCGGTAGTATATGTCATCCTGATATATCCATACGTTGCAGAACATTAAAAAAAGATGTTCCAAAATACAGAATTTCCTTGTTGACTATTTCATTATCTTCCCCAGATTCTTCTCCCAGTGTCGTGGGTGTTGGAGGAGTAAGGCGTCACCCCCTCCTCTTCAATGTGTCCGTCCCCCACCATGAACGCATCACAGCGGCCGAGCTTCGCCTCTACACACTCGTCCAGAACGACCGCCACCTCTATGCCGGTGTCGACCGCAAGGTCACCATCTACGAACTGGAACTGTACGTCGGAGAGGACAACGTGACCGATGGGAACGCCGTGAGAGGCGACGGATTCAGAAGTGGGGGAGAGCGGAGAGAGCTGCTGGAATTGGCTTCACGCCAGGTCTACGGCACCGACAGCGGCTGGGAGGCCTTTGACCTCACTGCTGCTGTTCGACGCTGGCGCAAATCTGACCGTGGCACCACGCACCGGTTGGAAGTGCACGTTGCCAGCGTGGCTAATGACAACGACATCCAAGGCACGGCGGAGGACAACAAAGACCCAGCTGAAGGAGACATGAAGATCGACACCAGCCCAGAGGAGAAACACAAACCTCTCCTGATTGTTTTCTCTGACGACCAGAGCAGTGATCACCGCGACGACAAGCGCGAGCTCAACGAGATGATCGACCACGAAACCTCCAACGTGCTTCTCCACAATGACTTGGGGATGGGCCTCAATGGGCTGTGGGGAGAACAGGGGAGGGACGGAGAGGAGATGGACAAAGAGGCAGAGCCAGACGAAGAGGACCTCATCCAAATGCGCTCCAACCTGATCTACGACACAGCGTCCCGCATCCGCCGCAATGCCAAGGGGAACCACTGCAAGAAGCAATCGCTGTACGTGGAGTTCAAGGATATTGGGTGGGACAGTTGGATCCTGGCACCCGCCGGTTACGACGCCTTTGAGTGCACCGGCATGTGTTCCTTCCCGCTGACGAAGCATGTCACACCCACCAAGCACGCCATTGTCCAGACATTGATCAACATCAACAGTCCCCAGAAGGCGGCGCGAGCTTGCTGCGTGCCCACCAAGCTGGACCCCATCTCCCTGCTGTACTTGGATGACACGGGTGTGGTCACCTACAAGTACAAGTTTGAAGGCATGGTGGTGGCAGAGTGCGGCTGCAGATAGTCCATGTTTTGAGATGGTTTATCTCTTTGTAAAGTCTTAGAATGGAAAGACAGATAAAGCGTGTGCTCCAAACGGCGATCATTCAGACAGTGTGCTTTAACAGTCAAAAACAGTGACGCCAAGGTGCGTCCTCAAACCCACAAGAAAGAAATGGCACAATACTTCCCCGAGGACACAAACCGAGCTCATGCTACAGAGTGTGCAGGCTGGTGGGAACCAGCGGGCCGGCTATCCCCCTCCCTCTCCTTCCCCCTGACATCTGTCTTCCTCTCTACTTATCTCTGGCTTCCCCACTTGATGCAAACACTAATCAGCACTTCATGTGTGCTGGCGCAGTGAAATGACCCCCCCCCCCCCCCGAGAGGCAACCTGACAAGACATGAACTCTCCGGGCCCACCTCCTGCCTCCTGCGGCCTCCTGATACGTTGGCGCTGAGCACGGTCCGGCGTAGCGGGGGTTATCTTTTCCAATACCGTTTCCAACTTCACATGCCTCTTTCCCACTGCCCCTAGCTACAGCGATAAGCAAGGTGTGGGGGGTTGAGAAACATGTATGTCACCACTCAGGGCTCGGAGAGCAGGACGGCATTCAGTGGAATTTCTTTTTAAGGCGCTGGGATGGGGGAGTGGGACAGGACAAGGGGGCAGGGGTTGTCCACATTCCGAGGCGGCAAACAATCTCAACTAGCTCATCCTAGTGACCCGGCACCATGGGTCCCTGACATCTCTGCAGCTCCTCAGTTCAGTCATCCATCACTTTTATTGTAAAAATGGCCTTTTGGGACTGCTGTCATCTGATGGGTTGAAAAGAGGGGCGCTTTGTCACAAGAAACACAGCTACAATTTGTTTGTTAAAGGCTTTTTGATACCTCTGCTGCTTATGTCAAATGAAAGACTATTTATTGTTCTAATTTATTGATTTTTACAACAGAGTAGATAATTATATATATATATATGTGTATGTATATTGGTAAGTTGTTTGATGTAGAGTAGGTTTTGTATCTGCGACGTTGCATTTGCGGCACAAAATGAGTTCTGTTGGGAAGAGAAATGGTCATTTCTAGAACAATAAATTACTCTACAAACTCTACATGAAAAGTCTCCTTAACTCAACTGTGCTCTTTCAGAAAATGTACAGCCCTTCAAAATGTTTTCGGGGGTTAACTGGTATCTAGATGAATGTAAATATTTGGACCTGAAACGCAACAACACAAATATAGAACCATGGGAAGCTGAGTGAGAGCCTGCTAATGAACACAATGAATGGCCTGCTGCTCCCACTGACAGCCAGCAGCTGCACAATCCAGGTCCAGAAGGATGAGGAAAATGAAAGATGGACGTAGAGACTGGTACAATCCAAGATACGGCTCGCAATGCATAGTTTCTGTTGCCATATTTTGTGTGCTCGTTTGGTTTTTCGCCAAGATTTAGCTGAGAAGATCGATATCAATCTCTCTGAATCTGTCTCAGTGCTAATTAAGAAGCCACATGAAGTTACGACATTGCAAAATGTTGATGACGCTCACACTACCCACACACCCCCATCTAAACTTTACGTCATTACAGGAGTTGCAGCCCTAGAAAAATGTTGTTTAAAGCCATGTCAAAAATAGCTTTTGGCAACAGCCCCTTAAGTGCCCCCGACATACTTAAAAAAGCAAACAAGTCATTGACTGACTTCTCATGTAAGACGATAGCGGAGGTCGTCTAGAACTGACCGGAGGACAAGAACCTCGACCAGCTACTGCAACAACAGCGCCTCAGCAATGTGAAGCTCGCTAATTGAATATTTACAGAACGGTGGAAGAAAATAGAATCTGGTCTTTGTCACCGAATGGCAAACTTTTAGGAAATATAATGAAATAGAAAGTCTTCAGTGTTTTGTTGATAAGCAGAGTGCTCTTTGCTTTACCCTTCCTTTCTCATTGTTTTGACATGGCTCCTTCTGTTGAAGTGATTCGAGTCCGTCTTCTGGAGTTTGTGTACGAGTACTTGGCCTACGTGGTTTGTTTAGGAGCACGTATCAACAAGTAAGGAAGTGAACGTTTCAAAACGCCTTCAAAGCGCTTCGAGATCCGGTGATGCTCCGGCGTCTGACCTCATGACGACGACGACGACGTACGTCTCGCTGTGAACGTGTGTTTTGGTGCGTTTCATCCAAAGCTGCACGACTCGCCCGACTCTGACGTGGGGCCCGTAATAGTGACTGATTGTTTCCGTTTTGGGTCACATGTTTATCATTCCATCTCTTGGCAACACCACCACCCAGCACTCCTCTGTCCCTCCCTCCCTTGATCGCTTTTCTCTCCCATGAAAAGAGAACTTTTTCATAGACTTATATATGACGTACATATACGTAGTCTACGTAACAATTGGCATTTGACTCCTAAGTTGGGAAATTACAAAAAGCCCATTGAAAGAGAAATAAATAAAAGACAGATGTTCAATGTAGTTGCAAAAATTCCAGGCCGCTTAATCAAAACGGTGTGATCATTTCAACTGTTGTTCTTCATTAAAAGTGACTTTCACTCACCAGACACCCTCACATTTAACAGGTTAGTGAGAAGGCTGCAGATTGTGAGATGTATCTAATAAATTAGGGCAACTTTGTCCAAAAATATTATTGTAAAGAAATCATTTATAGACTTATTTTGGCTCTAAAAGAATTGCATTTGCCCCCCTGTGGGGACTAATGAAGTGCTAGAGCCCCCACATCAGACTCAAGGCCTGCGGTGGAATTATCTTTGGCTGACAGGATGATACATGAATCCTATTAGAAAAGCCTGCCAGGCACATTCTAAATAACTGCTATCCCTAATCAGTCCACCAGGGAGCGCACTGTGCAAGTGAGCGCGTGCCACATAAAAATAACCGCGCGCACCCGTCGACCGCACCGCAGGGGGTCCAGAGGGTCCAGGGGGTCCAGGGAGTCTACTGGTCTGGCTCACTTGAAATCAAAGCGTGGACACTAACCCTAAAATGAGTTGACACCTCTGAGTTGTGGCGAGCTGAGCGTGAGTACCGAAGCAAGCAGCATCTGGCACGGCTCCAGTTGCATTTTGTGGGAGCCAATCTGTCCTCGGGGCAGTGTTTGATTAAGGAAAGGTATGTCTTTCTTTTCCTCTCTTGTAAATCAAATTACATAGGTTGCAACTGCACAATAGTTACGTAAAGTCTTTGCATCTCTGAAAACATGTGGTTTTGATAGCTCAGTAAAATTCACGTGGAGCCGGAGAGAGAGCCAAGAGGCCCCCAACAGAACCCTGAACCCAACAACCAGCCCGTAAAAAATGTAACGACGGTAAGTTTTTGGAGGTGCAATTTCTTTGCTTTACTGACAGATCCAAAACAAAAGAAGAAAAGAGAAATTGCTGAACGGTACCGACAGCTTTTGGCGCAACCTCAAGGTCACCTCGATCGTTTAAGCTGCATCGTTTAATCTCGCGGTTTGTTACGACACTGTAAGAACCCCCCCAACAAAAAAACAAATAGGGTAATTATTTTCTTGTTTTAAATGAATTGCATTATGATATATAAACTTTATTTAAAAAACTAAACTAATTACATCACATTCCTTTTTTTACATTTTGTAACATACTTTCAAATAAATTGACTTTAAGTTCGAACAGTGCAAAGAAATACAGCTGTCGAGTATTATCTGTCTTGCGTCTTAGTGTAAGCGCTCCATCCAAACCCCCCCCCCCGCCCCATGTCACGAGAGCACATCCGCTTCATACGTTTGTTTGTTTATCCTGATTTATGGTGTCATCTCTGCTCTCTCCTCATGTATTCGCTTTATAAACAGCAGCTGTCGGTATGAGTGCTTCACATTGGGGCTGCTACACCGTTTCATTAGTGCCATCTTGTGTTAGACACTTTGTGCCAAAAACTGAAAATGTCTCCAAATGATGGGAGAAGGAAATAAACGTGGATGGTCTGCTGCAGACCTCGGGACGACGGCTCCCCACTGAAACACGGAAAGCTGATCCGGAAAACCACCAAAACCTGCAGAGATCGTCCCTCACTGCATCCTGGCCAGCCTGCACGGGACGACCAATTGTGTCACTCTGTGGGCAAATGCCGCCCCGGCGCACGGTACGTGCCGAACAGGAGGTCCCAGTGGATGAAGTAGGGGGCGAAGTTGACACTGTGGACAGTGTGGTGGATTTGGTGGTGGGGGGCTCCGCCGACCCAGGGCACCAGTCTGTGCAGAGCCCAGGGCAGCTCGTAGCCACAGTGGTCCTCCACCGCCAGCCAGGTGTTGAGGAGGTGGAAGACGGCTTCGCTCAGAGGGTGGCAGCCCACCGCCCAGGCGCTGCCCAGGGACAGCAGCAGCAGGGACAGCAGCTCCACAGGGCCGCTGTCCTGAGCAGCCAGGGCGAAGGGCGCGTGGTGCCGGTGGTGCAGCTGGTGGGTGTTGCGGTAGAGCCAGGTGACCCTGAGCAGAGACACATGGCGAGTGTTACGGAGAATCAGAACACTCCCAGAATGGAACTGGTCAGTATTCTTTGGGTAATATGGTACACAAATATAGATTTGTAATGCAAGTGTTATTGGATCAGTGGTTGCTCGCTAACAAATACCTAAATGTGATAAAGAAATCATCACCAGACTATAGTCTAGACATGGGGTCTTCAACGTTTTTCAGGACGCCCAAACTGCGCCAACCTTATTCTACAGAGTTTGGTCCTCCATCCTTTATTTTTGAGCTTCGCGCTCTTTAGACAGGAGCATAAAGGCGAGCTGATTGGCTGGTGCCTGCGCTGTCGTATTCGCATGAAACGAGCTGTGAGTGAACCGGGGCCCAGCTTGAGAGCTGCTGAGGGAAGCTGAATGTGTGTGTTGTGGACTGAAAGATAACGTCTTCTCCATCGATTTATCCGTTCGCTACAATATGTTGGATTCATGTTAATGTGTATTTAAAGGCAATAAACACAATTCTGATGACATTTAAATATGGGAGAATATTGGTTGAAAAACAACCAAAAACCAAAAGTTTCACGACCCCCCTGCAGTACCTCTGCGAACCCCCTGTTAAGACCTCTGGTCTAGACTTAATGTGTAACCAGGGTGTAGTTTTGTTTATAGCTGAACATTCGATTTTTAATTCAAGCAATTTGTATTAGAGCTTCAAAAATCCTAAAATATGGTAAAATGTATAATTTTATGACAGAAAATGTGTCATTTCTGTTTTTTTCTACAGTAACCCACATTCCAATGAAACATCTTGTTGGCTTTTCTCCTCCAGGGAACCAGTTCCATTAGTATACGGAGTATAATCTCTGCACAGCTTTATGGTCATGTTTGATTCACGTAGGAGGCCTTTGGCCACAGGGGACTCACTTACAGAGAGTTGGAGAGTTTTTTTTATATATTTACATTATGTTTAGCTTCTACAGTTTACTTACCCTGGCTTCAAGGCAGTGGTTCTTCTCTAATCTCGTATGAATCCCACATAGGGAAATGTGTCTGAATTTTACCCATCCTTGGTAATTAAGTAGCAGCGTGCTGCTGTGAAGCACTGGTGCTTCAGTGTCTTGCTCAAGGATATTAAGCTATTTTTGACAAATATTACTATTAAATATTACTTTTTTTGCACAGTTCCAACAAAGTGATTGCTCCATCAGACCAAAAAAAAAAAAAGTGCAATCTGGTTTACATGAAAGTGACTTAAATTGTCTTTATCCTATTATTAATAAAAGCACACATGGAGTCACAACATGTCCTTATTTCAATACAAACTGTCACGACAGAAAATGTTTGAGAACCACTGAATTTAAGGGTCACTTTAGTAAATATACCTCCTTTCAACCACTGATCACAACCTGATGTAACGGTGGAGACCCTGAAGGATGCTTTTGGTATTTGGCACCAGGTTTAAAGGCTCTTTTGAGTTTACGATTCTTGGCAGGACGAATTGACTACCCGGGGAACCAAAAGTCGAACGCAAACGCAGAGCCACAAAAACAAAGCCGCGTTACGCAACACGGACAGCGGCCGCATCCCATTCGAATCTCGGGTACCGTTCACGCCTCCGCCTGCGCTCACCTGTGCATGACCACATGGCAAATAAAGAACACCGTGTCGAAGAGCAGCAAACACGCGAAGACTTCCACGAAGAGCCGCCGGCAGGACGGAGCCAGCGCCGGTAGTGCGGGGCTCCTCAGCGCGTGGACGAGCGCGGTGGCCGGCAGGACGGTGGTCAGGTATCCGTACAGGACCCTCCAGAAACAGTCCAACCAGCGGCGCAGGGACGGCGGGGGACCCGAGCCCGCGGCGATCCTCCACGAGCGGACCCGCAGGCAGAAGCCGCCCAGCACGTCCAGCGCCAGGAAAGGTGCGCAGAAAAGGACGTGGGTGAGGAAGGCGATGGACGCGGGCAGGTACGGGGAGAGGAGGACCTCCTCCTGCCCGGATCTCACCTGCTCCCAGAGGCCCTGGAGGAGAGGCGCGCGCAGCTCTTCAGGCTGTCCGGGGGTCGCGTTCATCACGGCTCCCGGAGCACGATCTTCTGCATCTTGTTCGTATTCTTTAAATGCCCTCGTATATTATGGCGCAGCTGCGAATGATGCACCACAAACAAAGCGCCCTTGAGAAACTCTTTTCCATAGAAAGAGGAGCAATGTTTTTCTTCGGCTTTCCGTTAGAGAGTCAGAAGAAGAGCGTCACGCTGCAGAAGAAGTTCTGTTCTCATGAGGAGGAGCCCTGGATCCGCTGTGTTACGCAAGAGGCATAAATGAAGTAAGCCGATACCAACGTTCAGTTTTACGCACAAGCGCCACCTCCATAAAGTTGGCAGTGGAAACTCAGGGGGTTTTCTGGTAGAGATACTCATTACACCACTAATGGGACTAATTGCACTTACATCTCTGTTTGTGTGGGATTGAGATTTTCATTTTCGTTTCTTTTAGTTAAGGACATTGCAAATGTGTCCGAGACACCCAAATCCAAGCCCCACATTCCTGAGTCAGTTGTCCGTTTATAATGAAACTATTTTAATTGGGCATTTGTGTGGGATTAAATCCGTGCCCTTCGTTAAACTCTGATGGGGGCCAAAGCCGTATTCTATTCTCTAGGATTTACTTAGTATTTGGTGTCAAACAGACCATTTTGTGTATTAATCCACAAGGACAAAAAGTCGACAGGAACCGGAGAGCATGCAGCCTCTGAGGAATCCGGGTGTCCGGGTGACATCTTACAGTAAGGTTTAATATGGGAACAACAGATTATGAAGTAGTATGGGGTTAACAGAAATTTGGTGTTGTGTGGGGGGGTCGGGGAGTTAATTACTTTTTCTAAAGTACACGTCGTGTTAAATTGGTATGCAGTGTTATCAAGGTGTGTGGGATGCGTTTGAACCAGTCTAACCTCCTCCCTCCTCCTTTGTCCCGCCGTGTGACATAACAATCCAGTGCCGAACTCTCCTCCTGCATGAAGGAAAGGCCTGAAAATGGATTTGACAGAAAATACTAAAAAGGTGTTAACAATTTCATCTTCACGCTTTCAACGTTTAAATGGGCAGATATGCAGTAATTGTTAATAATAATGTTCCAGATGCAAGTATGTTAACTAAAAGGCATCCTAACATCACACAATATCACCGCTTTGGACCAATTCTTAATGTGATCAATTGCACAAATAACAACCCACAGCACTTTATTGCCAAGTGACAATATCTTGATTGCATATTCATGATTGAAGTCAGTGCAAAACATTTGCCTTTCAAGTAAGTGTAAGCCTCAATTAATAAGACTTTAAAAAATAAAATAAGAACTCTTGCTTGTACTCTCTTGTACAATGAATGGACGTTGTGTTTGGTTACAGTGTATTCATGACACAAGCCATTTAAATCCTGGCTTCAGAATCGTTTTCTAACCATTTCAGTACAATCAACATCTGATTTGAAAAAAAAAAAAAAAAGATGACGAACACATCCTTTGCCAGGAAACTCGTCGTCACAAACAAAACAAACACAAAAGAAATGCCAAATGCTGGGGAAAAAAACCCCCTTTGCATTTGGACTAATGATTTGTCTGCTCGTCTCAGACACGCAGGAGGTTGAAATGTTCAGTAAAATAAGAAAAAAAAGGTCCCCCTTCAGGGCAACGCAGATTCCCAGCTGCACATATTCTGTAACCATTCAAGTGAAATTGTCCATAACGGCATAAAAAGACTGCCCATCGGGGACAGATGTTCCCACATGTCTGCATCAGTCATCATATAAGAGCATGATTGAGTACAAAAGCTTTTATTGTCACAATCCAAATCAAACGTTTCAAAGGGCACCGTGTTTGGATCAAAGCTCACCCCTGCACAAATCTCTCTCCCCTGACTGTACAGTGACTAAACAAAGTGCTAGATACATGTGATACAACTTCAGACAGTTAGACAAATTCAATTTCATATTTAACATGTGCCCAGAACTTTTTTTTTTTTAATATACTGAGACAAAGCGAAGAAATGGAGTGATACATTGAAAATCTGACCGGCAGCAGCTACGACACGGAACAGTCTTCATCCTGGTGGATTAACTACTCTGGCTTGTACTCATAAAGCACTAAGAAATCACAGTCTACCATCTGCAGTTCAGCAGTATTAACAGTTAAGGAACTTCCCAAAACGAGTCATAGCTGCACAGCTTTCTCTCAAACGTTTGGGAAGCAGTGGATTCATGTCTTGGATTAAAAGCTTTCTGAAGAGGTCATATGCCGCTTTTGAAAAAGGTTGGTAAGATCGCCAAAGTCAAGAAATGGATGCATTTGTACTCCAATAAGTTGTGATTGTTGACATATCGAGCTAACTAGTTTACTACCAACAGTAGCATTACTTCTGAGGGAAATAGTTAGCACACCACCGACCACGGCTGATGACTTTGTGCACCATGTGGCTTTAGTCATTAATTAAGTGAATATTTAGGATCCCTTTGCCAATATTCTTGTTTTTAAAAGGAGTCGGCTGTAAACATTTAAAAGTCCGATGGACAAAGGCGTTTTTTTCCAACCACCACGTGGAGCTAGCGTTAGCTTCATTATCTAGCTAGCAAAAAACGCTAAAAATAGTGAGTCAGCAGACAGAAATGAGAGGCCGTTATTTCTTTTTACTACTGAAATCAGAAAGCCATCACTTTAGAAAGAACTGATTTTAATCATGCCATTGTTTTCTTTGTTTTAAAAAAACAAACAAAAAACTAGCGGACAGGGGTTAGAAAACAGCCAATTCAACAATTCATGGATCAACAACCAAGCTTGAATTTATTGCACCTAAAAGATGAACTAACAGTTATTTCACCACCGGTGAACAAATGTCACTTATTCAAATGCTTGATGAGAACTGATCTGAACACACACTCGTGTGTAACGGATTCGTGATCCTCCACGTTGTGGCTAAATGAACGCGGGACGATGGATACGAGGAGCTGAGCAACAGCTGGGCCAGTTGCTACAAAACGGTGGTTTTACGTTAAAGGAATTTGAAAGTATTTTAATGATTCACCCACAGAAGATGCTCTTTTGAGTGGTCTTCCTTCCACATTATTCACTACTCTTCCGAGATAATCTCATTCTCTATCCTCGGCTCGGAGCAGATTACATCCTAGTCGTACTTACATTGGGGCTTTCTGGCAGTTAATCCGAAGTGTTTGAGAATTACAGATGTTGGTCAGCGGGGATTCTCCGAGCCAGAGGGCCGCGTCTCCAGTCAGTGGGGGCCGTGCGCCCCCGCCCTCCGGCCCGACAGTCCTTTCCACTCGGCCCGGGCGGTCCCCTACTAATCCAGGTCCAGGATCTGCTCGGCGACGATGTCCACCGCGGAGGCCGTGATGGAGCTCCCCGCGGAGCCAGAGTCCACAAACATCTGGGGGATGTCGTTGCCGAAGTAGATCTTGCTGTTGGCTGCGATGGACTTGTACTTCATTAGCTGGAGGTACTCGGGCGTTAGCTTCAGCTGCAAGAGGGGAAGCAAGATTTAAAGTCACGAAACCAGCCGCCTGGACTTGCCACGGTGTCCGTTTAGTCTCTTTACCTTATTGGCCTCTGCAGTTCTCTGTGACGTGTAGAACTCTGCATCCGCTCTGGCTTTTTGCCGGGCCAGGAAACCGCTGTCTAGGAATCAGAAACGGTGGTTATGATAACAATTCAAAGCGGTTTTACAGTTTTAAAAGCAGAAGAACGAGTTGTAACCTGTACAAAAAACAAACAGGCTTAATAATAAGCGTCTCTCACAGCACTCAGAGATCTACTCGTTACCACTCTGATGCACTGCTTCACATAACATGTGTATTTCTTACAAAGAGGAATAAAACACTTGGCTTGCGTAAGAAAGCCCAACTAAACAAGCATGCAGCAATGAAACAAGTCAAAGCCTGTCGAAGGCGCAAACTGAGGTGAAAAGTACGATGAAGAGCTTCAGGGTGGCACTGACTTCTCAACAGGGTAACAAATCGTTTCTGACTACCAGAAGAGTTGGAAAAGAGTCAATTACTGCAGGACGTGTTCATTGAACCACCGGCAGCTACAGCGTCGCCTCATCAACCACAACTAAATCTTAATAAATAGATATTAAACACGATTTTCAAATGTAAGCGCTTCACTTGTAATGAGAGTATTTTGAAGCGATACTTTTACTCAGAGGATCTCAGGGGTTCTTCCACAGCTGGATACAGACCTTCAATTTCAGAGATCTTCCTTTCGGTTTCCTTCTCCATGACTTTCTGTCCAAACTTGATCTCCGACACTTGTGCCACCTTCTCAGCCTCTGCGGGGGAAAAAAAAAACAACAAAATACTGTATCTTGGAATTTTCAAACTGAAGGGTGTTTTTGAATGCATCTCCTGATTATTTCCCTCTTTCACACCTATCACAGCTTTGATCCTCTCCGTTTCTGCCTCCTTCTCCACGACCTTCTGTGTCTGTTGAGAAATCAGCAGCTTCGTTTTCTCGCTCTCCCTGCAAAACAACGCAAAACACACACGGTGTTTGGAAGGCTTTATTAACATCTGACATGTTGGAACCGTTTAGGAGGGGCAGAAAACGTTTAATTATTAAGAGTGTGGTGAAGTCATTTCTACAATAGATCCTTCCAACTTCCACGAGCACGGAGGGCAGAGTGGGTTTAGTGTTGTAACCGCAGGACCTAGAATGGACATCCGAATGGACGTAGTGAAGAACAAAGGAGAAGTAGCCAGGAACACACACTAAAATGTGGTATGATGACCTGACATTACTTCCAATTCAACACAACCATGATCTTCCTGATGGGAGATAAAACTATTAATTGGATTGTAAAGGTCTTTAAACCCACAGATCAGCGGCGTTTATTTAGCAATACCCAAATGTTGTGCTCACGTGTTGGTTGGAGGAGAAGCAATGCATGCAGACACATACTCGCACTCGCTGGACGGAGAGCGGCTGCAACGATTGACCCCCCCCTCGTTGTTTATTTAGGCCGCCTTTTGTATGAATCACATTTGAAATGCCGAGAATCGTTTACATTTCTGGCCTTCAGTCATCCAAGCAACAGCAACGCTCTGACTGTCTCGCCGCCTGTACAAACATACTTTAAACATCCTGAACAACTTGTTTGAAAGTGATATCAAAATCAAACCTTTCATTTTCTGATGCTTGAAATATGATATTTCACAGCAACAACAGTAATTGCAGTTTTTCTCTAGATGTAACACTAAAAATCGAATGTTCTGCAGGGTAAAATGGATGAAAATAAGGACTGGATAACGGGTCAGATTGCTTGTGTGGATGCTTCTCCACATCTCAGCAATTTAGTTGGCGAGTAACTAATACGATAACATCACGGGAAATTCTAAAAAACAACAAAAATAAGAGCCGATATTTCAGGTGATTAAGGTTTAATAGCGTTCACAAAATGAAGAGCAGCCAGTCTGACGTATAAAACAAACAATTCAACTTAAAGTAAGTTCATCAAAATAATTAACTTTAATTGCTGATAAGATTGTGAAACACAATCATATCAGTTAGTTAGTTTTTATTGGCTCATAGCTAACATGGATGTTATCTACACAGTACTGAAAATAGTTCCCAGCTGTAGATATGCACTAAATGATACGTAACAACGCATGTCACGAGCGCCAGTTTGAGAACCACTGGACACGCGTGTTGCATTAATCACGCTTGGGTGGGTTTTGGACCAGAAGTCAGACACGGTGCCTGACTTGGAAACATTATCTGACCATATATGCACCGAACCTCAACGTCAACTTTCCCGTGCGGCTGATTCAAAACGCTACAACAGCAATTTACCGTTAATCCGCCATTTCCTGTCTGCATCCCAGTCACACAGCACATAGTGTTCACTCAGGGGGCCGAAGTAGGACTTTCACAGACTGATTTGAAACAGCCGCATTTTACTTGGCCGGGAGAGTTGGGTGAACACCAGGTCCATCCGGTGGGAGGTGCAATAGTTACACAACACGTGAAAAGAAAAAAGGAAAAAAAGCTGACTCACATGAGCTCGTAGTTCCTGCGAATGCTCTCTGGGATGTTGGGTTTTGTCACTCGGACCGCCTGTCGACCGGAGGGACGCACACACAAAAAGGCAGAGAAAGAAAGTAAATGGGGAATATTAAAAGGAACAAAACTAAAAGCACAAAGAGGCGCCCTGAAACAGGCTTTGTTCTGAAGTGTGACATCATTGCTTTTCCCAGAAACCGTCGCAAATGGTGGTCAAGACATTTATAGGAAACAGAAGGCCCGAGAATTAAAGCCCAAAGGAGCCTCTGACTGTGTATGACTGTCTGTGGGCATCTTTGGACAAACAAGGTCTCGAGTTGATTTTACAGACTGCTGGGAATTCGCTTTTTTTCAAATGTCAGAAATGACCCCAGGGCTTAGTTTGGACTCAACCCCAAACAGTCGGGGTCTCTGCGAACTTTGTTGACTGCAGCCTTTGTGCTGTACCTGTATGATGAGTCCGGGCGCCATGGATGTCAGGTCCTCCTGCAGCGTCAACTTCAGGTTCTCATCAATTTGGTCTGTACGACACACACAGAAACATTTGAAGTTGGACTTTTAATTAATTCAATTTAATGAATGACCATTATTCTGCAGGAGCAGATAACATCATCACAGTGCATCTCAGAGGTGGAAAATATATATAAAACAGTTTTTACCCCAAATTAAAAAAAGAGCACCACCCTTTACTGCCGTGGTGTGTTACATCCCAGCTGATGCACACGTCTTTGCATCGAAATACAACGTGTACGGTTCTTATTAACCTGAAGCAAAATAGAAATACAACTTTTTGCAATTTAAAAGGCGAACTAAAAATATGACTAATTTATAGCACATATGTCTTTTGGCCAAAAGGAATTTGATTGAATCTGTTATTTCAGGATGGCTGTGGCGCTGTGCACGCTCGCTCTTCTGGGTTGACGCCATTGGACATTGATGGAGATCCAGTGAGGGAACGTTGGCGTGGTTTGATGTTTGTTGTATTGCTAAGCGGCGCAGGCACAACTCTAACGCACTATGTTCTCGGCTAAAATCTCTTGCCCTAAATCCAAAAAAATGTCCAGACAACGGATGGCTGTCCTTTTGGAGGGACCAGCTACTCGCCTTCTGCTCTCGACATTGGATTAATCGTTTTCTCCCTGGTGGTGGGCTGGCTGTTAGTTGTAGCAGAGCACGCATTTTAAACGCCAATACCGTTGAATATTGTGCTCATTCTTTTGTGACAGCCGCGATTAAAATCCCATCAATTGCGCAGCCCCGAGCGCCGTTGTGCGGCACTTACCAAACAAGCCGATGTAGACCTCCTGCAGCGAGTGGACGCTGCAGAACTGGTTGAGCTCGTGGTGAACTTTGTTAAATATCAAAGCTTTGTCGTAGTCTGCCGTGAAGTTCTTCACTATGTCGAACACTGCAGAGAAGGAGATGTTGTAACAGCTGAAAACAGAGTAAGTCGCTCTAATGGAAGGTACGTGTAGCGTGTCGCTCAGGTGGGAAAAGAAACAAACTGGGAGTTCAGGGCGAACTCATTGTTTGAACGCTGGTGAGTTTACCTGCTGACGGGACGAGAAAGTTCACCACCTCTATGCGGTCAAAGTAAATCATCACTCCTCCGCTGAAAGGAAGAAAATATGGGACTGTTTGACGGGCGCCTTCAGGCGAGGCACCAATACGCAGTGTGTGTGAGAAGACGACTCCAGGGCGTGTGTAGTTTATATGATGAATGCCTAATGAGCATATCTGCTACTGCTTAAGCCTACCTTGTGCCACACGGTACATTCTTCACCTCGTCTGTCTGCAACGTCGTCTGCGAGACAAAAACAAAAGATGTACTCTTCAGTTCAGTAGGGAATATCAGAAGAACGCGACGATAGTAAGACCGGGAGTATGATCCTTTTAAAGTGAAGAAACGTGGACCTCAGTTGTAAACACTAGAGGAGCAGTTACAGGCCGTCCAGTTCAGTAACATGGAACGCAACACCACAAAGAGCTGAATCAACATTCCCACGACACTACTTAACAGTGACTCATTGTTATATACCACAGAAGTGCATATTACACAGCTTGCTGCATTGACAAGCTCATCTTTAAGAGGAGGACCAGGGATTATGATCAGACATTTAACACAGCATTGAACTGGACAGCTGAGATTTAGGCAATCAAATTGTATTATCTAATCAAGTAGGTGCAGATATTGCATTTTTTTTACAGAAACTAAATCTCCATGCTGCATAAAACCAGGTCCACCATGTGCTCAAATAATGTTTTTTTGGGAGCTTTCACTGATCTGAATTAAGGACATGAAGCAAACAGGTTGTCGAATGTCTTACAGGTTTCTGGCTTTTCTGCTTTTGAGGTTATAAAATGATAAACTGACTTGACTCACCTGAACAGACTTGTAGGTGGTGATAAATGGAAGCATTAGATGGAACCCAGGGCTGCTGGTGGTGGTTAGGAGAGCCCCTCCTCTGGATCACACACACACACACACACGTTAGTCCTTGGAATGAAGCCATCCCTTGGAGGACCATGGCTTGTAATCACTAATAACACTCGGGTTAGGTGTGTAAAGACGATTTAGGAGCAAAGGGAAGTTGTGGTGGTTTAGTCAAAAATAACAGTTAGGACACGTTCACGTTCCTTTATGTTTCTGCTTATGACAGTGGTCCCCAAACTGGGGGTCGCGACTTTATCACCAACCCTGACACACAGCAAAGGTAAAAAATAATAATCCCAAAGCAAAACAGACATGAGGACTCGACAGTAAAAAAGACAGCGTGCAAACGTTTCCTCTTAAATGTGGAAAGTTTGCATTATTCCTAAACTTCAATTTTAATATTTGAAGTAAATTTACCTGGGAATATGTTCACAAAATGTAATACTGCACATGCACATGATCTCAACACATAAAGGAAAATGTCCTTCACTTTCTCAAAAATCTTCAAACAGGTGGAGGAACAGTTCATGGAAAGTGAACCCTTTCACACGGTTACACCCGGTGACTCACGGGAGACAAGCCTTTCAGTGGTCCCGTCGATTGTTCACGTTTCTCATAAAACGCCTCCACTGCATGCATGACAGGTATTTATAGTACTCCCTGTTAACAGTTGCTTAATAGCACCTCCGACGCAGATGCTCTTGTTTTTTTCATGGCCTCTGTTGCACAACAGTGCCGTTTAACACCAGTGTCACAACATGGGAAAAAAAAAAAAGTGTGTGTGAGTGTGTGTGCTGCAGTCTCACCTGTAATAAACACCGGTGTGTCCCTCATCGATCTTGTGCACGGAGCCGAGGAGAGCTGCTCCCCCCAGAGCGGCGATTATGGAGAATATGGCACCCAGCTGTGCCATCCTGGCAGGCAGAGGAGGGAGACACAGGGTGGGCACATGGGAACCGAGTTTCTCTTATGATGTGTGCGGTCGTAATTTCAACCAAATGCCTCAACCACAAACACCGATTACACTACGCCCCCGGGGAGCAGCGGGTTATCTCCTCTCAGCTCAGGCTTAGCCGGCCATCAGCTGCTACTTAGTGACCTTGTCACACTTAAACAGGATAGAGGCTGGAGTGCAAAGACATTGTAAACTCATGCACGGAATAAGTGTGCAACGGTGTCTTCATTCACATGGAAGCGACGACGTCTAGTTGGTGGAACTTAAGCTGAAAGATTTTGATACTTTGTTTAGGATAACCTTGTGACCTTGCTGATTCAACACTGGTCTCAGAAGCTGTGTTTCCCAGCAGCGTTTATAACACTTTGAGAATACGTTTGATTTTTCTTTCATAACCTGGAATTGATATCGTCACCAGCCATGAATGTGTTTTACCAAATATAATCTGTCCGTTTTCTTTTTAATTAGTGGACTCGGCTTCCTCTTCTTCTACGGAAACGACTGCGCCTTTATAGCAGTTCAAAGTTGAAAATGGACACTTATAGTAGACACCAAACTTAAATCCTGGAAAAACACGCGTGCCGAGTGGCGCGGCGGGTCTGCGGGTTGGCGTTGCAGTTGTTGGGTCATCGACGCATGACAGGTATGGATGACTTATTAGAAGGTCAACACAAAACATCCAAACACCTGAACGGAATTTGGTTTCGATGGCTCCGGAGCGGCCGTTAGCTTTGCCGGCATCTGTTGTATCGTGGGGTCTGACCTGTTTAACTGCTGACGTTATGAGTCACAAAGCCGCGTCTGATAACGTCAGCTAGCGTTGCTGTTGGCCTCAACGCACAAAGGCAGCGGCACATATTGATTAACCTTCGCTAGCGTTCCCTCACAAGTTAGCAAGAAGGCATCAGCACATCTCATATTACCTCCGACGTGCTAAGCGGGAGGTTGGGGGAGCGGAGGCTTTGTTTAAATAGAGTGTTCCTGCTGCTAGGTCGGTCTTACCTGTAGCTTTCGCCTGAGAGAGCAGTAGCAACAGATACGAAGCAGGTACCTGCTACCTGCTACCATAGATTCTTCTTCTTCTTCTTCTTCTTCTTCTTCCTGCAGAATGTGGTTGGTTGGCGTCAAACTCGTCGCGCGAGCGCCCCCTCGTGGTCGGTACAGCGACAGCAGCAGTGCTGGTGCCGAACCACTTGCTGGTCTGCCTAAATTTTCCAAATTTGTTTTTTAATCGCCCTGGTGCCATTAATCAAATTGGACCATTGCGTTTGTTTGAGATTAGACAACATGGCCCTAACACAACAGTATCCTTGCAAAAGTTATCGCATGAATTTCTCTCTAAATGTTTCAGGAATCAGGAATCAGGAAACATTTATTGCCAAAATATGTCATACATACAAGGAATTTGACTTGGCGGTGCGTGACAGTATGACAATAGCAGCAGTATAGCATAACAAGACAGCAGTGCACGAGTAATAAAATAAAATAAAATAAAATAAAATGCTAACGCTAATAGAATAAGGCTATGGGTTAGTTTAAAATAAAAGAATATGGTTAAAGTTAAAAATGTGAAAAAGTGACATATGAATATTGCCGTGCTTTTTTTTTCAAATAATAATGCTAAATGTACCAAAACTGAGCAGGATTTTAGAACGTTATATATAACATTTTATGTAACAGAAATGGCGCCCCATATTTGACAGCACAATTAACGAGGTGGAGGAAGTAGACTCTGTCCCCGTGGCTAAGGGGGCTATCAAAGCACTGGAGCATGAACAGTAATGTCTTTGGTTCAAGTCTGCGCATAGTTGCATTTCCCTCATTTCGAGGCATGAAATACCCCCAATAACGATAAAAAAGGACCCACTATTTTGTTTTGATAGTGGACTATTTTTTGGTTGTATTGTGACATTTTTTGCATGTTCTTGACTCTCATGTTATTAACTTTTCTTGTTAAATCCTCCAGTTTTAACCTGAATGTTGATGGGAATACTCTCCTCGTGTGAACAGCAGGTGGCGACACAGACCGGGGGAGACGCATGGCTTCATTTCTACGAGAAAACTGGCGAAAGACACTGCACTATCTTGATACCTTGACCTGCAACGTTTTTAACTATTTACAGATACCTTTCTGCAGAATTGTATTACATGGATTTGCATGCTATCGGCTGTTGGCAAATGCAGCACATATGTTAATGAAAATAATGCTAAATACCATTAAAGAGGCAACCAGAGGAAAACCTCTTAAAGTACATTTATTTCTTCCTCAATCGGCAATAAGCCACTGGGAGTGATGAACAACTAAAAGTCTTGACATTAAAATGGTTGTGTCGCTTTATTTTTAGGCATTGGCCTCTTGAGAAATGCACAAAGGGCCGGAGCTAACCCCTGGGTGCTGCAGTGGCAGCTCTGTGCCGTGCATTTCAAACAGGGGGTGTGTGCGTAGGGAAAAAAGAACAACCGAGCAAGGGAAAAGAAGTTTGTCAGAGTTCATTAAGTATCAAGGGAACATCGCTGGAACTGGCAGCGTAAGCCGCGCCGGGGCCCTAGTGCCATTAATCACGACTGACAAGAAACCAGGGGCCGTGGGAGGAGGTGGGAGGGAGGGCAGCTCTGCCAGAGACTCTGGTAGTGATTATAGAACGGGGTCCAAGCGGTCCGGGGCCGGGGGTGTTGAAGGTAAAACACACCACGGCCGAGGCTGTAAAGTTCAGGTGCCTTCACAAAGATCTCGCTCACATAATCACAGATGGGCTGAGGAGCTCCGTGACTTTGAAAGCCGGACCGGGGTAATTGAGGAAAGAGTGGAACATTTTGGCCGGAGACGAGACGTAGAGGCTGGATCTCTCTCTCTCTCTCTCTCTCTCTCTTTGTGTGTCCCCCCCGCCTCCCCCATTTATATGAGCCGAGCCTCTGGCTTAATAGCAAGCCGGAGCAGGAAGAGAGTGGAAGGGCTGCAGTAACCGAGTGTCGCCCATACATCTCTGTCGGCCTGACTTATTTCCTCTCCGCACCCCCAGAAAGCCCGTGGTAGCTCGCCACGCTGCTGCCACCCTGGAAGAAAATAATAAATGGGAGAGGGAAGGAGAGGGGAGAAGAGAAGGAGAAGAGCTCGTGACTCGTGAAGATGGAGGCCTCTGTTAAGTGCTGTGCTTGAAAGCCCGTCCGGCCTCATTAGCTGTCAGTTGTAACAATACTGAGCTGGCAGCGAAGACTGCTCCCGGTCTCGGTGCCATAAATCACAGGCTGACAGGGTCCTGACAGGGCTGGGAACCGACACACATGCAAGGCTCGCTTGCTTTCTGTCTCTCCGCCGTTCCCTTTTCTTTCTCCTCTCTCCTACTTTTTCCACCGCTCATTCTTTTTCTTCCTTTATTTTCAAATCACTCTTTCTCTCTCTCTCTCTCTCTCCTCTTGGCCAGTCCCCCCCCCCCCCCACCCCCCCCTTTCACACATAGGGCACATGGCAGCATGTCAGCAGACAGTCCAGGAGACATGTGCTCACACTACGCACATTTGCTTTCTGCAGCAGCATCCTGTATATAAGTGTGTGTGGTGCAGGAGGTTTGGGAAAGTATGTGATTCTTTGATGGATTAGATGTGTGCATGTTGTTCTTCCTCCTAATTCTTTGTTTATTTAACATTTTTCAAGCATATATATGCTTCAGGGGAGATGATGTTTTGTTTTACAGCATCAAATATGTGGGTAAAAAGTTTTATATGCATCTTAAAAATGTGTTTTAAACTACTTTAAATCATGAACGACTGCATACCAACCTTTAAATTTGATTTGGTTCATTTTGAGGAAGGGTTGGTTTCCAACTTTGAACGTCTGTGAAATGTCTTTACACCGAGTGAGGAACGATGGTGTGGCAAAAGCAAAAGGCGTATTTCACAAAAATGGTATTGTCCCTTTAAGATGATGGTGTAGAAATTCCCCCGCCCGACCTGTGAACAGAACCAAACTCTTTAACAAGTGTGATACCAACTTTGAACCGCCGTCCATTTTGGCAACTGGTGATGACGTGTTTGACGCGACGGGAGAGGAAGGAAGTTGAAGAAAGCAGGGTCATCAACACACACACACACACACACACAAGCATGTAGCCATAGGCCTGGTGCTGAGCTTGCAGCTGGACATGTATACACACACTAAGGGAATATATACAGTGTTTACATACAGGGAGAATGAGCTCACAGCTGGACTGCATGCCTCAGATCTGAATGGACTTCCCCTCCCGGCTCCTCCGTTCCAGAGCTGCATGAAACCCAACAGGGCTCAGCTGGACCTCACAGAGGTTTTGCACTTAAATGCTTTGACCGTAACAAAGTCTACATACGTGAACGTTTTCTCATGAGTAATTTAACATAAAGGTTTTTCGTTTCAACTCAATTAATGATGCCATCAGTTTGGTTCTGATTTTAGATCTTTGACAAATGCTCCGATCGCAAGTCACTCTTTATCTTTTAAAACCTTTTGTGCTGCTTTTGAAAATTGAAATTTGAAAAAAACCTTCTCAGCTGAGTCTGAACAACACAAAGAAAGCTGGAGGGCAAATGCTCCTCAGCACCAGTACATTGCTGACTAGTTAACTCAATTATGAACCACTATGTGGCAAAACACACTGCACTCAAAGACAGCAGAAACTATTTCTAAACACAACAATGACAAAGTATTACCCTTTTATATTGAAATAACATCTGTGACGGAGCAACTTTTGGAGTCGTGTTGATGTCCTGGTAGCTCTGTTTTGGTCTCTACCAACTCATGAGAGAAAAGTAAATGATTCACCAAGTTTACCAGCAAGTGTCTAACTTTGTCTTTCTGCTAGTTGTACCTGAGCAGGTTATACGTTTTGGGGGTTTTCTCGTCTTAAAGCAGCCGGTCAAAAAATAATGAAAGCTGTGATTGAGAATCAAAATGGTTAAGTTGTGGACTTCCGTCAGGTGATGATTCTCTGTGGGAAAAAAGAATAAACATGTTTATCAACCAAAACAAAAAAGAAAAGAGAAATGAATCCCGTCTGTTGAGACACTAGTAAGTCACGATTTAATTCTTCTCTTCTTCCTCCGTTACCACAGCGGTTTGAGAGTTGAGGATGTCCCGCTCTTCATCGGGCTTGATGCGTCCCAGAGGAGGTCCTGCCACAAAGTTACACAACTGGCCTCCACATTAATCTTCCCCTGGTTGGAATCTCCCTCTGAAATCTTCATGCCTGCTTTTCTTCATTGTGAAATTTATTAGCAGATGAGTGTGTGTGTGTGTGTGGGATCATGAGCATGCATACGCGGGGGCGGACGGAGTAATTGGGTGTGCGAATGTGCCGGGGTCTGCTCGGGCCGAGCGATGCTTCACTGTGTACTCGTACAGTGTGGTGCTGTGCTGAGCTGTGGGGGTGTGGGAAAGCGATCAGAGCACTTCACAGGGCGCTCAGGAAGAATGAGGAAACTGCAGACGGATGGGCCTAATGGTTGTGCTGAGGGAAGAGGTTGAAGGGCCAACAGCTGCTATCCATCCATCTGGACCAGCCCGCAGAGCGCGGACTGGACCGCTCCGCGGTGACGTGTTCGCCTTCTGGGGACAAGTGCAGTGGGGCTGCTCGTCACACCCGGGTCGACGAGGCAATCCATTCTGGGAGTTTGTTTTAAAATACTTTTTGAAGAGGTAATTTATTCAGAAGCAACGCGACAAAACTGTGAAACAAATGGGTTTTGCGTTGGATTTACAATGCATTTACTACACAGTTCCTGCACAGATCACACTTTGGTAGTGAAAAGTGAAACCTGTTAATTTCATCAATCAGGAAAATGTGCTCATTGCTTTTTCTTTTTTAGGTCTTTACATCCAATGTGATCGTTGTTGTTCACGTTCTTCAGCTGTCAGACTAAACAGGGCCGGTAATCATGTGATACATTTTTTCTTCCATTTTTGTTCACAAAGTTTGCGCTCCTGTAGGAGGGGGGCGGGGGGGTCACTCCTGTTTGTCTGTGGTTCTCAGGGATTTTCCCTGGGAAATTTCATTTATTAATCCCTAGTTGTGAAATAGTCTGTGAAAGTTTAGCCGAGAAGTAAAACGCTTACAAATAGCAAATTTCAAATATTCCTTAGGGGTGTGCTCACTGTGATGTTATG